AATTTATGAATCCTAACCTTTTTATATTGCATCAATTGATCCTGACATTGAAATAGGATAATTCAGTTTTGATAGTGTAGCTTTTCCAAATTTAGTAAATGTTGCAACTTCTGATTAATGGGTTTCGACTATTATCTAATTTAATACCCGTTAGAAGTTTGTTCCTTAAGTTACTGCAGGATATGTTGGTATTCTAATACCTGCTGCTACAGGACATTCTTTTGAAATAAAAACATAATCTATTGATGTAGATAAATTTCAGTTGAGTGTTAAAGCCTATAAAGGGGTACCCATTCAAAGGATTGATATTTTCTATATTGCCATGAATCCAAGCATCCCAGTTTATAATATCTTGAAAAATTTTATGCTTACTGACGAAAGTTAAATATTTTCAAATAAAGTTTGCCCTTCCTCAAGAAGTTGTGTGTATACTGGACCAGCAGGAAAAGTTCCACCATAAACAATTTACATGCCTGTAATTAATATTTTTAATTAGGCAGCATCTTAAAATAATATTAGAAGAAGGCTACATTACCAAGGTATAGATACAACAAAATCTACTTTTTCATTTTCATATTATACTTGGTGTGATACACAAACTAGTTAGTTTGGCATTCAATCTTTTGCATTAGTCAAACCATGTGTTAAGTTTTATTGCTTATGTGATCCTGTTCCTCCTGGGTATTTTAGCATTCCTTCTTCTTTTGCTTGCTGGTGTAATCATTATTTTAATTAATATTGATAAAATCATGACATTATTTTTTTTAACAAAATAGAATGTGATTTTAAATGCCAATATTGTACAGGAACTGCGACAAGCTGTACTAAATGCAAAGGAAATAGAGTTTTATCAACAGGTTGTACTTGCCCTCCAGGTACCTATGAATATTTTCAAAGCACTATATGCCCTAGCTGTAAAGTTGGTTGTGCCTCTTGTGTTACTTCTGCCAATAATTGCCAAGGAAATTGTTTAGGTAAAAGATAGGGTCCAGATTGTTAATGTCCACCTGGAACTGTTGATGATGGAACAAATAACTGTCCTTCTGATACAGACAAAGGATGCGATCCTAAATGTGCTAGATGTTCAATACTAGATCCAACTAAATGCAGTGCATGTTAAGCAGGTAGAGTCTAAGATCCTAAAAATCCATCGAATTGTATATGTCCTCTTGGTTAAGTAGATGTTAATAACACTTGTCAAAACTGTAATCCTAGATGTAATGGATGCACAGGTGTTTAGCCATATTAGTGTGTTGCTTGTAATGGTTCAAATAGAATAAATGTAAAAATTACATGCTGATTTTTATTTAAAATTTATTTATTTGTTTATTTATTTATTTAACAGCCTCCTGCATGCATCTGCAAAGATGGCTATTATGATGATGGTAATTTGATAAAATTATTTTATTGATTTTAAATTATATTTAAATTAAATAGAGAATTTTAGTTAAATAAATGTTTGATAACAATATTAGATATCCATTATTCTTTCTAATGCTTTCAAATATCCTTCTTTATTTTCATTTTATGAATTTTTAAATTGAGCAATAAAAATAAAAATAAATATAATTTAGGTGTGAGTCTAGATTGTATTGCTTGCAGTAACTTTTGTACTACTTGCAATGGTCCTTCAAATTAAAATTGCATAGTATGCAAACCAAACAGGACAAAGAATATATTTACTAATAACTGTGATTGTCCAACAGGCACATATGATTCAGGTTTAGCAATATGCCCAACTTGCAGTTTTTAATGTGCAACATGCACAAATGCAACTACATGCACCACTTGTAGTGGAGATAGATCAGGCCCTCCTAGTTGCTCAACATGTCCTCCTGGAAAATACAGTGGAAACTAAACAAATTGTTCAAGTTGTGGATATAAATGCAGTACTTGCAGTGGTTCAGCTCTAAATTGCTTAACCTGTTAAGGTTAAAACAGGCTTTCTAATCCTCCTAGTTGCGATTGTTAGCCAGGATTTTATGATTCAGGAAGTAAAATTTATTAAATATTATTCATTATTTTAATTTAATTTTGAAATTACTAGATGCTGATTGCCAACCATGTGATAGTAATTGTAAAACATGTAGTGGTTTATCAACTACGTGCTTGACATGTAACTCAAGCAGAGTCTTAGATCCTAATACTAACACTTGCGTGTGTCCTCAAAATTTTTACGAGGTTGCCGGCTAATAGCAATGCCTTTAATGTGATAGCAGATGCAACTCATGTAACTCTTCAGGATGTATACAATGTGCACAAAATAGAGTGAATCCACCTTCTTGTACATGTCCTTTTGGAACATTTGATAATTATCCTACTTAAGTTTAATGTCCTAGTTGTAACCCTATCTGCTCTGGATGTGCTAATAATGCAAATCAATGTATAGCTTGTTAAGGTTAGAGAACAAATCTACCTGCTTGTGATTAATGCCCTAACGGTATGTATGCTACATTAATAGCCCCTAATTACTGTGCTAAGTGTGATTCAATTTGCTCATAGTGTACCAATACTTCAAACAACTGTACATAGTGTTCTGGATATAGAGTTAAAGTTCTTGTTCCAGGTACTAGCAATTATACATGCAAGTGTCAAGATGGAACCTATGAAGATTTTACATATACATAATGCAGAGGTATTTTTATAAAAATAGGATAAATAAAATATTATATTTTATTTATATTAATAAAATTAGGTTGCTTTAATAGTTGTGTCAAATGTCAAGGAGGAAGTAGACTTGATTGCTTATAATGTAAACCAGGATTTGTTCTTTCAGTGATTGGTGGTGCTGGATCATGTGATTGCCCTTCTAATACTTTTATGACAAAAGATGGTTAATCATGTTAAGCCTGCGATTCAAAATGTTTAACCTGCAAGGGTCCTACAAGTAATGACTGTATTACTTGCAAAGTAGCTAGTGATTGTACTTCCACCCAACCAGATAACCCAAAACCTCCAGCTGTTGATTGTAATAAAATTTTTTAAAAAAATATTTACAATTTTAATATAATAAAAGTATGCAAGGCTCTTGGAATCTTAACATTACCTTAGTGTGATTGCACTGACTAATAGTATTATAGTTAGGCACTATAGAAATGTGTCCCTTGTGTTAATAATTGTAAATTTAAACAGAGTTTTATATTTACTTATTAAAAAATTATTTCTTAAATTAGGTAAGCGCTGTTATGGAAGCAGTATTTCAGAATGTGTTGAATGTCTAGATGGGTATATAACCTTAGGAAATTAGTGTGTACTAACAGTAGTATATTAAGATTCCTAATATACACTAAGTTGGCTTATAGGAATCTTTTTTGGTTTACTATGTTTGTTAGTATTCCCACTATTTTATTCTCATTTTATTGAAAAAATATAAAAATAATTTGAAGAAAGCAAAAAAAAGAGCTAAATAGAATAAAATTTAGATAAAAATAACAGGTCAATTCAATAAAATCATAACTAAAATAATTAAATTATCAGCTTATAAAATTTTTAATGAGCTATACGTTGAGCTGCATAGCTTACTCTCTTAGAAATAAATATCATTTTTGTTTATATAAAGTATTCATAATATAAGTTAAAACCAAAAAAATAGAATAATAATTCAATTATCTTTTATTTAATTTACTTTAATTCAAAATATAATATTTTATTTTGCTGTAATTCAGTTTACTCATACTCTTAAAACATTTTTTTGTTTTATTTAGGTTTTTGTTGATAAATAATCACTTACTTCAAATTTAAAAACATCCTTGTTCATTTATTTAATCTTAAATATTTAAATGATATTGATTTCAATAACATAATAGATAGTAAATTAATAAGAATATTTAGACAGTAAGATTTTTTTTATTAGGTTTTGTTTAAAGTTACTAAGTAAATTAATAACTTTAGACAAAAAAACTTTTTATTAGGCTTTCTATAAAATCAAATTAATTTAAAAAAATACTATCTTAGAAAAATGCTTACTTAATAAGTGCTTTTATAAATTTCAACCTAAAAAACTTAATATTAATTTATTTAATTTTATATTAATTAGAAAGAAAGAAAGAAAGCTTAAAATTAAAACTCAAACCAAAAAATTTTTATTTAGCTTTTTTAAATTTTAAAGAAATTAAAAAATATTAAGAAAATTTGGGTAAAAATTTAAAAACATACTAAATGCTAAAATATTTTATTCTAAAAAATATAAAGCCTTTATAGCTCAGTTGGGAGAGCGTAAGACTGAAGATCTTACGGTCCTCGGTTCGATCCCGAGTGAAGGCATTTTTTTTATTTACTTATTTAGTTTAAATTTAAAAATATTGATTAGGTATCATTTTTAAAATAAAAAATTATTAAATACCTTTATAGTTTAGTTTGGAGAGCATAGACTGAAGATCTTAAAATAATTTGTTCAATACTGAAAGAGTGATAGCAATTTTTTATTTATATATTTATTTATTTATTACCAAAATAAACTTCAATGCAATTTGAATTATACTGAAGGATGAAAATTTAAAAAAATTAGTGTAGCTACACATTTTTGAAAATAAAAAATTAATAAATAGAATATTTTAATATTAATTTTTTAAGAATATTAATTTGAGTCAAAAATAAATGATATAAAGAATTTATTTGATTAGGTATCCTTTATTAAAAATTTGTTAGTATTAATTTAAATTTGTTCATGTAAACTAAAATATTCAATTAGAAATTTTGATAAAATTTTACAATTAATTGATTTATTAACCATGAATATTATTTAGAAATAAATGTATATAATATTTATTTATAAATTGAATGGTTAAATTATATATATATATATGTCATACACTTAATTAATAAAATTTTTTGAATAAATTGATGGGTATAATACTTTGAACATATGTAATTATTAGTTATTAATATATTAAAACTTCAAATAATTAATTTTCAACCTTATTTTTTTTTTTTTTAGATAGCCCTCTCACTTTTTAATTAAAGTATGTTAACTAATTAATAGCTTTTGTAGATATTAGCAGATAATAAAAAATCAAAAGATTTATATTAAGGAAAAACAGCTAATTCTCATATTTGATTAATTGAAGAAAGAAAAATTCTGAAAGCGCTTCATAAAATATTTACAAGATAAGCAAAAAAGAAGGTTTTGATATTAAGATTAATATTATCACTCATGCTTTCATAATTTTTTATTGTCTTAGGGGTTTTTTCATGTATAATTATGAAATAAATCCGTTGTGATTACCCATGTAATAATTTTGGATTAATGAATGGATAATACCAATCACCCTGCACAAATTCATAAACTTTTAGTTATAACTTAAAGAAAATCTAGGATATGGGAGCAGATGTACTTTCAACTTCTTAAAAATTAACAATATCAGGATGGTGGAAACCAACAGGGAATCCAGATTTAACTAATTAGTGGCAAACTTTGATATATCTTTCTACGAATACAAATGGAGTAACATTGCCAATGAACGGTGAATCTGAATTAAATGGAGATAATACAAGAAGATTGTTGGCTTTTTTCTTTAATAATAATGGTTAAAATCAACTGCAAGCTAATTATAACTAAGCAACTCCTGTTGTGGTTCCAAATTTTTCATCATTAATGGGTTAGTGGAGTTTTTATGCGTTTTCTATAAATTTCAATACTTAAATATTTAAAATTGCTATTAATCCTATCGACTCTACTTCTTAATTAGCTTATTAAGGATCATTTACAGCAAATATTCCAACAAACTTTGGAGTCTTTCCTAATTTAGGTTTATATTTCGATGCTACTCCAGCTTATTTCCCTTCTTGTTCGCCTATGTATTCAATTTAAGTATCTGCAAATTATGATTTAGATACAACAAATCCTTAATTCTTACTTGAACTTCGTCATTCTGATTTAAATCTAATTGCTCAATATACTTTAATGGCTCCAAATACTATATCACCTTAATATGTTTCTGATACATAATTTAATTTACCAGATATGATGTTAGGAACAACTAGAGATCCAGAACCTATTTTGGATCCAGCTTGGGTTTCTATTGGAACATATGAAGCCCTTACATTTAATTAAGGCAGTACAGCTTTAATTGCTACTAATATACAATATAATGAAGAAACATTTTCTTATTGGATGACAATCAATGGAAATCCAGCTAGCTTCAATAATATTTTAATATCAGATAACTAAGCTAATCTAATTTTAACTATAGCTTATTAAGCTGCTGGTGGCGGTTACTCAATTATAATATGTATTAGCGTTTCTTCATGTTATACTTCTCCACCCATAACAACTATTAATGGAGGTGGGGCTGGTCATGAAGCTGTTATTAATATTTGCTAATTCCCAGGAGCTTCAAAAATATTTGTAAGAATATACATAAACGGTATGCAATAAGCTGTTGGTTATATAAGTGCTACTTGGCCTTCAAAAGTACCTGCAATTTATGCATTAAATAATCCCGGTATAAACTACTCAGGTTCTTATTCAATGAGAAATTTTCGTGTATACTAAGGTTCATACTTTAGGTAATACTTAAATGACCCTGGATAATTCACCTTTTGTATGTCAAACTGCATTCTCCAATCTTCTAAATATTTAAGTGATCAAAAATGTATTTATTGTAAAAGTGGATATGTTTTGGCTAATGGAATTTGCTGGCCGAGCACAGATTACTGCCCAAAAGTAATTATTTTATAAAATATTTAATTTTCATTCTACCTATAATAAGTAATTAAATCGCTTAAATAAAAATATATATTTAGAATAAAGTTAAAAAAAATAAATATTATGATACTAAATGATTTTAATAAAATATTTAGGCTGATGCTAATACTGTTCATACTTAACCTTATCAAGAATGCACACCTTGTTTAAATACTTTTGCTTAAATACAATAATAATGTGACTATAGTAAATAATTTTCAAAAAAATCTAATTAGTATTTTAATTCTATTTGAAATTTTAACTAAAAGGTATTGACTTAAATCCTCTAGTTATTAGTGGAACTACTAGAGTTTTAACTGTCCCTATACCTAATCCAGATACTTAGAATATAGATTCCGTTTCTATTACGTTTAATCCGCCTTTACCAATAGTACCCTAAATATTTTTATCTATGAGTACACTTGATTATGATTTAGGTTCAACACTATAAAGCTTTTAATTAAGCTACAACTCTGTGTCTACTACTGGATTTACAATATAAATGTAGCGCGGTTTAGGGAGTGGAAAAATTTATAACTCTTAACCTTTTTACATTGCATCAATTGATCCTGAAATTGAAATAGGATAATTCAGTTTTACTAGTGCAGCTTTTCCAAATTTAGCAAATGTTGCTGCTTCTGATTAATGGGTTTCCACAATAATCTCATTTAATACCCGTTAGAAGTTTGTTCCTTAAGTTACTGCTGGGTATACTGGTATCCTAATACCTCCTGGTACAGGACATTCTTTTGAAATAAAAACATTATCTATTGATGTAGATAAATTTCAGTTGAGTGTTAAAGCCTATAAAGGAATACCTATTCAAAGAATTGATATTTTCTACATTGCCATGAATCCAAGCATCCCAGTTTATAATATCTTGAAAAATTTTATGCTTACTGACGAAAGTCAAATTTATTCAAATAGAGCTTGCCCTTCCTCAAGAAGTTGTGTGTATACTGGACCAGCAGGAAAAGTTCCTCCATAAACAATTTACATGCCTGTAATTAATATTTTTAATTAGACAGCATCTTAAAATAATATTAGAAGAGTACTAACTTACCAAGGTATAGATACAACAAAATCCACCTTTTCGTTTTTATATTCTTCATGGTGTAATACACAAACTAGTTAGTTTGGCATTCAATCTTTTGCATTAGTCAAACCTTGTGTTAAGTTTTATTGTTTATGTGATCCTGTTCCTCCTGGGTATTATAGCATTCCTACTTCTTATGCTTGCTGGTGTAATCATTATTTTAATTAATATTCATAAAATGATAGAATTACTTTTTTCACAAAATAGAATGCGATTTTAAATGCCAATATTGTACAGGAACTGCAACAAGCTGTACTAAATGCAAAGGAAATAGAGTTTTATCAGCAGGTTGTACTTGCCCTCCAGGTACCTATGAAGATTATCAAAGCACCATATGCCCTAGCTGTAAAATTGGTTGTGCCTCTTGTGTTACTTCTGCCAATAATTGCCAAGGAAATTGTTTAGGTAGAAGATAAGGTCCAGATTGCTAATGTCCACCTGGAACTGTTGATGATGGAACAAATAACTGTCCTTCTGATACAGACAAAGGATGTTCTCCTAAATGTGCTAGATGTTCAATACTTGACCCGACTATTTGCAGTGCATGTTAAGCAGGTAGAGTTTAAGATCCAGCAAATCCATCAAATTGTATATGTCCTCCTGGTTAAGTAGATGTTAATAACACTTGTCAAAACTGTAATCCTAGATGTAATGGATGTACAGGCGTTTAGCCATATTAGTGTATTGCTTGTAATGGTTCAAATAGAATAAATGTAAAAAATTATATTATAATTTTAATTTATAATTTATTTATTTCTTTCTTTTTTATTTAACAGCCTCCTGCATGCATCTGCAAAGATGGTTATTATGATGATGGTAATTTAACAAAATTATTTTATTGATTTGAAATTAAATTTAAATTAAAAAGTTAATTCTAATTAAACTAAAGCATTAAGAATATTAAGAATGTTAAAAAATATAATTAAATATATTTAGGTGTGAGTCTTGATTGTATTGCTTGCAGTAGCTTTTGTACTACTTGTAATGGTCCTTCAAATTAAAATTGCATAGTTTGCAAGCCAAACAGGACAAAGAATATATTTACTAATAACTGTGATTGCCCAACAGGCACATATGATTCAGGTTTAGCTATATGCCCAGCTTGCAGCTTTTAATGTGCAACATGCACTAATGCAACTGCATGCACAACTTGTAGCGGAGATAGAACAGGCCCTCCTAGCTGTTCAACATGTCCTCCTGGAAAGTATAGTGGAAACTAAAGAAATTGCTCAAGTTGTGGATATAAATGCAGTACTTGCAGTGGTTCAGCTCTAAATTGCTTAACTTGTTAAGGCTAAAACAGGCTATCTAATCCTCCAAATTGCGACTGCTAACCAGGATTTTATGATACAGGAAGTAAAAATTTATAATACATTATTAATTATTTTAATTTAATTTTTATAATTACTAGATACTGATTGCCAACCATGTGATAGTAATTGTAAAACGTGCAGTGGTTTGTCAACTACGTGTTTGACATGTAACTCAAACAGAGTCTTAGATCCTAATACTAACACTTGCGTGTGTCCTCAAAATTTTTATGAGGTTGCCGGTTAATAGTAATGCCTTCCATGCGATAGCAGATGCAACTCATGTAACTCTTCAGGATGTATACAATGTGCACAAAATAGAGTGAATCCACCTTCTTGTACATGCCCTTTTGGAACATTTGATAATTATCCAACTTAAGTTTAATGCCCTAGTTGTAACCCTATCTGCTCTGGATGTGCTAATAATGCTAATCAATGTATAGCTTGTTAAGGTTAGAGGACAAATCTACCTGCTTGTGATTAATGCCCTAGCGGGATGTATGCTACGTTGATAGCCCCTAATTACTGTGCTAAGTGTGATTCAATTTGCTCATAATGTGCCAATACTTCAAGCAATTGTACATAGTGTTCAGGATATAGAGTTAAAGTTCTTGTACCAGGTACTAGCAATTATACATGCAAGTGCCAAAATGGAACCTATGAAGATTTTACATATACATAATGCAGAGGTATTTATAAAAAAATAGGATAAATCAATAATATATTAATTATATTTTATTTTTTTTAATAAAATTAGGTTGCTTTAATAGTTGTGCCACATGCCAAGGTGGAAGTAGACTTGATTGCTTATCTTGTAAGCCAGGATTTGCACTTTCAGTGATTGGTGGTGCTGGATCATGTGATTGCCCATCTAATACTTTTATGACAAAAGATGGCTAATCATGCTAAGCCTGTGATTCAAAATGTTTAACCTGCAAGGGTCCTACAAGTAATGACTGTATTATTTGCAAAGTAGCCAGTGATTGTACTTATGTACCACCTATAGACCCAAAACCTCCAGCTGTTGATCGTAATAAAAATTTTAAAATATTTTTTTACAATTTTTAATAAAATAAAAGTCTGCAAAGCTATAGGAATCTTAACATTACCTCAGTGTGATTGTACTGACTAATAATATTATAGTTAGACACTATAGAAATGTGTCCCTTGTGTTAATAATTGTAAATCTAAAACTGAGTTTTTTTTTTATTTATTTAAAAATTATTTCTAAAATTAGGTAAGCGCTGTTATGGAAGCAGTATTTCTGAATGCATTGAATGCCTAGATGGGTATATAACCTAAGGAAATTAGTGTGCACCACTAGTAGTATATTAAGATTCCTAATATACGCTTAGTTGGCTTATAGTAACCTTCTTTGGTTTACTATGTTTATTAGTATTCCCACTATTCTACTCTCATTTTATTGAAAAAATATAAAAATAATTTGAAGATAGCAAAAAAAAGAGCTAAATAGAATAAAATTTAGATGAAAATAACAGATCAATTAATTAAAATCATAACTAAAGTAATTAAATTATCAGCTTATAAAATTTCTAATGAGTTTTTTATTGAGCTTCATAACTTACTCTCTTAGAATAAATATTATCATTTTTATTTATATAAAGTATTCATAATATAAGTTAAAACCAAAAAAAAAGAATAATCATTCTATAATCTTTTATTTAATTTAATTCAAAATATAATATTTTATTTTGCTGTAATTCAGTTAACTCATACTCTTAAAACATTTTTTGTATTAATTAGGTTTTTGTTGATAAATAATCTCTTCAAATTTATAAATATCCTTGTTCATTTATTTAATCTTAAATATTTAAATTATATTGATTTCAATAACATAATAGATAGTAAATTAATAAGAATATTTAAACAGTAAGATTTTTTTTATTAGGCTTTGTTTAAAGTTACTAAGAAAGTTAATAACTTTAGACAAAAAATTTTTTATTAGGCTTTCTATTATATGAAATTAATTTTCTCTTAGAATAAATATTATCATTTTTATTTATATAAAGTATTCATAATATAAGTTAAAACCAAAAAAAAGAATAATCATTCTATAATCTTTTATTTAATTTAATTCAAAATATAATATTTTATTTTGCTGTAATTCAGTTAACTCATACTCTTAAAACATTTTTTGTATTAATTAGGTTTTTGTTGATAAATAATCTCTTCAAATTTATAAATATCGTTGTTCATTTATTTAATCTTAAATATTTAAATGATATTGATTTCTATAACATAATAGATAGTAAATTAATAAGAATATTTAAACAGTAAGATTTTTTTTATTAGGCTTTGTTTAAAGTTACTAAGAAAGTTAATATCTTTAGACAAAAAATTTTTTATTAGGCTTTCTATTTTATGAAATTAATTTAAAAAAATACTATCTTAGAAAAATGCTTACTTAATAAGTGCTTTTATAAATTTCAACATAAAAAACAATATATTTATTTATTTCATATAATTTATTTAGAAAGAAAGCTGAAAATTAAATCTCAAACCATAAGTAAATAAATTCTTATTGAGCTTTTTTAAATTTTAAAAAAATTAAAAAAATATTAAGAAAAGTTGGGTAAAAATTTAAAACATACTAAATGCTAAAATATTTTATTCTAAAAAATATAAAGCCTTTATAGCTCAGTTGGGAGAGCGTAAGACTGAAGATCTTACGGTCCTCGGTTCGATCCCGAGTGAAGGCAATTTTTTATTATTTATATTTTCAAGCATTTTTGAAATAAAAATTTGATAAATACCTTGATTGATTTTTAATTCATAAACCTAAGTTTAGCTAGCAGCTAAACTTTAAATTTTATTAAGATAATTGTTAAATTTTTAAAGCTAACATTTTTATGATTATTTATAAGCATTTAAAGATAATATTTTCTTAATATATCATACATACCTTAAATCCTCTTAAATTTTTAAAAAAACTAATAATATTTACTTAATTTAAAATAGTTAAATAAATTTTATACTACACCAGACAGTTTTTGCAATCATAGACATAAAACAATCAGTATTTATTAGTAGATATTCTAATTGCTATTAAATTAAAAGATACTGAGTCTGAATAAAAAAGTTTAATTCAATTAAAAAACAATAGTATTATACTTTTAGAAACAATTATTAATATTAATGAGTTCTGAAATTAGTAAAACAGATTTAAGCAATTTAGAATCAAATACAGATTCTATGAGCGAGGCTTAGAAGGAAGCTTAATTAATTGGGTTTGCTGTAGAACCTAAGCTTGACTGCCCTCATTTTGAATAGCTTAATGTTATCACTTTGACAGAAGTCTTTAATGATATGACATTAGAAACTTTAAATAAGCCTTGTAAGACTTGTAACCATATTGGAGAAAACTGGATTTGCTTACATTGTACTGACATATTTTGCTCTAGATATATAAATAAAGATATGGCTAAACACGTTGAAAGCAATTAAGAGCACTGTCTAGTATTTTCTTTTTCTGATGGTAGTTTTTGGTGCTACAAATGTGATAATTACATTTCAAATAAAACTATTAAGGATCTTTAGAAAACATTTTCAAAGGTTAAGCATGGAGGATAAGAATCAAATGAAGAAGAAGAAGAAAAAGAAGATGATATTCATGCAATAGCTGCTTAACTTCTTTAGATGCATCTAAACAAAAAAGGTTAAGATGGTATTTAAGAAGAATTTACCTACTAAAATTTAATTGATGGTTTGAGAGATATTTCTCCTGATTAAGAGAAAAATTAAGATGACAAATACAATAACAGACAGTTCAATCGAATTGTGTTTTTGACTGGAGCAGGTATTAGTGTGTCTGCTGGTATTCCAGATTTTAGAACTCCTGGATCTGGTTTATACTCCCAACTCTAGAAATACAAGTTGCCATATCCTGAAGCAATTTTTGAAATAAATTATTTCAAACATCATCCATAGCCATTCTATACTCTTTGTAAAGAATTCTCAAGTTGCGGATCTCACTTTACTTCTAGTCACTTCTTTATAGCTGAAACTAATAGAAGAAATCGTCTTTTAATTAATTTTTCTTAAAATATTGACGGATTAGAACTAGAAGCAGGACTTCCTGAATCAAAACTAGTTTAAGCTCATGGTCATTTTAGAACAGCAAAGTGTGTTAACTGTAAAAAAGTTGCAGATATTGAATTATTCAATGAAGCAGTTAAAAATGATAAAATATGTTATTGCAAAGAATGTGAGGAAGGTATTGTAAAACCTGATATTGTTTTCTTTGGTGAGAGTCTTCCATAGAGTTTCTTTTAATAAATAGACAGCTTAAATAAGGCTGATTTGGTATTCGTCATGGGTAATAAATACAATATTTTTTTTTAAAGTTATAAATCTTTTAAAATTTAATATAAATAGGAACTTCTCTCAAAGTTTTTCCATTTGCAGCTTTAGTTGATTTATTCAAAGAAGATGTCCCAATAGTATTGATTAATAGAGAAAACCCTGGAATAAAAAGAAGAAGATTCCTATTTTTAGAAGGTGAAATAGATGACAATGTAGAAAAAATTATGAAGGATATTTCTTGGGATTTTCCTGAAATTAAAAGAACATACCCTGAAGGAACTGTATTAGAGAAGAAATAAAACCTTTGAATAAGAAATAATGAATTAATAAATAAACAAATATATTACCTTTAAGCTATTATTTCACTATATAAACAAAAACAGATTACCATCTCAATCTAAATAAATAAATAATTAATTAAATTAAATTCTAATTATGTTGAGTTATTAAATTTATTTCAAATTATATATATATAAATTTAGTAAGTTTTTGTTTTAATTTTTAAAAAGCGTTTTCAATTATCAGTTAAAAATATTTTTATGTTCCTAATTTATTTATTTATTGTATTTTAGATAATATTCATTTATTTTTATGTATTTAAATAGTTTGTTTTTTTTAAATTTAAAAGAAGACTTAAAAAATAAAATAGTTTCTTTTAAATTAATACCAGAATATATGTTTTTTTAATTCTTTTATTCATTTGATGTGATAATCTGAAAGATTTTTTACAACATAAGCATAAAAGTTAATACTGTTTTATTCTATGAAAACTGGATGTTATTTTATAAAATAATCTATAAATTAGTTAATAACTTAAAAGCTTACAGAGTTAAATAGTGAAAATGAATATTTATTTGAGAAGTTTCTATAAATTAATAAAAAAAAACCCAAAATTGTTTTTATGAAATAAATTAGAAATATTTCTAATTAAAAAAATTCTTTAAAAAAAATTTATTTTAAATTTTTATTTTTTAAACTTGATTTTGAATATAAAAATTATATAAATTAAACATATTCAAAATGAGAAATTAAATCTTTTATTTAATAATAAAATAAATCAAAGCATTTAGCTTAAAAAAAATATTTAGAGTTGTTTAATGTAACCTTTAATAGCAATGAATTTAGATAATTAGGTAAATAAATGATTAAGATTAAATTAAGGATAAACTTATCTTCAAACAATATGATATTATTTAAAGGATTATTGTATTTAAAATAAAATTTTTTAATTTAGCTATTTTAATGTTTAGCTTATGCCAAATTATAAATATAAGAAACTTGATTTGATTATTGAAAGAAGAATAAAATTTTTTGATACTAGGATAAAAGATGCTATATATATATATATATTACAAACTTATAATTAAAATAATTTTGTTTAGTTAATTTTAGTTAACATTTGTCTATTTATTGATTTAGGTAATTTTTGAGAAGAAATTGAAGAAAAGGAGAAGACTAAATAATATTTTTATGTAGATAAGTAATAGTTAGTTAGTAGTTATAATTATCAGTGTTTAATTTTTTGTACTCTAAGTAAAATTAATCCAAATTGTTTTATTGATACATCAAGATATTGTTTTTATAGGATTTAAACTTTTCTAAATCATTTAGCTTAATTGTTTTATTGAAGGTCTTTGGCTTTCATTTTCTTAGAGCATAGACTTAATCATACCAATAAACCAAGGGTGGAATTTCTTTTTTTTTGTAATTTCTTCAAGCTTTTATAAAATTTATTATGGGGCTGGCTGCTTGAGAACATCTTCTCCGTACAACAAAAATAATCCTAGCTTAAAAACTCTTTTGGACATACCTTTTTCAATTTCTTCTCTGTCATGACAAAGGTAACAATTAAACATATCTTTCGGGAAAAAATCTATAAGCTGAACTATTTCTTTAGGGAATTTTATGTGTGTGCTTTATTTAAATTGTCCTTAGCTCTAATTAAGATAAAATAATTTTATAAAATTGTTAAATTAATTAAGAGAAATTTACATCTTGTTGTTGGAGTTAATGTTTTTCTATTCTAAGCTGCAACTTTGGTCTTAATTTAAAATTATTAGGAGGAGATATAGGCGAAGGCATTTCATTTAATATCATATTTTTAGGAGGATATTCAATTTTTCTGCCTATATGGTTAACTTATTCTTCATCATCTTCATTGTTCTAAGTTGGAACCTAAGAGTTCTTGTTTATATTATTATCAGTGTTAGAAATTTCTATTCCAGAACTAAATTTAGACTTTTCAGTCATTTTTGTATTAATGCACAGGTTTTTTTTCAAATCTCTAATTTTTTATCTATCTTAATCTGTAAGTTCTTCATTTTTTTGATCAGACTCTGGTTGATTCTCTACCTAATTATTTTCTTCTTCCTCTTCTTCTATCCTTTCTATTTAATTTAACAAAAAATATAAATTCATTCTTCTAAAATCTAAAAAATACTTCAAAATTAGTTTTATTTTGATTACTATTTAATCAAAAAAAAAAAAATTCCTTTTTTTTATTTTTCTTATTAACGAAGAAAATTAAAATATATTTTAGTTTTACCTGGTACTTTAATAGTATTTATTAAGGAATTTTCTTTGTTTTTTTTTATTTCTGTAATAATTTTTATCCTTTAGTTTTCTTCTTGCTCTGAAATAGGAGGATTGAAAAATTTATTTTTTTGCTAAAGCTTCATTGGGGAATCAGTGTAATCTTCCTCGACAGTTGTTGCATGTAGAAATTCTTTATTGTTTTCTATGTCTTCTAATAGGACAATAAGATCTTTAGTGAATTTATACAAAGCTTCAGTTTATAAAGAATATGAGGTTTCATTTGTGGCATCTATATCTTTCATAGATTTGAGACTATTTAGCTATTAGAATAGGTTTGCTCTAATGGTCGTTGGAGAAACACCATTAGGCTGATCATAATCCTAGAGTGATGATAATGTTTTCATGGGTCTTTTAGGTAAATTAGTAATTTCATCTTTTAATTTTGTCATTTAAACTCCTTAAACAGTCTCCATACAAGATGGCATCTTATCGAACTCAGAACCTTTTTCTGAGAAAAATGGATGTTGTAATGCATCCTTTGCGCTAATTCTTCTTCTAGGATCTTTTTGGAGTAATTTTCCAAGCAAATCCAATGCTTCTTAACTAATCTAAAATATTTAAATTATTTAAAACTTTATCTTGCTTAATTAGTTATATTTACTTATTCATATCTAGCACCAGATAGTTGTATTTAACAGAGTTTATTTTTTTCTAGAACTTAAGAAAATTTATTGCCTGGGAAAACTGTCTTGCCTGTCAGCCTGTTTAAAAAAGTATGAATTCAAAAATGAGTTTTTTATTAGCAATAAATTAAATTATTTACAGTATGTGGAATATGACTCCGATAGAAAATAGATCACATTTCTCATCATATCTATGGTTTTCTGATTCATTTGCTAATATTTCTGGAGCGACAAATCCTGGAGTACCAACATGAACATATATATATTTTTAAGACTTTATAATTTGTGCAAGTCCAAAGTCGATAAGCTTTAACTAGCTTAGCGCTCCTGATTAGCTAATTGTAAACATAATATTTTAAGGCTTTAAATCACGATGCATAATTCCTTTTGAGTGAACATATTCTAAACCTTTAATTAATTACCCTAAAATATGCTTAATCATTTTGTATGAAAATTAAGGATTTTTATATTTTGCTATTTCTTATGATAGCGACTTTGATTCATCAAGCAACTCAGTCAATATATAATATCCATTTGTATCTTAAAAGCAAGCTACTAATTTTAGACAATTTGGGTGATCTAATTACCTGAGAATATTTAATTCATTATCAAGAGCAGCCTATTTTAAATTGTATGAAAAATTAAATTTACTTACTTACTTTGAAATATTTGTGGTAAAATTTTTGTTACTCTTTGTTTATTAATAAGTCTTAAGAAAATTTATAAATAAATTTTTAAGTTTTGCCTTAAATGAAAAATTTAATTATTTTATAATGAATGGATGGATATTTTAGATAGGGAGGTAATAGTCAGACAGACGACGGTCGTATTTTCGATAAATAAGTAAGTTCCTTATTTAGAATTAATTGAAAGAATCACATGACAATCAAGAAGCAATTAATTTAGAGGGTATTGATTTTATTTTGTAATTAATTAATTGATCCATTAAAAATTTCATCATACTTAATGTAAATATTTGCTAAATTAAAGCAATTACATTAATAAATATTTCTTTAACTCCTTAATTCAGTATGTTATAATTATACTTTGTTATTTTTGTTTGTTTGTTTGTTTATTTGAGATGCCGCTCAAGTATAATAAAAGTATGCTTTTGAAGTAATCAAAAGCTTTTGTTATATTGATTATAAATTTGGTTAATTAAGATAAGAAAGGTGTGTTTTCATTCACAAAAGATTGATTTTATGTGGAAAGTAATTGCTTTTACTAATAAAGTGCTTATTTTACTTACATTAAGCTTAATATGCTTAAAAAGTATTAAAAAATAAAAATTGTTTGAGCTATCTTGAAACTATTATCCAAATATTTATTATTTTAATATGATGATTTTATTGGATTTCTGATAATTTGAAATTTTCTGTAGACTTATTTAAATATTTAAACTAAAAGTAGATAGTAAGTCATGTAGTTTTTTTACCTCGCTATCGTCTATGTCTTTCATTTTTCTCTTGTGCAAGTATTTTACAGCGAATAACTCACCTGTATCTTTTCTTTTTACCTTGTAAACCTTTTAGTTAAATAAAATATTTTTAAGTTTTAATACAAAAAATCAGCAATTTTTTTGTTTTTTTGTTTTTTTTTAGATAACTAGGCTCAAAATTATATTAAAGAACTAAATAAGTATGTATGGAGATATTTATTTTTTTACTTTTGCATATTTTCCTTTTCCTATTTTGGTGATAATTTCGTATTCATTTAAGAAATCTGCTTGAAAGATTTACTTCTACAGAAAATCCAAGAGACAAGTCATAATTATATTATCGCCGTAAAATTAAGTGATGCTTTCATCTTTATCATTCAAAATACTAAAACCAATCGCCTTTTCTTTAAAAGGACGATCAATCTTTTTAGGGTTGTAAATCCATTTTATGGTATATCTTGTGTTTAATTTAATTATTTTTTCAGGCTTTTTTTGATAAGGTTCCTATTTATAATTTAAAATAAAATATAAGATTATCACTACATACTTAGCTATTTAGAATTTTTTTTTTTGTAATAGCGAGTTATGCTACTACATTTAGATTTATTGATCTTATGAGTTTGATATGAGAAAACTTTGAAAAAATATACTTTGCAGACTACGATTTTGTCCCTGGCAAAATAAACATATCTTAGTACAGAGTGCAAAAATTTCCTTTTTGTTAGTCTAACTTCAAAGGAGCAATCTGAATAATCATATCCTCCCCTCTTTTCAATATTCATGCTTATTTGTCAAATGCCAAAATATAAAAATTTATTGTGTTTTTGAATGAATAATGATTAAATAATTAATCTTTTTGTTATTTTTTAATTAATTAGCTAATTAATTTCTAATCTTGAAATGTTAATCTACAAATTTATTAACCTAATATCTTAGTTTTTCAGTGCTAATTTTTTATTTCTTACAATATTATTTTTTTTAATTTTTATATTAACTCAACTATCCTTGATAGTAGCTATTGTTTAATGTGCAAATACACTTGATGCCAATTAATTATTAATTTAATTATTTATTTATTATGGAAGTAATTAATTCAATATTGCGCTTTTAGATCAAAAAAATTTTCAGCCAATAATTACTTATGAAGGTAAGTAAATAGAAGTATTAAATAGAACCTAATTGTGTTTTTTATTTTCAAAATATTTATAGATCACCTAACAAGCAATCAATCAATTAATACTTAACCCTTATTTATGATATCTCTCTTTTTACTTATCTTTTTAAATCAAAATTAAAAATTTTTCCTTTTCAACATACAATTTTCAGGTTTAAATATCATTCACATTATTTTTCGATTATTTTTGTTTGCATATTAACAACTATCTTTCTTTCTTTGTTTCTTTCTTTATATTTATTAATCCATCTATTTATTTAACTTTTTGATTTCCCAGCAGAAATCTCTTAATAGATTAAGATAAAATTCTACAATTTTTTTCATATTATTTTTAAATATTTTGGCTTAATTTTGTAAACATTATGTGTTAAATATATCATATAAAATAGATGCTAAAAATATTAATTCCATCTATTAATACAATACAGATTACTTTATAATATTATAAATTGAAATCTAAATAATTTCTATACAAAGTTATCAAATTTTAAATAAAATATATTTACAAAAATAAATACAAATATTTATAAATAATGTAATAAATTAAAATTGTTCAAATTAATTATTTCAAATCATATATAGATATAAAGAAAATTAGACAGGAAGGAAGGCAGGCAGGAAGACAGACAAACAGACAGATCGATAAATATCATAGTACTGTTTATTTCCTTAAAATAAATTATAGTCTAAATCGAATAATAACTATTGCGAATTTAATTAGTGTCACTAGGACTAATCGGATTTCACATATTCAACCTAATTCAAGTGAAAATGAATCTAATTGAGCTAGTCTGCTTTATTTTGTATGATTTGGTATAGATTCTTAAAATCGCTCTAGTCTTACTCATCATTGAAATCTACATTCTCTTTCATTAGTAAATTGTTATCCTTTTTAATTAAAAGTAGGTTTAAATCTTCTCAATCAAAATTTATCAATATATTTTTAAAAATTACTTGGTAAGATAAAAACACTTAGCCTATACCCTTGTAGTGTAAAAATGTATTTGGATTTGTAACATCTGGACAAAAATCATGTTCTATGATAAAATCTCTCAACTCATTCAGAATCTATGAGCTTAAAACTTTGATTGGAGTAGAGTAATCAAAGCCTAATTAATATCTAAAAATAGATTCATTTATAAACTGCATATAGTGCATTTGTAAAGAATTAGGTCTAGTCAATTAATTTATGCTCTTGATAAATTCAGAGATAATACTACTAGGAAAGCTTAACCAATAGATATGCTTTAAATTTATTTTTTAAAAAAAAATTTGAATTTTTATGTAATTTATAATAAAGATTTTTTATTAAATTTACAAATTTGATCTAAAAAAATATTGAGTTAATTGTATTTCAACTAAGCTGAAAATTATTGAATGAAAAAAAAAAACAAATCTTTTTATCTTGTTATGAAAATTAATAAATAAAATAATTTACAATTCTAAAAACACCATCAGGGATCCAGTTCTTTTGGAACTAAACTATGAAAAAATCTAAGCAATTTATGTCTTTATTAGAAAATGACTTAGCATATACAGTTTGTTCATAGTATTAATTCTTATCGAATGTGCCATAATTAATCATGTTGTTATTTATTTGTGTAGAAGTGGAAACTCCTAACTAGTCCACAGTATCTATTAAATTTAAATTGTTATTCATCTAATTAACGTTTAGCACGCTGTTGTTTGTTTAATGAGATTGCTAAGTGTTCCAATTTTAAGAATAGCTGTTTAGCATACTAAAATTAAATTTTTCATTAAAAGTCTCTTATGTTACTGCCTTCTAATCAGGATTCTTTTTAATCATCTCTAAGAGATTCTTCCTAAAAGACGTAAGGAAATTTTCAAAATTTTATTTGAGTTTTTCCATGCTATTTTAATTTTATCTGCTTTAATGTGAATCTGTTGGGGATATTTGTAAGCATATTTTCTTAGAGCATTCGTTCATTATGCTTTAAATGCTTGGTTCTTCATTTTTACCAATAAGTAAGTCATAGTTTTTCAATTTATCCTAGATACCTTCAGTTTAAATTAGTTGCTATTTCTTCAAAAGTTTACCACTCTTATCATCAATAATCAAGAATTTGTAAAGTATCTTTTTTATTTTAAAATTAAATTTAGAAGAAGAACATTGTTTGTAAATTCGATTAATGATTTGTTTTGATATTTTTATTATAATTTCTGGCACTTGTAAATAATTATTGTAAATTAGTCAGTAAAAATTATCGTAAAATAAGTAAATAATACAGTAATTAAAATTTATCTAAATTCTTTTATTATTTTAAAAAGTAGACAAATAACTTAGAGATTTTCATAAAAATGTAACAAAAGTAAATGAAATTTATTTTCTTTGTTATTTAATTTCATTTCGTAGATAGAAATAAAGAAAAAAATTACTGAAGGTATTGAGTCTGTGCTATTACTTGGTTCTTGTTTTTTTTTCTTCTTTTGCATCTTTTCGTGGTCTATGAGAGTAATATTTTGACTTGCATCATCAAACTTAATGAATTGATAATAATTTCCTCTGATTAGTTTAATCTCCTTAAGCGCTTACGGTTTATGAGGTATGTTTTCTTTGTTTTCAACTATGATTTAGAAATTCTAAGTTTATTATTTTTACAATTATAAATTTTTTCATTTTTTCAGTAAAATTAAAAAGTCAGTTACGTTTGCCAATCTATAACCAACAATAGCTTCCAAGAAATGATTCGCGTCTTAGTGAAATTTTTATAGTGGCTTACCCTTTTAATATCTGTTAGGAATATAATTTGTGAAAATAGGAGGGAGAAATGGAATAACAATGCTCTTCCAGAATCTCTCTATTTCAAATAAGAGCTGATGCTAAGAATTCTAAACTCTATTTTAATTAAAATTATAAATAATCATATAAGATTACAAATATTATCATTAAAACAAATATAAATATATATATTTAAACTCTAAAATAATTAAATTTAAATCAATTGATAATAGAATTAAACATAAATAATATTGTTTCTATTTTTAAGTTATCAAAAAATTAATTTTACAAGAAATATTCTACAATTTTCTTATCTTTAAATTATTTATTTCATACTTTAAAAATAATAAATTACTTTATCTTTTATTGAGGATTGAGATTAGTAGGTATTTATTGAAATAAACTAAGTTATCCAAATTAAGGCTTCAGATAATGAGAATCATCTATGTTCATTTATACATTTTCGAAATCTCTCTTGGTTTTTTCATCATAATTGTTTTGAAGCCAATGCATTTTACTGGATAGGTAAGCCAATTCTAATCTTGATCTGTTATGAGATTTAATTTATTATTGGTCATCTTTTTCAGGGTAATTATCTCTAAATATTAAAATAATTAATTTATTCATGTTAAAAATATTAATAAGCCATTTTATTACGCTGGTTTTTCGTATTATAAAATTGAGCTAGTATGTGATGGTGAAGAAGCTAGGTTAAGCGGTGCTTCATCTCTAAAAGTATGATTTAAATCTTTTCTAGTATACTCATATGTTGTGAAGATGTTAATTTCATTATCCAAGCCGTTATTGAATAAATCAGTTTAAAAATTACAAGATTATACATATTTAGATTACTAACTTTATATTGGATTTATTTATGGACTAAATGACATACTATTTGACACACTGCTTAATTAATCATCTTTTATTTCATCACCACTATAGTTGTAAAAAGGTGAACTTTAATTAGCTACAATAGCAAAATTATTTGACTAGTTTCTACATATCTTTATTTCATTTAATTTGTTTTCACCTCCTTGAACTATTCATAAATATTTAAAATATAAATAATAATACTCATTTATTAGTCAGATATTTATTCATAAAAATTATGTTTTATTTGAACTATTTGTAAATGATTAACTTATATAAGCTCAAAACTTTTACCTGATTGGAGTTTGAATATTTCTTCATCCTACTTTTTTACTTCTTGTAAAATCAATTGTCTTTATGATTTATTTGAAATAGTTGCATTTTCATCATTCGAATGCTTAGATTCAATCAGCCTTTTCACTAAGTTTTGTACTTTCTGATTTAGATCATTCTAAGGAGGTTCAAGCTTATTTTATTCAATAGCCTTGACTGTCATATAATTAATTTCTTTTAAACGGAAGTCTTCTTTAAAAAATTTAGTCTAAAGAGAAAATATAGGATCGATATACATTGACGAATAAACCAATTCATGGCCTTTATAGATGTTTTTAAATAAAAATTACATTAATTAAATATTCAAAATATTATCTACATTTCATTGCATCATCAGTTAAGTTACTCTTGCAAATCCAATAAGGCTGAGCCGTTTTAATAGAATTTATTTAGCTCTACCTTGACTGGTAGTGTTGGTTTAGCTCATCATTAAAAATATAATGATATTCATGGTTGCACTTCAATTCTGTTAAAAATTTTAATTTATAAATTATTTAAAATAATTTAAATTTGTTTTTATTTTTGAATAAATGAAATTTTTTTCTTATTTTTTTTAAAGAAATTTAAATTTTAAATCTCGATACAAATTTTATTTTTTAAAACCTAAATAAAATTTTAATATTTTCCATTTGGAATAAGTTTATATTTAAAATTAGTTAGCTTTAAAATACTTAATTCAAAAAAAAAAGATAGAGAAGTAAGTTTTATGATAAAATAAATTTCAAAAATTAATTTTGTTTCTTTTGATCTTGATTAAAACTTTTTGTAATGTGAATCAATCAATCAATCGATCAATAAATTTATTAAGTAAAGTCTATGATTATAAATAATAAACTATTGATAATTACTTAAGTTTGGAAACATTTGCTCTATTTTCTAGTTATCTAACTTAATAAGATTATTTAAGGTATCACTAAATTAAATAAATCCATAGTAACTCCTAAAAGACTCTGGTAATTTAGGCATTAGCTCGCTATGAAATTGTTTATCTTGAATCATAGAATTTTCAATACAATTATATAGCAAATTTTCCATATACTCTTGCTTTCTGATTATATCTTAAGATTCCTGTATTGTTTTATTTTATGGACTTACTGGAAAAATGATCTGAGTAGTAATTTGAGAGGCATAGGTTTCTCTTAGAGATACTTAGGTGCAACGAATATCATGAAGTAGAAGAAGATTCTTAAGCATTTTATATAAGCCTTAGTCTGAGTAGTATCTAGTATCACCGCAAGTGATATTAATAATATTATGACCAGTTTCTGTCAAGGATCTTGAAATATAGTGCTTTGTAAATTATAAAGAAACCACACTTAAAGCTTCTAAGAAGTTAGACTTGTAACTATATGAAAGCTCACATTCAATTGGATAGCACTCAATTTTCCTCTAATGTCTACAAGAAATTTGCCTTCTAGTAGAGTGAGTACTCTCTCTTTTTACTTACTTTGAGCTAGATTCTTAATGAACAGTGACAGTATTTATTTTTAGAGATTTTATTTCTAATTTTTTATTTAAATATTTTAATTATTTTTATTTCTGTTTCATAAAAAAATAATTCTTAAATGCTTGATTTATCATCTCGAAAATATATTTTATTTATTTTTAATTGAATTTTATAATAATAATAATACATTTAAGATTTCATCCTTCATTATTAGTTTATATTTTTAATATTAGCTTTTTTATTATTTACCATAGCAATAAATTATACTTTGTTTTTTATTTTTTAACAATAAAAGAAATATTTTTTTTAAATAGAAAATATTTGTTTGTACATTTATTTTTAAATATTTTAGTTAATTTTCTGAGATTACTTTTTAATAAATTTAATTACCATTATTCGGGTTTAATAGATTAGGAGATGAATTGCTTTGGTGAATATCAGAGTTCGAAAGATATTAATTATAGCTTTAGATTATTTTTGTTGTGATAGGGTTAACGTTTTTTTTCCAGTTAATTACACATAAAAATTCATTGAAAGCATGCCATATTTGATTTAAATTTTTTTCTATATTCTTTTAACCTAACTTGAGGACAGTTTTTCTATAAACGTCCTAAAATACCTATCTTTCATTGTTAATTTAGAAGCAACTTTAAGAATCCTGAAAACCCTATATGACTCCAGAGTCCTTCGCTTTTAGATCTATCTTTAATTAAATAAGCTATTTAATTGAAGGTCTTCAAATGAATTTACTAGTTCTTTATAAGCTTACTCCAAGCTATTAAATTAAGGATAGAAGAGTCTACCATATAAAATGATATCTAAATTATGGTTTGTGTTAAAGTATAAACATCTTGAAAAGAAAACCCTTAAAAATTTATAAACCTTTTCCCAGTATATTTCACCATAACCATCAAACTCAAATATTTCTTTATTGATTTCAATCTATTTAATTAAAATACTTTAATATTTTAAAATAATATTGTAGTATCATATACGAGAACTGAATATCTAGAGCTTTGACTTCTGTATATCTTTTTTGTTTATGAAGTAATAAAGCCTGAATAAACAATCTTATCATTCTTCATCATATTCATGGTTAAAAGACGCATGCCATTATAATTTATAATTTTGTTTGTATAAACTACCATATTATCTAAATACTAATCGATATTCCTTAAATCTCTCCTCGATATAAATTAATCCTTAAAAGATACTTCAACAAAGCTAAGAGCATAAGATTCTATTTCTTATTAGCTAATTTATTTTATAGTATCCTATATAATAATTAAAAAAATATGTTCTATTTCATATAAAATTAACCATTAAAATAAAATGAAATCTTCTAAAACAAACCAACACATTAGCGAAAAAAAATAAAAACACTTTACTTCAAATTTATGATTTTATAATTGAATTTAAAATAAATTTGTTAATCTTCTTTATATTGATATTTCGAAACCTGTATTCTATGGCTTAAAGCTTTTTTAACTAACTTCCAATATAAATTTCTTTTCTTTATCTGTTCCTATTTGCAAATAAACTTTCTTTTTATTTTTGATCTATTCTTTCAGCTACGAATAGTTCTCTTCTGAAATAAGAATGTCCTCCTATCATTTAATACCAATTTGAATTCTTTTTTTATTTTTGTTTTTTTAAAAATTATTTGAAAATACTTCTTCTTCTTGAGGATGAGTATTGATGAAGAGTTTCTTCTCAAATTGATTTTTCTCATCCTCTTTAGGTTTATTTTCTGGCTTTTTAAAAATGTTACCAAATCTGTTTTTTAAGACTATTATTTTTATGTTTGTAATATTATTAAAACTTGATACTAAATAAATCTAAGAAATATTTTTACACTACTATCTGTTCATGAATTTGATCAGCAAAAAATATAATTGTTTTTGACTTTTTAATTAAAATGTATTCTTTTTTTTGACTATATAAATTATAAAAATGGCTAATACCTATATATATTTTATCAAAAACGAATGATTGATAGATAGATATATTGATTGATCAATTATTTTATATTACTTTATTAATCAGACAGAATCAATTATGCCTAATTAATTCAATTAAGTAAATATCTTGTGAATTTATTATTCTAATTTTCAACCAGATTAAAAGCTGGGGAAATTTGTAATTTTTAATAATTATTTATTTCAAATTTTTTTCAAAAAAGGAAAAAATAAAAAGAAACAAATAAAGAAAGAGGAGCGGAGCGCCCTTCTAAAAATATATGAGTATATTTATAAAAATATGAGTTAGAATGAAAATTTTTAATACTACAATCCAGCAATATTCCCTACACAACATCTAGTTTTTAAATAAAATATTGCAAATGACCATATCCAAATCACTCTAACTTATATTCTTTATAATTAATATTCATCTGCTCTAGAAATATCAAAATCATTCATAATAAAAAAAATAATTAATACAATAATAGTGCTCTTCTCTCTTGTAATATATAAATAGTATTTTTTAAAAACAGGCAAATGATAAAGAAATAGAATGCGAACACTTTTAAGGTCTTGAGATTATGAACAGTAGATCCTAAAAAATAAATATAAATAAACATTAAAAAATATAAATAAAAACTTAAATAAAAAAATTAAATAAATAAAATTAAATAAATAAATAAATAAAAATAATAAATAAGATAAAATAAATAAATAAATATAATAATAAAAATAAAGTTCATAAATAAAAAAATAAATAATAAGTGCAAAATAAAATTAAATAACAATAATAAATTAAATATTAAATTCAAGAATGCATTTTTTTTACACTATTCATGAAAATAAACAAACATACATGTTTAACTGTTTCTTATGATTAATTCTTATAGCTAAATATTTTGAAAAATTTTAATTTTAACTTTTTTCTAAGAATATATTTTTATTTAAAAATATCGGATATTTTACTCCAGTGTGGATCAACACATTTATGAAAAAATCTTTCATTTGTGTGTAAATTAATCTTTATAACTATTATAATTTCTAATAGAACAAGTTATTTTGAGCAATATTTTATCTATTTTAATTCTTAAAGAACATTATTAGTTTAATTTGATATAATATTTGGTTGAAAGTAGATTTAACAAGATAAAAAAATAAATAAATAAGTAATTAATTAATTAATATTTATATATCATCTTTGTTATAATAAGTACAAAAATAAATTGAAAGTTGGTTACAAAATATTTAAGAATAATTTAATGTATAATATATTAGCTTGGTTAAGTCTAAATATGAGATATATGTATATATATGCATGTAAGGCAGGTAAGTTATTATAAAGCAAAAAATGGTGTTTAAAATTATGGAAAGGAATTTATTTATTTTATTAATTTGTTTTATATTAACAATTAAACTAATTTGTATGAAGTAATTAATCAATATTCTTTATTTATATCATCTGTAACCCAAATTTCATAATCAGCTATAATTTTTTTATAAGGATTATATTTAGTTTGTGCTATTGCCATTTCGTCAACAGTTTCTTTTCTTTCGTTATAACCATTTTCCGTGACCATGTTATCAAAAAGAGTAATTAAATTAGAGTCTTTTAGGTTGCGAATAGAGCTATTATCTAAGTTAATAATTGCATTAGCAATGTTTATTTTGAATCTTTAAATTCCCATAATTCTTTCTTCTAGTGTATCTTTTGTTATCATTCTATATACATTTAAAGTGTTTTTTTACCCTATTCTGTGTGCTCTGTCAATAGCTTGTAAGTCATTCATAGGGTTGTAGTTATGATCAAACATAATTACCACATTTGCAGAAGTGAGATTGAGACCTAAACCACCAACACTCGTTGTTAAAAGCATTATTTTGCATTCTGAATCTTCATTAAATTTATTTATGATAGCATAACGCTTACTAACCTAAACATTACCATCTAACTTTAAGTACTTAATATGGGAGAATTCAGTATTAAGCAGCTGATCACAAATTAATTGTAATGTCTCCTTAAAGCGACTAAAAATAAGCACTTTATTTTTATTTGTAGTTAATACTTTTTATTCTTCAGCTTCTATACTCTCTTTTTCTTCAAAGCCTAAATCAACCAAAAGTTGCTTCAAAGCAACGAATTTTCCACTTGCTGAGTATTAACTCAGTTCCTTTTACATTTCTAAGCCTCCAGCATTTCCTTTTAGTCTTTCTTACTTCTTGTATTGACAAGGATGATTTACAATTTAAATCATATGTGATAACATTCTAAGTACAGATTCTTGTATTTTACTACCCTGATCAGCATCTTCAAAGCCTTTAGTCTTGCTCCATTAGTCTATTTATTGCTCGAGATCCTGTTCACACTTGGTTATCTAACTCTTTTCAAGTTCTTCATAGAATTATTACTATTTAGGAGCCATGTAGCAATAGTAATCTTATATAATTTTAGGGGGTAATTCCTTAAGCACCTAATTTATATTAAATTTAAAACTTAAAAATAATTATAAACTTCATTTAAATTTACTAATTTTTTGTCTCTACGCAAAATAAAAGGCATAACCTTCTTGTGGAGGTCTTGCAATACTTTATTTTATTCTTCTGTGAAGAGTACTTGCTCATCAGAGAAATTTAGTACATTAGTGTGAAACAACTTTGAAAATTTTTCTCTAAAGTTCTTGGAGCTTCCTAAATATCCTGGCATTAAAAAGTCAAATATGCTCCATAGTTCTTGAAGATTATTCTAAATAGGAGTACCAGAAAGAAGGAATTTATGCTCCGACTAAATCGATCTTACAGCTTATGAGATTTTAGTATTTTAATTTTTAATTAAATGTCCTTCATCAAGAATACAAAACTAGTAAACAATAGAGTTCAAAGTCTCTATATGCTTATAAACCGTATTGTATGAAGAAATTATAATCTTATATTTATCTTTATTTTTCATAAATTCTATTTTTATTAAAATAAATTTAATTTTAAAAAAACAGAGAAGTAAATAAATAAATAGATTAGTTAAAATATTTAAATAGTTAAAGTTAACTTTTTAAAGATAATTTATTAATTTAAAGAATTTTTAAAGATAATTTATTAATTTAAAGAATTTTTAAATTATCTCTTTAACTAAAATGCATAATTAATGTGGGTAATAAAAAATTTGAAAGAAATTCTTAATTTCTACCAGAATACTTTTAATATTGAATATTTTATCTTTTAATTAAAAAAACTGTTTTTATCATTCAGAATTTTTAGTAAGATTTTATAATATAAAAAAGATTAAATTTTGTTTTAAAATAATTACCATCTATCTAGTTCTTACTATTGATGACTATTGGGTTCATGACTTATGGGTGCAAGAACTTTTGTATTTCATAATACCAGTGGTCAACAATACTTGAAGGAGCAACGATCAAGGAGATTTTAGGAGGTTTACCTTCGTTTAAGTCTTTTTATATTTCATTTTAAAGAACACAAAGGACTTGTAGAGTTTTTCCAAGACCCATATCATCGCATAGAGCACCGTTAAGGTTATATCTTGTTAAGAAGCCAAGCCATTTAATACCTTCCATTTAGTACTCTCTAAGCTAGGTTTTAGGCTAATAAAGGAGGTTGTATTGGAAATGAGAATTATTTTAAAAATCAAGAATAAACTAATTTCCTTTCAATATTTTTTTCTATAAAAATGGGTCGAGCATTTACGAGGCAACTTTATTCATATTTTACAAGAAAACACTTGTAATAATTTTGCCTAAGTTTTAAAATGCTAAATCTTTTATCACAGTGTTAGGAGAAGTTAAGCATTTAACTACTTATAAAACATATATACCACTATAATCAATAATATCTTTTGAATTATAATCGAGAATGTCAGTAAGTAGTTCAAATGCTATTTAATTTTATATTTTAAGCATAATAAAAAATCTTTTAAACATATCGTTTCTAATCGTTGTGACTTGTTGCTAATTTTGTTAAGCATTTCTGAAATCAAATCTAAAAGATCTTATCAACAAATTCTTAAATATTTTTCTAGAAACTTTATAAATTTTAGATCTTTTCTGTTCTGTTAAAACAGCAAAAGTTTTATCTGTTAATTCAATCATCTATGAGTTTAAGAAACAGATCAAATTAGACATGCTTTTTACTATATTACAAACCATATCAAAAAGCTTTAAATTCATTAAGCAATCCATCAGTTTGTAGATATTTCTAATATCAATTTCAAGTTAATCCCATAGAACTTAAGTAGTTGTATTTATATTCTTATTCTTTATCAACCTAATCAATGAAAACAAAAATAATTTTTAAAGGATAAATAGTTTAAAAAAATTACCATTTAGCATCTACCTGAATGTGATCGAACTTACTTATTTAGCTGAAAAGTATATCATTTAAAAATTAAAAATTACTGATCCCATTTTATTTCTCTACATATTTTGTAATTAAGTTATTAATTGCTGAACACTTACTGGCATATTTAACAAACTCTTTTTCGTACTTCTCAGGATCAGTTATACCATAGTGAGAAAATTTTTTACGAGAAGTTAACTTAGATATAGAATTTCTTAACAGTTTTTCTATTGTTTCGAACTTCTCTATTTTAAAAATTAAAGTAAAAAATGAAGAACTAACTAAATCGCTGATAATTTAAAACTTTTCAATCTAAACATATCTTGGAAGAGGTCTGCAAATAAGATTCATAGAAGATATCGGCAAGCCTTAGCAAACAAGGTATTGTATATATAAATAAATTGAAGCCATTTTTATCACAATAACGTAGTCTTCACTTCTCTCATTTAAATAATCAATATTTCTTATAATAGATTCCATATTTTAAATAAGCTTTTAACCCATTTCAGTCTAAACATTTAAATTGTCTATAAGTTACCTGCATTTTACAACAAGACTATCATATTATTATCTCTTTTCTCTCAAATCTATAATATTATAAAAATTTATTTTCTTAAACACAAAATCTAAATTTTCTTCTTTAAAATTAATTTATTTTTTTTGGTAAATTTTATTTAAAACAACTGAATTATTTCATTTATTTATTTAGTCGATTTTTTTAAAAAAAGCTAATATTTGGGAAAATTTAAAAAAAAATAATTTCAGATAATAGGTAAAACTCAATTTTTAAAATTACCTTTAAATGCTTAGTGATCTAGAATGTTTGTTATTTGTTATGAATTCCTAATTTTAGGAGCAGAGCTAGTAAGCTAGTCGATTGAAGATAAATATTAAAGTATAATTTGATCTTATGACTAAACTTGATCTACCCATAAGTCAAAATTTTTTTAATCCATAAACTATTCTAATTCTTGCTAAACGAAAAATTTTAATATAATTTTAGGGTCAGCATTATTTGATTCAATGAAATAAGCCATTAAGGATAATACAAAAATTATTTAAACATGATAATTAGGTTATTCCTCAACCTTTGTTTATACTTTGAGTGCTGCACATTATTTTTGTAAAAATTCTAAATTATTGACTGCTACTTTACACAAAGCAGTAATTGCTCTTTGCATACGCATAGTGTTATTATCAAAATATCCTAGATTTGAAAGTGATTTTATATAAAAATTATAATGAGGACGAAGCCCTTTTTATTTTAAAAATTCACAAAAAGATTCTATAATTTTATCACAGGATTAATTTGAAATAGCGACATTAATCAAAATAGTATGCCCTGCATTAATTTAGTCAGGTGTTAAATGCTTTTGTACAACTTTACAGAGATCAATTAATGCAAAAAAGTTAGATTCACTTTTTTCTATTACTAAACCTCTAACAACTAAATCATACAGCAACTGAATTTCTTCGTTGTTATCGATTCTCAAGTCTTAATATGTGAGTAAGCCCTCGTGCAATAAATTGTATGTTTCACGGCGAACTTCTTCTTCCCAATGAAAGAAGTATTTAAATAATTTTTTAATGTGAGGTGGAGAGAAATCTTTCTCTGTCATAAATCCCAATCTTTGACATTCTTAAAGAAGCGACATAATAGTCTTTATATTATAACTGATATCATCAAATATATCAACATAATTCCATAACTTTTCAATAATCAAAGAAATGAACTCCCCTTCATAAATTATCCAATCTCCCTCATGAACATAAATTAGAAAATTCTCAGAAAAGTGCATAATAATATCTTCATCTTAATTCTAATTGAGTATTCCTTCATAGCTTGACCTGAATAAATTAAAAATCTCCCTTCTATTAATAAAATACCAAATTTATTTAAAACAAATAAATTCAATTAAATCTTAAAAGATTCAAAAATAATTTATTTAAAAAAAAAATCAATAACTTATTAATAAAAATACCTTAGATCCTTTCGCTCATTGAGAAGTTGTGTGATTAAGACTAGAGAGGTCTGAGTAATAATGCGCTATCCTACTTAGTAAATAGATTTCTGTAAGAAATGCTAAATCTTTATGAGGATTTCATATCTAAATCTATCACTTATGTAGTTGCTATTTTTAAGAATCAAAGTTATCATGTCGCATGCAACTTTTCTGATCATAATATCACTTATCTTACCACTATAGTCTGTTAATTAATCTAATATTAAAATTATCATGTTTCTGCTTAAGTAGTTTTCTATTTTATCTTAAACATTCTATTCTGCACCTAGGAATTTTTTTAATTCAATCTAAAGTGTATTTAATATACTATGGAACAATTGATGCTAACTATTTTCTTCTAAGAGCCTTGGATCGATATCCTTTGTATAAATTTTATGTTCGAATTCAAGAAATTCTATGTTTTCTTTTAAGAAGCCTTTTAAGACCATTGCAGAATAATGACGTATTTCCCACGTTCTGCTCAGTAAATTTTTTAAACACTGTCTGAAGATGTTGTTAAATGGAACAAAAAGATTTAAACCGATACATTCTTTCATACTGATGTCATCTCCGTTTTCTTCCTACATTTATCCTTCGTTATCATTTAAATCATTCTAGCCACTCATTTATCTACTTGTACCCCCATTCGAATCTGTTTTTATTTTCTTTTTTACACTTTCTCCATATGAACTTTCTGCATTTGAGGTTCCTTACTCGTTATTAGAAGCTCCCTTTCTTTTGCCTTTCTTCTTATTGCCATTCGTAGATGATACTTAAGTAGACTGTGTGTCATCATCTAAAATTTATGATAAATTTTCCTAATCAAGCATGCTTAATTCTTTATGCTTGTCAGAAAAATTAACATTAAAGTGAGAGTTCCAAATACCTTGTAAATTAGTTGGATTTAGATCTGCAGATAAACCCATTTTAGATAAAATTTCTTCTTCTAACTCTCTAGATTCGCGCTATGACTATAACTAAACATCATAAAAACCTAATTCACGAGCTACAAGAGGATCTTCATGCTTAATCATATGATCATAATCAATATCGTTTACGGCAACATTCCATTTATTTTTTACTTCCTCAATTGTTTTCAAAAGATGAATGCCATTTTTTATTTGAGGAATTTCATTTTCAGCTTTTTATTCATTCTAGTTTGAGCTGCTTCCATTAGAATTTCCATTCTTCTTCCCTTTTTTGCTAGACTTTTCTGTTTTAGAATTTTTCTTTGTATTTTTCTTCTTGCTTGGTTTTTCTGTTTCTTCAACTTCCATTTAATTATTGGCTTTTTCTGAATCATTTTAAACAACCTATTATTCCAATTATGATAGCTGCTATTACTGCACTTTTTATTGCTATCTTAATAAATCCTTTTGCTCTTATTCAGGAGTGACTTTCTCCATGTGAAATAGACTTAATATATCTATATCTTCATCATTTGCTAGATCTGTATTGATAAACTTTTGAAGTCTTTGTGTGTAGTAACGATATGTTTTTTCGATGATACCTGCAGCTACTTACCTATGTTTTAATTACAAGTAGGAATCTTTAGTGGTAGAAAAGAGTAACCTCATAGCTTTCTTAAGCAAGTAGTAAATCGAAGAGGGTGAGTCCTTATATATTTCTACAATTTATCTCACACACAATTCGAACAAGCTCTCATTATTTTTATCTTAAAAAATATTAAAGATTTTATCAAGTTTAGCTTCCATATATAAAGCAATTAATTGAAATAAAAGAAAAGTTTTATTGAAATCAGCTATTAAGGTTCACTAAAACCTATTAAGTTAAGCTATGCTATGCTTGTATTTATATAGTATTCTCTTTTAAGTTTTATAAATAATCCTATTGGTTTATTTTTGAGAGAGATGTATTCTAATGGAGTTAGAATTTTGCCTAAGTAGTAGAGCTTTAATATATATATTTATGTATATATTTGACTTTCTTTCTCTTAAATGAATTAATAATTATAAAAATAAGTGTTTTCTAATATTTTTGTATTTTATTTATAAAGATAGAAACTACTTTCAAAATCTAATTAGATTTAAAATCCGTACCCTTTTTCTTGTCATTTTTCTCCCTTTCAATCTAATACTCTGTATACATACAATATTTTTTTTAAAGACAATATCATGCACATTCTTGTTTTATGTGTTCATATTTGAGTAATCTATTCATTTATTTATCTTTATATTTTTAAATATTTTAACATTTATAAACTAATTCTCTTTCAAAGTTGACCTGCATAAATTACTGAAAAACTGTTTATTTTTTATATATAATTTCTAATGTAAATAGATTAATTTTAAAACATTATTTATCTATATTAGAAAAATAAACTGTCTAGCAACTTTAAAACTATTTTTGCATATATTTTTACATTTATCCAAAAGCAGGTAATAAAAAAAGAGAGAATTAATTGAAATTGGATTACTTAAATAAAAATTGTTTCCAACAACTATGAATGAAATATTTTAAAAAAATAATTTTTCAATTCTTTATGAAAATATTTAGTAGTGTTTTTGAGTATACATACAAACTAGATTTTATGTATTTTATTAGATTTGATAAGGGAAGAATAAAAAAATATAAATTCAGAAAGAAATAATGAGTAAATGAATGAATTTTTGTTAATTATTAATGAAATTTAAAAGATTCTTGCTTGATTGATTAAGGAAATTTACAATAAAAGAAAGTTAAAATAAAAAATATTATCAAATATATTACATTAAATCTTTAGAATTTCTCAAAATTAAGCAAGAAATGCTTTTACCTAAAAACGCCATTTAATCAGCACGTTACTTTGAAATTTAAAAGATACCTGCTAAGATTGCTAAGAGTACTTGATTTATTTAAAAATATTTTAGGGAAAAACAAAAGCTAAATAATTTTATGTCAAGAATAAGAAATAAATACTATAGAATATATTTATAATTGATCAATTCATTACTGCAAAATATTAATAATTTTTATCAAAAATTATAAATATCATAGCTGCAAACGAAAAAATTTTGAGTGTTGGTGTTGCTTAGAAGAACAATATCTAACCTAAGACTGTTACAGCTCAAGGTTAAATTGGCTTCGTTCAACGTAATTAGTTTCTTTGATAAAATTAAAGCAGTTTAAGCTAATATAATTAAAGATGATTGCAAATAAATAAATATTATCTTTATCATAGTTTTAATTCTAGTATGCTTACTATAGTTATGATGATAGCAATATATATAGAGGCTTGATACTTTATGATAATTTAAATCTAATGAATATAAAATATATTATTTAATTCATTTTTTGCAATTATTTGAAGTGATATTAGCATCTTGAATTGCATATTTTTATATTAATTGTAATTAATCATGATACCTATTTAACATAGATCCTCAACTTGATAGCAGCTGCTAATATACTCAATTCTACACTCCTTAACGTCGTGATATCCGTGGAAGAGTTGCAAGAATCTATATTTAAGATACTAACCATATGCATGACAGTATTCATTTATTATTTACTGAAAAAACAACTAATTCAAAACTAATTATTAAATTTCTTAATAGCTCCTTAAATTCCTGAGGGATACAAGTGGACTCTTGAATTTGAAAGACAAGCCTAATATAAGACTCCTTGGATGGGATGGTAGCATTTTTTAAACTATAAACAATATAAACTCATAAACTATTATATAAATTAAGGTCTTTTAATGGTGATACTTTCTCTAAAAGAAACCACTATTTCTGTACCTTGGAAGATGCTATTTCTTACTGCAAACAAATGGGTATTTTACAATCATATTTCAAACTTTTAATGTAAATTTCGTATTTTTAAATAGGTTTCGGTTATGAAGTCTCATTCCCTCGTTCTCGTTATCACACTAGAAAGAGTAAATTTAAAATATTGAAACACTTTTTAATGAAAATTGTTAAATAGGTTATGCTGATAATATGCTCTGGCCTGGTCATGACAATGCTGTTGATGAAGACTGTTGATTTTGATTAAAAATTAGAAAGTAGTTTGTTCTTTCTATCTTTATAAAAAAGAATGCATTTGAAATGATAATTTAGAATCTTAATATCTTTAATTGTTAAATGTACAAAAGTATTTATTCACAGTTACCATTTCAAATTAATTAAAAAAGTTAAATAATGATATACTTTTAAGCATTTTTTTAGAAATTAATTATACTATACTCTACCATTAATCAATATTTATCTTCAAATTATTTTTATGTTGAATAAAATTGAGTTTATCTAAAAGGCCTAATTTACTAAATATTTAATAATTTACCTTTAAAAAAACTTGAAATTTAATAATGAATTTGTAAATAAGGAAGTAAAAAAATGTCAAATATTGATTTAAGAATTTTCTTATTAGATATAAAGATTATTTTTATGAAAAAATAGATCTATCTATTGTTACAAAAATTATTATTTAATTACCTGTGCCTCATAAACAAATAATAAAGAAATATCATTTTTTAAAAGGCAAAAAAAATTAAATTAATCTAAATTAGCAAAATTAATTTAATTTAATATTTAATAAATAAGCTTCAAAATCAAGTATCAAATTGTTAGAAACTATTAAATCAATATAAATCAATAGAAGAAGCTAAAATGAAAATAAACAAATAAATATTTTAAGCAAAATAGTTTATCAATTTAAATATATAATCAAATGAATAGATTTAATTTATCTTATAAAATTATAAAAATGAAGATGAAAATAAAATAAATTTATGCAGAATGACATGTTTGTTTGATGAGATTTTTTCTTATTTATTATTAATATATTGATCAAATAAAGTAAGACGAGGCATTTTTTAAAAAATATAGAATTTAGATTAAAATATAATCAGCTAAAGATAAATAAAACCCAATAAACCTTAGATGTATTTTTTATCAATTATTTATTATAGAAGAATCAAAAGAATTAGATTAATAAAAATTGTGATTTTTAAATTAGATTGTAGTACATGAACATAAATAATAGATTTAATTAGAGAATAATTTAAAATTCAACAAGTGCTGTAATCTTCAACACCTCTGTAATTTCTAAGAGTCATATAACGAACAACCATCAATACTCCTCCAAGCAATACTACAAACGGAGCTGGTAATTCATAAATATTTAGTAGCACGAAAGATATAACGACTAATAGAGAAGAAGTGACAACATCATCTTAACCAGCATTTCTCCAAAGAATGTATGTAGTAGCAAAAACAAAACCAATAGAAACTAAGCTAGCTCCACGAATAAAGTTGTTTATATTAGGATCCTTACGATGAGAGTGCCAATAGGGAAGAACACCCCATATAAATAAAAAGGTAGGAAGGTAAAGGAATATGTATGCAATAAAAGCTCCCTTGAACCCATCTGCAAATCCACCAACATAAACAGCTATATTCATAATTGGTCCTGGGATCATATTGTTAACTGAAAATCCATTAAAGAATATATCAGATGTTATCAAATTAAGGGCAGTAAATTCAGTAAAAAGCAAGGGAATACCAACATGACCACCTCCCATAAGGAGAGAACCAACATAATAAAATGAAATAGCAGCTTCAACATCCTTAGTTTTTAATGAAATTCTTAAAATGAGGAGTACGGCTAATATTATTATGTAAGCATACAAACTATTTTTTCCAAAAACTCCTCCTTGTTCTTACAATACTCTGCTAAAACGAGGTTCTGCAATTTAAATGGAGTCACGGCTTACAACAGATACACTTGTACGATAGTCTTCCTTTTAGGACATTTACATTATAAACCCTCCAATAATCATAAGGGCAAGCATAAAAATAGGTGATTGATATAAAATATATAAAACTAAACTTGATCCAATTATAAAAGTATCCTGCCATGAGACTTTCATTTGTGTACAAAACTTCCATGCAGCTTAAAATACAACTGAAACAGAAGCACTAGCAAATCCATGAAGAGCCAATTTTCCCAAGCATGGCACAACCAATTAATTTAACTATAAAATACGATAGATACAGCCAAATAAACCCATTATTAATGCACCAGGTAATGTAAGTCCTATAAATGCAAAAACTCCTCCCTTCCAATTATTAGTTACCAAAGAGCCTACAACAATAAAAAAAAATTAATATAAATCTTAATATTTATTAAAAAATAAATCATAATTAATTTATTAGTTTTTGTGTTTGTTTAAAATCCAAAGTCTTTTTTGTTAAGGCAAGAAAATAAATGAAACAAACTTTCTTTTTTTTCAATTTATTGATATATTTTTGCAATAGAATATAAATCTATTTATTATTGTATATTTAGTTTAGCTTGCAATAATAATATCATATTTATGATTTATATTTTTAAATAGAAGTGCTAATAATTCATTTTTATTGATACCTATTGCTATTGCAACTTATGTAATTACAGACCCAGGGATACCGCAACAAATTGTAAATATCTCAGTGAATAATTCTTCATTTACCCATTTGAGATCATCTACAAAAATTTTTTGTAAATCCTCTACTTAATTCATAGGTCCTCCAAAACTCTTACATCCTACATTTAGCATGATTTTAAGAGTTTCGAAATAACCTGCATCTGTTTTAAGATCTATTAACTCTATTTCATCTGCTTGTTCATCTATTTAATTTTCATCTGCGTTATAACGCGATTTAACAGGGTATTCAGTTGTCAATTATTCCTAAGTTGCCATAAATAATAATTTATTAAATTGTTTTTTATTTATTGCCTTAAACAAACAATTTTGAATTTATTTTAATTAGAAGATATATTGACTTTTTTTCTATCTTAGATTTCTTTATCCTACAATTAATTGAATTGAATTGAATAGCCTTTAATTAATCAATCAATCAATATCTGTAAAATTTATAAATAATATGATGAAATAAATAATTTAATTGAAAAAACTTCAATTTTCAGTAAGTAAATTAATTAAAACTAGGTTAACAGATATAATTTATTGAATTAAATATTTAGATAATTTATCAATTTACATTTTATTTTCTATCTCTACAAAAAAGTATTAGATATCACATGAAATAGAAATAAAATCATTATGTTTTTTTGTCAAATTTATTAAAAACAAACAACACCAACCAATTCCTTCCAACTTAAAATATCTAAAGTCATTTTATTTAATTTAATGGAATATTTTATAAATTTAAATTTCTATCTTTGAATAAATAAAGTAATTTGGTATTTTGCTTCTTATCATCAATACTAATAAGTTTATCTTTGTTGAGTGATAGTTTGAGAGGCATACTAGTTAGGTTATAAAGTACTTCTAAACTGAACTGGTTAGTTAGGCTGATAACTATAAGCGTTATCAATATTATTGACATTTATAACATTGCTTTAGCTTAATACATTGTTATTATTAGCACCGTTTATTCCACTATTACTACGAACACTTATCCTTTAATAAGAGTTGTTAAGTATGTTTGGGTTATACTACTGTGCTTCATACTGATTCTATTAATTTGTTACATTTTGAATTACTTCAAAATTAGTTTTTGAGTGATTAGGGTACAGTTTTTCAATTTCTTTCTTTAGAACTATAATGGTTGCTTTTAATCCTTCTATCTCCACCTCTCTTTTCTGTGAAATAGCTTCAAATTATTTAAGAGCTTGTATTTCCCTTTATTAAAGCTAAATTTTTTGGTCTTTGGCTTATATTTCTTGGCAGAATCCATCAACATCTTTTTGTATAAATTGTAATTATGAAGTTAATGCACTTATTTGGCTTTTTAATTGATCAATCTATTAATCATGACGAGACTGGTCTTATCTTCTTATATTTTGTATTTCTTCTGCAAAATGAATCTTCAAGCTCTTTAATTCATCATTTTCTAGCTTTACCTTCTCAAATCTTCTTTCTACATCAATTATTTCCTTAGTATCTGTTAGTTAATATATACAAAAATATAACTAAATTTTTTATTTATTTATTGATTATTTGTTTTATTACTTGTGGTAATTTCACTCATCTTATTACTGTGGTTTTCTAATAAAGTTAATCTATTTTCTTAGAACTAGACCTTATTATTTAACTTGATCATTTCCTCAGTTTTATTTTTCATTTCTTTTTCGAATTGCTATGATTTGTCTTTTAATAAAGTGTCATAGTTTTATTTAAATTAAAGAGATAACCTTTGCTCTATCTTAACAGCCTCAATCTTGTTAAATTCAACTAGCTCTTAAATCTTTTATTTGGAATCAAGTATTTACTTATCTTTCTAAACAATTAAATGTTGAAGATTTTGTATTTCTTAATCCATCACTTTAATTCTTGTAACAAACTCATCGTATTAATTGTCATCACCTTTAACCAATCTCTTATTTAGCTAATCTATCTCTGAATCCTTATCTCTTATGATATCCTTATACCCTGTTTAAATAGTATATATTTATTATAAATAACTTAATAAACACAAAATTATTTCTTTAAAAAAAAATATAGAATTTAATTTGCAAATTTCCGTTTTTCAAGTTTTATTCTAAACAAATCCCAATAAAATTACTTTTTTCATTTTCATCCATATTTGTTATTGCCAATTTGTATTTCTCTATCTGATAATCTCTCGCTTTATATCCCATGAATATCTCATTTAATCTCTTAATTTCTCCTCTCAAGCTATTTATTTCACTGTCTTTTTCATAAGCTTGATTGCTTAATTTCCTTCTCAATTCATCGCAAGTCTGATTTAATTAATCAAAGAGCTGTCTGTTTTCAGACTTTAATCTAGCTTCAAACTAAACCTTTTGGCTATACTCTTATTACATCTTTAGCTCCTCTTTAAGCTGCTCAATTTCTTTGTCTTTCTTAATTAATTCTTTTTATAAATTAAACAATTGTTATTATCTTCACATTATTTAGATTAAAATATTATAAACATCAATTTATTACGCTATTCATATGTTTGTAATTAAATGGAATTCTGGTTAATCTTTTACCAAGCAGCTTTCAAAATAGAATCAGGAGTGTGCTCTAAATCATTAGGGTCCTAATTCTACTACTAAAAAGGTTATTAAACTTACATTGAATTCTAATTTCTATAAGGTATATTCACTTTATTAGTCAGTAATTTATCCTAAATACCTCTAAAACTTATAAATAAATATAAAAAATCAAAAACTTGTAAGTAAGTAAATAAATTTAATAATCTAATGTATTATAAATACGAAGACAGACTAAAAAGAAATTAAAAAAATATTATCTGATTGCGTTATTAAATATAATTTTTTTTAGAATAAATATTTTGGTAGTATTTATGGTAAATTTATTTGGTAGTTAACCCTAAATTCTTGTAAAAATAAAAAATAATAAATATTTAAAATAACTTATAGATTAAATTCTATACTTTAATAAAAATAATTTAGTGATTTTAAATTATAAGCAACAATTATAAACATTATTTATGATTTTAGAATTAAATATAAAAATAACTTGTAATAAAATTAAAATTAAAATTATTAATTTTTATTAGCAGATTTTTAAATCTTGATTTATTATTATCAAAAATAAATTAATAAATAAATTTGTAATGGATCAATAAAACTTTTTTGAAACATAAAATAATATTAAGTTGATAAAAATGTTATTTACAATCAAAATCAAATAGCTAATTAGTGCTTGCTTTTACTTGAGATCTAAAATAATAAATTAAATTTCATAACTTTAAATTATAATTATTTATTTTATTAATATATTTTAACTTTCAATTATTTTTGGATGGATTTATTTAAATTTCTTATTTTTTTAGTAAATATTATCATAAAAAACTTTAATAAATATGAAATAAAACATTATTCACTTATAATTTGACATATTCAAAATAATAAAATACTTTTAAGAGTAATTAACTGTAAATTATTTTATTATTTATCCATTTTTTAATATTAAGTTAGAAATTTATTTAATTTTTAAAAAAAATTAATTTAATTAAATTTTGAATTAATATGATTTTAATCTAATTTTTTTATTATACATTCAATAATCATTTTAATAAGTGATTGTCCATTTATTTAAATTACATTTTTATTTTTAAAATCTAAATATTTATATCATCATATATATAATTTATGGATTACGTTTTTATGTAAAACATTAATAAAAATTGCTTTTATTTAAATTATGAATTGATAAAAATAGTTTTTATTTAAACAATATTCTAATTCATCTTTAATTTAAGTGAGAATCAAAAAAATTTTTCTAATTTTATTTGAAAAATAATATTTTTTTTGAATGAAAGTACAATATTTTTAATAAATGAATATTTAAAATATGAATTGGTCTTTATAAAACGATTCATTCCAAATTATTTAATATTCAATACCCTTAGATATTTTAGCCATTTTGTTTGGTTACTGAAATAAACAATTTTCAAAACATTAAATTAATTTTATTTAATATTTAAATAATTATTTAAATTAACCTATACTAATAGTCAAAATAATATTAAGATTCATCATTTTATTTTTTAAAAAGATGTTTAGAAAAAACACCTTAAATATAAATTAAATAACAAAAAATGAAAAATACAACTTAAATTTATTATAATCTATTGCAGATATCACTCATATCTTTTGTGCTGAATCAAATTAATATTTTCTATTTGATTTAATTTAAGTTTTTTTAAAATGAGTTTACAAAATGTATAAAGTAATTATGCAGGTGCTCTTCATCTGATATCAAAATAGTAAGAGCAATATTTGATTGATTTCTAGAGGCTTTTTTGATATGCATCTAGGTAACAGAATCAATAGAATTCTAAGTATTTGTGTTACAAATTTCAACTTAATCAGATTCTTGTTATTCTGTAAAATAATTATCATTTGTTAGTAAAAACACTAATCTCAATTAAAAGAAATTTAAGGGATAGGGTTAGAGCTAAATTTTCAGTCAAAATATTTAAAAGGGGAATGAATATTAGTTACTTAAATTAAAATAAATTAATGACATTACATAATCAAAATTTTTATCAAGAATTATTTGTATTTTTTTAATAAAGGAATTTAATTACTTTTATAGTTACACTTTTTTAAAATAATATTTTATTTCTTATTAAGGTGAATAAAAACAAATGACTGAATATTATTAGTATGAAATCATTTTTTTATTGTATTTAATAGTTTATAAATATCTTAAAGACATTTAAATATGAAGTTAAAAGAGCAAATAATTGAAAATAAATAACAAAATTTATTCTATACTATTTTAATTTAATTTCCATATTTTGTAAATTTTCTGAAAGATGAAAGCTGATAAAATGAATATTTAAGTTACTGTAGATAATAATTTTAATATTAAAATCAACAAATGAATGAAAATTCAACGAATTAAAAAATTATTTGTTCTTTTATTTAAAATTAATAAATAAAATTTAAAGTTTTTATTTTAAAAATAAATTTTAATTGATTAGAGGTAATTAATATTTCGTATTACAATTAAACCTATTCAATTTTTATTTGAGAATTAATAGAAAACTCATTAATATTTTAGTAATTCAATGAATTTTTTAAATATGGATTTTTAAAACTATAATTTATTATTTAAGAGGAGATATTAAAAGTTCTTTAATATTTTATATAAATATTGGTAAAAATGTTGTACATTTATTGTACCTATGAATGCATTTTAAATTAATAAAATATATAATGAGTAGGTTTTGAAGGTACTAATGAATATTTTTTCTTTAATAAATAGCATCTAACAGCTTACTATTTTTATAATTAGAAGAGTCCTCGTATTCTTTTTCTTATCGAGAGCTTATAAGAATTGTAAACCTAAATATTATTTGATATAGCTAATGATCAATAAATAGTTAATTTTCATAATTTTTTTGTTGTTTACAAATTCTTTCTTCTGTCAGATTAGGATATCCTGTAGTAACTCATTTTTTTATCAGAAATCTGAGAAAAGGGAATTAACTATTAGTTTTACTATTTCAAACTGTAAAAATAAAATGTAATCATTCATTTTCTAAAAATTTCATCAAAAAAATAATTTAAAGCAGTAACCAAGTCTCCTGCTATAAATAATATAGATAAAATTTATCTATCCTACCTCTTTAAGCAAAAATACATGTGTAAAAAATTAGAGTAATGAAAAACAAAAAACCAACTAACCAATCAGATATGTTTGTTTTTCACTAATGAGTTAGTGTAAGTTTAAATAAATTTTAAGAATAATAATGTAAAAGATTTTAATTTTAAGAAAAAGATAAAAATTAGCTAGTGTATTTGATTATCTATTTTATATGAACAGCTTGCCTTAAATGGTCAAATTCAATGCAGTAAGCTGCTCAAATAAAATAATGGTGATCAACGAGTGATGATTAATTCCAACAAATGGTACAAAAAATACCTTAATTATTTATACTAGCTTAAAAATTCCTTTTTAGAAATTGTAATCTGTATTATGTTAAAAATTATATAACAGCAAAGAGTTATTTGAGATAAACAAAATTTTATATTTTTCATGCTTACTTTTTACATTTTTATATATAAAAGTGCTTTAGATTACATTCTATTTATTTATTTATTTTTACAATTTTTGAAAATTAAAAATTTAATGGCGGGCGACTCTTTGTTTACTTAATATTCTTAGTAAAAATTCAATATTATCTTATAAAAATAAAACTTTCTAGCCTAAATATATTTAGTAATATCCTTAATTCGATAAAATGAAATATTAAAAAATAACATTTTAAGGACTAATAAAATTAATGTATGTGTTACAAAGTAAGAAACTGTTTTTTGAAAGCAACAAACATAAAAATAAATTAAAAATGGCTAGTTATTTAACTCTTGTCTAGATTAAATAAAATAGAAAATGTGAGAAATTTAAATAACGAGTCAGGAATAACAGCAATACTTTTTAAAAAATGTGTGGATAAAAGTGATATTAAAAAGAGGCTGTTTGTTGTTTTTAAATTTAAGATTATATTAACTGTTTATGTTTTATTTAAATTTTTTAAAAATAAAAGTAAATTTATTTTTTACACAACTAATAACTAATATTAATCATACAGACATTATGTTTCAACTTAAGGAAAGTGGTTGTTTTAATATTTTATTTAGTTAAACGAGATAGTTATTTAAATGCATATAAATTTTCTTTATTTATTATAAGAAATTGAAATTTTAATTGGATTAATAAAAGAATAGTTTATTTGAGAAAGAATAAGGGTAAATTATGTAAATTTCAATAAGCATTATCATAAATTGAAGGATACTGTATTTTTTTCTTTAGATTTTTCTTCAATTTGAAATCAATTAAGGAAAAAGAGTTAATTTATGTATTTTTTAACTGGCTAATTATTTATTGATTCATTTAACTTTATTTGAAATTGGGGTTTTATGATTATATTAATCAATATTTGAATAAATTCAGAAAAAAAGTTAATTTAAAGTTTTTTAAAATGATGCAGTGAATTTTGATAAATTTTTTAAAAAAGAAAATTTAAATTTTGGTAATAAAGAACTATCTATATATCTATCTATCCCGGTTGTTTCTACTTTTTAAGCGATTGCTAAAATTTAATCAACAAGGAAGCAATTACTAATAACAAATATTCTTTATTTTGTAATAATAAAAATATTATCAAGATGAAAATATTTATTTTAATCAATCATACACTTTAACAATTCAAACAAAATACTTGCACAATTTTCTAATTTTAGAATAGAATTTTCACTTTTACGTTTATGCTAATAATTTTTCGTAATAATTGATGACATATTTTTTAAAAAATATAATACAAAGGTAAGTTTTAGAGTTATAAATAATATGGTAATAAAATTTAGTTTTCATAAAATATTAAAATAAAAAGTAAGTGCCTAGTTTTAGGATAATATTTTTTTAAAACCAACTTCTTGTATATTTTAAAAAATACTCTTTTCCTTATTTTATTGAAAATAATTAAATTAAATTCTCAAAACGCCAGAATCTATCCATTAATGTTACTATTTTACCTTTGGGGTGAGGTAGAATTAACAAGCTTAAAAGTTGAAATTGTAATTAAATTTTTTTAATTCTCACCATAGTTTTATGAATAGGAATCAATTTAATTCTTTTTATGATGAAAATTTTCTAAATAAAATTTAAGTATTTTAATAAAAAATTTACCTTTGAATGCAAGTTTTAACTTTATTTTCATTGTAATAATTTAAAGTTTTAGAAAGAGAAGTTGTTCTAGATATTTTATTTTATAAAACTTTTAGCAAAAAATTGCATTTTTTTACAAGATTGTAATGACTTAGACATAAGAAAGTATAGATAAGCAAGGCTGGCAATCTTTAAATGTTAAATTATTCAGAATTAACTAATTATACTATCGTATGGTATTAATGTCGGTCATATGGTGTTAAAGAAAGTTTAATTTTTTTGAGTGAAATAAAAAGGAAATTGAAAATTAGAATTTTTTCTTATGAAAGTGTTTGATGCGAACAGTAAATATAATAAAATTATAAATCTACCCTATTTTACATTATTATCATTGTATAATAAAAATAAATTAGAGCTGATTTTAATTTCAAGTGATTTATTAGGTAGGCGATAACATTCTTTTTTACTTTCCAAAGTTTTATGCAAAAAATAAAAATGAAAAATGAAGTTCACTTTACGAAACCGTTTATTTTTGGATCAAGCACGATGATGCCTCAAATAAATGGAATTTCAGAAATTTCTTCTATTTAATTATATGATTACTTGATTTTATTGCTTTGAAGTGGTATAATTAAAAAACTGTAAAGTAAATAAATTAATCAATAAAAAAATAAATTATTCGCTGTATATTTTTTTGTTATACTAGAGTTGGCTTACCAAATTTTATTATAATTTCTAATGAAAGCATGAATATATATATAACTTTTTATGCTAAATTAGTAAATTTCTCAAGAATATTAAGAATTTACATTTTATATTAAAAATTAAAAGTGAAAAATAGCATGGAGTAGTCTCAATTTATAAATAAAAGACTTCAATCTTATTTATTAGTGCTCAAAATCTTTAATGCACTACTCATTTTTATTACATAAAAAATTTTAAAATCATAGTGTTTGTTTTGAAAATTAAAATTTATAATTTTATTTAATCATTAAAAAAAACATCTTTTAAAACTTTAAATCTTTATTTTACATAAATAAAATTTAAAGTGTTTATTTATATTCAGATTTCGAATTATTTGCTTTGAATATTTTATCATACCATGCTTTTGTTAAATTAAAATTAATTTATCATGGAATTAGAAAGCTAAATAGTAAACAAAAAAACAAACATATTTTGTAATATCTTAAAAAGTGAAAGTAAGAATAAAAAATAGCTAATTTTTACATGTATTGGATTGTAAGACAAAACACTTCATTAATTTATTTATAACAGTTGTAATGAAATCTCAAAAGTTTGAAATTTGCTTAATTAATATATTTAATGTAAGTAAGAGTAAAGCCAAAACCAAACGCTTGAAACATGTAATTAGGAAAATAAAACAGGATTTTGAGCTCTAAATAAAAAAGCAAAAGAAGACTTCATGAATATTAATATAAGTAAGCAGAGAAAATAAGGATTATAATTTAAAATAAATCTATTTGCACAGCAGATCTATTTATCTATCTATCTTTAATTTCTTTCATAGTAATTATTAATTTATTATATTATAAATAAATAAATTTTAAGATAGATTGATAAATGAATTTAAATATTCTATTAATCATTCGTTATTCATGAAGAAATAAATAGCTTCAATTTTATTTTATTTTTTTTTGTATTTTTGAAAGAATATTACATATACTAGAACAATTTATATTCTTTATCTATTATTTGTTATTTATAATATATGTAACACACCTCAACTAAAGAAAGAAATATAGAAAGTTAAAAAATTATATAATCAAAAGTTGTGTGGAAATAGACTATATATTATTAACAATATTTATTCAATTATTATTTTTTGAAATTCTGTTTGTAATCTAATTTTATTGTATTTACTTACAATTTTCATAATATTGTTAATGCATTATTTTAAAGATAATCCTTGGAGCATTTAATTAAATAAACTAAAAAATACACTTTATGAATAAGAACACTATCTTTTATTTATAGGTAGAGCATCTAGGAAAATAAATAAATGTGTTGATGGTTAACCTACAAATAATTATTATTTATTTATTTAAATTTTCAAAAAACCTTCCTAAATTAATTTGAAATTTTTTGAAAAGATTTTTATATATGTAGAAATACTAAAAATTAAAGCTCATTTGCTTGAATGGTGGTGGTAATTAATTTGTTTACAATACTTGGTTTATAGATTAGAAAAACTTGATTTTTTTTGTTACTTAAAAATATCTTTTTTTGTGAGTTTTTACAATAATACTTGTAACTTAAAATTAATAGAACATTTGTATTTTTGAAGTTACTTAAAATACAATTGCAAGTACAAGTATAGTCCAAATATACTCTTTTTAGAAATAGATGATCGTACTTACGTATATTCGATCAGAAGATATTATAATAAAAAAAGAATAGTAATTGAAGACATTGTAAACATAGCTATTAATAACTCATTTAAGGTATTTTTTTTATTAGAATTTACTTGATTAATTTATCCAGTTTGTATTCAAATTTACTGAAAAGAAAAAAGGGGGTGAATTTTTGATTTTTACTTACAAGTAACTTGATGAATAAAATAAAAAATACATAAAATTGAGGTAAATTAAATTTTCAAAAGAATATAATGGAATGTAATTATATTTCTAAAATAATTAAGTGACTAAAACGCGGTTAGTTACACATTCATACAATATATTAAAATACAAACAAACAAACTAACAATCAATCTTTTGATAAATCAATTAATCAAACAATCATCAAGATATTTAATTACATCTGATGATTATCAATTTTTTTAAATATTGAAGTTTATTGGTTTTATTATAAATTGGTATTTTTTTTTAAATTTATTACTAATTAGTATTTATAGTTTTTTGGTAGAGTGGCTATTGAGTTTATTTCTAGTGGTTTTTATTCTTTTTTGTTTTGGAGATTGTATTTATTTATTAATTCTTTATATAGTGGCATTTATTGATATTGATTGATTGATTGATCTAGTTGTTTATTGAGTTTTTTAATATTGTGGTATTTATTGAATTTTGAAATGATATCTTTATAACAATATATTCTTATATTTATCTATCTATATTAGTTTTTTATTACTTTTTTAAATTTTTATTATTTAAATCAACGATGTTAATTAATTTAAAAAAGTTTATTCAAGATTCTTACACACTTTTTTGTCAAGTTTAATTCTCTTCAAGTATAATTTTTATGACTAAACTCTTCAAATTATTTAGGGAGATTATGCTCATCTCTAGCTTTGCTAGGCGTTAAATATTAATTTATATTTATTGAATGGAAAAAAAAATAGAGTTTGATAATAAAAAGATCTATGATTGCTTAATTAAGAAAATAGGTTATTTCAATCTTAATTTAATTAAAAAAGAGTAAATATTTTGTTTTTGCATTCAGTAATATATAGTTCAAATTAAATCTTGTCCCAATCAATATTAACTGTTTGTTTGTTTCTATAGCCGTAAATAAAATTAGTCGAATATTAAAAGGAGAAGTTGCCGTTAATTAATTATTTTTATTAATTTTTCGAGAGTCTGTATATGTTTATTATAATATCGTAATGCAAATTAATTCTGATAAATGAGCAATTTAGATAAAATAACGAAAAATTGATATTTTGGCTATTCGAAAAAGATTTGGGTTGAAATGTTAAATGAAAAGGAATAAAAAAATTTTCACTTAATTTGTGATTGATGTAAATCTTGTACGAATTGAACAAGAAATAGAAAATTTAGAGCTCTTTAAATGATCAAAAATGTATTTTGATGACGTAATTTATAAATTAATATATGTAGTCGAACTATATATTTCTATGTAAGTTAATTTCAATCGTTATTTCCTTAATGCATTATTCTAGCTTGTTTGTTTTTAATATTTTCATTAAATTTTAAATTTATTTCATCTACTAAAATTTATTTTTCCAAAAATCCTTCGTAAGAACGAACTTCTAACTAAGAAAAAAAGTAAGTAAGAGAAATTAAATATTCTATGTAATTGATAACATTTTTTTAAACAGTATCTTATTATTAAGATACTTTAACAAGGTATAATTCAAAAATCTGTAAGGAGGGGTGATTAAGAGATTTTAAGGAAATAAATAAATACTATATTTTTTAAAATTGATTAAGCCTTTTAGATTAGATTATGTGTAAAGTCCTTTATAAAAAAATTTCAGGCAAGTAATTTCTTTCTTTCTTTCCCCTTCGAGAGATTAAGAGTTACTAGTGAAAGTAGCGGCTTTGAAATTAAATGAAAGTGAATGAAAGATCACTTTATTTTTACTTAACACAAGTAACAATCAAAGTGTAATTCAGAAAGGGTTAGTTCTATAATTTATTGAAATTTTTTATTATGATGAACAATATATAATAATTAATCCAATTTTAGCTGACCTTTATTTAGACAACTATCGTTCTAGTAATGTGTCAGTCGCTTGAAAAAGAGTGCAGACAATTGTAGATTATGACATGAAAACATAATCCTGTTGATTGCTCTAGAAAGAATATCTTACAGTAGTCAATGAGTCAGTCTACTTGATTCAGCAAATAATAATTAAATATTATCAAATCAGCAATCAAATTATTTTATATCTTTATTAGAATTTATCTATATAAGAAATATCCTCTTTTTTTAAAAGTAACCATCAATTCTAAATATGAATGAGTGAGTTATTAACTCAAAATAAATTTTGCTGCAAAGTGTTTTATTTATTTATTTAAAATCTTCCAATAAAGGAATAACAAAAGAATTAGAAAGTTAAATAGAAAAAAAAAAAAATTGAAGTATTAAATTAAAGCTAAATGGGTAATCAAATCAGCTCTATTAGTTTGTGTTTTTTCTTTTACATTTTACCTTGATCTTTAAACATTTGATGTTACTGAGTAATAAGAATTAATAAAACCTAGAAATTTTATTTGAATTCGGAAATTTTATTATATTTTCTTGATAAATATAATAAACTAATTAATGTGCGTAATCTCTATCAGCAAATATTCGATTTATTTTTGTATTTTCTGGTTGTGATACTAAATATTACAAAGTAAAGTATTATTTGATGTAAACAAAAAAATCAAATTAAAGATATTCTTTAATTAATTATTTTAATCTATCGTAGTTTATTTGTTTGTTTGCTTGCTTGTTTGTTTGCTTGCTTGCTTTTTGGCATCCTTGATTGTTTGTTTTAGGGGGATTTTTTTAATGTTTACATTTTTCTCTTCTTAGTAAACAATAGGTAAAATAATTAATGTATAGGTCGTCTAAATTGTGCTTACAAATATTTATTATAACTTATAACTTAACTTCAAAAAAAATAAATCCTAAAATAATAAAAAATTATTTAAAAGCAAAAAATATTAAATAACAGATTGAACGAAAATTTTAATTGAAAACTTTCAAATATTTATAAATTAATTTATTTTACTGCATTCAAAAATTTATATGTTATTTCGGTTGTAAGGTTTATTCATTGTTATGTAAATAAATTTTTCATACAAAATTTTATTATTTATTGACTGATAAATGAATGAATGGGAAAATTCTTTTTCATAATATTTTATACAATTTGATTGTGGAGCTGAATAAATATTTTTAATTATATTTAATTAAAATTTTTGTTTTGATTGATAAATCTCTATCTCACTGTAAATTAAAAGTTTAACAGATTTTGGATGACTTTTGTTGATTTTATTACTCCACACTCGAATAGTTACTTTCTTGAATATGTTTATTTTTTCGAGAATAAATTCAAAGCAAACATTTTTACCTAATTCATTCATTTTTATTGATACATTAATTAAATGCTATTACTATAAATAATAACTATTATTGATAATTTGTAGCCATCTTTTACCTTTATATGTTCATTTAAATTATTCTATAAAAAGCATTCACAAATAATAGTAAACAGTATTTAATAAAAAAGTTTTACTTTAAAGCCTAAATTATTTGCGTAGAGAAGAAATTCAAATTAAAATTTTGATTTAAATGTAATTAGGGTAAAGTCAACTTCTTTTTGGTGATAAATAATTCACTTTTGAAAAAATTATGACATATTAAAATGTTTCTAGAAAAAATTTATTTTAATTATCTTGATTTGAGCCTGAAAATGAGAATGAAATAGAAGAAAGTCATTTTATTATTTAGTAGAAAAGGAGAGGCGAAATTACAAATAATGCTTGCTAAAATGAAAAAATGATAAAGAATATTATCAAATAGATAAGCCAACAAATAAATAGATAAAATTAACAAGAAATAGTGGACATGTGTAATTTACCTTACAAATTAAAGAAATCTATAAAATATACAAAGATAATATATAGATTAATATTATCAACTGAAATTAATAGTAAATTTAAAAGCAGTATATCATATTTTACTTGACTCTTGTTACACTTTACGAAATGCTAACTTTAAGATCTAAAATAAAGACTTGACTTTGAGTTAAGTAAATCCTAATATAATCTTTTATTACTTTAAGTGGATAATATCCACACGAACTTGAAGTCCTAATATTAATTTTAAGTTTTAAGGCAATTAATAGTACTATTTATGCGCTTCTACATGTATAGAGTGCATTTACCAAATATCTAGTGTTTAGAACCTCTATTCTTTCAAATATTAGCATCTATCTACTGTAACTTGAATTTTTATGTTACTCTACTTCGCTTGCTATTGCGATTTTTTGCTTTTTTTTTTATTGCCAATCAAATATTTTAGGTTGGCAAATTAAGAAACATATTTAATTTTATAATAATAAAAACTGAAAAAGGTTAAATAAAATCTATTTCAATTCTTTCAAAAAATCAAAAATATTTAGTTCTAATCTAATGAATGTATTATAAATAATTTAAAAAGTAGAAAAGAAAGATAGATCGACCGACAATAAACTTCCTTGCTAATTTTTTAATTAGATTTTGTATTTTTAAAAATCAAAAATTTATAGCTTTTTTTAATCACTAAAAGAATAGGAAAATAAATTTGAAAACAAAGGCTGATTGATTATATGGGACTATTAATGTAAATAGTAAATTGCTATCATCTTTGCTCAGAAAAAAAAACAAAAGTGGTATCAGTAATTTATTAATCTATAATGACATTTTTTAAGGAAACAGTAAATAATTGCTTATCTATTTGATGGTTTCTGATTGACGAAATAATTTTTTTGATATTAAACGCACATAATTTAATAAATATGTAAGTCAAAAAGGAATGAATAGGATACTTCTATTTAATTTAATTTTTTATGTAACCTATCTAATTAATTGCTTTATTATCAGATAGATGAGAAAATAAATATATAATAAAAAATGAGAAAGACTATAAAGCAATTGGCAATCACCAGTTGCTTCATAATTTTTTCTCAGTAACAACCAAAAAGAAAATTTACCATAATTTTATTGTTATAAACAAATTGCCTAAACAAGTTGCATTGTGAAGGACTACTACTTTTTATCTGCTTTATATTTATTTTTTATAGATCGATTATTTAAATCTTTGTAATCTAATTCTGTCGGTCTGTCTGCCTGTCCGATTGTTTCATATTTTTATATTTTTTTCTCCATTCATTACTCACTAGTCTTAAACTAAATAGAATTATATTTTCATATAATTTATCTTCCTCTTGATTACACTTTTAAGCATCATAAAATCAAAACAACAAATGCTTGCTTAATGTGTACCTATAGACTTTAACTTAAAAATTGTTCATCATATGACTAATTTTAGGTATTAAAATCACCATAGAATATCCATTTATTTTATTGACTGTTAATTGTATTTTGCTAATTTATTTTTGGATTATTTTTACACTAAAATTTTTTCATTTTAGTATTTTCTCATTGTTAAAAAAGAAGTTATTTAAAATATTTTTTCGATAATGTGTCTAAAATTTATAAAAATAAAAAAGTAAACAAATGCAGCAATAGCAATTATATTTGAATTAAGGCAAAAAAATTGAACCCGTATTTTTTGAAGAAGATTTAATTTCTTTGTTTGTTTGTTTATTTTGCTTATTAACCATTAGGTAAATTATATTTTTAACAACCTAAAGGTTGGTAATAACTAATTAATTCTTATTCCGCTACTTCTTTAAATTATCACATATGCTTATGTTGTTACATTGTAATTAACTAACATTATTTCCTAACTTTGTAAATTAAACCCTTGAAGGAAAGCCCATTTTATCTTAATTAATTTTTTGAAAAATAAATTTGTAAAACCGTATCTTCTGTAAATTTCTTAAATCACGCAGTATTTTTAAATTCATTGAAAAAATATTTTTTGTTAAAGTATTCTATGTGCGGCTTCAAAAAAAAATATTAAAATCAATAATATTGCAAAATCTATCGTATTGCTATTTTTTTAAAAATAAAATTGAAAAAATTTACCTACTTTAATTAAATCAACAGGAATAAGTTGTTCTATTGTTGTAAATTATGTTGGGTTTTTTTACCATACATGAAATTAAGATCATCATTTTTATATATATTTCCTTAAAATGGACGATTAATTAAAGTAAAAAATGAATAGGATTAAATAAAATATAGTTCGATGTAAGTAAGTAATTAATTATTCTCCAACCAATGGTTCCACAAGTGAAATCATAAAAGGTTTCAGAGACTCTTTATGAAATTGGAATAGAAGAATTCATAACGAACAAAAGAATGAAGAGGATAAATACTCCTTTTCTTACACATTTTCAAAATTATCTATGTTATTTAAAATAATTTAAATTACAGAACAAATGTAAAGAAAGCTAAATAAAAAATTAAAATCTAAGCCTTAACAAACTCAATAATAGCTACCCAAATTACTTCTTTGTATATTTAAATGTGTATTTTTTTTACTTTACATTTTTTCATTGTGTAAAAAGTTAAATGCATTACACTATACCCATTTCTTTAATTTAAATATTTTCAAACAAACAAAATTCACAGTTTTTTCTCTCGATTTCCTATCAATTTTACAAAATAAAATAGAAAACATCGAATTCGGCTAATTAATTTTCTCTAACATGCATTTTCCATTTAAAAGGCTGGTTTACTCTTTCAAGTTAGATAAAATCCCTGGCGACTTAATAATTCAACCAAATTAGCTTTCACAGACAGACGGGTGAAAAAATAAATTACACTTCTTAGTAAAGAAATTCAGCCAAAGCAATTTTTATTTATTAAGTAAAAGACTATGTGCTGAATTAATTTACATTCTAAAAAATTAATCTTGTCAAATTCTGAATTGATTATTATTAAATTGCATCTTTCTTTTATAAAAGCGAAAATTGAAGAAATACAAAATTAGTGCACATTTTAGTTTACTAGAATTTTGAGAGTCTGGTTGGGTGCATCAATCTAAATAAAATATTGATTGATTGTTTGCTAGCTGTACTGCTTGCTATTTGAATTTTCTATTAACTTAATTATATAATTGCAAATTGCAAGGCTATAGAATGAAAGTATTCAAATTTTTAAATTGAAAATAAGTTAAAAAAGATAAATTTGTATTTTTTCTTCACAATCTATTTATCTATCTCTCTATTAATAAATTATGACAAAAAAAAAAATGATAAATTGACAAATAAAATTTATTTCTTTGCAATTAATTAATTAAATAACACCATTTATATATTTATTGATTAATTATTTATTTATTTGGATTAATATAAATAACTATTTGATTGTCAATGTACAAATTTGAAAAGCAGAAAAATTTATAATTTCATTCAATTTTAATTTCAAAAATATGTAAACTGAACTTCGCTTTCTTATTAATAATCCATCCTTTCAAATCATCAAATAAATAAATATTTATTTATTTATTCAACAAAAAGATAATCACTGCTTACCTTTTTATATATTTCATTTTGAAATAATAAAAATATATTAAAAAAGCTGAATTACTTTGATACTCTGTAGAGTTAGTTAGTTAGAGAAATCATATAAAATTTCGATGTGATGAATCCTAAAAAGTTCAAAATTTTTTTATGCCCACAAAAAAGATTAAAATTTACAAATTTGAGTATAAATAAGTTTTAAAAATGGTGATTAATTTCAATCATGAAATTTTTTAAAGCTTGAATGCTTGTAAAAGTTAGAGATAAAATTTTGTGAACGCTAATTAATTTTACATTAAAAAAAATAAATGTTCTTACTTAATTTTAAATAAGAATTTTGGCAATTTGATTTATTACAACAAGTATAAGGTTTTTTACACTAATAATTATTTGTGTATTACAAAATAAAAAGATAAATTTTAGCTTGAATCTTAATAATTTATCTATCATTCTATTAGTAGTCTTCCTTTTTCTTACTCGTTTTTACACATAGATTTTTCTTAATATAATTTATTATGTAAATTAATTTTTCCTAAAGATTTAAGAATATTTTATATTGTTTAATTTTTTGCTTCAGTATTTGGTGATTGCTATATTTAATTACGCTCTAAATAGGTATTACAGTTGTTCTGAGTAAATCAGAAGGATATTTGTTTTAAAAAATATTTAAAATGTGCTTATATTTACTGAAACAAAAGTAGCTTGTTCGAGTATTCAGTTTATATTACAATAAATTTTTATTTTATCAAAAGTGTTTCTTTTTTTCATTCATGTAAAGCATACATACATGCATGCCTGCATTCATGTGTAAAAATTTATATTATTAATTATATTACATGGTATTTTTAATCAGCTAGTAAATTTTGTGCCGTCTCATTTATAGAAAAGTTAAATTTTCTCATCATTTATTTACTCAAGGATATTTACTTTCTAATTTGTAACCAAACGAAAATATGAGCAAAAACAGAAGTATTTTACTAGATCAGTTCTTTCTCTTTTTTCAAAATTAAGCTTTATCAAAAAACTGAATCTAGTTAATTGACAATAGTACTTAATTAAATTAATTAATCAAGTAGTAAGCTGAGAGATGTGAATGATGCTATCATATTTCAATTGAGAATCAACTTATTGTATAAATACAAAAAAAGTCCAAGGAAATTAAAGATAAATGAGAAAAATTATTTGAAAAAATAACAAATTTTTGAGAATTTTTTCAATTTTTGAGAATTTTGAAACAGTAATAGTAATTGCTTTGAATAAACTAACAAAAATAGAAGAATTTATAAGAAAAAACACATTATGCGTAATTCACTATAACAACAGCTCTTTTGCATATTTAATTAATTAAATGCACTTTTAATTTTAAATTTAGTAATAGATACGAAAAAAGTATGATTTTACGCGTGTGTATGATCCTCATATGTATGTGTGTGTGCATGTGTCTATATTATAGTATTTTGTATAAAGTAAGAATATTTTCAAAAATTTATTTAACTTATATATTTAAGTTACTGGACTATTTTTTAATTAATTAATATTGATTAGATCGTAATACTGAGAGGAAGAGTATTGAATAATTTCTTTAAAGTATAAATTCGTTTACGTTTATTATCGAAGAAACCTTATGTTATTAAGAAAAATTAATGTTTAGCTAAGGGCAAAATTATATTCAGAGAAGAATGAAAAAGGGTTAATAAAAATATTATCCTTTGATTTGGCAGAAGTCCAATGAAAAAATATTTAAGCAATTCTGTAAAAAAGAAAGAAAATATTTAAATGAATGAGAGAGGAAGAGGATTTTATTTAAGATTAATTGTTAATTATAAGGTCGTTTAGAAATTAATTTTAAGAATCACTTAGAGTAACTTTAAACAGACTGATTGGTTTACATTAAGTATCAATTTATTTTTAAATTTTTAAAAAATACAATTTGTAAGAATTAAGGCTATATCTTGAGAATTAATTATTTTGATAAACCTATATCTTTTATTGGTCTATAAAATACTTTGTGGACCATATCAAAGTATTATTTCGATTTATATATTTATTTAACTATTGGTCACACACAATGCTTCCATTTTGCAGGAAGGAAAGAAAGAAAGGAAGGAAGAAAAAGAAATTATTTCGCAATCAAAATAACAAATAATCAGGAGAATTTTTTCAAGTAATTATTGACGTCTAAGGATTGATAAGAAAAATATAATCCTGCCTTTGTAAAAAGTAATATATATAACTAAGTTTGATCGAAGATCACTATTTAGCCTGAGCAAGCAGCTGATGTAATATGATGATATGTAGAATCTGAAGTAATAGAAATAAAAAAAATCTTCTTATTAAAGTATAAGTGAGTAATATTGCCATGTAATGGGATAAATTTAAATTTTATTAAAAATACTTTTCTTTATAATGTGCATGTCATAGGAAGAGGATGTAACGTAATCAGTCAAGGATTTATAACTTATTACGAAAGCCTTGGTGGAAAAACGATTATGAATCCTAGTAATTAACTAGCCAGTATTTCTGTTTATTTATTGCGCTGTTGATTTGATTGTAGAATAGAAGGTGAAATTCATTACAGTTACCTATGCACAGATGTTGATGTTACAAAGAATAGATAAATTCAAAATATAAATGTTGTAATATTAATAATAAATAATAATAATAATTATTTTAAAGTAAGATTAGGAATATTCGATCAGTCTTATAGTAAGAGCTGAACAAGAAACAAATTAGAAAGAAATAAAGCAAGCAAGAGAGCAAAAAAAACAAAGGAGCAAATTAATAGACTTGTTAATAGAGGGTGGGGAAATTAACTGTTATATAATAGAAAGAAAATCATGAAGAATAAATAAATAAAAAAATATAAAATACCCCTAAGGAGGGATATTGAGAGATATAAATAGAATTAGGGTCAAAATGGGTTCGAGATTAATCTAATATGAGTTGTTTTTGAGAGATGCTGCACTATGTCGACCAGCTAAACGAGTATGGTTTGGGAAACAAACATGAGAGAGAGTAAAAATATTGAAAGAAATATGAAAGACAGGAAGATATTTTGGAAGATTATATAATTTAAAATATGGAAGGACTAAAAGAGAGAAATAATAAACATTAGTAAAGTAATTTAAATTAAATCAAATATTATCAGAATAGATGGTAATTGAGTACTTCGTAACTAATTTTTCTCATTCTACTTCTTTGATATTAATCCTTATTTCTTTTTTAAATTTAGTTATTGATTTTTTTATTTTTCACTAAAAATAAACACTTGCATTTGCCTGCCTGCCTGCTTAACTACCCACCAGTTTCTATTCGATCTTATTTGATTTGAATTAATTAATTTTTGAGTGGGGTAAGATAGATAAGAAAAGTTAATTAAATTTTTAAATGCGAGGGGTGGGAAAAAAGGTGTAAAATGAATTATAATCATAGGAAAACTTGATTAATTTAATCCAAAATTTTTATATAAAAAAATGTAATTACAATCAAAAATTTTGTTTATGTTTACTCTTAAATTTTTTTTCTGACAAAATCAAACAATCATATAAAAAAAAATTTACAGTAGAACCTGATTATTAAAGCAAAATTTATGTAAAAACACGAATTAAAGCTATCTTTAATTTAAATCTGCTGGAATGAAGTCTTTCTTATTATTTTATAATTATTTAATTAAAAGAAGAAATATTATTAATCAAATTCACAAACTAACAAGAAAAAAGGCCTTTAAAAACCTTATTTCTCAATCATTTTCATCACTTTTTTCACTTTGACACTAACAAACTGAAAAAATACTGTCTATCTGCTACTAAACGCTCTATCTTGACACATTCTCACTTAATACTAAAAATGTTCCAATAACCTCAATACTTTGCTTATAACAATAACAATAACTACGGAAACATCGGTTATTATCAATAAGCTCAACAATAAGCTATGATGGATATTTACTTCCTCTAACAACAACAATAACTCCAATAACAATAACAATCATAGATTTAAAACTAAAAAATGGTCTAAAACAACAACATCTTTGAAGACGTTTCTGAAGAAGTTGAATAATTTAATGTTTTCGGAATTTTAGACGAAAGCATGGATTTGATAGAATTTGAATACAATCAAAAATAATCTGCTAAGGATAATTTCGAAGATGAATTCTCTGAAGGAAGCACAAACAATTCCTCTGCATCTTCCCACAACTCCTCCAAAATTCTTGAAGAAAACTTCTAAAGCGACGATTCCAGTGACAGTTGCTAATTTTCTCAAGAAGAAAATAATTTCAGTGAACATCAAATTAACCTCTACAGCGGTTAAGGCGTTCACCTCTTTTTCGATTCTAATGACAGATGTGCTCACTCCGAAGAAATAATCCTTTTCGGAGAAGAAGAAGTTGTTATTTGCATTAACTAATAATAAATTGCAAATTACTAAAATAGCAACAAAAACGTTAGAATCGTTTTCATGTGCCCTGGTAAAGAAGTCATCGTAAGAAGAGCTCTCTCTAGCTACTCTGACAGCGAAATGATGAACTCCTTGCCAATTAACATGAGCTCAGCTGCTTTAAGATTTGTCGCTAGCTCAGAATTCTGAAGATTTAAATTTAATTACTCCTAATTTTAATTTAATAATTTAATTTAATAAATTTTAAAAATTCCTTGATTACAAATAATAATCAATAACAAAACAAACAAAAAAAACCATGTAAAATAAAAACTAAATCACTCTTTGCACCCTACCTTCCTTGATGCCTACCTACATTTTCAGCCCACTTCTTTCTGTATTGAGCTGCTGAAGCAAAGCAAACCAAGTTAATAATGGGAGCAAGAGTTCATAATACAATTAATAAACTTCCCTCTAAATAAATAAATTATTGAACATATCTAAAAACCTTTTCAATCAACTAATAAGACTCTATAATAATAATAACAATCCTTTCTATAAATACACTTTCTAATCACACTTACATACATACATACCACACAACTCAACTTACCATCTCAATTAGCACTTCTTAAAACTTAATTTAATATTTATTTCTAATTTTATAAAGAAAAAAAAACCATAATTTATTTGAGTGTATATACCTATTTATTTTGTTATCTCTTAACTTAATCTATTACCAAATCAATTCATTAATCCATCAATCAATATTTCTATTATTTCCAACTTCATCTTTCAATATCTTTATTCATTTATAAGCCCATTCATAACTTTGGATGGCTCATTTTTTATTGCATTTTAACTCATCAGTTTTCCTTTAAAACCTATTTTCTTCATCTTTAAAGGCATTTATTTACACTTTACATTTATAACACTTTTTTTTACTCTTTCTTATCATCATTGTTACTCATGCCTCTCCATATCATAGATATTATGAATGTGCCTAGCCTATTTTTAGCTTTCAAAGTAATATTTTATTTAAATATAAAACTTGCTTGGAGACCTTTTGTAGGAAGATTTGACTGCTAACTAGCTTATTTTATTTAACTCACTTTTTTATAAATTGAAAGGTAGAGTAAACTGCCAATATTTACCACAAATACAAAAAAATTTATAAATTTTGAGATCTGACATAAAAATATAATTCTATTAAATGAAGCACACAAAAATATTCGAGGTGAATAGAGGTAAAAATATTAATTAAAGAATATTGCTTAGCTTAAGGTAAATTTTAGCTTTTTATTTAGTCTTTAATTTATAAGTTAAATGATATTAAAATTCATCAGATAACGTTCTGTTTCAATATTGATTTTTATTTTACATCAAAAAAACCTGAAATAATTAAATGGAATAACTAAATTTTTTTTGATATAAATATTATTACTTAAATTTCCATAAAATACTAACTGAAATAGTATTTTTTATCTGAATAATTACTAGAAAAAAAAACTTTTGTCTATATTTGTGGTCATTAATAATATTTCATCTGAATAACCAACCATTTGTTATTTATCGTTCATATATATGCAAATAAACAAACAGAAAGAAAGAAACAAAAAAAGGCAAATAGATCAATAAATCATCAAGCTTGGCAGCATTTAAAGCGAAGCCTAAATGAATGAAAAAAGAAATGTAAATAGAAAACCAGCTTATTAATTATAGCTTGAATTCCATTAAATGTTTTCTTTTACATTTGTTTTTATTTTTTCTATTTTTCCTCAATTTAAAAAAAATAATAAAAGCAATAAATTTTTTTTTACTGCTGATAAATTTAAATTTTATAATGGAAAATAAATATGTAAATATGAAGAATAATGAAATCAAAAAAATTGGTAAGTGATAGTACATAAAGTGTAATAAGTTGTCATAGCAGAGAAAGTAACGAAAAATATTTTTAGCGTTTGAATTTTGTGTCAAATTATACTTGAATTGAGTTAGAGTAATGCGTTCAAGTTAAATAAGTTGGATTACTTTTTTGATGATAATAGACAAAAAAAATATTATCTTACAGCTGTTTAGTATTAACTTAAAATTAAATTCTTCTGTAAATGAGTTTTTTTCGATTAAACCTAAACCAGTAAATATGAATTTAGTTTGGTGAAGCAGATTTAAATGGCAAACAGCTTAAGTAAACAAAATTTTTTTAAAAGTAAAGTAAATTCTTGTTATAACTGACTCTATTTCATTTATTTTTATTAGATTTTATGAAATATTAAGAACAAAAAAAACAAACAAATTAACGATGTTTGCATGCAAATGATTGCTGAGAAAAGAAAGAAAAAAAAAGTAAAATTAAAAAATACTTATTAAATTTTAGGTAATAATTGCTTGTGTAAAAATTACCACGCTTAAAGGATTTACTGAGCATTATTTAATTCTCGATGATAGAAAATAATCACTAGAAGGAAACTAAATGTTTTGCACAGTAGTTCTGTCTGTAAAAAAATAAAATTTAATGGGCGATAATCAGCAAAAATAATTAAGATTTGAATTTTTGAAATAAATTTAAGCTAAAATAAATTTTTATTTATTGTAATTTTTTTGGTATATTAATTATTGATACTCCAATAGTTTGTTTCTAAATAATATTTGAGAATTGAATTAATCAGCTCATTCATTCATTCATATATTTGTTTATTTTATTGATTAATCTAATCAATCAATATATATATCTATCTATCATTCTAGCTCTTGAATGATTGTAACTTAATTTCAGCTTTATTTATGAATTATATTTATTATTTTACATTTTTACTAATTTTGCCTTACATGATAAAATAATATCTTCAGAAATGTTGATGGTAAGTTAAATACAAATATAGATTAATACTTTCTTTCTAATTTATTTGAAGTAATTTAAAACCCATGAATAAAATTTTTTTGATGAAAGAGAAGAATATTTATTTATTTATTTATTCGTTTTTTTCTATTTGATGCTAATTTCTTTTCTTAAAATTGTAAACTTAAATGTATGTGAGTCAATTAGGTAAATGATTATCAAAATATTTATAGAACTATTACAAGCAGTGCAATGGTTCTAGAATAAATATCAAAATTACAATACCAAAGTGCGGTAATGGATAAATTACAAATTAGGGCTAATGAATCCTAAAAATATTATTTGAGTTGAATCTTTGAAACCTATAAAATTTCCTATAAAAATTTACTTAGTATAATGAATGATTGATGTAAATATGTCAAAAAAGTTATAGATCGATCGACATAGAAAATATGAAGAATATATTTTTTCTCTTTCAAGCCTTTTCACAATGATTTACGAATGCAGATATTCAAAAGTTGATAGATATGACGCATAAATTTTATAATCGTAATTGAATATAGTTAGAGTTGCAACTTATTATTATTAAACAATGATTCAAATACAAAAGAATTCTAATAATATATTAAGTTGTTTGTATACACCTATTTGATATTTTAAATAAATATTTTAGTTTATATTATCTTCTTTGTAGAAAAGTAAGAATGAGTGAATGAATGAATAAATGTTAATTTATATTCAACACGCATCCGATTTACAAAGCAGAGTAAAGTCTTATTTATAAAAACTTAATAAGATTACAGAAAAACTAAAAAAAATTTAGCCTAAAATCCGCAAATTTGAATTTTGAAAAGTTTTAAAAAGCACCGCACATTTATGTATAATGGAAATATTAAATCCTTTATTTAAAGATGGATTGACTGACGTAGAAGCAACAGAACGAAAAAATAAAAATGAAACTAATAAATAAAAAAATGCCTAACAGGAAATATGATAGAACTAGAGTGAATTTAATAGCTTTTCTTTCTTTTAATGAATCTATATTTCACATCCGCCAACAAAAATTCTTCAGAAAAGATATAAAATTTATATTTTTTTCGTTGAATATTTGGTTCTAGATAGGGTAAGGCAGTGTAACAATCAAAATAATTAACTTTAAATTTTAAGAATAATCCAAAAAATATCTTATATTTTGAAGAAGGGTCGTATTTTATAATAATAAAATTCTACAAAGAGCTAATTAAATAAGTCATAAGTATTGCATGAGCCGCATGCAGCATGCAGTCAAATTATACAATATAAAGTCTCTATAATATGCTATTGGGATAGGGATTTTTCTGGTGCATTAGGGTAAAAGGTTATGGTAAATCCTTGATAAATTAGATTAGTAACTTGTCTAATCGACGAGATTTTTTGAGGATGCACAGTTGAAACAAGGAATTAAAAAGAATCCACAAAGAATTAGGCAAAAAAGCAAATAAATAATTGGTAATAACGAAATACTTTACAGTAATTTACATTTAATAAAAATTAAATATAATTTGAAAGTTATAAAAGAATTTTTATTTACTTACATTAAATTTTGAATTCCCTAGAGTATTACTATTCTCTTCCTATGCTCGCTTACTAAATATATTTAAAGCGACATATTTTGTTAAGCAGATTTATTTATTTTTTTCATTTATTCTTCAATCTTTTCTTTCTGTAATCTCTCCCATTTCTTCCTATATTTTATTTTTTCTGTCAAATTGTTTGCTTACATATTTAATTCTTCATATAATATTTTCTTTTTATTTAATTGAATAGAGCCTTTCTTTCCTTATTTCTTTTCTTTGTGTACTTGATTTCAAATCATTTTGTTCCTGATTTATTTATTTATTTTAAAATCTTATCATGTTATGAAAACAATTTTATTCTTTCAATTTTTTTTTGAGTTGCTATCATTCGAAATATTTCAACTGATTGAATTATTTTACTATTCAATAGAATCTCATTTTATTTGAACGACTTCTAGTTATTTATATATTTTGATAGAGATTCTTTTGAAAATTTTTAATACGGATAAGTTCTCCTTCATTGATTTTCTTGCTAGAACTCTTAAATGAATTAATTGTATGATTGGAAATATTCATTCACTCAAGGAAAGCTTTTGGTTTTTGAAGATGACAAATATTATTGATTTTAACAGGGAGAAGTTTCTTTGATGACGGATAGATTTTTTATGTATCCATTTAATGTATCTTTCTGATACTAAAAAAAAAGTAATCTAAAAAGTTGACTTGAATTATGAATATTAAAATTCTACTCAAATAAATAAATGAATAATAAATATTTTTCTTATTTATTTAAAAATTGGTTTCAAAGAGAATATTTTAAATTATTTGCTAAATAGATTGCGAAAATGCAATCGATTGCTGTTATAAATTAATAAATAGAATGATTGGTGAACAGTGTAGCTGTGTAATGAGTTTGCTTAATTTAAAAAATATTTAAAAGGAATGGTAATGGGAATGTAGATATATTTTGATTCATTTTGTAAAGATAAAATTAAAGCGTATACAAATATATTAAAAAATACATTTATTATGAAAGATATAGATGAATATAAAAATAAATAAGTGTAAAGCGGTTAATAAGGGATAGCCAAACATAAAAAAAAAATGAATTAATTAATTAATTAATAATTAAACAAATAATAAATGAATTTCACAGTTTACTAATTTTTAAATATAAATTTCGAAAATTTCTTTTTTATTAAAAATTGTTTAATTTACACACCCTATACCAATCACTAATTCATTCTCTGTATGTATATATGTATATATGTATGTATGCAGGTAGGCAGAATCTTTTATATAGATTTAATAATTATTTTCAAATTTTAAAAAATAAGCTTACTCTTACAATAAACCAATTCTTTTCAAACCTTTTTTTATCATTTGCACATTTTAAACTGCAGAAATAAATATGTTGCTACTTTATTTAATTGTACTATTTCTTATTGAATTTGTGTAAGATATTCTAAATTTTTTGTAAAAATACATTTTTAACACGTCTTACATTTCTATAAATTTCAATTATAATTTTAAATTGTTTACTCAGTTTCTCTCACAAATATGTTCAATCAATTAGGCACTATAACTAGTCTCTGAACCCAGCTCTTTCTTGAAACTAGCACTTTTTTTCATATTTTAAGCTAAATTACGCAGTAATTACCCCAGTAAAAAGGCTTTTAGAGCAGTTTTTCCACAATCTTTGAAATCACAAATAAAATAATATTTTTATAATGAAATTTATTCATCTATAAAGGCAAAATCAAACATAACTTCTAACTTAACAAGTGGAAAATCGATTACTTACTCACTAGAAATCGATTTCTGAAATATTTAATATCGATGTACTCTTACTATTTGCGACAGAAAAATATTATGAAAATAGTGATAGAAATCTTTTGATTAAAAAATTAATTTTGCTCCATCACTCTATTTCAGGTGTTAACAAAAAACAAACAAAATTTCTTATGAGATTCGATTTATACAACAATGCACTTACTCACTTAATATTTCACCATTTAGTAAAACCAAATATTAAATTACTTCATAATTTTTATGGCTTAAGTCTTTTTCAAATTATAAAAATTAATCAATCAATCACATTTGTTTTCGCTTTATTTTTTCTTTCCTTTCTTAAATTTGTTTACTTAAAAATTTTTCAATGTAAAAGTTGCATGCAAATTCAATAAGAAATTTAATTTGGCATAATAAGTAAGATCTCCTAATGCTTTTTTCATAAAAATAATTGTATTAATCTATAATGATGAGCTATTCCATCCCATCTTTCTATCTTTGATCTTCCTAACCTAAGGTGTTATTTTGTATGAAAATTTTATGTAATTACAAGCCAGTCTCAAATTAAACCCTCCCACCCATAATAAAAAGTAGTCTGTCAATCAGAATAATATTATTAAATGGACATTTATTTCTTATACAAATTTTATTTTTTTCAAATAGACTTAATAGAAAAATGTTTAACCTGTTTCTGATAGAATCTTCTGATATCTACAAAGTAAAAAGCTTTTGCAAATATATCAAATTTAATAATTTTCACTGAATTGACTATGGATAAACTATTTTTTTGCAATCAAAAATGCATTACCTAACAATATTTATAAAAATAAGTGGTTATATATTGATAACTTAGAAAGAAAAAATTAGGAAAAGTTGAAGGGTTTTCCTTATTTGTAAGTTTACTATGAAATTTTTTATAAAGAATGTCTATTCTAAATATAACTAAGATTTATAATAAATATATAAATAAATTAACAATTACAAAAATACAAAATATTGATAGTAAATAGAGAGTATCATATATTATCAGAACTGCATTAAATTAATGTAATAATATCTATTTTATGGTTTCCATCATACATATGCACTGTAAATTTTACATATTTTATTAAAGAAGAATTTTATCATGTTTGGTATATTATAATTTTTGTTCTATCCTAAAATGCTATATTATATACATATATATTTATTTATTGTTAATGCACTTTTCTTAAAGTAATCTTTCTGATTAGAGACTTCTATTTATTTGATCTTATCAAATTTATTAATTGAGAAAATTATTAGAATTATTGAGTTTATTCTTTTATTGCAATCCTAAAAAAGATTTTCAAAATATTCTTCTTCTTACATTGCAAAATATTTCAATAATCTAAAAATCAATATATAGTTTATTTTCTTGCATGATCAAAATACTTTAAATAAAATTCGATTTTTTGTGTTTATCCGATCAAAAATATTTCATTAACAAAAATATTATCTAATTTTTTTAAAGAATAAAATTAAATTACACCAATAATATTCAAAACTATTTGAATCAGAATGTTTCATTGCATCCAAATATTTAGTTAGTTATAATATCTAATCACATCAAAGGAATTTAAAATCATTTAATTTAAAAATTTTTAAATGCATTAAATCTAATAAAATTAGAATAAAAGAATTCAAAAACTTTAAAAATTCTTGAATAATCTTTAAAATATCAATTAAAAAATTTATTTAAAATCTTGTAAAATTGATAAAAAATTCACAAATAGTTAAAATAATCATTTAATTTTTTATTGAAATTGATTTTTGTCTAAAATTTCCTAAAATAAATTAAAATTAAAAAAAAAAAATTATTTAATATCATTTGAGAATAAATTCAAACACTTTCGAAATTAAATCTAAAATGCTTAAAACTAAAATCAATATATTTGTCAAATCACTTCTATATTTAGTATTTGAATTTATTCTTTTTTACTGGAATCAAATTCTTAAGTTGTATTAATATTTTTTGATATTAAGCAAGAACAAATAAAAAAAAATTCAGAAATAATAAATTTTAAAATATAAAAAAATTAACTAAAATTTATAATAATTTCCTTATAAAACTGTTCCATCAAAAGCTAATTTTAGATTTGCAAACAAAATTTTATTTTTAGTTTTGATAAAGATTTTATAAAATTACCTTTAGTTATAGTTTTCAGATAGACTATACAGTTTTATTTTTAGAATTAATTTTCTTATAAAAAAATCTATAAGTTTTTCAGCAACGTTATAATGTTATGATTAAAAATTACTGAAGAAACTTTTTCTAAAACAAAAAATATAATTTATCTTTAGAGTATAAAAATATATTGCTTAAAGATTTTATATCGTAATATACTTTAAATGAATTTTTTTTCTTCATTTAATAGCTAATTAATTTAATTCTTTTATAAAAAATATATTTATTCCTTTCCATTTATTTCTAACACTAGTTGTAATCTAGCAAACTTTAAATTAAATAAATTTTAATTACATATTTATAAAATTTGTATAGAACAGACTTCCTTCCTTGTATCACCAATAAATTGAATAAAATATTAACAGATGAAATTATTTACTAATAAAATTTTAGTAATATTAGTTAAGTATTAAAAGTTAACAAATATCATACTATAGTATTTTGTTCAATTGTAATATTCTTATTGCTATTTTAAATGCTATTTAAAATCACATAACTTTACTAAAATTTTTTAAAATTTGGAGGAAGAATTCACTGTTAGCACCTTCTGAAACTTTTTTATCTTCATTTAAAATACATAATTAATATTTTAAATGTTCTATTTAGCTTTACAATTCTACTTTGCCTATTTATTGAAAATTTACAAACAAAAGGTTATGTAAATTATTGAAACTTAAAAATATTTACTTTTACTTAAATTAAAATATTTATTGAAAATATAAAACATAAAAATAAATTTTTATATTAATAATTAAAAATTAATGATATATCTAATAATTTATTATTTTATTTTTATTTACTATTTATTATTAATACATTTTAAATTCTAAGAACCCATAATTAATTTAATAAAACCTTTAATTAAAAATAAATCATCCATATAAATTTTTTGCAAAACTTAGATTAGCATTTTTAATTTATTAAGCAAATTATAATTTTTTTATTTTAGTGTTGTTTTAGAGAAATAATTTGTCTTGATAGAAAGATAATCATTTTTCTTAATCTAAAATTTCATTTATTTATAGATTTTTTTATAAATTAAATTAAAATATTTCAAATAATTATTATTTATTATGATTAAAATATTTATTTATAAAGAAAAATTTTTGATTTTGTTTTTAAAACTTTAAAATTAGATTGAAATCAAAGCACACTTTTGTTTTTCAACAATATTTTAAGCCATTTTTATACTGAAAAATAAGAAATTAATTAATTTTAGCAAACAAAGTTAGCATTCATGAAAAAAGATAACACTACCCAAAAGCTAGGTTTTATTTTTACTTTTTTCAAAGAATCTAAAAGGAAATAGTCATATTTATTTTTAATTTTTGATAATTCTTAGCTGAAATACCTTTTTAGGATGTCAAATTGGATTTACTTTATTTTGCAGCTGTACAGCAAAAACCAAGCGGAAATTCAAGAGATGCAGATGGTTTCAACGAAAATACATTTATACCTTTGTGTTTTAAATAAGATAAACTAAAGTGGGTTAACGAATGTAAGATTTTTGTTTAAAATATATGTTCTACTTTATTTTTGTTACAATGATTTTGTTTAACAAATAGTAATCAGAAATGAATAATAACTATCAATTTAAATTTTAAATGCAATTTCTAAAACTTATTGAAAACAAACAAAACTCTTTAAAGAATACTTTAATTTTTGATGTTTATTAGGCATTTTGATTTATTAAATAATTTAGGGCTTGAAGCAATTGAGTAGGAAGAAGAGGAAGAATAAGAAAACTAAAGAGTTAGCTAAGCATAAAAAGATAGAATCTTATAAGAGTAACTCAAGTAAAAGCTAGCAATTTTAAAAAAGGAGAAAGAGAAAAAGGAAATGGAAATAGATAACTTTAACCAAACTCTTAGTGATTTGAAAAAAGAAATAATGATATATGAAATAAAGAACAAATTGCTTCAAAAATTGGTAATTGATTGATTGATTAATTTAACAAAATCTTTATATTTTGAAATAATCATTCAAGATATAATTGTATTTAAGAATAATGTTGAATTATTAACACTACTTTTCTAAAAAATAAATTTATAGATTGAAGAGAAACAAAATGAGTACTAGAATTATGTTGACAGATTTTATATGAAAGAGCTGTGAACGAACAAAATATAAATTATAAATTAAATTTTACTTCTATAACGTTTTTAAACAGTTATAAATTTTTTTTTTTAAAGTTATCATCCATAAGTATTTATTTGCAGATTGGATATCGAAATATAAAAATACATAGTCGAAAACTTAAAATTTGAAGTTTTTGGAATAATTAAATAAATTTCTATGACAAAAGCTAATTATTTTTTTCATATAATAAATATTTATCTCATAATTACTCATTATTGATAGAAATTAGGCCAAGATCAAGCAATAAATTCAAATATTTTAAATATATATTTAAATTTTTTTACACAGATAAATTTTTAAATTATGTTAAATTTAACTTATTTTATCTGTATAATAAGGTTTATTAAATTAATTTATTTTAATATTTGTTTTTTTTTAATTTTTTAGCACTAAAAAAATGTTTATACAAACTAATACTGACTGCTAACTCTAATAACTATATTTTTTGCCTAAACAAAGGCTATCTCTTATAATCTAATTTTTAACTTAAGAGCTTTGCAAATAAAAAAGAAATTAATTAGATAGCTTGCTTATTATATAAAGAATATAGTTTAAGATAAATAAAAATCTATTGTAAAAGAATAAAAATAGAAAATCTTTTGAAAATCGAAAATAAAATAATTAATTAATGAATTATATTAAATGATTTAAATAAATTATTATTTGAAAATCAATTTATATACTAATTTAATATTAGTTAAAGAAGACTAAAGTTATACTTTTATCAACATCAATCACACATATTTAACTAAATGATATTATTCTATTTAAAAAATAATTTACAAAATAGATAGGTTTTTAAAATGAATTTGATATAAAGATATTTAAAATAAATACAAATGAAGGTTAAAATATATTATTGAATTAATTTATATTTAGAATTCAAATAATACTTTGTATAAACATTAGAAAACCTATTTTATATCAAAACAAACTATTTATTTATTTAGTTAAAAATTAAATGTATTATTTATTATTTATCTTAATAGTCTTAAATTGATTGTTCAATAAAAATTTAATACTGAGAATGATTGATATTTAACATTAATAAATTTGATAATTAAAATTTCACATTTACAAAAGATATTAAGAGGAAAGAATATTCGATTATTCAAAAAAAGTAAAGCATATTTTTTAAAATTTAAAAGATTACTTAGTAAAATCTATTCTAAATTAAAATCATCGCATTAGAAATCAGCAGCTTAAAGTTTAAGAAAACAACAACAATTTAGTAAAACGAATATAGAGCAATGGATTTAGTTTACTTTGATGAATAACCTAAAAAAAGAGGATTTGTTAATTATTTAAATTATTTCATCGGAAAGCCAATGCTTACTGGATTCTTATTCGGATTCGGCCACTTCATCGCTTATTTATTGTTAAATTTAAAATTCTTCTAGCCTCTTCATTTCCTTTTATTTAGAAACCCTAAAACAGGCAAGTTAAATTGATTTAATTTAAAACTATGTAAATTAAATATGCAAAAATGATAAAATGATACTTTGTGAATGAATTTGGATTTAGCTATCTTATAAGCAATAAATTATTCTTTACTCTAATTGTATTTATTCTAGCAAAGTCTAAGATGTTATCAAACATTAAAAAAAAGTAATTAAAAAATAAACCTCAACTTGCATTATACTCTTTATTGTTGTATATTTATTAATTATAAATAAGTAAAAACAATTAATTAATTTTGAATTAACAACTAAAATTTTAGTAGGTAGAATAATTTTATTTTTTTCTTTATTTTGCTTATTTGTATTCTAAATTATTTTCTTAATCTAAATTAATTGATAATAAACAATCTCTATCAAATCAGTTTATTTTTTTAAAAATAAAAGTAATAATATTATATTTATGGTAAATAAATTTTATTAATATTGATATGCTAATAACATTTTATAAATGAATTTTATAACAATTGCAATATATTTTAATAATATTTAAACCTGCTATTAAAGTTGATCACTTGTTTGTTATATGAATATTATATATTAGTTTTTTAACAACAAAGTTTTTATTATCATTAAATTTTAATTCTAATGTTACATAGGATATCTTTAATATTTAGATATTAATTTAAAACAAACAGAATTGTTATTTATAATCAAATTTCTTTTTTCTTGATTTATGAAATAAATTTTTTTATATGATTATTGCTAGGATTTTGCACTCATTTTTAATAGTCTTTGAGCTTTAAAGAAAATATTTGAAATTATATTTAAGTTAATTTTGGTAAAATCATTATTTTTTAATGATTGATTACAAAATAATAGAGTGTTTAATATCTTTCACTTACTAAAAAAATATTATATTATTTTAGAGAATAGCAGCTATATACCAAAGAATCAATAATTTAGTTGTGAATTATATCTTTAAAGTATTTTCAAGAATAATTGGATTAATTCTAATTTAATTAAAATCTTATAAATTTGTTTTAAACTTGAGTAACAATTTAAATAATCTCAAATGGAGTTCTTAATCATCTCAGATTTTAAATTTAATGTTGAGAAGCTCACATAAAAGCAATTATATTTAAAAAAGTAACTATTTTTATTAGTTTTTAAATATTATAAACCTTTTTTTATAACCTGATTATTATATCAGATATAATTTCAGTCAGTCAATTCATACTCTTTTTATTTTTTTTCTTGTTTTTTACAGCTAAGCTAGTCGTTATAGAAAACAAAAAGGAATTTTTCTGTCTTCTTAAACAGTGTTTGAAAGTTAATATATTAAGATTCATATATATTTGATCATTATTTCATTTTTGAATTCATATTTTATTTTAGGTATTTATATTATTATGTATATAGTTAAGTCTTAAAATTTTGTTTTTTATGTTTTAATAAATTATGACTATTAATTTGGAGGGAATTGAATTAAATATTTTAATATTTATTGAGAACAAACTAATATAGTGAAGTTTATTTTTTTAAAAAGATAAATTTTATTGAGTTATTTTATACAGGTAAAAATAAAAAATCATATACTAATTTACTTTTTAATGAATGAATGAAGGAATTATAAATTTACTATTTTAAAAATTATAAAAAAATCAGAGAGTTTATTTTATTAGATAAACTTTTTAAAAATTAATTTAGAGTAGAATTGATTGAAAATATTTGATTATTCAAATATTAATAATTAATTGCTTAATTTAGAAAATGATTTACAATAAATATTTATTTATTTTCTATTAATCATTATAAATTAATCTATTTAATTTTTATATGAAAATAATTATTTTAGCAAATTTAATATATATGCAATATATGCATTGTGAGTTTTCTTCTTTTTTACTTTAAATTTTACCATAACACAATTTTTATGTCAAATTTTATTGTAAATTTTGATAATAATAAATTCATTAAAATTTTTAAATATAATCGAAAAAAGAAGGTATTTAATTTTAAATTTATTTCAAGTTTATTTCTTAATAATTAGCATTATTTAATCGATCAAAATAACACCTAAACCTAGTGAGTAAAGAAATCCCTCTTCACAAAAACAAAGAGTAAATACTATTGAGGAAAACTATCCTAATTTTATGATCCCAAAGTAACTCTCAGATAGCATAAAATTAAAAATAAAGAAAAATTTATTTGATTTAGATTAAAAATAAATTTGTATTGATGAATTAAGATAAAATTTTCTAAAATATTTAAATTAATTTCTGTGAAATTACTGGTTTAGAGTTATCATACTTATTACTAACTCAATTAATTATTATTTTAATAATGTTAAAGAATTACATTTATCTGTCATATAAATGCTATTATTTGCTTAATTAAATAAAATTTAGATTACATTAATTTATATAATATCACAATTATCTCTCCTCCTCTTCATCCTATTAGTACAAAATTAAAAAATAAATAAGTAAAAATGTATTTTTGGTTCATTATGAATATTTTATTGAAATTATCTAAATGAAATAATTAAAAATTTTTGAGTGTTTAAAACGAAATTTATTAATAGAACTTGTTAGGATTTTATTTGCACTTACTTATTCTTTTGACTAGTTTTAACATAATTTTCATAAAGATTATCATGTGATTTTTAATAGAAAAATAAGAAGTTTTTGTAGTCTTTATCTAGAATTATTATATTCCTTTTAAAATGATATTTAAATATTTCTGAATGGTAATAGAAGCAATCTCCATTCCTATTTTTACTAGTTTAACTTTTTTATTGGAATGCTTGGTTTTTGGTAGGGTATTTTATTATGACTTTAAATAGCAATTTTAATTTGCCTTATGCTTGACAAATAATATTGCCTATAGTTTAGAAATTTAACTTGTCTTAAAATAAGCAGGCAAGTAATTGTAAATTTATGAAATCAAAAAAGTTTACTTGCTTATGATTTTTATTCCATCTATATCCGTCCCCTAGAGGTTTCCCAACGGGTACTAACCATAGCAAAGGATTTTTGCCAAAGTAGAATTTGTAATTTTCAATCTTACCCTAATTGAATTTAATTAAAATTACAATATCACAAATAATTAATTTTCTATATAGAATTTTTTGCTATTATAAGATAAATTTATTGTTTTGACATCAGTAAATTAAATTGTTAAAAAGCTAGCTTGTTATAGTACATAAATAGGCTAGTCTAATCAGGTTTAATAAAATTCTAAAATTAGCTAAATTAAAATTTCAAGTGCTATTGCAAATATTACGAATGAGTACTATGAAGACTATTTATTTAATTAGTAAAAAAAGCATTTAGAATATCTATCAATTATAATAAATGATTATAGAAATAATTACTTTTGATCCCTTCATACTATCTAAGGTAGTAACATTATTGAGAATATAATTTAAATGAGTCAACATGAAAATCAGCAAACCTATTTATTTATTACAAATCAAAGTTTCCAAAAATTGTTTTCAATTATATTTTTTTGATAGAAGAAAAGAGAAGATTTGAATTTGTATTTTTTACGTCTCTTTGAATGTAAAAATCCTTAAAATATTATTATTAGAACTATGAAGTAAATAAATGAAAGTGTTAATTGTTATATTTCAAAACAAATAAACACATTTAAAAATAAGTTCTTATTCTTTTTGCATACTGGTTGGTAATATTCTCTAATGAATAAAAATTAAATGATTTTTTTATGTACTACAAGCGTTGCTGAATATATATAATTTGTCTAGTTACTATAATCATTTTAAAGGATACAACTTTACTATATAAATTTGAAACGCTTACTTCTTGTTTTTTTTTTAGTATTTCAATTCTATTGACAATTCAATGAAATTTATTTGTTAAAATAAATTATTGAATATTTATTACTAGAGCTCATTTTTTATGTTCATCACCATCTTCAATGAAAGGAAGCATAAAAAAATGAGTTACTTAAAATTTTCTATCCTGAAAAAAAATAAATTATTTATTTCTCGACCTATTCGACTTTATAATTATGAAATTTTTTATACAGTATTCGCTTGTTTGATTGAGAGGCCAAATTTCGCATTAGTTTAAAATTAAACAGAAAATACATTGATTATATTTTGAAAATTTTTATAATTAGGAGAAATTAAACTCAAAATTTGTTGGGATAAAAATTAAATATGAAATTTAGATGATGTTAATACTATCTAAATTACACAGTTGCGTAAATAGATTGCAGAACTAAATTAATTATTCGCTGATCAATGTAATATGTTTAAGTGTAAACATAACAATATTAATTTTTTAAATTACTCTCCAAAGCTAATTAAATATCTCTCTTTGTTAAGACTTAATTTTCCCTTTTTGCTTACAATTTATAACTAAAGTTCTACTGAATCAAAGTAGCCGCTTTTGGTGATTAACATTACATTTATAAGTTATAGTCCGTACATTATTTTAAGTGTGTTACTATTCATACTAATCAAATGTAAATTTATTTTTTGTGTTTAGATAAAATATATCTAAAAACTATCCACAATAAGTATAAGTTTCCATATTTAGAATCTGCTTGCAGATTATTGCTGGTGTTTCATTGTAATAATGTTTTTTTAGTGATGTATTTAAATAGATTCTCCCTATTTAAATTACATTTTGCTAAGTTATAACAATTTTTTTTTATTTTATCAATAATACGCAGGCAGAGTTAATAATCGAAAGAAGGATATACAAAATAGTTCGTTCCTCCTTCGCAGATTTTAAATTATAAAAAATATAAATTTAATTGATATAAACTAATTAGTTAAATAATTAATCAATTAATTTAGATTGATTGATTGAATCACTAGTTTTTTATATCGAGTTTTTATTGTTATATAAAAAATTCATATGATTTTTATAGACTAATTTCTTCAAGTAAATTTATTGAATATGTTTGTAAGCTAAGATAAATTCTAATTTGTCAGAATGAAAAAAATACATTCTGACTGGATAACTAGTATTAAAAGGTGGAGATTTAATCAACTTCATAGTTCTAATCAAAATTTTATTCATCGATAGATAGGGTAAGGTTTAAATAATTACCGATAAAATTGGAGAATCCAGCTACTATGATCAAGAGGCAGAAGCAGTGAAACAACATCCATACCCATCTTTCATTTTCTGTCTCAAACTATATTTATTTTTACATCATTAAAAACATGTTAATTAATTTTAGCTTTTATTTTCAAAAGCAAAAATAAATAAATAAATAAATAAATCATAACAATCAATTTTATTTTTACTAAAATTAGGTATTGCTAAAACAATATATTAAAACAATGTATTATAAGTAAGTAAGCAAGTATTTTGCTTTTATAATTATTCGAAAACTAAGTAAGTAAGTAAGCAAGTATTAATTACTATGCTTAATTCAATTTTATTCAATGTTAAAAAATGACTTTCTAAAATTATTTAATCATTTCAGTATGAATAAAAATTATTTTGAAAGATCTTTTTTAATTTTTAAATAAAATTACTAATATATCTTCAATTGTTCTATAAGCATATCTTGCACCGAAAAAAGCACCAAATAATAATGATATTGTGCCCCATTATAGAACCAAGTTAAAATATTTTCTATTCATCAATCCTACACAATTAGCTGTCCAGATACAATGATGGTCCATATTCAAAACACATCTCTAGCATTAAGAGCAGTGGTGAACACGCTCAGGTTTAAAAAGCTTGCAAGTTGGACAATAGCGTCTTTCTCTTTTTTCCTGGTCGCTTAATCCTGCAAGTTACTCATCGTTAGGCTCTATATTCTATTTTGTTTGATATTTTCAATTTCAAAAATTTTTTCACTTCAATTAAATAAGATATTTTTAAAACAAACTCAACAAAATCAGCAAGGAGATATCAAAAAAATTTGCAAATCATTTTTTAAAATTGAAATTGAAAATAGTTTTTGCTTTTTATCATATCCCTGATTCTATTTGTTTGATAATTTTATTGTTTTCTATCTCCTCTTTTTGCTAAATAATTTGAGTTTTATTGATTTCATATTTAAAAATATTAAGCTATTATTAAATTACTCCTTTGGGAACATATCCTGGTTCAGTGCAAACAGCCTTTCTAAAGCTCCAAAAAAACATAAAAACACTAACAATGGCAAAATAAATGATTAGTTTATCGTTGTCCGAATCTATAAATTAAAAAATGTTTTAAATATTGATTAGATTGTCAGATAAATAAAAGTTTAAAATTGATCATAATTCAATTTTGCAATATCAAATTGCAGATTAAAAATGAATATTTAGCTTAAAATTAAAACATTTTACGATCTGCTTAGAAATAATAGATAAAAATCCAGTAAGCGATGAAAATTGCTAAAACCATAAGCCCTAAAATAAATGGTAACTAAGGCAAAAGGTCTTAAGGAACATAACCTCTCATTTTAAATCTTAATATCAAAAATATATCTTTTTCTTTCTAATTTTATAGTAATAAAATATCGATAGCAGACAAACAGATTCGCATCTCATCAAAAATACAATTTGAAACCATAAACAAATAAAGCAAACAAAAATATATTAAATTTAAAGAAAATCAATCTCAATCTATAATAAAATGATCAATTAAATAGAATTAAAAAATTATTTATTTTTTATAAAAATAAATTATTTAGTTTTTAAATTTGTAATAAAATAATTTAATTAATTGTACCTACAACTGCAATATTCAATTATTATTTCAAATTTTCATTTTTTTATTTTAAATTATTTCTATAATTTTAATATTATATATATATATATATATATATTTGTTTAGTACTCTATATTACTCCATCTTTCAATATCACATACACGAATAGTAACGATATATTATTTTAATAACAGTAATTTAATACAATTTTTTTAACATATTAATACACATCTCTGATTCCTACTATATTTATCTTTAAGTATATGTTTTAAATAGAAATATTGATATTTAATAATTAATATTAAACTAAATTTTTTGTGATTGTCTTACTAAAAGTAAATTTTTTAATTTATATTTATTTATTAATTATTATAATTTATTTTTTCTATTTATCATTCTGTAATTAATTTAATTTCCATAAATTGCTATTCAACATTTTTGAAAAAAAAAATAAATGATATAATAGATTAAATATTATGACTAATTAGAAGAAGTAATTATTTTTTTTTTTTGTTTATATTCTTTAAATTTATTTTTATTAACAAAAAAGTTTTTAAACTCTTCACTTTAATCTCATTAGGCTATCCATATTACTCTGAGGTATATTTAGTTTATAAATATTATTGTTATTAATATTTTTTTTATATTTAGAATTCAATTTAATTTTTTTTGTAAAAAAAATTCTTATCTTAATTCATTCATTTTTATTGATACAAATATTTTTAGTTATTTTAACTTAATTTTCATTTTGGATTATTCGTTATTCATTTTTCTTTATTTTTTGCTCGCTTTAACTTGATAAAAATAGTTTATTCATTTTTGATTATGATTTTTTTTAATATAAAAAATGATTTTAATATAATAAAACTCTTTTAATTTATTTAAAAATTAGCTTTTTATTTGATTTACTTTTTTTTTTTTGCTCTGCTTTTGTTTTTTTTTTCTTCTATTTTTGTTAATTTAACTCCTTTTTTTTTACTTTCAACTTTTGCTTTTATTATGAATAAATTTATTTCTTTATTTTTTCCTTCTAATTAACTTACTAATTAATTTTATATTTATTGTTTAACAATTAAAAGTTCCAATTAAATTACAGATGAAAATTCATCAGACTTGGTTTCTGCATTAGCAAATTGCACAAATCTCTCAAATTTGATACTAGATCTTCGGTAAAAATAGTTTATTTGCTTTGGATTAAGATAATTTTTAATATAAATTTCTTTTAATTTATTTTATTGATTTTATTTGATTTACTTTTCTTTTTCTTAAAATAAATTTGTTTTTTATGTCTTCAATAATTTAATTCATTTTTTTATTTTCAACTTTTATTTAATTCATTTCTTATCATTTCATATTTTTTCATCACTTTTCCTCCTAACTAATAAAAATTAATAAGATATTTTTTCTTCGAAATTTAAAAAGTTAAAATTAAATTGGTGCAATTAGTGCATTAGGCTTAGGTTCTGCTTTAGCAAATTGCAATAATCTCTCAAATTTGACACTTTATCTTGAGTAAAAAACAGTTTATTAGTTTTAGATTGTTATATTTTTTATAATAAAAATGATTTAAACAAAAAATTTGTTTTTATTTATTTGATTTATTTTTCTCCTTTTTTTTATTGTACTTTTTTTTATCTCTTTGTTAATTATACTTATTTTTTGATTTTCACCTTTTGCTTTTATAAATAGTTAATTTGTTCTTATTATTTCATATGTTTTCTTCATTTTTTCCTTCTAATTAATTGTAAATTTTTTCTTCAATAATAAAAAGTAACAATTAAATTGGTGCAAAAGGTGTATCGAGTTTAGGCTCTGCTTTAGCAAATTGTGTTAATCTCTCAAATTTGGCACTTCATCTTTAGTAAAACCAGTTTTTTGTTTTGGATTTTTTTAATCTCTATCTATGCTAATTTAACTCATTTTTTTAATTTCAACTTTTTATTTTATTATTAATTAATTCATTAATTGTTATTTCATATTTTCCTTTTAACTATTTAATTAATTATATATTTTTTCTTCAATATTTAAAAAGATAGAATTAAATTGGGAATGATGGCGCATCAGGCTTAGTTTCTGCTTTAGCAAATTGCAATAAGCTCTCAAATTTGACACTTAATCTTGGGTAAAAATAGTTTATTTGTTTTGGATTATGATATTTTTATTATAAAAATAATTTTAAAACAAAAAAATTCTATTAATTTTTTTGATAGATTTTTATTTGATTTATTTTTCATTTTTTTAAGAGTGTTTTTGCTTTTTTTCTGTTTAATTAAATTTAATTCATTTTTTATTTTCAACTTTTGCTTTTTTTATTAATTAATTCATTACTTAATATCATATTTTTTCTTCATTTTTTCCTTCTAACTAACTATTCATTTTTTCTTAAATATTTAAAAGTAGCAATTAAATAGGTGCTATTGGTGTATAAGTCTTAAGCTCTGCTTTAGCAAATTGCACTAATCTCTCAAATTTGACACTTTATCTTGAGTAAACATATTTTATTTGTTTAGGATTGTGATATTCTTAATTATAAAAATGAATTAAAAACAAAATAACAAATTTAATTTATTTGCTAGCTATTTATTTGATTTATTTTTTTGGACTTGTGTGTGTTTTTTTTTTCTTTCTTTTTTAATTTAACTCATTTTTTAATTTTCAACTTTTTATTTTATTAATTTCTTATTATTTCATATCTTTTCTTCATTTTTTCCTTCTAACTAATTAATTAATTAATTAATTATTTTTTCTTCAATATTTAAAAGTAACAATGAAATTGGAGCAAGTGCATCAGGCTTAGGTTCTGCTTTATCAAATTGCACTAATCTCTCAAATTTGACACTTTATCTTGAGTAAATTGTGATATTAATTTTTAATATTATAAATGAATATAATTCTTATAATTTATTTGATTTCATTTTCTTATTTTTGTTGCGTTTGTGCTTTTTTTTTATGTTTGTTTATTTAACTCATTTTTTATTTTCAAATTTTGTTTTTATTATTAATTAGTTCATTTCTTATTTTATATTTTTTCTCATTTTTTATTCTAACAAACTCATTAATTTTTTTTTTTCTTCAATATTTAAAAAGGAAGAATTAAATTGATGCAATTGGTGCATCAGGCTTGGGTTTTGGTTTAGAAAACTGCACTAATCTCTCAAATTTAACACTTTATCTTGGGTAAAAACAGTTTATTTGTTTTGGATTGTGATATTTTATCAGATAAAAATGAATTTAAACTAATATAACTCTTATAATCTATTTGATAGCTTTTTATTTGATGTGTTTTATTGTGCTCATTTTTTTTCTTGTATATTTGTTAATTTAACTCATTTTTTTATTTTCAAATTTTTGCTTTATTCACTTTTTCCATCTAACTAACTATCTAAATTTTTTAATTTTTTCTTCAATATTAAAAAAGCAACAATCAAATTGATGCGAATGGTGCATCAGGTTTAGGATCTGCTTTAGCGAATTGCACAAATCTCTCAAATATGGCACTTTATCTTGGGTAAAAATAGGTTATTTGTTTTGGATTGTGATACTTTTAAAATAAAAATAAATTTAAAACAATAAAATTCTTTTAAAACGTTTATTAGTTATTCTTTGATTTATTATTATTTTTTTACTTGTTTTTTTTCTCTCTCTCTCTTTGTTAATTTATCCTATTTTTTTTAATTTTTACTTTGATTTTTATTATTAATTCATTCACATTAAATTCATTTTTTTCTTCATTTTCCCACTTTAATTTATTATTAATTAAATATTTTTTCTTCTATATTTAAAAATTTATTATTAATTAAATATTTTTTCTTCTATATTTAAAAAGTAAAAATTAAATTGGTGCAATTGGTGCATCAGGTTTAGGTTTTGCTTTAGCAAGATGCACTAACCTCTCAAATTTGACACTTGTTCTATAGTAAAAACAATTTATTTGTTTTGGATTGTGATACTTAAACGGTTTTAATTTATTTGATTGATAGCTTTTTATTTGATTTATTTTTCTTTTTCTTTTTTATTGTATATTTTTTTTTAATTTCTTAATATTATTCATAGTTTTATTTTCAACTTTTAATTGCTATTAATTAATTAATTTCTAATTATTTCATATTTTTTCTACATTTTTTCCTTATAAATATCTAATTAATTGCTTCAATATTTAAAAAGTAATAATTTAATCGGCGACTAAGGAGCATCAGACTTATGTTCTTCATTTGCAAAATGCATTCATCTCTCAAATTTGACACTTATTCTTGTGTAAAAACAGTTTATTTGTTTTGGACTATGATATTTTTTAATAAAAAATGAATTTAAAACAATATAACTCTTTTAATTTCTTTGCTACTTTTTATTTGATTTATTTTTTATTTTATTGCAATTTTTTTTATTTGTTAATTTAATTTATTTTTTTATTTTCAACTTTTGCTTTTATTATTAATTCATTTCTTAATATTTTTTCCATCTAATTTACTAAATAATTATATATTTTTTGTTCAATATTTAAAAGCAAAAATTAAATTGGTGCAGTTGGTGCATCAGGTTTAGGCTCTGCTTTAGCAAATTGCACTAATCTCTCGAATTTGACACTTGTTCTTTAGTAAAAACAATTTATTTTTTTTGGATTGTGATACTTAAACTCTTTTAATTTATTTATTAGCTTTTTATTCTATTTATTTATTTTTCCTTTTATTCTGCTTTTTTTTTCTAAATATTTGTTAATTTAGCTCATTTTTGAATTTTCAACTGCTGATTTTGTAAAATTTTAATTCAAATCTTATTATTTCATATATTTTCTTCATTTTTAAATTTGATTAACGAATTAATAGTATTTTTTCTTCAATATTTAAAAAGTAGCAATAAAATTGGTGACAAAGGTGCATTAGGATTAGGTTCTGCTTTAGCAAATTGCACTAATCTCTCAAATTTAGCACTTAATATTGGGTAAAAAAGTTTATTTTTTTTGGATTGTGTTTTTTTTATTTTTGTTAATTTAACTCTATATCAAATTTTAAAATTTTTCTTTTATTATTAATTAATTCATTCCTTATCGTCATTTCATATATTTTCTTAATTTTTCCTTCTAACTAACTAATTAACTAGCTAATTAATATTTTTTCTTGAATATCTAAAAAGTAGCAATAAAATAGGTGATGCAGGTTCTTTAGGATTAGGTTCTGCTTTAGTAAATTGCACTAATCTCTCAAATTTGACATTAGATTTTACGTAAAAACAGTTTATTTGTTTTTGATTGTGATATTTTTAAATATAAAAATGAATTTAAAACAATAAACTTCTTTTAATATATTTGATCTCTTTTTATTTAATTTCTTTTTCTTTTTCTTTTTTATTGTGTTTGTGTTTTTTTCTTCTCCTTTGTTTGTTAATTTAACTCATTTTTTAATTATAAACTTTTGATTTTATTATTAATTAATTCATTTCTTACTATTTCATATTTTTTGTTAGTTTTTTCCTTCTAACTAACGAATTAATAATTTTTTATTTTTTTTAATATTTAAAAAGATAGAATTAAATTGGCGCAATTGGTGCATCAGGCTTAGCTTCTGCTTTAGCAAATTGCACTAATCTCTCTAATTTGGCACTTGCTTTTAAGTAAAAAAATCTTATTTGTTTTGGATTGTGATATTTTATTATACAATTAAATTAAAACAATATAACTCTTTAAATTTTTAGCTTTTTTTATTTTGTTTGTGAATTTTTTTTTTGCTATCTTTATTAATTTAACTCATTTATTAACTATCAAATTTTGCTAATTATTAATTAATTAATATTTCTTATTATTTCATATTTTTTCTTCAACATTTAAAAAGTAGCAATAAAATTGGTGATGAAGGTTCATAAGGTTTAGGTTCTGCTTTATAAAATTGCACTAATATCTCAAATTTGACTCTTCATCTTGTGTAATGACAGTTTATTTGTTTTGGATTATGATGTTTTTTATATTAAAAATGATATAAAACAAGAAAATTCTTTTTATTAATTTGACAGCTTTTTAATTTATTTATTTTCTTTTTTTTATTTTTCTTGCATTTTTTTTGTATTTTTTTTAACTTTTAACATTTATTATTAATTAATTAGTTTCATATTTTTTCATATTTTTCTTTATTTTTTCCCCTTAACAAATTGAATAATTATTTTTTTTTAATATTTAAAAAGTAACAATTAAATTGGTTCAGTTGGAGCATTAGACATAGGTTCTGCTTTAGCAAATTGCACTAATCTCTAAAAATTGACACTACATTTATTGTAAATACAGTTATTTTGCATTCGATTATGATACTTTTTAATATAAAAATTAAGTTAAAACAATTTAATTTTTTTAATTTATTTCTTAGCTAATTTGCTAATGTTTTTTATTTATTCTAATTAATTTTTTAGAGTAATTTAAGCTAATTTATAATAAAAGTTAAAACTAAATCGATGAATCATAATAATTGAAAGTAGAAAGCACCTGCCTTAAATCAAAAAGATTAGTTGCCTTAACAATATTTTTCTGATAATGAGAAAAAATGATGAAAAAACATGAATAAATATAAAAATATTTAAAGATTAAAATATAATAAGTTTATTTTTTAATATTTTGTAATAGGATAATTTAACCTTACTAACTAACTAAAAATAGAGAGATAGATTTATTTTTATTTTTATATTTATGAGTATAATATTTTGGTAAGTAAAGAAATAGAATATAAATCTTAAAAAAAATATTTTAATTAAATTTACTTCAATAAATTAATTCCTCTAAAATTAATTTGTTCTTATATATCCTCATTTAATTAGACTCTCTCTTAACTTAAGAAATTTTTTACCTTAATCAAATTAAAAAAAAAATTTAAGAAAAAAATGCCTTAATTAAAATATGCCTTAATTAATGAGCATTTACAGTATATTAAATACTATTATATAAATTTATTTAATATTATATTAATTTCTATTAGAAAGATAACAAATAGTTATAGGTGTAACCTATCACTATTTATCTCTCTATAACAAAAAAAAAATCTGCAATTAGCAATACTATCATCTTCTTAATATTTTCTCTTATTAGTCAGAGAAGTGTGATGTATAATGTTCAGATGATTCCACCTATCTCTTCAAAGTTTTATTGTCACTTATTTTCATATTAGAACCATTCTTTTGAGTATTTTACTATCAATCTTCTTGTAGTTCTAATAAATTATTTAGATAAATTTATGCTTTAATTAAATATTTTTAAGTAGTAAAAAGTTATTAGATGTTTATTCTTTAAAATTTGAGAAATGACAAAATCATCAAATATTAAAAAGTAAGTCACAAATATATTTAATAATGTTTTATTGTAATTTTAAATAATTATATTAATATATTAGGTATTTTACTAAAAAAAATAACTTTAATTATTTTATAGTTAAATATTTATTTCAATAAGTATTTAACCTATTAGGAATATTGCAAGGTTTTGTATTTAAAAAAAATGAAATTTTACTATAAAAAATTGATTTTGATTCATAAAAATGATATATTTCAAACAAATTCTATGGCATAAACCAAGTTTTTTCAAATTAGTTTTGTTTTACTTTATCAAAAAAAATTTAGTTTTGAATTATTCTTAAGTTTTTTCTTCTTGCAGCTTTTATATTTATTACATTATTAACTATTAAAAAATGTAATTTAAAATTTCCCTATTTAAACTTGCCGTTTACACATCAAAGCAAATATTTTTTTACAATAATTTATAAAAAAATATAAAAGAATTTAGTAAAAAATATTCATTTTATCAACTAATACTGAAAACAAAATAGTATCTGACATAAAATCTGTAATTTATTTTATTAAGAAATAAAATATCTAATTTTATATTTAATAGAGTAATTAATAATAGTAAATATTTCTCTTATTAAGATAAATATGGTATTAAAAGTTAAATACAATAAAAAAAATACTTTAACTTATTTCCGAATTACAATTTATTACATGAATTCCATTTATAAATCATGTGCTAAACGATAGAAAATAATTAGAGACTTTAAAGTATCTCTCTCTATATATATTTATTTTTAGTTATATTCTTTCACATGAAATTAATTAATTGAAGATTTTTTCATTTATTGATTTTTATTCTAAATTTGGTAGACTAATTAATTTTAATCAGAAAAAATTGTTTGGATACTACAAATTTTATGTTATAGATAATTTCTTTTATTTGATAAAGGTCTATGATACTAATACAAGGTATTTAAAAATTCAGAATCTCAAAATAGTAAATATTTAATTTTAATAATAATTAATAAATAAATAAAAATACTAAAATAAATAATAAAAAAGTAGTTCTTAAAAAAATAAAATGTTATTAGAATTCAATTTAGATTTTCCCTCAAGCAATTACTCAGTTGCCTATCACTCCAGCTATTATAATTAAAATACTAATTAATTAATTGCTATTTGGAAAGTAAGCAAGAAAGGTGATATTGGTTTATGTGTTATCTCTAGTGGCTAGGCATAAAAAGAAATTAACTTAGCAGGAAGTCCTTAAGTTAGAAACTGTGTTATTGGAAGAGATTGGAATTGGGGTGAAGACTATGAATCGATTTAAGAATAATAAATACCTCAAATTACAAATGGTTTTACTAGAGTTAATTGATAAAAAATGTATATGACAACCTCTAATAAAGTCAGATAAATAAAATTATTATCTTAATACTAACAATAAATATCTTCTTGAAATTATAAAAAGTTTGATTTAGATAAATAATAATATAATGCAGATAAATTATTATTTAAAGCCTTATCTAATTCTAAATAAATTAATAAATTAATGTTAGTTTTTTTATGATCCTTGTATTAAAGAATGTTTATAATTCATAAAATAAATGTATGCTTTTTGTTTATTTTTTGAATTTTTTTAAAAAAATATAGTGTTCGATTTGTTGAATAAATTTAAAAAATACTTCTTATTAAATTTCCATAAGACTTTATCAATCTATTTTAAAAAGTTGATTTTTGATATTATTTTGGATTGAATAGTTAATTTCCTTATCAGGATTAAGATACTATTACATCACTATAAATTATTTGTTTTGCATTCATTATCATAGGTGTAAGATAATCAAATATTTTAAGCTATGAAAAGTTAAAAATGCAATAATTTTCCATACAAAAAGTTGATGATAATCGAAAATTTTATATTGAAAAAATTCAAAAATATTTGATTGATTAGGATTTAATATTTAGTTGATTGTTCATAAATATACAAAAATTTTTGTTAAACTTTTATAAGGTTATCAATTTAATTTTTTAATCATACAAAAACATTCATATTAGGAATATTTGCTTCTTAAATTTATTAAAGGGCTGAAGATAAAAATTAAGTATATATTAGAATAGGAAAGATGCTCAATAAAAAAAAGTATTGGTTATAGGACGAACAGGAGGTATTTAGTATAGGAGAAGTTGAAAGTGTAAATGGAGATACATATACTATTAGGAGCAAGCAGAATTAATCTACTTAACAGATCAATTAGAAAGATTTAATGGAAATAGATGAATAAAGCTTGCAAGGTATAGAAGATTTATTGAATTTGCAAGAGTTAAATGAGGGAAATTTTCTTAAAAATTTGAATGAAAGATATAATAGAAATGAAATTTATACATGCATAGGCGAAAGCATCATTATTTCAATTAATCCATTTAAAAAGTTGAACATTTATGATATTCCCAAATTTAAGTAAACTATAAACGAAACCAAGGCGCATCTATACAAAATAACTGAAAATACATTAAAAAATCTTGAGAGCTTTGGCTGTTCTCAATCCATAATTATTTCTGGTGAGAGTGGTTCAGGAAAGACGGAATCCACAAAAATCATATTAAATTATCTCTCTGAGTTTGATAAAAGCAAAGAATCAAATTAATTAAATGACTAATTAGCAGGCAGCGAATAAAAAAAGAAAAGTATTCAAGAATAAATAGTTGATAATAATTATATTTTGGAAGCTTTTGGAAATGCCAAAACAGTAAGAAATGACAATAGTAGTCGCTTTGGTAAATTCATTAAAGTTTATATTGGAGATGACATGAGAATAAAGAGTGCAAATATTGTAAATTACTTACTTGAGAAATCTCGTGTAACTAAAATAGCAGCATAAGAAAGAAATTATCATATCTTTTATCAGATGTTGTAAGGAGGTTCGGCTGATTTCAAAAAAAAATACTATTTAAAAAGTATAGATAATTATGTTTATCTCAGTTAAGGAGATACATTTTCTAATTTGAATGATGATCAAAACTTTTAAAATGTTTTAAAATGTCTTGACATAATGAAATTTACTTCCGATTAGATTTAAAGCTTATTCTCTATAGTTTCTGCAATACTTCAGCTAGGTAATATCAATATTTTTAGTATAAATGACCATTAATCCTCTATTGGCGAGCACGATGAGTATCTTTAATATGCAGCTACCCTATTATAACTTCAATCAAAGGAAGAATTAAAAAAGGTTATATGTAATCCTATAATATTTGATCCAAGCTCTAAGACTAACATCGAAATAAATCAATCAGTTTAACAAGTAGATAGATAAATTTGATATTTCATTTAAATTAATTTTAAATTTCTATAAAATAATTTTAACTAAATTTGAGATATTCTAAAAATAGAATTATTATTTCTTTAGCATATTAAAATGGAGTTAGTGATTTTGATAAAAAAAATCAGATCATAAAGCTTTGTTTTCATTGGTTAATAAATCAACCAAAATTAAATTAATAAGAATTATCAAATAGCTTTCGTTTATTAATAAAATAAATCAGATAATTCCATTAGCTTTAGTTAATCAATTAATAAATTAAATATTCATAAGCTTAAATTGATTAATAAATCAATAAAAAAGTAAATTGATACAAATTTAGTGTCAATTAGCTTTTGTTTTTAACAAATTAATAATTCATCAGATACATACTTAGCTTTTGAGCAATCAACAAATTATATATTTCATTAGCTTTAGATGATTAATAAATAAATAAAAAAATAAATTAATAAAAAGTTCCATTAGATTTCGTATTTAACGAATAAATAATACATTAAATAGATACATCCGTTAGCTTTTAGCTTCTAATAAAAATAGCTTTAATAGATTGATGAATCAAATCATTAATATATTTTTTATGATTTTAATTTTGAAACAAACCATCAATTTTTTATCTATTATTAATAATAATGAGTTTTTTTATTGGAAATTTTTTTTATTTATAATTAATTTAGACTTAAAAATCAAAAATAATTTCATAAAATAATTTGAAAAACAAACAATTTGATTTAAATTAAAAACTTGTAATTTAAAGTAAGATATTAAATATTTTATTATTAATTAGGCATAGCAAAATGTGGATAGCTTATGTAAGCTGCTTTATGGGAATATGTTTGATTGGATAGTTGAATAAATAAATAAAACACTCAATGACAATAGAGAAGTAGTTTATGAATAGACCAAGTAGAGAATCAGCTTGACCTCTAAAAATTAAAACTTAAAAAAAATTGAGAGTTCTTATCCATTTTATAAGGAAAATAATGTAGGGATTTTAGATATTTTTGGATTTGAAATTTTTGAAGAAAACTCATTTGAGTAGCTGTGTATTAATTTTGCTAATGAGAAACTTTAATTCTAATTTAATGAAAATATGTTCAAGTCCGAATAAAAAGAATACGAAGAAGAAGGAATTCCTTGGGTTAAAATTGACTTTGTAGATAATAAAAACACAATTGATTTATTTGAATTAAAGACGGGCTGCATATTCAATTATTTAGATGATGAATGCAAAAGAAATGATGGAAATGATCAAAGATTTATGAATTAAGTTAGAAATAATCTCTCGAAACAACCGGCTTTGGTTTTAAGCAATTCTAAAAATCCTAGAAATGCTCAGCTTTTTTCTATAAAACACTTTGCTGGATAAGTTGAGTACGATTCTGTTGGATTCGTTGATAAAAATAGAGATTCTGCTAATTAGAATATTATAAATTTATTATCAACATCATCAAATATTATTTTATAATCTAAGTTTCCAAAAAAAGTATCAGAAACTGATAATAATATGAATGCAAATCCTAGCAACTAAAATAATTTTGGGTCTGTATAAAATGCTATTAAAAATTTTGGTATTGTTAAAAATGACACCGTTTAATAAAATAGTGCTGCTCCTGCAGTAAAAAAGACAACACTTTCAAACCAATTTAGGGTTTAACTAACAACATTGATTAGTGAACTTAGCAGTAGTACAAACTTTTATGTAAGATGCATCAAACCCAACACTGAAAAGGTAGCAAGTTTTTTTAATCACTAGGAAGTTCATAGGTAGATTAAATGTGCAGGTCTTTTAGAAGCTATCAAAATTAGAAAATGTGGGTTCTCGCTACGTTTTAAACATAGAGATTATCTTTTGAGATATAGCACCTTACTTAGTCACTAAGTAATTTCTAAATCTCCCTAAGATAAATGTCAAAAAATTATTGATTTGGTTTTAAATAATCAAGGATTAAAATAATAAAAATAAAAGTAGAAAAGTGAAGATTTGCTCTATGCAATAGGAAAGACAAAAATCTTTTTAAAAGAAATTATGAGAGATTTATTAGAAAATTAATTGAAAATATTGCATGGAGAGAAAGCTGTGATAATATAAAAAAATTACAAAGCATATTAGCAACAATAAAGATATAAATACACAAAGGTATGTGTGATAAAAATACAAAGATCTTTTAGATACAGGCTGTTTAGGTTAGAGATGCAAGAAAGGATTAGATAAAAAGAAATTAGGAGACTACAACTAGAGCAATAGAAAAGAGAAGAAGAGGAAAGACTTAGAAGATTAGCTGAAGAAGAAGAAATTAGACAGAGAGAGCTTGAGCTAATAAGATAGAGATAGTATGAAGAAGAATAAGAAAGAATTTAAAGATTGCAAAATTAAAATAATACCAATCATAATCATAATAATAATCAAGGCTTGAGTTAATATTTGCAGCAAAATAGTGATCATCTAAATTCAACTGAATATTTAAATGTATCACCTTAGAACAGAGCTAATTACTACAATGATGCTAATTCTCTTATAGCTTAGATAGAAGATTAAATTAAAAAATAAAATCCAAGCAGTATGTTTGATGAAGATGATGACCAAGAAGAATACGATGAAGTAAATGGAAACAATTAAGACTTTAAAGAAAAACATATTAAAAACCAACATGCCAATAAGCACAGTAGCGGCTCTCCTGCTTTCAAACATGAATTGAATCTTTCTACCTCAAAAAGCAATAATTCTGGAGCTAATAATATCACAAATATTAACGATGTTAGTGAGATTATATAGAACAACTTAATTTCAAGTCAAAAAGAAAATGAAATAATGGAAATTTTGAAGTAAAAAAGTAAACTATTTTGCCAACCAGATTTAATGAGCTTTTCACTTTATTAGTTTTTGTGTACTTCCCAAACTCTTAATGATTTTCTTCAAATGACATAGATTTAAATTATAGAATAATTAAAGCAAATTATATCTTTAGAGTAATAAATAGCAGCTTAAAATAAGCTACTCTAAGAAAAAGATTAAATAGAAAATTCGTTAGAGAGAAAGCTAGATTCAAATATTTTAAATAATGCCATTGAAGTAGAGATGCTAAAGCAAGAAATAGCTTAGCTTTAAAATCTTAATTTTAGCCTAGAATAAGTAAAATTATAAATATTTATATAACTAGCTAATAATAATATTTTCTTTACTTTTTAAAGGAGAACATAAAATTAGGAGAAAAAATAAAAAGCAGTAATGATTAAATGAATGGATTAAAGTTAAGTAGAGAAGAAGAATAAGCATTGATTTTCTCCAAAAATACATAGCAAAAATACGAAGACTTAGAAAGGGTAAATAAGATATTTTTAAAATTAAAAAGATAAAAAGTTAATTTAACTATCATGAAGAATATAATAAAAGTACTTTTTAAGATTAATTATAAAAGCAAATTCTTTTGAAGACTTAATTAAACAAAATAAATAAACAAACATGAATTTAAATAGTTAATTTCTATAAAAATTATTTTGAAAATTAGAATTATTCTTAATTGGAAATATTTTAAAGTTATTATTTAAAGTATTGAATGAATTTTATTATTATTTCAAGCACATTTTTTCTTTAATTAGTTCTAAACAAATGATTTTTAACCTAAAATTTATGCTAAATTATCATTCAAATTTAATTTGATATCATGAAAAAATGAAATTTTGATTGAACTAAATTTTAATTTATTGAATTTCTAAAGCTAAAAGTTAATAATAAATTTTTATTGATTAAAATTAATTTTCAATTTAAAAAGTAAAATTTTAACTTTCTTAGATTTTTTTAATTGAAAGATATTTTATTTTAGAATCAATTTTCCATTTCAAATTATTAGAATGCTATAATAAATAAATATTTAATTAATTAACCATAAAAGGAAAATTTATTCTTGAAAAAATAAGTTGACAACCTAAATGAATAACTAAAGTAGTAAGAGATTTAATTAAAAGCCATTTAAAAAATGAATGAGTAGTAAAGAGCAGAGATTTCTAAACGGGATTAGGTAAAAATGTAATTAGAAACCTCACAAAATAATGAAAGGGTGGAGTTTTAAAGGCTAAGCAAGTAATATAAAAAATTAGTTTAGAAAGATAAATATAACGAAATGGTAATAGAATCTGTTTTCTAGTTACTCAAAGATAAAAATGAAGAACTGGATCTTATAAAAAACTCTGTAAAGCTACAAAATTTATAAACAGATTAGTCTCTTTTGAATAATATAATTTAAAAATAAGAGGATTCTCTAGCAAAACTAAAATAGATATACAAGGGAGATAAGCAAATAGATTGAGGAATTTATTACTTTGAAGTCAATTTTACACAATTGTTTTTCATAAATCTAAGAAAAATTAAATAATAATTTTATTATCAAAGCATTCTGTTTAATAAATTTTAATTAAAATTAAATAAAAAAGATTAAATAATAAAATCTCTAAAAAATATAAAATTATATATAAAAAAACTCTTTATTTATCATCTTAATTATTTAACTTTTATTAATTTTTATATTGTTTCTATTAATAAATTTATAACACATTCAACTTCACTTTCAAATATTTTAATTTAAAATAAATTATTTTATATGATTTTAATTTCAATTCAAATAAAAATTGCATAAATTAATCTATTAATTTATATTTCTAAAAAATAAAAATTTATTAAAATAAAATAAAGAAATAATGAAATAATAAGCAGCTATTTAATCATCAAAGTTCCATATATTTTCTTTTAATTAAATCATCTTTTATTTTATGCACAAAAAAGTATGATTTAAAAGTAATTTTTCTAAATTGAAAATTTCACATTAATATACAACAAATAATTATAATAATTATGTGATTTATAAAAAAGTAGTATTTTGACTCAAAAAAAAAACTTTTTTAAACTTAAATAATAAAATCTTATGTATGTATGTATTTGACAATTTAAAATGTAATTTAGAGCATAAAATTGCTTAGAAAAATACTAAAGCAAAATTTAAAAATTTTTATTTTTAACATAAAAATATTAATTAATTTTTTTACAGTTAAAAGGGTAATTACATTTTGATAGATATATTTTAATGATGCATACAAAGATAGAAGATGTAAAAATTATTTATTTATTTACTACATGTAAATACCGATGAATTAATATAAAATGAAAAGTTTTTTTAATTTTATTTTATTTTAAATGAGACTTTGTGGTTGTTTATTTGTTTATGTATACTAACCAATTAGGAGATTAGTGGTTAAAAATTTATTTATTTGTTACATTTCATTATGGGATAATTAGTTGATGTTCTTTTTGGTTAATAGTTTATTTATTTCTAGAGCTTTCATTTAGATTTTTACATCTTGATATTTACTTAAAATTTTAAAGTGCTTTTATTTATTTATTTCACAAGGGTTTTTAGTAAGAGAAACCTTTTTTAAATCAAAATAATATTAAAAATGAAAGCATATAAAAGTTAAATAAATAATATTGCGCTTATAAGCAAATAAATAAATAAATACCATGATAGTTGATGTTAGAAGGTTCTGTTAATGTTCCTCCGTTTTGTAATGATGATATATCCATTTGTGTAAACTCAGGGTCTATATTTGAAGTATCTTCTTCATTTTTAACTTTAGGAATGAAAGGAGCTTTAACTTCCTTTCTGATAATTGCTTACCAATTTACATCCATAAAGAAAGGATGTTGCTTAACTTCTTAAGCTCCTAAGTGGCCTAAACGCTAATTAGGATCTTTTTCAAGTAATTTGGTAATAATATCTTTGCATTATTAAGAAATAACAATTTCTTTTGGTAATTCAGGGTATGGATTATTCTTAATTAGCTCGAATAAACTCTTTCTGTCCTCAGTGTAGAATGGAGGGAATCCTGTTAAGAATTCATACATTAAACATCCTAAAGTCCACCAATCTACAGGCTTTCCGTGTCCAACCTTTGCTAATACTTCAGGAGCTAAATATTCGGGAGTGCCACATATTGACTGGTTTTTTTAATCCTTAATATTTCTCTTAGACAAACCAAAATCTGTAATTTTCAGGTATCCTTGTCTATCAATGAGAACATTTTCTGGCTTTAAACTTTTTTAATAAAAATAAATAAGTAAATTTATAAATGAAAATAAATAAATTTTAATGTAAGTACTGGTTGAATAAAAATAATAATTTGCAGATGTTAAATTTACTTTATCAAATTTATACTGCATTTTTTTTTGTATGTATAAAATAATCTCAAGAAATCTCGAACTACTCAAAATAAGTAATGAAATGATGAGTGAAACAAAAAATCTATTGATTTCACATTCTTTGGATGTTTTATAATAGCTCAAATGATATTTATTCATGTTAGATTTTTCAATATTTGAGCATTTAATTCATTGTTTTAGTGCAATATTAAAAGAAAGATTAATTAATAAATAAATAAATAAATTACTCTCTATAAATAATATCCTTTTAGTGCAAGTACTCTAGAGCAAGGACAATTTGAGTACAGTAGAATTTTGTGTCTTGTTCACTAAATCTTCTTTTTCTGCAAAGTAAGTTGAAGAGTTCACCACCTTAACAATAGTCAAGAACAAAAAAGAGTTTTCTTTCATTCTAGAATGAGTAATGCAACTTAATAATGAATGGATGGTCTGCATCGACCAAAATATTTCTTTCTGTTTTAATATGTTCTACTTGCTTCTTTTACTCGATGTAAGATTTCTTTAATATCTTAATAGCATAAACCTTTCCGTCTTCTTTCTTCTTCACAAGGACAACTTTAGCATAAGATCCTTTGCCTATAACCTTAACTAAATTGAAGTCTTCAATTGAGATTTTTTAGTTGTATTTAGGAGGATTTTGAATCATTTATTTAACAATTTCAGGGGTGTTGTCTTCCAAATACATATCTCTTTCATCGTAGTGATATTATTCATACTATTACTAATGATTCATCATTTAATTTCAGTAAAATCCTATTTATTTTAAGTTATTTATGTGAAATAATTTCCTATTTATTTATTAATTATTCTTTTTATATATATTATTATTTGTTTTATGTTTTGATTAAAATTTTTTATCAAATTTTTTTAGATGCCAAATTTTTATGATTCTGTTTAAACCCACAAATTTTTATTAATAATACTCATAAAGATAGTAATTCTTTACAAAATGCAGCAAACAGTTCGATATTACTATTTTAGGGAAGACAATTAATTAATCATGCGTGACTCATTTTTTAGATAAATTTAATTTATTCGCATATACTTTGACTATCCATAAATAAGCAATGTATTTTTTACTAATTTTAATTAGCGTATCTCATAATTATTTAATCTAATAAGATTTAAGTATTTAGTATTAATTTGATCAGATAAATAGAGTTTATACATCTATCCACACATGCAAATGTACTTTCTAGAAACCTAAACAATTCCAAATAGAAAAATGTTATTTAGGTCTTGGATTTCTGCTTTCCTAATTACCACAATTTCTAATTTATTTTTTATATAAATTTATAAGAAAAACTAGACGATAATCTGGTAATATTACCTATTCTATTCTATCATATTTTTTGGTTTTATTTTACCTGTTACATTTTTGAGTGAAATAATATAAATTTTTACTTAAAATGTTCACATTTTAATATAAAATCAAGCAAACTATAAATGGATTTCAACTAAAAATACTATTTGATTAGCTAGAGATGTAATAAGCTAAACTAAATTTCTTAAAGTTGTTTTGATGAAAATTCTATTAATTTTTTTGATTAGAGTTATTTATTAGGCTGGCTATAATTAAAAATTAAATTTGGACTTTTTATATTTTAAAAAAAATTAAACTCAGATATAATTTTATATCTTTTGCTTTTAGAAGTCAAATTCAATTTAAATTTGTAAGAAAGAAGTTCTATATTTTCTTCATGAAATTAAATCTATTCGAACATGCTTATGGTATCTATGGTTTAGTAAACATTCTTCAATTAATTTTCAAAAACATTGCATCTAACTAATAATGAAAGCTTTTATTTACTTATAGCCAGTTTTAAGTAAGTACCTCTTTATTCCTAAATAAGATTTTTAATTTCTAAACAACAAAAATTCATAAATTAGGTAAGTAATAGAAATCTTCTACGAATAAAATTCATAATAATTATTCAAGTAAAAGCTTGAAGAATCTCAGTATTAAAAATATTTATTTAATCTTTTAATTTAACAAACCTTTTATCAAAAAATGTATTTGATTGCTACTTAATCAATATAATTTAGAATCAAATAGTTTTTCTCAAGTAAATAAAAATCTTTCCAAAATTAAAAATAAATTTCTTTTATAAATATTATAATGTAACTAAACTCAAGAATAAAAAAATTTTGACACATAATTAAATTAAAATAGGTGAATTTAATTTAAATATTTTGTCATTTTAATTAGTATTTCTCAAAATAAATTTATCTAAAAGTATTTATATTTTAAAAATATTTTTTTATCGATTTTAAGAAAATATTATTTATTTTTTTATTCAATATTATTTAAATAGTTTTTCTCAAATAAGTTATAATCTTTTCCAAAATTAAAAATAAATTTCTCTTATAAATATCATAACGTAACTAAACTTTTTGACATAATGAAATTAAAATAGGTTAATTTAATTTAAGTATTTAGTCATTTTAATTAGTATTTCTCAAATAAATTTATCTTAAAGAATTTATATGTTTTAAATATTTATTTATCATTTTTATGAAAATATTAATCATATTTTTAGAGGAAAATAATGTTTTATGCTTAATAGAAATTTTATTATGAAGAAATTTACATTAAATATTTCTATAAATGTAAAATTTATCAAAAATATTGGCAAATAAATTAATTTTTGATTAAACTTATCTATGAAAAGTTTAATTAGAAATATTTCAAATATTTATTTTTAGATATCTAGTTAAAATGTATTAATAAATTTTTATAATGCTTAATTCATGATAAGGTTGATTAAGATGCTCTCAAAGGATGTAAGGCAACATTTTTTATATAAAAACCATACGAACAGAAAGTAGGTTTTGATCTGTTCAAATACTCAATTAAATCTTGGTTTTCTATTACGATTTTAGTTTTTTTATCAAAAATCGATTACGCTAAATTTACATTTTAGCGCCTCCTTGGCTGTTAAGCATTTTTATTTTTGATATTTATATTATTTTTTTTTTATTGAGCTATTTTAACTTGTTTGAGGACTGTTCTTAAATTATTATGAGGGAAGAAATGTAAGAAATTTTTAGCTTTATCAAATTCATTTAATATGTTTTTTTAAATAGCAGCCTAAGCTTATACATTTGGATCACAGAATTAGTCTAAAACTTTTGAGCTGTTCATGCTCTTTTTTTAGTTTTATCTTTGCTAATTTAAGTTTTAGATTTGAATTTCTTGTTGCTTCACAATATTTACTAACGAAGAGCACAATAAATTCAATTGCATAGAACTCTACTGTATTGAAGCTTGCTGAGAAATCTTTCTATCAGAAATACCCTCTCTATGATTTACCACTAATTCAGTACTTTAATTTATCGAATTACTCGTAATCTTATCTTAACTTTTATTTTCTATTGAGAGTTATTAAGATTGTCTTTAATTATTTTTTTCATTATTTTAAATATTGCTTAGTTATTTTTCTATTTATATTTCGTTTAAATTGACAGAACTTTTCTAATTTTATTCAATAGGAGCAGCTACTTTACATTAATCATGATCTATTAATTTAGAATTATGGTTTTCAATAGACGGTTTTTTATCAGGTATAGATTTATTTTTCTTATTTTGTGTTTACTTTTGCTTCTTTTGTGATGTTTTAATATTATTTATGGATGTTTAAGATTGGCTTTCTCTTGAATTACTTGAGCTCTAAGAAGAGTCTGATGAAAGATCATCTAAATTTTTTTTCTTAGTAATTGTCTGTTCTCCTTCTTAATCACTTTGGCTCTCAATTGAATTTTTTTCAAACATTTTAAAAACCTTCGAACCTAAATAAACAGCCTGTTATTTTAATTTCTTAGAAATCTAAATGTTTATTTCTACTAATTAACTAAATTTTATTGTTAAATTAAAATCAATTTAATATAAATATGAGAGTAATAAAAAAACTAAATTAAAATAAGCTTTTAATTTTTTAAATAATTAATTTTTATTGAGATTTACTATTGGCTAAAAATTAATAGCCAACCCAACCCACTCATTCAAATTTTTTGTTACTTAATAAATTTCATAAAATAACAAAAATAAGAAAAAATTTACATCGAATGAATTTTTTATCGCTATCTCAATACATTAACTGAGAGATCAGAACTATTAATTTATTGAATCTTTTATCGTTGTTGAAAGATGCTATAATTATTTTTGAGAATTATTAATTGCCTATCAAAATATGGATTTATAAGAGGACACTTAACTGAAAGATGACCAATCTATTTACAATTGTAGCATTCTAATTAAATTGCTGATAAATTATCTTAACTTTTTATCTATTCCTCAATCATCTTAAACTTCTCAAAGTCTCCTAAATGATGAGAAAGGATTTTTTAAAATTTAACTCTTGATATTTTATAAAGAGTTGCTAGATTTACGCTTCTTGCTGAAGCACTTCTTGCAAATCCAGAAAAGAAAGAAATCTCTCCGAAAGTTTAATTTGCCTCTAAAGTTGTTAAGGTTTTTGAGTTATTCAACTTTTGCTTACTGATATCTGAATAAAAAATATCTACTTTTCCATTCCAAATAAAATACATGCACTGATCTTCATCTATTTCACCTTCTTTGAAAATAATCTGATTTGGCTATACTAAAATCTCTTCTATGATAAAAATTAACTCTTAAATAACCTTCTGTGAAAAGCAATTAGACAAACAACCTATTTGTTAAATCACTTTAAAATTTATTTCTTTTAGTACTTCATCCCTAAGTTTGTTTGAAAGCATTTGTAAAATGATATCTTCTTCTTGTTTATTTCTATCTTTAGATTCTTATGATAAGAAATGCAAGTAATGTTTAACTCTTCTTTGCAGTTCTAAATTGACTCCTTTCATCTCCATGAATCTAAATAAATTAAAAAATTTTTCCCACTAGAAATCCAAAAATGTTTAATTACTTATGAATTATTGAAAGTTTATCATTCAGCTCTTTAGAATCTTTTTCAATCTCCTACAGAATAAGACCAATATTATTTATAGAATAAGCAAAAACACAACTCATAAATATCATTATAACTGTAACAAATAAAGACTCAGCAGCATTAGCAGGAGTAATGTCTCCATATCCAACTATTCAAAATATTTATTAAATAATTAATAAAATGTGCATTCAAGAATTTACTTGTAGTCATTGTTGTAACAGACCAATAAAGTGAAAAAATATAAATTTGAAACCAAGGACTTCCTTGAATTTAAAATTTTTATTGCCAAGTTGTGCTAATATCTAAGCTAGTTTCTATTATTGACAATCCATTCCATAAGATACTAACTATTTTTCATGTTTTGTTTTAAAAAAAATAGACTTGAATAAAAATTATTTCATAATTAAATATTTATTAAATTTTTAAATGAAAATGATTGATGCTGTTTGATAAAGTTAAGTTTTATTTAAGTAAAATAATTAAAATGAATGAATCGTTGTTTATCAATAATAAATAGGTTGAAGTTATTCTTTTATTTTTGATTAATTTTTCTATTCTTTTAAATATCAATAGTTCTTTATTGAAAAATGAATGTTTACTAATTAAAATTAAATATTTTGAAGAATATTTATCTAAATTTAATGATTTATTATTTAAGAAAATAATTCTATCCATTTATTTTTAATTTTGTTGAAAGTAAATCCTCACTCAATTTGAAAAAATAAACTAGAATTACTTTACATTTTTAATTCTTTATTTTAATCTTTAAAATTAACTTGGTAGAGTTTTTTTTAATTCTTCTTATAAAAATAGATAATTAAATTTATTTTACAAAATAAAGTATTTAATTAAATCTCAGCGTGGTATTTGTTATTTTTGAAGTTAAATATTTATTTTTTTTAATAAAAATTTTAAAGTGTTTTTATTAAAAACGTAGAAATGGGTTACCTGTATGAGCAGCAATTACTACAAAGAGTATTTAATCAAATAACTTTAAAAGATGTTTTTAATAAGATCTTATGATTATTGAATTTTGAATATTTTGTCTTTTTTTGGGCAGACTGCATATTTTAAAGAAAACAAGCACATTTTTTAAATATTAAATGACATCATTGTTGGGATTGAATGAAATTTGTTGATCAAGAAGAACTTTTTAGGCTAGCATTCCAAATGAAAGAAAATCCCAGAAAAAATATGTTTTTAAGTATTTAACTGCAATCTTAGATTAACTTGTAATTACTTAATCTTTTTAGAAATATGCTGTGTTGAAAGATACAAGTATATCTATGCCAAATAAAATAGTAGATACTTGAAATAGCCAAAAATAATTTTCAGAATTAGGTTCTTATTAAGCAAAAAATATAAGTATTGAGTAAATATATAAAAATAAAGAGCATGTTAAAATAAATATAGAATCCCAAATCAGACAAAACTTATTAAAAGGTAGAAATACTGGAAACGCTTTCTTAAAGTTTTTCATTGTTTCTTTAATTTCTTTTTCCTAAAGGTAGAGCTTATTTTTTTTTGCATAAACTTGCTAACTGCTTATGTCATTTATCAATTTATAAAATTGAAACGGAAAAAATGCAGGTAATTTTCGGTTCACATGTCTAATTTTCAATAACTTTATAAAATTCATGCAGTGCATCTGAAGTACAGATTAACTAATTTCGCGCTTTTTAAAGTTTTATTTAACTAATTTAGAGCCTATTTCTATTTTTTAATTACTTTCCTCTTCAATTATTTAATCAGAGTGTTTACTTTAATTTAGGAAACTCAATCTTTATGAATGTCTTTTATCATTTTTAATTTTACTTTCAGCTGACTTTTGTGATTTAGTATTATTTGTATTTATGCTTTGGAAAAAAAAATGTTAATTTATGATCAAGATTGAATTTATTTTACTCATTTGAATACTGATATGAAAAATTTGTTGCGAAAGGCTTGAAGTAAATATTTTTACAATTTTCTATTTTTTATTCATGGTTTTCTTTCTAAATTATGCTCATTTAATTTTATATTTAAAGTATATCATTTTGATCTCCATTATTTTTAACATTCTATTATTCCTAAACTGCCAAATTGTCTAAAATTTCATCATCATGATCACCCACTAAACCTTCTTTTCCAAATTTAGAATCATAAAAATCAAAAATTTTTTTTTAATCTTAAAAAGATATTCTAGATGAGCTATATTCATTATCTGTGTGAATTTACTCATTATTATTTTAATTTAAATTTTATAAAATCGAGCTATTCATATTACTTATCTTATTATATTTATTTCTAGTAGAATCAAATAAACAATTTGCTTTTTTATTAATTAATATTAATTAAAAGTAAATTTTGTTTTTCTTTTCTTAACAGAAGCTTAAATTTTAAAATACAAGTTTTTTAGATAAATTTTGGAAGTAAAACTCCTAAATTGAAATTTTTATGCCAAAATATTTAGATGTTAATTTGAGAAATGTAATTTAAATTTAATATTCCTGACCTTTGCTTTAAAGTGTATTTTATAGTTAAACAACTTCAAAAAATATAGAAGAAAATATATTTAAATTAAAATTTTAAGCTATTATAATAAATTTTTTAAAAAAACTTACCTAAGCAAACAAGCAAAAAAGAGTTAATTTTAAATTCAAAATTATATACTAAAAGAAATATAAATTTTAGATGCGAGCATATCTATACAAAACATATACTCTAGATTATCATAAACTAACACTAATTTTAATAGTACAAATAACTTTCTTTGATAATATTAAATATAAAATTTATTAAATTTATTTAATTTTATTTAGTTTCATTATTTCATTAATTAAGGTAGGTAGGTAGGTAGCTCACATATAATTTTTGAAAATATTTAAATGAAATTATATTTATATATGTTGGTAGTTTAAATTTGGTAGTAATAAAAAACAAAAATAAAATATTAAGTTAATTAAGCAATAATTTATTTGAGTTATACTTTAAAATAAATATAAATGATATTAAAGACTTAGTAGATAAGTAGTAAATTATACAGGTGAATTTATTTTTAAACAGCTTCTTGATATGAAGATATCATAACGATCTATAGATATCTCTTAAACTAGAAAGAGTACCAAAGAAGGAAAAAATAACACCTAGTACAAGTAAGCCTCTGTGAAAGTATATTTTTTTTTGTGAAGCTTCTGGCATAGAATACTCATAGACAATGACTGGTAAAATAAATGCAAAAAAGCAACCACCAATAGAACCAATTAAATTTAAAAAGACAGTTAGTCTTTTAAAGACGATTGCAAAAAAGAATATGAATAAAAGAGAAGCTACTCTTAATATCATGCTTTATTAGTAAAATGAATTTTTTATTTCATCATCATATTATGTTAATAAGTTCAATGCATTTCCTTCTGATGCATCAGATTCCTAGTTATCTTATCTATCGTCTGCTTGCTGATTACCTTAATTATGATGTTGGCTTTAATCTACACCTTGCTATGACTTTTTTTAGGGCTAGCTATTTGTTTTTTATTTATTCTTTTCATTGACTATCCTTTCTAATAATTTTTATTCTAAGATATTGACTAAAGGGAACATCTGAAGAGGATAGGATAACAATATTGCTATACAGTAAAAGATTTAAATAAAAACATACAAGGGATTAGTCATAGGGAAATTAAAAAGTATGATGTCTCTAACACCTGATCCAAAAGCTAAATATCCACTCAAACCAATGCACCCATAAAGAGCAATACCAATATAAAGAGAATAATTAAGAACCTTTTTGAACTCAGTTGGTTCTTGCATAGAACTCCTATTAATTTGAAAAAAATTGTTATTTTAAAAAATTATTTAAAAAAATTTTTGTGAAATAAATTTACCTAATTTCAAAATAAAGAGTGGTTCCTTCAAATGCAAACACAAATAAACCTATTGCACTACCCATTTCTCCCCATCTGATAGCTGAAATTTTGTCACTAGTAATGTAAGAAGTGTCCATTTTAAAAAAGCAAGAAATAAATACTACAAGCATACTAATAAGAATTAAACTATTTGAAAACATGCTCCAAGTTTTAAGTTTACTCATGTGTCTGATAAATATTGTAGGAGTAACGATTATAAGTGAAATGAGTAACGAAGGAACTCTTGAACCACATACATTAGTTGTACGATCATAATCTACAAAGAAACAAAGACTCTCTTAAAAATAAGTAGTGAAGAAAATAACATAGGCAACACAAATTCCAATTTAGATTCCAAATAAAAATATATTAACTAATAATTCTTTTTCTTATCCCAAAACTTCAACACTGAATTAGGTAACACCTCTAGCTTAAGATTTTCTTTTGTTTGCTGCATCCATCATCTATAAACTTAAATAAAGAACCATTCCAGCGCAAAGCAAAAAAATTATTAATCCTCCCAACCAACCACTCTTAGCAAAACCTGAAGGTAGTGCTAAAATACCGATTCCAACAAATCCCTTAACCATATTTATAGTTGCATTCCAAACATCAGCCTTTTCTTCATGTTTCAAGTCATCAATTTAATTAGCTTCTTCTGCTGAATCATCACTCCAATTTTCTTGATCTTGAGATTATCTTTTTTATATTCTACTTCCATCACTCTAATTTGATTAGTAGCTCTTTTTTTCTTCTTCTTTGAAATTATATAAAAAAAATAAATTCCAAATAATCAAATAAAATGATTATTAACAATTCTTTAAAATATTTAAAGATCTTCTCCTTACTTTATGAACTGCGATTCTTAATTACGCCCTCATCAGTTTCTATAACTTATTCATCGTTTTTTTTGTTCAAGGGCTCTAAATCTGGGTCGTCATGCCTTTCTTATTATCTTTTCTACTACTTTTTATTGGACTTCATTGAAATATAAAATCTAATTTAAGTCTTTTTGCTATTCTTAGTACTTATAAAATTTTTAATAATAAATTAAAGAAGATTTAATCTTTATTAATTATTTCTATCTCTCAATTAATCAATTACTAAGCAGGCGTTTTTGACGTTTTTGCTTCACATCAAAATATCTACTAAGATTTAAATGTGAATAATATTATATTTATCATCAAACAAATATTGTTGTTTGTTGATAGTGAATTTACTTTTAATTGAAAAAATCAAACAAAATATTTCATAATTAAAAATTTTATTTGAAAATAAAAAATGAAAATTAATTTGTAAAAATGGTTAAAGAAAATATTAATTCATATTTGATTGTTATTTTTAACAGTATTTATTTTTTATTGAATTTATCTTAATAAAATAAAAATAAATAAAATTAATTGTTTATTTTAAGAATTTTATTTAATCAAAATAATATTTTTAAATAGAATCTTTTTCTATAAAAACTAAGATTTATTTTTTTTTTTTAAATTCTAAATAAATTTAAATTAATTTTATTCTTTTCGAATTAAAAAAATTCTAATGAGTTGTTTCTTTATTTCTTGTTTGTTTGTTTGTTTGTTTGTTTCATAATAGCTTTTATTTCATTAAATTTATTAAATTGATTTTTAAGATATTTTAATTTAATTTGTAAAATATTTTTTCGCTTTAAATTAAAATTTCCACATTGTTTGAATAGCTAATAAATACTTATAATTTTAATATATAAACGGAATATAAATTGATGCAATATTTATTTTTGAAGTAGATTGCTTTTGATATTGAAAACGAGTTATTTATTTATTAATTAAAAATAGATAAATTACAGCTCTTTATTTATTAACTACAACTTCTATTCAAAGATATGCTTTGCTTTCACTTTTTGGATAAATGCTTTTTGATGATATTTAATTAAAATTTTTGCTATTTTTGATTTATAGGAAATAAGAAATAAATAATTTGAAAAATGGGCTGTAAGTTGATTTTAAAATGACAGAGAAAGCAGTTTAATAACTATTTTTTATTTATAAAAACTAGGTGCTGAATTTTGTGCAATAATTTCCTTTGTTGGAACCATTTTCTTGGTAGAATTCTTGATATTTTAGATATTTTATTAATTATTGAAAACAGACATAGATTCATTAAAATTTATCATTTTTATAACCTTTTAACGATTCTTTTTAATGAATAGTGTATTTTAGGTATAATAGTAGCTTCAGGCACTAAATTTATTGATTGGGATTTAGGTAATCATAGAGATAGTACAAAATCATCTTTATTTATCACAGCTGCCGTAAATAAATTGATTAATTTCTTTATTAGTTAAAATCATATACCAGTTGGCACATTAGTTAGTTAGTTAACAATAATACAATATGAAAAATAGTCGAAATTCTATTAGAAATTAATTATCCATTTATAAAAAATAAATAGCTATATTTCGTCTTCTTCTTGCTCTCTATGATTTATAAGTGGAGAAAAGATAAGAGATTGGCTGAAGAAGCTGCTTCAAAAGCTGTTGGCAGAAGAAGACTTATTTCTGGTGATGACGATGGTGATTCACAAAACAATCAACCTAATTAAATTAGATCTAATAATTATGCAATTAATTGAAATTAAGCACTTTAATAGTATTTTCGATATTATTTTGACTACTCTAACTAAAGAGAGATAATTAAATTCTATTCTTACTAGCTAAAATAACTATCACTTAAATAAAATATCTCTGTACATATTAGATAGAGATTATCAAAATAAATTATTTTTTATTTGAACTAATTAGTATAAAGTGTGTGTATGTGTAAATATTCGAGGTATAGATAAAATACTATCCAATAATTCATTCTTGCACCAATAAATTTTATTTATAGCTCCAAATTATGTTGAATTAATTGCTTATCTATTTATCTTATAAAATATTTATTTGTGATGAATTGATTAATTATTAGTCAATTTGTATGGAGAAAACCAAATAACATAATAAAATAAATATTTAGCAGAGTAAATATTTTTTGGTGTTTGTTTAATCATCTAAAATTTTTTATGAAATATTTCTTTCTATTTTAATTCTTTTAAAAAACTAAAAATAGAAAGTTTGATAAGATTATTTTATTCATATATCAAATAAAGGAGTAAAATAAATTAGTTATTTCGCTAAAAAGCAATATAGAAAAATTATTTGTCTTATTTAGATGGATAGATATGATATAAGCATGAATGGTATGATTTAAATTCAAAATTAAATTATTTAGTTTATAAAAAGCATTCTTATTTAAGTAATATTTTTAACTCATTTTTTTTTCATACTAAAATAAATATTTAAAATATTACTTAAAAAGAAGATTTGATTGTGATTTAAAAATTTATTAAATAAAAATTTGTATTCAAAAAAAATAGAAAAAATACTCAAAACAAAGAGAATACTTTCAATAAATATCTTCAAAATTAATGTTATAATGGATAAATTAATTTTAAAGGTGAATTATGTTCTTCATGCTAATAAATAAATACAAATAAAATATGTAAAGCATGATAAGAATATTACTAATTATAGTTTTTATAACTGCATATGATTTTATAGATAATAATTTATGCTGTAATAAAAACTAAAAATATTTATTCAGTATATTACTAGTATAAATTAAATGGACAAATAGTACCAAATATTATTAAATATTCTAAATTAATTTACTTCTAAATATCATAATTTATATATAAATAATACTTTATCAATATGTAATAAAAATATGTATGAAATAGAATTAATTATTTATTATATTAAAGTAATATTTATGTTATTATATTACATTATTTATTTATTATCAAGGTGAAATAACTGTCTGTTTACCAAAGATGATCCAGATATAATACAGAGAGACAATACCTTAAATTAAAATTGTATATGGTGTTTAAATTTTATTATAAGAATTGTAAAAGTAAACACAAATTAGCAAGTTTGTTTTTTTGAAATTTTTTTGGATGATTATTGATATCTACTTACTTATTTATTCTTTACAAACTAGAATCAAGCTATCAATAGAACATAAATCAATTTCAAAATATTTCAAGCTTATCGTTTTATAGAATAATAATTTTGTTATATTTATTAAAAGATTGAAAGGTAAAAAACAAGCAAATAAGTAAATAAATCAAAAAGTGAAATACAATTCAAATGTCAATAGATTTAGTAAATATATTTAACATTCCTAACCGAAGCCATAACATTTTTTTAAATATAAGAACAAACTGAAAAGGCTATTTAAAAAATCTTAAAATGGGAAGAGTGGCTGCTCTAAGATCAAAGAGATGCTTGAGCAGTTTACATTTTTCAAAAACATTTAAAAAAAGATTAACCCATAGAAATATGATGAGTTGATTAATGAATTAAGTTTGGTAGAATATAAAAAATATTAGAAAGTGTTTAGCTATGGTAAAATAAATATTATTAGATTAAGCACAAAACTAATGCTTAAAAACAAATTATATTTAAATAAGGCGATATGGGCAGAAAATTTTATGTTATTTTGCAAGGTAGCGTATTCATCATCACGCCAGATAATACATCGTTTTCATTTGATAAATAAGAATAAAAAGAAATAGATTACTCTTTCTTGGAAAATCAAGATGACAAGGAAATCTACGAATAAATGATAAAATTATACAGCAATATGAAAATAGTTTCAGTTTTAAAGCAAGATAGCACATTTGGAGAAGTTGCACTTCGCTCTAATGTCCCAAGGTAGGCTTAACCTAAATCTGTTGAACTTTTTATATATAGACTTTCTTGTTAAATTTAAAATAGAAAATTTCTATACAACAAGTTTATTTAGTTTTTAAGATACACAAAAAGACATTTAACAATAAAAAGAACTCTACTTCCAAGCAATTCTGTTAGCTGAATAATTAAATACTTAAGAGTCTCAAATGTTTAAAATAAAAAATCTTTTGGCAATATTTTAACTTAAATATTTAAATAATATTGAATGAAAAATGGAAATTTTTAGAACTACATTAAAGCTTTTTACAGTAAATATCATAGAGAGTTTACTTTAAAAAGAGGATTGATTTTAACTACAGTTTATTATCCTTGAATTGAAGAATAAAAAATTATATAATTTTATAAACAAAAAGTTATTTAAATAATGTAAAAATTTTAAATAATGAAAAAGCATACACATTCAAAAACCAAAAATTGATAATTGATAATTCAATAAGTTTCTTTAAGTAATTAAAAATAATTTAAAGCCATAATAAACAATTAAATTGCTATTTTTACAAAAAGGAATAATTTTATTTAAAGAAATGGAATATTTTATTGAAATATTAAAATATTTAAAAATAAAAAATAATGAGAAAGTTTAATTTCAAAAATTTTTTAGTTAATATTTTGGCTAAATAAATTATTTGTTTTTTTATTTGCTAAAGAACTGCTACTGTCATATGTAGAGAAGAATGCACTTTGATTGCTATAAATGTTGATGTGTATAACTCAATAGTTGGTAAGATAACATTATTAATATAAATTATCTTTAATTTTACTTTTAAAGAGGAATATTACTCCGCTCTGTATGAAGAAGATATTTCTTTCCTTTAGAGGTTTCCTTTTTTGTAAGGGTGGGAAAAAGCTCACATTACAAATCTTATCAGGTATGTCAGAAGGGTTTAGTGTTTTGGCAATCAAGTTATTTACAATATTGGAGATCCTGTTGAGAAAATTTATCTTATTAAACACGGAGAGTTCGAAGTAATTTGCATCTACTAATTAATTATCTTAATTCCTGTTAAATTATCTATTATAACTATTTTTAAATATTATAAAGATTTACTAGACAGATAAAACCTTACTCAATAAAACAGAAGATTATTAAGAACCAGATGAATTGGATGATTTAAATATGCTGAGGAGAAAACAAAAGAAAGAATAGTTGTGCAGATCAGCTATATTGAGCGATTATTGCTCGTTTGGTATTGAAGAAATAGGTTCTTAATAAACTAAGAGACTTAATAAAGTTGTTTGTACTTCATCGGAAGCGCTTCTATATGTTATTGATAAAAATTCTTACTTTAATGTTATGTAAGATAGAAAGCTTATCAAAGACCTTGCAACAGAAAATAACACAAAATAAATTTGGAGAGAAAAACATGGAGAAGAGAGAAAAGTACTACTTAAAGGCTTTTATTCACCAAAAATGTCATTATAGCAAGAAAGTTTAAGCTTCAACCACTTAGCAAATTAAGAACTCTCTCACAAAAATGAAAATGACAACACTTTTGCAGGAAAAGCTAAACCACCAAAGTAAAGATATAGCTTATAATTAACAAACAGAGCGTCTATTTAGCACTTCTAGATGTAAATGTAAAAAAACTAGACAAGTGAATTTAATTTTTCTTCTTAAGCTTCAACTAATCATCTATAAAATGAGAATCATTCAGAAAACAAATAAAATTCCCTTCATAAATTACCTTAATTTTAAAATAAATCTAAGCAATAACTCTCTACTTCAAAGCTTCCTTAAATAAACTCAATTAAAGAAATCGATATTAATAATATTTAAGACAATTATTTCTTACCTTAAACCACTTCTAATATAAGCTAATCAAAACTAAACCTCAAACCAAGAGGTTCTGCTTTTGTTTCATCATCTAATTCTAAAATTATTGAAACAAATAATAACAATAACTCACAAGTAAATTTTTATTTAATTGGTTCTATTTCACACTTTTAATTTTTAAAAAGAGGAGCTTAACAGTAAATCATAGACCTAGATTTTCAAATGAAGATGCACAACTTAATGAAAGACCTTTACTAGACTGCTATGTGAATGCCATGTTAAAAAAGACAATGATAAGCTCAAATTAAAAGAGCCACAAGGTTTTTACTTAGAAAGAATTTTTTGCAACAATTAGAAAAACATAAGAAAAGAAAAGATTCTGCACTCCCAATTAAGAGGGGAAAAACTATATTTATTCTTTGCATAAATAAAAAGACAATCCAAGTGAAATAAAACCTCATTCAAATATGAAAGAGCTACATGGTGGAATAGAGGGTGTTTTAGGTGATCTTTTGAATGACCAAAAAGTAAAATAAGACCTGAATAATATTAAAGCTACTTTTTTACATGAATAGCGTATGAGTTAAAATAATAATCAACTATTAAGAAAATTTACAGCAAACTATAATCTCTGACAATTGATTTAGTCTTTTTTTCTTTCTTTACTTATTTCTTTCCAATTGCTATTTTAAAAATATAATTTGGCCAATCAATAACAATTATTACTTATAATATCGTTATATAAAAAATTAATTAAAAATATTAACTGTATACTTATTATTCATCTTCTTATATATTTATTTATTTGTAAATGATAAATACTTATTTGTCTAAGTCTTGCTGACTGGTTCATCTCTCTATTCTTTTTTTGACTGATTTATTATCTAACTGATTATATATACCTCTCTCTTTTTCCAAGTTTTTTTATAAAAATGTAATTTTTCCAATAATCAATAATGGCTATTACCTTAAAATTTCCTATAACTAGTAAATTTATAACAAGAAAATTTTACTAGTTGTTTCTTATTCAAGCCTTTTAAATTTGGAAATTTTCTAGAAAACGGGAGGAATAAAATTAAAATAATTAAGGTAAATAGTAAATAATTGTATATATATTTACTTACTTACTATACATTTATCATTCTTTTATTTTATTGAGAAGCAGCTATGCTTTAAAATTATTTTTATCTTTTCTTTAATCTTTTAGAAGAAATTTTTTGAAAATTTTTTAAATAAATATAAAAATGAAGAGTGTAAAGCGCAATTTTGATAAAACTTGGCTTTTTTGATAAATAAATATTATCTGTTTGATTTTATTTTAGCTTTTTAAAAGTAAAAATAAATAAAATTTCTTGTTTGAATATAAAATAATTTTTGTATTTTTAAGCATTTCATTTGGATAATTAAAATTAATAAACAAACAACAAACATTTGAATATCTTTATGAATTAAATTATTTTCATGTTTATATCTTTTATTTTAATTTTGAGAATTAAATTTTAAAGAATATTTGAATAAAATAAATAATTAAAAAGTTATTTTACTTAATTATCAATCAATCAATAGAGTATTCTTTCTTAAAATTGCTTCTTTTCTAAACCATAAATTAATTTAAATAAAAAAATATGAGATAACAAACTACTTTTTTTAATTTAAAATTAAAAATGTAATCGTTAATTTATTTTAATTTTTAACAATTTTTTCTCTGTTATCAAATAAATTTTTTTTTTTACTCTCAAAACTATTTTCAAACTTTTGTTTTAAAAAATATTATTTTTTGTATGCTATCTATAATTCATAATTGAAATAAAGATAAATAATTTGTTTTACTTGTAGGCCTTGTTTTTATTATTAACATCATTCCTATTCAAAAATTTATTTGACACTCTAATAATCTTATGTTTATCTAATTTTTTGCGCTCATAATCTTCAGTCGTTCGTTTAATATTTAATTTAAAATTTTAAGAATCATAAATTAAAGTTGTATTAAAAGTTTAAATAATAAATTCAAATAGTAATATTTTCTCAAATTTTAGCTTAAATATAAACAAATTTATTAGAATAATGAACGAAGGAAAAGGTTAGTAGTTATTTAAAAGTTATACTTGAATGCATTAATCAATAAAATATTATTTTTAAATTTAGAATACGTACAGATTTAGGGAAAGCCATAACCAAATAATTAAAGGAGAGAAATAGGCGATGATGCTGTTTGGACTTTAAGTTCTGCAAAACCAGGAAATGGCGTAGATTAGTTAAGAGATGGGGATGAAAAAACATTTTGGTAGTAATATTGTTTATTTATTGGCATGTTTAAGTTAAATTTTCGCTAAAATTAGATCAGACGGTAATTAGCCTCATTTGATTAACATATAATTCCTTAAAAAAATGAGAGTTCAAGTAAATTATAAAGTTTAGCAGTTTAGAGTTTAGGAAATTAAATTACATAAATTATAGGAAGTCGCAATGTATCTAGATTTTAAAACTGATGAGAGTTATACTCCAAGCAAGATATCTATAAGAGCAGGAACAAATTTATAAGATTTAAAGGTAAAGCGACATTAAAGTTAAAAATTTGAAAATAAATAAAATAATCATCATCAAAATTAAAAGGAAAATGTATATGTTGAATTGGTAGAGCCTTCAGGATGGTATATTTTCCCTTTAAAGACTAAATTACTTGATGAATCAGAAAAGTAAATAAATAAATAAAATGATCTTTGAAATACTCTTATTTCTAAATTTATTTTAAATTTATTAAATAAATAGGCCATATATACTGACTATGAACCTATAAATTGCTATTTTGCAAAACTAGCACAGCGGTAAAGATACTCACATAAGGCAAGTTTTAGTGTTTGGCCCGAGAGAGTAAAATAAAAATATTTCGAATTTGAAATTATATAATTTTTTTAAAGAAAGTAGAACCAAGGTTTAGGTTTTCCTGATTTTAAAAGCCCAGAAATTACTTAATACTACTCAATTAGATGAAGAAATGTAGTTTAAATATATGCTTAATAGTAAAAATTATATAATATATTCTGTTATTATAATATTAATAATAAAAGTTATATAATTATTTATTTTCAAAATATTTAAGCCAGCCACAACATAATTAATATTTATTATCAAAAATTCAAATAAATTATAAATAATAATTTATCAAAATCAAATATTATGGAAGTTAATATTGTATTTTAGTATTATATTAATTAAATTTGTATTCTGTTTTTTCACAATTAATTACTTTCTTCTTCCCATATCTATAATAATTTTTAAAGACTAGTAAAATAATTATTATTAAATCTAATCAAATAATAAAATAATCAAAAATTCAAATATTTATTTAGATATTTCAATTAAAAATAGTCTTTTATATAATATCTAAGAAATAATAAATATATTTTATTTCTATTCACTTAATATATAATAAAGCTACTTGTTAATTTTATGTAACATGAGAAATTTAATATAAGTAAAACTTAATTAGAATGTTTTATCACTTTAATTTTAATTAAATAGAGCTTGTTTACTTGTAGAATTCTATTAAAATATTTATAAGTCATTTCAAAAAATTGATTTAGTAAACAGGAAGAGTCATAAATAAAGTTTTAAACCCTACTTAACTCTTTTACTGCTTTTTAAATCTCTCATTTATTTTTTATTTATCTTAAATTTCCATTAACAATTTTTGTTTAAAATAGATTATGAAATTAGAATAATTTTCTTTATAAATAAACAAGGAATAGTATTTGAGTAGTATTTATTTATTAAATTTAAGTAATTCTTTATAAAGGTTTGATTTTAGAACTTATCATAAATAAATAAGAGCTACCTAATGTTACATCAAAATAATATAAATATTTCTTAAATAAATTAGCAACAAAAATAGCTTTTTCACTTGATATATAGTTTGATTTTAAAATAGCTTTTGTTTCATAGCTAGGTTTTTATTAGTTAATTTCTTCTTCTGTAAACTTTTTTCTTAGAGTAAAGCCATATTTAATATTCAATCACAATAAAGTATTGTTGAACAAAACAAAACACAGATATTTATTACTTAAACATTCTATCAACAAAATTTTTATTTATTGCTGAATTTAAAGTTTTATTTCATAGATTTTTATACTTTTATACTCAATTTTTTTTTTTGATTTCTATTATGAAATCTCATTAAAAATTTATTATAAACAATACTTAGTAAAGAAGATTCTATGGTGAAAGCTAAAAAATATTTTTAAATTATTTTATAGACAATATTAAACTAGTGATATATAAAAATTATATTGAATAACCACAAAGAAAAAATAATATATAGACATTAAGTAAGTAAATGATGTTATTCATACTACTAAACTAAACTGACTGACTTTTGCTCAAATTTTTGTGGCTAAATTTTATTTAGTTAATTCAATGGCTATGAGGAACAGGGGTGATTAAAGGATACATTTGATGCATGTAGCAACAAACCCATAATAACCACATACCAATAACAGAGATAATCACTGAAACAATAACAGTTCTAATTTATTTATTTATAAAATTTTTGTTAATATTTAAATCGCATCAACTCAATAAATTTGCAAATATTCAATCGAACAAAACTATCTTAAAATTATTTGTTTTGAAAACCTATTTCTAAATGAAAATAATCTAAATGCTGCTAAATTATATCGGAAAATCTAATTTTTGCTAACAAAATTATTTAGCTTAATTAGCTATTGAGTTAGAGTAAATATTTGCATTAATTATCGATATTTGAAGTAAGCTAAATAGAAAATAAAAAATGTATTTACCCTCTATTTTCATAGTATAAAGTTCTTTCAGAGTTTAATTTGGGAGCATTAGAGTGGAAAGACTTTTTAACATAATTATCTATAACACAGTAAGCTACTATACCAAGGAATATGAAAATGCAAGAACCAACGATGATACCTGTAACTGGATCGGCCATTTCTTTCTTTATTAATTTTGTATGCTATAATAATTAATTATATTTACTTTTGATTTGATTAAAAGTTAGTTGTTTATTCAAGATATTTTAATTATTAATTTATTTATTATATTTGATTTTAGTTTCTCCTTTTGAAATTCTATCTTATTTTATTTACCAAACCATTTTAATTAATTAATTTTTATAAAGAATAAATCAAACCAACATTTAAACCTACCTCATTCATTTTAAAACTCACCTTTTAATTTTATTGTTATTATCTATCTATCAATCAATCAATCAATCAATCTATCTTTATTTCTTTTCATCTATTTCTACTCAATCTTACCTTTTATTTCGTCTGATTTCTTCCTTTCTTTTAACATTTTATTGTTTATTTTTTTTTATTTACATTTTATTAAGCTTAGTTCTATTGCTTTTTCCTGAAAATTTCTAATAAATAAAAATTATCTACAATTATTTAGCTTATTAAAGTAATGTAGATATTTAATTCATACTATTATTCTAGTAATTTTACAACACAATTTTTAAGTCCATTTTAAATTTAAGATCATGATAAATATCTTTTAAAATTTATCTTTTTTCTATTTTATATTAAAGATTGCAATAGGTAATGGAAAGAGTTAATTATTATTTGATATTAAGATAATTATTTGAATCCTTAAGGTATAAATTATACTAGAAACTTAATAAATATCATCTATTTTATTTTTTATAAAAGCAAATTAACAACATTCTGAATTAGAAAAATCATATCTAATTTTTGAAATAAATTGATATATATTGAAAGATATAATTTTTCTTTTTAAAAATAATTTGATAGATATTTAGTCAAGTATTTTTAATAGATTTTAGATTCATGTAAATTTATGTAATAAATAAGGTTTATTTTATCAGCCAATAAAAAACTTTTTTGTTTTTATTTTTTTAAAATTAATGAAAACCTTTTAAATATTCTAAATTTAAAATCTTAAAAAAACAGAGAGTTACAATTTCCTTAAGTTAAAATATACTTTAAATTAGTTTAATAATATTTGTTATAAGCAATTATTGTCTCTTAATATTTTACTTGTGATTTAATTATTACTCTTTATCAAGTTTTAATATTTATTTATTTTTGTTTGTTGAAATATTTATTTTTTTTCTTAATTAAAAAAAAATCAAGTTAAATAAAATATTCTTTTGAAGTATAAAATTATTTCGGTTTAATTGGTATTAATTGAACTTAGACAATTAAAGATATTTTAAAGTTAAATTAACATATTAATTAATTAAATATATTTGCTTTAAATAGTAAAATATTTGTAAATTAATTATTTGATTTGAATTATTTTATTAATTTTAATTTTAGATTTAATTATTTATTTAATATATATATAAATATTACTTCTGCTTATTATAACATTTTTTAAGAATTAAATAATGCTTGGTTAATTATATTAAATTTAATTTAGAAAAATGTTTTTTATTTTAGATAAATAATATTAGATTTTTGTAGTTTGTTTTAACAGTTTTGAAAAGAAAGATACTCACATTTTTAAAATTTTATATTTGCAACTTAAATTGGAATTAATTAATTATCAGTGATAATTTTACTTTATCATATATTTCATTGATTAAGTATTTAAAATTTTTAAGAAGGGAATTAGATTAGATTTTATAAAATAGCTAACTTAAATGGACACAACTACTATAGAGTCGTTAGCTAATAGCTAATAAAAAAAGCTCATTTTGCATTTTGATATAAATAAAACACTTGTTTTAGCAGATACTAGGTTGAGACACTCTAAAGAAGATTCAGTATAATATATAAATATATTGATATTATTAAATAGTATCATTAAAATCAGCAAATTTGCTGAAGGGGTTAAAAAAGATACATTTTTATAAAATAGCTAAACTTATTGTTGAGCAAATATGCTTGGGGTAGAATAGAGTAAAAGGATTCTGAATCATATTGGAAATTGGGTAACAAATAAAAGAAGAATAAGTTCGCATAAATTACAAAATAATTTATTATTATATAAATTAGTTACAAATCACTTCTCCTTTACGAAGCCAGAAGAAGATCTTATCTCCTACAAGTAAAATAAATTGATAAAGTAGCAACTTAAATGTAATATAAATATATGAAATAAGTTAATATATTAGCTCTTTGCTTCCTGAAATAACAGCAGAGCAAGAACCTACATAGGAAAAGCGAGACGAAGAAAATAAGAAAATAAAGTAACTAAAAATTTTAACTCTCAAATCAATAAATTAATTTTATGAAAGCAATTCAATCATAATTTGTAAATTTATGATAAAAGCATGTAGAGATAGTAATATTATAATACATTTTGCAGATCGAGCAGCCCAGGCATGAAACTAAAGCCTGAATATGATAGAATTTTGAAAAATATATGCATTCCTGCTAATGTGCAAGAAGATATAAAACAATAGATAGTAAGTAGTATATATTACTTTAGTAGATATTAGTTCTAATTAGTATTTAAAAATAAGGAAAAATTATCTTAGTAGCAGGGAAAGCAGCAACTTCCTGATGCCAATTAGAATACTTAGAGGATATTTAAGTCAGATTAAGAATGTGTTTATCCTACACCTAGCAAATACCTTTAGTTTTTTTAAGATGGAAAATATTAAATACTTCCTGGGTTTTATAGAATGATCATATAGCTTTTAAGACTTAAAAGAGATTTCACTATTGTTTTTCATTCATTTGCTGATAACCTCTATGATATAATTGCAGAATTTAATTTGTACAATCAATCTCTTTAATTACAAAATATTTGATAAAATCATTTATTAACTCTAATAAAAAGATTTTGTAGAGGTGAGCATCCATGCTACAATGGTAAAAATAACACTCCTTAAGTTAGATTAGACGGAGTGAGATCACAAAAGAACTTTATAATTAATGAAAGAAGTATGGGATTAATATATCGTTATAATGAAGATGTAAATGAATCTGCTTTGGTTATGGGTACTCTAAAAAGAGTTCCTAAAATAAAAAATTTAGAAGATGAATATGAGAAGGAGTTAGAAGAAGATTCTATTAGCATACATAAAGGAGTTCATACAATTTACAGTTATTTGAAATAAATGAGTTTAGAGGTAGCATTTATTTGAAAATGATCTTCTTCAACTATTATAAAATTTGTCAAAAATAATATAGAGAGGAGCATTTGCACTTAACCATGACTATCAGTTTTGGGTTAATAATGGATAAAAAAATTAATTCAGCAAACCTCTTTTAATAGACTAATAAAATTTAGATGCCTTACATATATTCTTTGACGACAATGTTACAGAGTAAGCAATTATTATTTTTATAGAAAAAATTACTTTATTAAATGAAAATAAACACAAATTTTGTCTAAACATACTTTAATTCATCATAAATAAAAAGCATTTCATCTTCTAAATCTAAGTTGTGGTATTTAATTCAAGCTTATTATCATTTTGTTTTATTATACAACTTAAAACATAAATTTTTATGAGAAATTAGAGTATATTCTTTGAAAAATTTTTAACAAAATATTTTTTTTATTTAAATTTTGTAGAGGCGATGATTGCATTATAGATTTGAGAGATGCAGTCACAGGATAGCAAATACCAATAAAGAAATCAATTGATAAGTACTTAGTAACTATTTCGATGCTGGATTTACTGAGGGATCCTGACTATTTGTTAAAGTGTATAGACACTTGTGAAAAGAAAAGAGATGAAGAAGTAAAAAATATGCATTTTAAGTTTTTTCTTGAATTATTTTTTTAGATTTATAGGATTATTAATGGTATTTCAGAAGAAGAAGTAAAAAAGCCTGAAAAATCTAAATTTTAACTGCTCTAAGAGTCAAATAAATCCGAATATTTAAGACACACTGTGTTACCACTTTTATATCCAGTATATTTAAATATTTAATTAGTAACTACTATAAATATTTTATTTTTATTAAGGCATTCTAGCTAGTTGATAAGGAAAGACCTCATGATCCTATAAGTTTTATAGCCCTTTATTGCTTAAAAAATTAAGATAAAGTAAAAGTTCCAACTCCAAACGAAGAATATTTATAAGAACACCAATAAAAGTATAAATCTTTGGAAAAAATAGTTTAAAGTAGTTAGCAAGAAGGATAATAGAGTTTAAATAAATTATGAAGATAGATAGAGTGAGTATTTTTATTTATTTATTTATAATGCATATTAAATTATCTATTTCAAATAAAAAGAATGCACTCATTTAATTTATTTAAACATTAAATTAAAATATATTTTTATTATTTTGTGTTTATTTTTAAATAAAATCTGGTCAGAAAAACGAATTTCATTCAAAAAAGTGTTGCTGAAATTATTTGAGGTTTAATAAAATATGTTTTTTTATTAATAAATAAATATATGCAAGCAATAGTATACATGCATGCAATTCATTTAATCAATCAAAATATTTTGTTAATTCTATTAAAATTTCTTTTGAAAAGAAACAAGCAAGATTGATAATCAATTTTGATATTAACTTTTTTAATATAATGTAAAATAAAATCAATATTTTAATTACTATAAATATTAAGAAGAATTTTAGATTTATTTCTTTAAAGAAAAAATATCAAAAAGTAAGTTGATAGGTAGGTCAGTGCAACAAATTTAAAGGGTTAGAGAAAATATTCAAAGTTTAGCATGGAATTAAACTCGTAGTATTTTGATACATTATTCAATGTAAATAGAATTTCGCATGGGATGAAGTGCTTTGTTAGAAGCACAGATAAATGCAAAAAAGCCTTCGAAACCATTGGCTTAACGCCAGCAGAATTTCTTAGACCGTTTGGTAGAATGGCTAACAAAGTTGATTTTAATTCAATAAATGGCAAAAAGAAATTAGTTTAAAATTTTTGCTTGAATTTTATTGATGAGAAGGAGTACAGAATTCCAAATAAACAAGATATGGAACTACAAATGCAAAAAGTGTTAGAAAAATATATTCCTAATTTGAACAACATAAGCGTAATATTTTTAAATTATATAATTAAAAATCAAAGAATGATAATAAAAAGTAAGGAAGCAAATGAATTTTACAAATAATATTGTATAATTAAATAAATTAGGTAAATTACAAAACTTAAAAGGGACTTGATGAGCATATAGAAAGTCAAAGGACTGTATGGTTTGAAAAATGTAGCGAATGTATTTTAGATGTAATGTATATATTTATGTTTAAAGACAGCAAGCAACAAATAGAAAGCGTATCAAAAAACAAAACAAAATGAGCTTATGTCCACAAATTTTTAAAAGAATTTTAAAATAAATTTTAAAATTGTTTTTAGTTGCTGTTTTTATTAGAGAAAAAATATTTATTTAATATTTTTAATAATTTAATAAATAAATAGTATTGTAAATTCGCGCATCCATTTACATTTACAGATTAGCCTTTCTATTTGATTAACTTTATTAGTGTGGACGAATAAGATCCTTTCAAAGCTATTTAAGCCCTTGAGTAACTTAATAGAATAATTTTAGATTGTTAAATAAAAAGAATCTTAATTTTTAAAAAAGGCAAGAAACTGCTCCTTAGTTAAAAGATATTTTTAAAAATAATCCTTAGGAAATATAAAATGGAAATATTCCAAAAGCTAACTTTATTGTTTATGATTCATCCAATCCAAAATAATTTGAAGCAGCTCAAAATATTTTAACTGCATTTAGATAGCGCTTAGATCAGTATTTAAATAGAATCATTCCAATTAATTCAGCATAGGCTATTTTCGATTTATAACCATAGGAAAATTATCTAGAAGCAAGATATTTTATAAAGCTTGCCACCCCTTTTAACAAGACTAAAGCAGTCCTTTCTCAAGACGATTTCAATAAAATATAGCTTACTATCAACGTAATTTAATCAAATTAAAATATAAATTTTTAAACCTTTAATTTATTTTAGGAATTTGTGATATCTTTCTTAGTTCCTAATATAGAAGCTAAACTAAAACAATATCATATTTAGTATATTTAGTAAAAGAAAACATCTTTCTGGTCAGTGATTAAGGTAAAAATTAAAAAATAAATAAATAAATATATCTTGTTTGTTGGAGTATAATGAATGATTCTTATCTGTTTTATTTTAGAAAATAGGTAAGGGAGATGATGCAAGGCCTGAAGTAGGTGGTGCATATCAGATGTCACCTTATGAAAGCATAGTGAGATACATAGGTGATGTCCTTTATCTAATGCATGATTATGAATAATGTTAAGAATTTTATAAATACTGTCAGGAAGCATTTAAAGTAAAATTAGTAAAATTATTAACTAAATTAAGTAAAATGTAAAAAAAATTAGAGCAAATCTTTTAGACATTATGCAAGTGCAACTGAAATGCTTGTATACAGCTAAGTTATGTGTCACATTGAGCTAAGAAACCCAATTAATAAAAATGATGTATAGTAGATAGTAAATTAACTTACAGAAGCTATTACTTACTACACTTACTAGCTTAACCACACCCAATTTGCAATAAGGGGAATAATATTCAAAATATACATTCAATTCATATGTAAGAATTTCGCTTTTAACTCATTTAAAATAAATAAATAAAGGAATTTAATGCTTTATTTGATAAAACTTACTTTTAAATTAAAATAGATGATAAATTCGATACCATTGTAAATTAACATGTTTATGATATTGGCTATTTGATAAAAGAAAGAAATGATACCTAAAAAATTTAGTAATATCCATTATTTAATTGCTTAATACAAGAACAATATGCGATTTTGCTCCTAAAGTAGAAACCTAGCAGGTTCAGAAAGTATTGCTAAAATCTCTTGTATGCTGGTTATTAGTTTGGAAAATATAAATTTAGACATCATGCTCTAAGGTGCTTCTTAATTATTTATAAGGAGTATGAGTCTAGCAAATGGACTTGGTTATAAGATTTTTTGTATAAGTAGCTAGCTAAATACTTCATAGAAATTTCTGACTATAAAAACAGTTATAAATATGTTAAGTTGTTGTTGAAAAACGTAGAGAGAAGAGATTCATTAGAAAAACATTAACAAACAATTACAGATACCGAAACATTTTTGGGTGCATTAGAGAAAACTTCAAATTTCCCTTTTAAAGATGACGATCAAAGCTATATTCCTTTGCCAGAAGTAAATTGAATAAATAAATAAAAGTTATGAAAAAAAACAATTTAAAATTTTGAAATTTAAAAGGTGTCATAAAAAAGTTTAGATATAATTTTGTCTGATGAAATGTTATTTGACCGTTCTAATCAAAAGCTATCAACATTGCAAAGTATGAGTATGCCAGGTGTTCTGAGCTATATGCTATTTAGTGAGAGAGAAAAATCAGTTATGCATTGGGATGAAATGGGTTTAAAGCTTTTAAACAATAGCTAATATAAAGACAATATGAGTAGATAAGAGATTGAAAGAGAAAATTGTATATTAAAGAGTTTCTCTGCTCTCTGTACAGAAGATAAATAAAGTTCTTTTGATGTTAGAGGAGACCCAAAATAGCAATTCAGAATAGCCTACATAGATGAAATGATAATGATCAAATTTGAGTTAAGCAATCCTTTGAGAAAAAATTTTAAAATTGAAGAATTCTCATTGTATTACGACTTTGAACCAGAGACAGGAGATGATGCTGCTGTAAATCCTCCAATTTAAGAATTAAAATAACCATTAGAAATCGGAGAGTTGAAAAAGCTTCAAGTAAAACAAATAAAAATCAATATATATTTGATACTTTTTAACAATAAAATTAAAATTAATTTATTTGATAAATATAATTTTGCATAAATAAACTTCTTCAATAAAATAATATTTAGTTTTTTTTAAATAAGTTTAGAATTATTTGTTAAATAAATTTATATAATGAAAAATTTAATAGGTTGGTATAAAAATTATTCCAAAGTGCAGAGGTATACTGACAATCAAAGGGTTTAAATGGAAAGTATTCAAAATCCCAGTTATATTCTAATTTGATATTAAAGGAAAACTTCAAAAAGATGGAATAACTAGATTCAATAATTTTTCTAATAGAATTAAAATATTCCCATCAACAGGCAAGCTGATATTAAGAGCTATAAACTTTGAAAGCAAAATATACTTTGGAGAAGTAAAACCATTAGTTCTAGAGCTTAAAAACGAAGGCTGTTTTCCTATTAAAGATATCAGAGTTATTTTTTCTGAGCCTTATACATATGGAAAGAGCCACTTAAATCTACCAAACCTAGTTATTCAACCAGGAGCTACTCATGTTGAGAAAATCTTCATTCGTTCAAGCAGTAGCAAAGAGTGCTTGATCAAGTTTTTGATAGCATATAGATCCGAAAACAACCCTTACTTCCGTTATGCTAGATTTTAACAAATAGTCTAGGTAATTAATTAAAAATAAAGTTTGTTTTAATAATTTTTAGAGAAATAATTTTAATAATAAAAGTTTTTTTGAAAAATCTATTTTGATATAAAACAAATTTTATTAGAAAAAATTTTGATTTAATTTTTAGTTGAATGAATTTTTAGAAAGAATGCCAAAGCTAAAAATTTAATTTTTTATTACAAAGCTAATTTCATTTTTTACACAAATCGCAATAAAACACTCTGAATAATAAAATGAATACAGCTTCATTATTTAAGAGTTAGTAAAAATTATTTTGTTAACAATAATTTAATCGCTAAATCAAAATTTTCGATGCTTTGTCAAATATAAAATCATTTATTTGACTTTAATTGATTTAAAATATAAAATTTTTATGGTTAAAGTTATTTTGAATTAAAATTATCATATTAAAATTTGAATATAAATAAATGAATGATGTAATCAATAGTCGTAAATGAAAAAATAGATTATAACTCCAATCTATATTACTTAAGTGTGAATTATATTATCAAGAAAGTATATTTTTTTAAGAAAATTAGCAATCGATAATTCGAGCTTGTAAATAAATATGTAAATCAATCAATAAATAAGTAAATAAATAAGCTAACAAATACTTACGAATAGTCATATGCTTAACGCATACACTGTAACTAAATTTAATAGCAAGCTTCTAAATTTATAATTGGAAATTTAATAGAAAATTTTAGGATGAAAAACTAATATTTTGAAAAAAAAACCTGATAATTAATTAATTAAATATATATGGTAATTATAAAATCTAATTTTGATGAAGGGACGTCAATTAATTATAATTAAATCATACAATTTAATAAAAATTCATCAGTAAAAACATACGCTACAAAATTTACTAACTTTTAATAGAAAATACCCATTTCTAACGACATAAAATTTTACACTTTATAATAAGCTATCAAATTAAATACTCCAAAATTAACAATGATATTTTTATAAACAGGTCACTCAATCTTTCATGATTGTTTAGTCTCCTTTTTATATTTACGATTAATACAGTTTACACCTTCTAATAGATGATTAATTCCACCATAACTTTATCAAAGCAAAGCCAGAAGAACCTAAGCTACAAATGTAGATAAGCAAAGGCCCTAACATCATGGTGCAATCATAAAATTTAACTAATCTCCTTGACTTAGACCTTACTTCATCTGACTCCACTGCTATGGATTCAAGCTTATTTAACAAGGAAACAGATGAAAATTATTCTTTGAAAATCCATCAGCTAATTTTGATTGATAATAATTGGAGATTTATTTCTTAACCCTTTTTTGCTAAGAGTTAAGAAAAATCTTACTATTTTAATATAGGTCTTGGACGTCTTTCGCTGAATAGAAGAAAGACTTCTCATTATCATAGCTAAGAAAAAAATGAATTCATTGACTTATTAGGAGATGAAGATGAAGGAACTAATTAAAAACAACTTGATTTACTTGATGATGATAATTTAACATAAAATACAGTCTAATAAGTAGCTAAAAAACCTTAAAATAATGAAAAAATACAATCACAATAATCAATATTAAGCGACGTAGACGAAGGAGACATGCATTTTTTGAATTTTGATCAGAATTAAATTTTGAATCAATTTAGTGATATTTCAAATTTCGCATGTGATTTTGATACAATCAAGAATTATATAAATAGCGATCGCCAACTTCTCTATAACAAGTATTGGGATAAAAGCTAAGACTTTGATCATCCTGATTTTGTTTCAATCACAATTGCTTGGACTTACAAAACTCCAGGTAAATATGTTAATTAAAAATAATTTAAAGTAAATTAAAAGCATATCATCAGTAATTTTAAAGTAATATTAAAAAGAGTTTAAAGAAAAACTGCATCTTATAATTTCTTATAATTAGAGATAATAGCATTTATTTGAATTCATTGCTAAATAAAATGTATGTTTAATGATTTATTTATTATCAATTTTTAAATAGAAAAAACATATTCTGGTTTGCACAGCTTGCCAAAAGTTAAGATGAACCGTGCTCTCATTCATAATAAATCTATAAAAACAAGTCCCTTTGATTCGTTTTGCCTAAATATAAACTTAGATTATTAATAGCAAGTTAAGCACAACTTCACCCTTGAACCGTAAATAAATAAATAAATAAATTAATAAGAAAAATTCATATCATTTATTTAATTGGGGTTTATTAATTTATTTATTCATATTCCCTTTTTCAAAACAGTTTTTAGAATGAATTAAAAAATATTTAGAAAATTTACTTTTTTCTTGAAATATTTATTTTTTTATTACTATTAGTTGCTTTAATACGATATAATAAATAATTTAATTTAATTAAATAGCGTTTGTAGCGTTAACGTGTAAGTGAAGATAAAGAATTAGTACTGTAAAGATCCAGTATCATTTAACTTTATTTGTATAAATGGAGACGAATCGCTTACGTAAATATTTAAATTTGAATTATAAAATCAAAGATTACATTTAATGAAAAAAAATAATTAATTAATTTTGGCTTTGATTATAAATAAATCAATGACACTAAGATATCGATTGATATCAATACATACACAAATACATGCATGCATGTGTACACTCATAATAGATAAATATATTAATTATATTAGTTTTTAGCATAGATTGATTAATTAAATAAATTTTCATGAAAATCACCATAAAAATTTAAATATTATTCAAAAATACGAAATTTAAGAATGGGTATAATATATCTTACCCTTACTACTAGTTAATTAATTGAATTTGAATAGATACCACAAATACTTTTAAACGCATCACTAATATAATAAAATTATTAGCTTTTTAAAGACTTTTTGTTATCTATTTTAGCTTATTTTAGAATGTACATAAGCATGATTTTTAATTTTTAAAACTTTTTATTACATTAGGTCCAATTAGAACGATGAATCGTATCCTTTCTTTATTTGGGAAGGGCAAACTGAGCAAATAATTAGCAACTTAGATTACTAAGTAATAGTTATTTAAATATTTAATTTCTTAATTTATTAAAAATAATTCCTATCAATTTAAATAAAATTCAACATATTTAAAATTTTGTATTTTTGCAAAACAATCAATATTATATGAATTCATATACGTATATAACTCTATCTTATCATTAACTTATTTGTAAATCTCATAAAAATAAACAGGCAGAAGAAGTCATTAATTTAAGGGCAATTTTTACAAGCGAGGGCTTTTACAATATTAACAGATTTAAATATTTCTTTTACAGAAATAAAGACACTAAACAGTTGGTAGAACCTTTAACTTAGAGTGAGCTTAGCTAGAACAAGAAAATAGAATACATAAGCTTTGTCCCCCTCGATAAAGAACAATTCTTTATAAATATTGTTAACTCTTGATAAAAAAATTATTAGAAGAATATATTTTTTCTTGTTTTATGTTCATTAAATTGTCTTTAAAATCTAATCTATGCATTTTAAAAAAATTAAACATTATTCATAGTAAAATATGACTGTAAATAGGGTCATCTGATAATTTACTAAAATACTTACAAACTTTCATAAATTTTCTCTCTTTCCTGCAATTAAGCAAATATAGTATTTTGAATAATGATGTTTTATCTTCAAATTGACTTACATACTCAATTTTATTCTTATTTTTGGATGGTAAATTAAGTATTTAAATGCCACCACCACCCTCATATCAATTCATTTAATTTGATACAATCATTAGAAATAATTCAAAGCTATTCACAGTAACCTATTCCTCTCTGTGAATCAATCAATCAAATAATCTATTCTTTATTAAATAAATTTATGGCATTAGCTATTTAATTTTTCAAATTCTTATGGTATTAACAAAAAATCTATATTGTAAATAATTTATGCATCTTTTATTATTTATAAGGTATTTTCATTTAAGCAATATTTTACCATTAAAATAAGTTCATCTTTTAAAATAAAATCTTCATAAAATAAATTCATAGAAGGTTATATTGTTTTTTATTAGAGTTTTATAGAATTCATTTTTTAAATTGAAAATATTGTGAGGATTTTTTTTAAATTTAAAATCTTTTTTTGTTTGGGAAATAAATAAATGAAATGAGAAAATATTCCATCAAGAACATTTAGAAATGTAACATATAAATTTTCAATGATAAGAAATATTGTAAATTAATATCTAAGCATCTAAAATACATTTTATATATTTAATTAAGTTAGATACTGTTAGCCTTTTTAATTTACAACTGTATTTAACGGGGTTACTCACAAAATGAAAATGAAAATTTCAATTGATTTAGATTACTCATTTGGAAGTCTCAGCAATCCTTAAAACAAATGGTTTAATAATAATCAAACTAAATAACCTAAATTTTATATTTTACTAAATACAAATTAAAACAAGTGATAAAAATAAAATAAATAGATACACTATGTTCGATTTAGTTTTTTCGATAAATACTATAGTTCGGGTATTGAAAATACGCAACTACAATTAAATTATGTGATATTCTATTATTTAATAAAGAAAGAAATAATATTTGAAATAACTTAATATCTGTAAAGTAAAAATTATAGATGTCCTTCCCACCTTTTAAATAAATATATATATATAAAAATGAGAAAAAAAAAGATGTAAATAAGATTTAATTTACTATATGAGCACAAGTTTAAGAGTAAAATACACCAAAAAAATTAAACTTGCTTGTAATAAGCTGATTGTAAAATGAAAATGACTTAGAAGAAACAAATTTTTTTTAATTTTAGATGAATGAGAAAAGGGAGGAAGGTTCGAAGGACAGCGAATCTGGCTTAGCTAAATTTTAGAGGCTTTAAGTAAATGGGTTTGATAAATAAATAAATAGATAAATATCAAAAGAGAAATTTAATTAAATAAAATATCATAAATATTGATTGAATTTGAGCAATATCAAAGAAATATTATTAATTATTTTTCTTGGTTTTCGCTGATTTCAGTTTTAATCAAGCAATTACAAATATTTTAGCTCGAACTCGTGAAATTAGCTGCTGGTTTTATATCTTTTTGTAAAATTATCTAAAAATATCCAAAAATTTCTTATTATTTTATTTTATCTCTGAGTCATTACTAAATTCTTTTTTGATGAACAAGAGGAGAGTATTTATTTCAATAAACGACACTAATTTACAATTTGGAAATTTATTAATTTTTGTTTTGTTTTGTTAAGGCTATCTATAAAATTCCTACAAATTTAAATCTTATTACCCTAATATTTATTTTAATTTACCTAAAAACTTTATTTCAAATAATATTTTAATTCACAGATTAGCTCGCTGTTTTTTTAAACAAAATAAGAATTAATAGTTCTTTTTAGGAATGTTAAATAGGAATTCATTTCTTTTGGTTCATGAACTTACAAATGTATATTTGATAAATAAATTTATATTATTATTTTAGATTTCATTCCTTTTTTAGACTTTCTTAGAATTTGTTTACAATTTGATTTAATATGGTTGCAATCTATTGTGCATTTTGATAATATCTCTCTTTAAGTATATTTATTTCTCGTTTGTTTCATCATTTATTTAGCTTAATATTTAACAATACCCAATATCAGGAAAGGCAGATAGGCAGACAGATATATAGATATCTTGTATACAGAGAAAAGAGAAAAACAAATAGTATGCAAAATAAGAAGGTAACTAAGTCACATAAAAAAATAAGAAAGATAAATTGCATAGAAATAAGAAAGTAAATTGCATGCCGAGTAAAGTAATACGAAGAATAAGAAAGAGCATACAAAATAATATAAAAATGTAAATATTAATTTCAAAATGATTCTAATCAAAAATATCAAACAAAACTAAATAAAAAAGTCAATCAATAAGTTGAGAAATAGTATTTAAAAATAATACAAATTGAGTGAAATTTAATATTTGCTTTTTTACCTTATATTTTTCATTCACAAATAATTAATTGGATTTGGCAGAAATTAAGTCTATTAGAACTGTAATATAAATAAATTATTTATCGTTTAGTGGGAAAAACAATCAAAATCAAAGAGATAATTGGTTGATTTATACATTCATATATACATACATACATTCATTCATTTATTTAATCAATAATTCAAATATTACTTAATTAAATGATTGATTTGACTCAATGAATTAGCTTATTAATTAATTAAATAATGATTGATTGAATGAATGAATGATAATCAGCTTAGGACTAAAGCAAATTGTAATAAACATTAATTAAAAAATAAAATATACATTTGTGTATTTAGAAGCAGCTAAGAAAATAGTCGTACCTAATACGCAGCTCAATCTGCCTAAAAACTACTTTTACTACTACCAAGCTCAACTAATAAAATAAAGAATAAACAAAAATAAAACTAACAAACATTTTAATCATCGATCGCATAATTCGCTAGATTCTATTGAAAGTTAACATTTTGTGAAGTAATAATCTTCCACTTCCAAAAGATATTTTCTACAATCTACATCAAATTCGTTCATACTCACTAACTCACTCTTTACTAATTAAACATCAGCCTAACAATCTAATTTCCCACATCCTTTTATTCTTCTCTTTTATTTCTTACTCTCAAAATACTAATCGATATACTTAAGATTTCGCGCTTAATAAAGATTACGGCTATTTTCTTTAATAAAGCAAATAAGCAAACAAACAAACAAACAAACAAACAAGATAGGATCTTTTTAATTATCATCAAAATTATCAAATTAAAGGGATAAGAATCAAATCTTTAATCTATTGTTTATTGTATTTTAAAAAGACTGATCAATCATATTTATTAGATATTTTATACTGAACCCAAAGTAAATAAATACTTAACGCTTATTTAAAAAAGACCTTTTTTGTACTTAGATTATTAAAATATACAAAAACTTATTTTTCTTACTTACTTACTTCTCTCAAAAACCAAATATATTTTGTATTTGAATGGGATCTTGTGTAGTAACTGAATTGAGATCTAAAGAAGATAGAGAAATTACCATATCTGCTGATCCAAAAGTAAGCTGCAATAAGGGGTTCTGCATATCCTAAGAATAAGTAGAATTAGGAGGACTTTTAGATTAATCTGGATTGGCTTCAGTTCAAAATAAAGTTTCAGAAGCCAAGTTAGTTTCAGCAGAGGCAGAGGTTAAATAAAGGGGTTAAGCGATTTAAATTAATGCAAAAAATTTAAAAGAAAATCCAAAATAATACATGAGATAATCTTGCAAAGAAGACATTATTATGTTAACAGATGATGGTTGCTAAATTGCTAGTAACGGCAGTTTATAGAATTTAAATTAAATTACTTATCAGTCAACAAGAAATAATACTTTAAGTATGGGAAATAATTCATAAACATCCATTCCATTTACATCAGCAGGTATGGCTACTTCTTAGTCATCATCATCGCTTACCTGCATCAATCCTCATTTTAAGAATAGTAATAGCTTAATATCTTCTAATTACAATAATGGGATTAATTAAAACGCTAACATTTGCATAAATGGAATTCCTCAAACTGGAAGGAGAGGAAGTATACTATTTAGATAAAAATCTTAATCTCCATCCAAACAGAGACGTAACAGTTCTTCCACCAGAAGAACCTCTATGACTACTATAGAACAGTCTAGAGCACCAATAATATTGCTAAACAGTGAATAAAATTTGTGTTATCCCCAAACAAATATCGATGAAATAATTTAACTGGTAAACAGCAAAAATATAAATGCAAATACAATTAAGGAAGTTTGTGACTAGTACATAGACAGGAAAAAAGCTGAATACACGATAAATGATTATATTTCAGAAGAGTATTAAAACTGCATCTAAGATCTAGCAGTTGTTTTATTTAAATCTTAGCTTCAAGAACTCGGAAAATACTATTTAGATAAATTAGTTCAGCACAAAAAAAATATCACTCAAAAAAATTTGATGAAAAATTTAATTGAATACCAAAATAAATAATGAAAAATCCTTCTAATTTTTAACCTTTCAATTAAATTAAGAATTTTCTTTATAAAATTGTTAAAAAATAAATGTAAAATAAAACTCAAATTCTAAAAAATAAATACTAAAATAATATTTAAAACAAATAAATAAATAATTGCTAACATAAAATAATTAATTTAACAAATAAATAAATCAATAAATTAATAATTAACTAATAAATCAATAATAACAATTAACAAAAACAACCAACCTAAAAACTGTCCTGCCTACCTACTAAATTAAATTAATAAATTAAAAATGTTTCTCATCCATTTTCTTAATAAAACTTCAAATGTATGAAAAGGCGTTTGCATTCATTCATTATTGAAGTTTTTATCTTTCTATACTATTTATCTCCATCTAAAAATTTAATTTATTCATCCATCCATCCATTCATGCATAAATTTAGACTATACATACAAACAACAGACTCATACATAAATTCATAATATCAATAGAAACTATAATTAATTTATAAATTGAAAGATCATCACCACTCGTCTGTCTATCAAGTTCAGCTAATATTACTAATAAATTATTAAATTCACAATTTATCATATTTATAAAGATTAATAAATTATTTTGATTTATTTACCTAAAAATACTGAACTGTTGGCAATCATAGTTGAGACATATCAGAGTTAAAAGAACATCATACATTTGATTCAAAATTGTGATTGATTGACATTCTAAATAATAATTATTTATTAATAATCAATCTTTAGAAATAAAACGATTTACATATCACCTTACTAACATGAATAACTAAATATTCTCCGTTTATTTTACAATTTTAATAAATTATATTTTATATTTCAAATTTAAATTATTAGCATTCATTCAAAAAATCATTTAACCACCTATCAAATCGCATCCAATATATTAATTCCTTTATTCATTGATTGATACATACAATCAATCATTCACTAACTAATTATCTCATTTATTAACAAAAATTTATTTGTAGATTTTTACTGTATTATTTCTTATTACTCGTTATTATGAAAATTTAAAGAATTAAATATGCCATTTACTAGTAAAGTAATTTATTAATTTGTTTTATAATTAATATTTTTTATTAAAATTGCTAAATAAATAGACAGATATATAGATAAATAAATAAGTGCTTCTTTATTTACATAGACTTGCTTGCTTATTCTCTTTTTAATAATTTATGATGTAATTTTAAAAGCATTTTTTAAAATATGCGTAGCATAATTTCATTTTATTTTTCTTAGGTCTTTTCCTAATTTTTAAGTTGAATTTTAAAATTTATCTTATTTATCATCCATTATTTTCAATTTCTATTCTTAATTTTTTAATTCTTCTCCTATTACAATTTGTTTTTATAAAAGCAATTCAACCTTTTATTAACAATAATATTAAATAACTTAAAATATTTTTAGTATTTGCTTACATTGCTATTTATCTCATCTAAGAGGTCATTTTACTGCTCTATTTGCGATTTACTAATTTGACTTTTTCTATTATAAAAAATTATATTTTTTTTCTAGATTTTCTTAAAATTTTTAATAGATTTACTCTTATTATTGACTTTTAGTAGACCCTACATTATTACTTTCAGTATTCTATGCAGATTACTATTATTTTTAACGAATTTTTTCTAAATCAGCATCTTATTCAACTGCTTTAGGTTTGGTAAACAGATTTACTAATTGTCCCCAAAATGATTTCATGCCTCTGGCAATATATTATGAATTATTTATTGATTATTATGACTTATCTATGTTATCTATTGCTTTATCTAATTTTTCTAAAATTTAATAAATACAATTACTAAAATTTATTTATTAAAATGCAAATACTAACTTTACCATTTTATTCGTATAGTTTTTTCTATGTTTAATCTGTGATTTCGTTTGCTTAATTCATGTCCCTCAACCCTTGCTTAAGGAGATCATTTGTTTTCTCAATACTTGTATCTGAACTCTTTTGTTAACTAAAGCTCATTTTTTGTGTAATTAAATTTTTCTGACAATTTAATATATAGATATAGTCTAGTAAAACACTAATTAAAAGATGATATCAAGTAATAGAAAACATTTCTATTTAAAATAGATAAAATTTTAAATTCTTATCTGTTAAATTCATCAGAAATATATATCATTAAAATTGAAAGAGCCACTCATAGAAAAAAAATCAAATATTCTAAAAAAACTAGATGTCAAATTCTATAATGTTTAGTATAAGATAACAATAATTAGTTCTTTATACAAGTTTCTCATCAAAAATGGAGATATGATATACTCATTAATATGAAAGAAGTAGTCCTTGAAAGTTAAGTAAATAGAAATATTTTCTTTAATAAAAAAAAATTAAAAAGAAAAATGTTTCAGTAAAAAATAAAAAAATCTAATTTTTATAATTGAGGTTGAATGAAAAATAAAATGAATGAAATTGAACCTACCTTATTAAAATTAAATTAAATCTTAAAAAATATAATTTATTATTAAAATATTATATAAATTCCATGAAATAGAAGATATTAAAAAGGAATTAGAATTAGATACGAAGAAAATTTATCTATTTAGTTAGAAGACAAAATAATGATTAAGTAAAAGAAACTTCAAAATTTAATAGATAAAACAAGAGATCAAACTAAATAATATATTTTAAACTAATAAAATTTTTAATTTATTGTTATAAGAAATGCAAAAGTTTAGATAAAGGAATCTAGCAAACAACCACTTCAAAAAAAGTAAATAAGATAAAAAATACTAAATTTAATTTCAAATAAAATATAGAGTGTAGGTTAGAAAAATGTGATATTTAAAATAAGTAAGTTAACTCTTTAAATAAGTTGAAAAAAAATTACATTAAATGATATATCAATTTATAATTTATTTTAACAATGCATAATATATGTATTTCTTAGGTTACAAATATTAATTTTATTCAATGTTAACATAGAAAATTTGGAAAGTTTTAAATTATTTTTAAAAACCTTTCAATACATTTTTTACATAGATTTGAAAATAATGTTTTAAATAGAACATTTTTGATAAATAAAATATTCTAATGCATTTTTAAATTTATTTTGGTATAAATTAGTAAAATATTCAATCAAAACTGTTTAATACTACCATCAGTTTAATTTTTAAATAGAATTTTGTTCAAATTTGTTTTTAACTATAATTTAAATATTTTTGATATAAAATAATATTAAAATATTTAAATTTTTTGTAATATATATAACTTGACTAACTTAATATATTTTTAAAAGTACATTTTATCTACTACTTTTTATATTTAGTTATGCATATTTGTTGGAGAAGCAAAAAAAATACAAAGTTTATATCTTTACAAATCAAAAATATGATTTTATTATCATTTTACTTCATCAAATTATTTGAAAAGTCTAAATACCTATTTATTTTTTGAAGATTTATAAAATACTTTTATTATAAATCTGAATTTTAAAAATTGTTAAATAAGATATAAAGATATTTATTTATTTAATTTACTAGCAAAAAAAGAATCAATAATAAAACTTTATTAATTTATTTATTTATGTTTGGATAAAAGTAATCTTGGCAAATGTGAATAAAAATGATTAAGATTTATAAATAAAAAATTAAGCTAGAAATATCACAAAATTTTTAGTTTTAAAAATCTTTATTTTTTAATATTTTTTAGATAAAATGATGAAGAAAATTTTAATAGTGTTTGTGTTTTAATTTAAAATTTTAGCAAGTAATTCTAATAAATCGCTAAATGAAAATGCTTTTAGCAGGAATAAATATACGTTTTAAATATGATTATGAAATTATAACTTTAAATTTTATTGAATTTTGTAATTTAGAGATTCGAAGTTCATTTAGACTATTTGTTTTTTGGTAATGTTAAAAATTGCATGTGGTTATCATCAGAATTAAAAACCATCATTAAATAAGAAAATATCAAAAATAAAAATTATCCAGAACTGGAATAATTAATTTATTGGAAGTAAAATTTTTAAAAATAAATAAATAAATTAATAATCAATATTGATAGATAGATAGATAGATTTTGGATGAAAATTAGAAATTTATAAATTTTTTAAATTTTATATTCAGTTAGCTCAATAAAAAATTTAAATTTTAAAAAAGGAAAACGAAAGGTTGGAGAAAGAATTGTGAAGTGATAATTTATTAGAAAAAATGAAATAAAGAATAAAATAAAATTACATAAAAAATCAAATAAAAAACCAGGTTAAAATTTATTTAAGTGGAAATCTAGTAATTAATTAAAGACAAAAGTATTTATAAATGAAATATTCTGCTTATTTATTTGTTTTAACGCGGGAAAACCAAATTTAATTTTAATTAAATTTTATTAGTCATATTAATAGCAATAAATTTGCACTATTAAAAGGTGCTTTTTAAATAAATTATGGATCGATGGATATTTTTCAAAATAAAAATTAAGAATAAGTTTTACTTTTTAGATTTATTTCAATATGGATAGCATAAATTTTTATTAAAAAATTTGGATTTGTTTTAGGATTTAAAAAGTAATCGGAATTTATTTCTTTTCCCAACCAATTTCTGTGTTTAATTTAATAATTATTTCTTTCTCCTTCTCTTAGAAATTATTGGACTTAAGAAATAAAAGGAAGACATAGAAATTAAATAATTCAAATGGAAGAAATAAATTTTAAAAAACCTAAGATTTAAAAATTAATATTTTGGAAACATGTAAAAATATATAGAAATCCCTCAGAAACTAGATTTGAATAAGATTTACTGCCTGGCTCCTTTATTTGATTGATAAAACTAACATAGGAGAAGTAGCATTTACAAATAATATGTGAATGATGTGTTTCTTTAGTTTGGAGTAAGGCAAATCTGTTCGTATCGATTATAAAAGAAATGATCAAAATAAATTTCATTTGATCAATAAATAGCTGAAAATTTATTTTATGATTTTAGGTAGAGTCAAATAAAATTTAGAGATATGTAGATATATCAATTTTTATTTACTTAATTAATTTAAATTTTAAGATATAAAGATACAACATCACCAATTCTAAATTTGAAATAACTCCAAAAATTTATTCATAGAAAAAATAGAAAGATTTCAACATTAATCAATGATATGCATTTACCAGCTGAGATAACTATTTAATAGTATGCTATCGTCAAAAACACAATTTTATTGCTGGCATTAAACTAATAAAATTTTGGATCAGATGATGATAATAGAATTTTGAAAATTGGCCTAGTATTTACCTTTTTTATTTATTTTAAATACATTAAATTAGCAAAAAAAAATAACAAGGAAATATTAATTATTTAAATAGTGAAATATAATGAATGACAAATAAAATGAGTAAATTGAAGAATCAATTAAAAAAAATAAATTAATAATTTGCATAGAAATAATTAATGAATGAATGAATGCATGCATGCATATTTTGGACATTTAAAATTCTTATTAATTGCATATACTGTATCTTATCATCAATTAATTGGCAAATTAAAAGGAAGAAAGAAACCTTAGAAATAAATAATTCATCTCGAGGAGGAATGTTTTTATTATTTTATTTTAATGAAATAGGCTCAGTTCATCCAAATAATTTAATTGCGGACCATTCTTTCTACTAAGATATTAAATTTATTGATCAATAAATCTTTATATCTACCGCGAATATTAAAAAAAATAAAAATAATTACTAATCACAAAAAAATCAAATAATAAATTGTCAAAAACAAAAAGATAGATAAATAGATAGATAGAGAGTCAGTCAATCAGTCTTCTATTAGCCAATCCTTTCTATTTAAATACAACCTATATTTAAATTTTCATTCATTTTTAGCGAAAAAATTACTCATTATTATGGATATCGAAAGCCTCCTTTCCTCTCTCTCCTTCGAAGAGAGCCAATAGCAATAGCACTAGTTTGATGCTCTTGACTTCTAATTACAGCCATAGCTCAGCTCCTAAAGCAGCACTTCTATTTCCTCTTCTTACTCACTATCTTCTCCTAGCTATTAGTAGCACTATCAATAATAAATACCTTCCTAGTAGGATTGCTTCAGCAGCATGCATCTTGCCAAACAAAGCAGTAGCATTTCCAGTTGCAGCACTAGCAGCAGTGCTTGGAGTGACTCCCGCTTCATTCCATCTAGAAAACAGTCTAAGTATAATGTCATGCTTAGCAGCGCACATGAAGTTAAGATGTAGAAGAGCACAAAAGGGTAATTTTTACATGATGAAAACGACATCAGTATAGCCCAGCTTTATAAGAAACATGTCCTTGAGTTGAATAATAGCAAAAATGAAAATAAATTGCATTTTTGTGATTCTAAAGTAAGCAATAAATAATTTGGTCGCAAAGGAAACAAAGCCAGTGCTGCTTCCTCTAATTCATTATCTGCTGCTTTGCCTTATGGACCAGATTCTAACATGCTTCTAAACAATGAAAATAGCTGCAATGGATTAGAATCTATGATTTTGAGCATGCAAAAAACCTAGGCACAGCACCGTATTAATGAATAACTCTCTGCTAGCAATTCTTCATCGTTCTCTCGTAAGTAAAACCAGATCAGCTATAGCCAAATTAAAGTTTTAGATGCACCAGGATTAATCGATGACTTCTACTTGAACCTTTTAGATTGGAGTTAGCGCAATTTGCTAGCTGTTGCTTTAGGAAGCACTGTTTATGTTTGGAATGGTTAAAATAACTAAGTTCTTAAAATGTGTGACGTTACTAAAATCCCTAATCCCCTTATACAAGACTAAAGTCCTCACGTCCTTGAGTAGAACAAAGTTCAATCAATTTAATGGAGTTAAAGTGGTAATTTGCTTGGTGTTGGAGATGCAAATGGTATTATTTCTATTTATGACTTGCATACTCAAAAGCGTCTTAACTCTTTGCCTCTCCATACAGACAGAATAGGAAGTCTTGCCTGGAGAGATGATTTCATCGTTGCTAGTGGTAGTAGGGATAAATCAATATTCTGCACAGATATTAGAATTTCCACTCCTTCTAACAAGAGATGTATCTAAAGGTTTACAGGACATAAACAAGAAGTCTGCGGTTTAAAATGGTCATTTGACCACTAAATGCTAGCTAGTGGAGGCAACGATAACAAACTTTTTGTATGGTCTTTACGTACTTCTACACATATAAATAAATTTTAGGAACACAAGGCCGGAGTAAAAGCTATAGCATGGTCTCCTCATTAGCATGGATTGCTGGTTTCTGGTGGTGGTACTGCTGATAGAACTATTCGTTTCTGGAACACTTAGCTTGGCGAGCAAGTAGACTGCATTGAAGTCAACAGCTAAGTCTGTAATTTAGTTTTTTCAAAAAATGAAAACGAATTTGTTAGCACTCATGGATTCCAAGATAATGATATTATAGTATGGAAATATCCTACTCTATAAAAAATAGCTTGCCTTACAGGTCATACATGTCGTGTGCTCTAGCTCGGACTCAGTCCTTGTAGCACTAAAATTGTCACAGGAGCAGGAGATGAAACATTAAGATTTTGGGATGTATTTAAGTCTAACAAGAACGTCCCTAACAAGTAAGGTTCTCTCCTAGACACAAAGGTTGATCTCCGCTGAAAACTGATAAATATAAATAAATGATATTTGTTACAAAAAACATCTAAAGAGAAAATTTAAATTCTAGTTCAAAAATTATTATTTTTATTCATTTTTCAAAAAATTATAATAAATTATATAAAATTATACAAAAATCTTCAATCAAAGATTAAAAATATAAAATCTATTTCAAGTCATCTCATAAAGTCTTCATCCTCACAGATTTTTATCTCATTACTCAAACCTACTAACCCAAAATAACTAACCTCCTTATTACTTAACTACTTGGCTTAACAAACCTATTTTCTTACTATTAAATCGAACTAGAAACTAATCATTAAATATATCGCATAAGAATTCTATTAACAATAAACAGTGAGTCAGTAAGTCAATCACATAACATACATTCGATTAAAAGTAATTAATTTATTTCAAATTAAATATATATTTGATTTGATTTTCAATTAAATAGAAAATATCAGTTTAGTTCGTCCTCCCTCTAAAATATTAAAAGAAGAAGAAAATATTATTATTTTCTTTTTTTATTTTATTATATAAACTCTTCTTCTGCTTCAACTTACTTAGAATTTACTTATGTTTAAGATCTCAACTAAATCAATTTATTTTTAATTTTATATTAATATATTTATATTCACTATCATTTATTTTAAAATTTATTTCAAGTTTTATAATTTTATATCGGTTAAACTACTTTAAACTATGTTTTAATACATCATATCATCATTACTTAAAGGTCTAATTTTAATATTTAACTCATTTATATTGTCTTTAATAATTACATTTATTTTTTAAAATTCCTTATTTCAAATAAACAAACAAATAAAGAAGCAAGCTCCTTAATCAAGTATTTTAATTTGAAAATAAAATAAATTTAAAATTTACTTATTTTAAGTATTCAGATAAATTATGTATTTTTAAGAAAAGTATTATTAAGCCAGTTAATTTTTTATCCTTCCATCCAATATACTCATTCTGGCCAATGGTGATTTTTATAATTAATGTAATTTCATATTATTAAAATTTAGAATCCTAAATTGTTGTAAAGGTGGGGTAGTCTGAAAACAGGAAAATGAATATAAAATCAATTATTATTTGATAAAAAACTAATGGAATTAGACAATATTTAAAAATATTTTATATATTCCCCTCGTTACTCAACTAAAACAGAAAAGTGTACTTAATTAAAATTATTTTTATTTGACTACGCATCTCTAATTTCTACTATATTTTTAAGTACATATATATTTTATAGAAATATTAATTTATAATATAATTTTTCTCTTCGAAATTTTCATATAAATTTACTCTTATTCAAAAAATAATTTTTTAGTTATTTTAACTTTTAATTTAATTTTATCTATTATTCTTTTTTTGTGAATTGATATTTTTCATCCATTTTTGCTTCAAACACTTTTACTTGATAAAAACAGTTTATTTGTTTTGGATTGTGATAAATAATTAAAAAAATGAATTTAAAACAATAAAACACTTTAAATTTATTTAATTTCTTTTTCTTTTTCATTTTATTGTGTTAGTGTTTTTTTTTCTTTTTTAACTTAACTAATTTTTTATTTTCACCTTTGATTCTATAATTCATTAACTCATTTCATATTCTTTCTTCATTTTTTTCTGCTAACTAACTTATTAATTATATATTTTCTATTCAATATTTAAAAGTTAGAAAAAAATAGGTGCAACTGGTGTATCGAACTTAAGTTCAGCTTTAGCAAATTGCACTAATCTCTCAAAGTTGACACTTGAACTTGGGTAAAATAGTTTTTTTATTTTAGATTGTGATACTTTTAATTTTAAAAATGGATTGAAAATAATTTTGACTTTTAATTTATTTGATAGCTATTTATTTGATTTATTTTTAATTTGTGCTTGAGTTTTTTTTTCATTTTTCTTTGTTAATTTAACTCATTTTTATAATATCAACTTTTGGTTTTATTTTTAATTTATTAATTCATTTCATTTTTTTCTTCATTTTGTTTATAGTAACTAACTTATTAATTTTATATTTTTTCTTGAATATTAAGAAGTAATAGTTAAATCGGTGAAATTGATGCATCATTCATATGTTCTGCTTTAGCTAATTGCCCTAATCTCTCAAATTTTAAGCTTTACCTTCAGTAAAAACAGTTTATTTACTTTATATTGTGATATATTTAATTTTAAAAATGAATTAAAAACAATAAAGCTCATTTAATTTATTTATTTTTTACGGTGTTTGTGTTTTTTTTCTTCAAAATTTTTTATATATTATTAATTAATTGATTTAATATTTTTTCTTCATTTTATCCTTGTAAATAATATATTTTTTCTTCGATATTTTAAAAAGTAATAATTAAATTGGTACAATTAGTATCACAAGCTTAGGTACTGCTTTAGCAAATTTGACTAATCTCTCAAATTTGACACTTTAACTTGAGTAAAAACAATTTATTTACTTTATATTGTGATATTTTTAATTTTAAAACAATAAAATTCTTTTAATTTATTTGATAGCTTTTTTTTGATTTATTTTTCTTTTTTATTATGCTTGTTTTTTTTTTCTTTCTTTTGTTAATTTAACTGATTTTTTTATTTTCAACTTTTGATTTAATTATTAATTTCATATTTTTTCTTCATTTTTTTATAGTAACCAACTAATTAATTTTATTTTAAAAATGAATTTATTTGATAGCTTTTTATTTGATTTATTTTTTTTTTTTATTGTGCTTTAGGTTTTTTCTTTTTTCTTTGTTAGTTTAAATATTATTTTTATTTTCAACTTTTGATTTTATTATTAATAAATTCATTTCATATTTTTTCATCATTTTTACCTTTTAACGAACTAGTTAATTTTATATTTTTTCTTAAATTATTAAAAGCTGAAATTAAATCAGTGAAATTGGCATATCAGACTTAGGTCCTGGTTTATCAAATTGTCTAATCTCTCAAATTTGACACTTAGCCTATAGTAGAAACAGTTTATTTATTTTACTATGTGATAATTTTAAAAATAAATTTAAAACAACATCTTTTAATTTGTTTTATTTATTTTTCTTTTTTATTGTGCATAATTTTTTCTCCTTCTTTCTTTTATAATTTAACTCGTTTTTTATTTTAAACTTTTGATTTTATTATTAATTAATTTATTTCATATATTTTATTCATTTTTCTATTAACTAACTAATTTATTATATATTTTTTCTTTAATATTTAAAAAGTTGGAATTAAATTAATAAAGTAGGTGCATCAAGCTTAGGCTTTGCTTTAGCAAATTGTACTAATCTCTCAAATTTGAAACTTGACCTTGGGTAAAAACAGTTTATTTATTTTAGATTGTGATATTTTTAATTTTAAAAATGAGTTTTAAAATAATAAAGCTCTTTTAATTTTGATATTTTTTTATTTGATTTATTTTTCTTTTCTTTTTTTTCATATTTTTTTCATTTTTTCCTTGTAATTAACAAATTAATTTTATATTTTTTCTTCAATATTCAAAAAGTAAGAATCCTATAGGTGAAATTGGTGCTTCAGACTTAGTCTCTGGTTTAGTAAATTGTGCTAATCTATCAAATTTGGCACTTCACCTTTGGTAAAAAATAATTTATTTATTTTAGAATAAATCTCTTTTAGTTTGTTTGATAGCTTTCCATTAAATTTATTTTTCTTTTTTATAGTACTTTTGTTTTTTTTATTTAATTATTTTTAGTAATTTATGCTATTTTATAATAAAGTAAAAACTATGTCAATGAATAATAATTATAATTGAAATTATAAAACAAGTGCCTTAAATCAAAAAGATTAGTTCAATTTATAATTTTATTTTGAGAATTATAAAAAAGTGGAGAAAAAATATATAATAAATATAAAAATATTTGAAGATTAAAATACAATATGTTTTATTTTATAATATATATTTAGTAATAGGATAATTTAACCTAAATTTTGGTTGATTTATTATTGTTTGTTTTTATATTTGCGAATATTATAAAATATTTTTTAATTAATTAATAGCCTATTAAATATAAAAAACATTAAAAATTAAAGTCCTCTCTTCACCAAGAACGATCTAAGCTTTTTATAATTTTATTGTCATATTATGTATTATTAAATTATATATATTCGAAGCTTTACATATATGCAACAGTAAGATTTTCATCTTAAATATTATCCATATTATTTAGAAATATCTAAAATTTCAGAGTATAGCTTTGAAAAAGGCTGTTTCATAGGGTACTATAAATATATATAATTAGTAATAATAATTTATTTTTTTTATCAATCATTTATCAATTTTAATAAAAAGACAAAATTCGATCCAAGTGTTTATAGTAATTCGTAAAAACTCATTATAGATTTTATATAAAATAGGCAATAATCCCTAATAAGAAGATAGCTAGTCATAAAAAAAAAATAAAGAAATATTAATTTGTATTTAAAATATTACTCTGGAATTTTTTGAAAGAAATTGTTAAGTAAAGATTTAGAATAATTAACATTTTCACAAAAAAAATATTTTTAAAAATTTTGATTCTATCTATTTATCTATCTGTCTGATCATTTAAAATTAAATTTTTTATGCAAAAAATAAATAATCTTTTTGATAACTTATATTATTAGAAATCTATATGAATAGTTAATATTGAATGTATTTAAGTATTTTTATTAAGATTAAATTGTATAAAAAATAGAAAAATGTTTTTAATAACAAACTAAATACATTTATTTTGTTTTAGATTTATTCTCTGATTTGTTAAAATGCTATTGTCAATCAAAGACTCTTTCATCATTTTCTATATGCTAATCTTTTTAATACCTCAAGAACTTTTTATTCAGAATAGAGTAATCTAAGAAGCTAAAGTCCAAAATCCATAGCAGTTCCTGCACTTTTAGAAGTTATGCATTTACCTGTAACAACAACATCTTAGTCAATTTTAGATTTATTGGAAAGTTTATCAGCAAATCCAGGATGGCAAGTTCCAGCAATTTAACTATTCAAAAATCCGTGCTTCTCAAATATGACATATGGAGCGGCACAAATTGCAGCATAATATTTATCTTATTCTCTCTATTTCTTTAATCTTTCAATGAGAATTTAGCAATCACTTAAATGTTATGCCCCTGGCATACCTCCTGGACATGCAATCATATCAAAATCTTAATTAACTACTTCATCTAAATGTTTATCGCATAAAACTTGCACTCCATTAGCGCCTTTCACTACTAATCCTTCACTTTTGTTTAAAATTGATGCAACTGTAACATCTGCTCCTATACGACGAAATAAATCAATTACAGTAATAGCTTCTATTTCTTCAAAGCTTGGAGCTAAGGGAACTAAAATTCTTTTTTGATCTTCCATTTTTAACTTTCCTTATTTCTAGATCAGATATTATGTTTGTTTATTTTAATTCTTTAAAATCTTTAACTTTATAAATAATAATAAATTGTTTGCATTTGATTAATAAGATATTATTTATTTGATGATCAGATTTTTTCAATTTTTATATTATTTTTTATAGTTTATTTTAATTTTCTATTCTATAGATATTTTTTATTTACTTAATTAACTTGCTTGATAAAGGTACATATTCTATTTTTAGTTAATGACGAGCTTATTCCAACTTTTAAGTAGTTATTTCCTATTTTATTATTATCTCTCTTTTAATAACAATTATAATTATCTGTCTTTTAATAACAATTATTATTATCTGTCTTTTAATGATAATTATAATTATCAGCATTTTAATAATAATTATAATTACCAGTCTTTTAGTAATAATTATAATTATAGGTCTTTTAATAGCAATTATTATTATCTGTCTTTTAAAAGCAGTTATTATTATCTGTCTTTTAATAATAATTATTGTTACCTTGCCTTTTAATAATATTCATTATTATTTATTAAAAATAACAGGATTATTACTAGATTTATTTTAAAAACATGAGACAATGTTTAAAAATAAAATATTTTAAAATGGTTCGTTATTTTTAAATATATTTAATAAGAGTTTTTAAACAATTTTAAAAATGTTTATTAATTTTCAATTAAAAATTTATAAACGAAATTAACTATTACAAATACTTTAGAAGTGAAATAAATTGCCTATAAAAAGTTAGACTCCGATCATACATAATAGCTTTAAAAATAATTTTTTATTTTAATTTGTTTGAAAGTTTTTCTAACAATATAATAAAAATTTAAATATAATTATTTCAAATTATTCCTAATATTTCATATTTAACTTATAAATAAAACAAAACAGAAAAATAGAAATATAAAATAATATTATAAAAATAGCCTAGATATATAGCAATTTAAATAGCAAAAACAAAAGTAGTTTTATCTGTATTTAATTAATTAATTAATTAATTCATTTAGTATATACTAGCTTTTTTAAAACATCAAGAACTTATTGTTCTGGATACAGTAATCTGAGAAGTTAAAGTCCAAAATCCATCGCGGTTCCTGCACTTTTAGAAGTGACACACTTTCCAGAAACAACTACATCTAGATTTACCTTAGTTTGATTTGCTAACTTGTCAGCAAATCCAGGATGGCAAGTTCCTGCAACCTAGCTATTTAAGAATCCATGTTTTTCAAAGATAACAAAAGGCGCAGCACAAATAGCTGCATAATACTTGTCTTATTCTTTCTATTTCTTTAATCTCTAAATTAGGATTTAGCAATCACTTAAATACTAAGCGCCAGGCATACCACCAGGACAGACTATCATATCGAAATCTTAATCAATCACCTCTTCTAAGTTTTTGTCACATATTATTTATATTCCATTAGCACCTTTAACAACTAATCCTTCAGATTTATTCAAGATAGATGCTACTATAATATCTGCTCCTATACGGCGGAATAAATCTATAACAGTAATTGCTTCTATTTCCTCAAAGCATGGAGCAATAGGTACTAAAATCTTTTTTTAATTATCCATTATAATTAATTTAGCTTTTCTAAACAAAAATGTAAATTGTGATTATTTTATTTTAATTTTTTATGATTTATAATATTAATTATGGCCAAGTCTTTTTTCTACTTATATTCACTCGATTAAAATTCAGTTTAAATGTCTACTTCCAAATTAAATTAATAAACAAATAAATAAATAACTAAAGTTATTTTACAGAATAATTTTTCTTGTTAAATATGTAACACATTTAAAGTAAAACATGAATAATTTCTGATTAAGATGATAAATTCGATATTTAATTAATAAAATTTCTTACATTAACTGTAAATCTTGCATCGTATTTTATTAGTTCTTTATAATTTATCATTTACATTTTTTACAAGGATCTCATTATTTAAAAGTCTAATTTACTTTTGTCTTTTTTTAAAAAATAAATAAATAAATAAATAGAATTTTACTTAAACGAGATTATTTGAAATAAAATATTTTATAATAAAAAGTATAGAATATGCATGTATTATATTAATAAGAGAGATTTTATAAAATTGCAATAAATCTAATCATTTAAAAATTAAATATATCTTTAATCCTTATCTAATAAATAAATAAATTAATACATCTAACAATAAAGAATCGTTTGAAATAGAATATTTTACAATTAAAAGTATCAAAAGTGTATTTATTTCACAAGATTAATTATAGAAATCTTCTCCAAATATAAGTCTACATCATATATTATTAGTTATTAATAAATTTAATTATAAATCTTTTAAATGATTTAAAAATCAGATTTTTCTTAAATCCTTTTCTAATAAATTTATTTAGACATAAAACATCATTTGAAATAAAATATATTTAAATAAAATTATCATATTATATCACAAGAAATAATAAAAAATTTTCAAGTTTAAATATAATTTCAAACTATTGCATAATAGTTCTTTTTAATTTACTATTTAAATTTTTTTCAAGGAAACTAATCATTAAAAATAAAAACATTTTTTAAATTCTTTTTGAATAAATAAGTATGTTTGTTTAACTAATAAAGATATTATTATAAATAAAGTATTTTATAATTAAAAGTATCAAGTATATATAAAGGGTAAATTAATTTCTCAGCTAAATAATAAAATTTATTACTAAATGTTGCTAAATTTAATTTTAAGTTGGTTAATTCTTTCTTTATACATTTGATTTTCTTCATATAGGTTTGAGACGAATTTATATTCTCATCTCTATATCTATTGTTCTGTAAGTAATAAACATCTGCATTTAAGTGTTTGCCCTTGAAATTAGAGGATTAGTAAGATTTTTTCAATTAAATATATTTTATATTTATAAAATTATTCTATTTTGATTCTAATTTTTTAATTCTAAAACTATAAATCATTATTTAAAAATATAATAAAGTAACTAATAAATAAATAATCTTCTTAATAAAATATACCAAATTATAATTGTTCATTTTTTAAAATATAAAAATATTTTTCCTTTAATTTTCAATTCAATATATTTTTTGTGGATTTAAATGAATTTTTTGAATAATTATTTGTTTGATTTATTTTTGATATTCATAAAATAATTTAATTTAATAAATAAAGAAGAAATTATACGAAAAACAATATTTTTTCATAATATTTATTTTAAATTATATAATATTTTTTAAAAACAATATTTAAAGATTATTTTGGAGAATATTTTATATTTTGTTTGATACATATTTTTAAATTGTATTCTAATTTATTCAATAAAATATTAATAATTTAAATTTAATTTATAATTGTAATATTTTAATTGCTTTGATTTTGTAAAGCCTATAATTTAAAATTCAATATTAATTGTTTTTGAACTGAAAATTAAGATAGTAGATTTTATTTAATTTAAGCAACTTGAAAGATATTTTAATTAAAATATTTATTTAATTAAACTGAACGAAATAAGATGAAAAAGTTTAGAAAATATTTTTTATATTAAAAAGTTAAATAATAATAAGTAAGTTTTTGTAAATAAATATTTTATTATTAAAGATAATAAAATTGATTTATTTAGAATAATAATCCTAACTAAAATTTTTCAAATTATTGTGATATTACAAAAAATAGAATAAATAAATTAAAATTTTTGAATTAAAAATTTCTTTTAATATTTATTAAAAATTAGTGTTAAAGTATTTAATAAAAAATTTAAGATTTCTAATTTAAAAAAAATAAATTAAAATAATAAAAATGAAATAAGTTGAAAAATTTAAATATTTGATCAACTTTTTTATAATAAAGAATAGAAATCTATTAAAATTCAAAAATAGTGTTCTTTTACACTTAATTTATTGATGATTGAATTTAAAATGTGAAATGGTTTTAAGAATTTTGAACTGGTATATATAAAAATTATAATCTTTTTTCTAAAATACATGAGTAATGATTTTATTTAATTAGTAAAAATAATTATTATGAACAGTAAATAACATCAACAATTATAAAAATGTAGAAATTAAAATATTTATTGTACATACAAACTTTTGAGATTAACTTTATTATTTATTATTTTTTAATTTACATTTAATTTTTCAGAATAAATTTATAAAGTTGATATGATTTGTTTTTGGTGAATATTTAGAAGGTATTTGAACAAGTTGATGATATTGTTTTTTTTATGTTTGTTAGCTATATATAATTTTTTTATAAAGAAGTAAAAACTGAAATGGCTAGTAAATAGATGCTTATTTAAAGGTGTTGCAGGTAGGTTTTCATTTTTATTAAAAGGATAATATGATCTAATATTATGTTAATTCCGTCAATAAATAAAAAAAATTAACGTCATAGATTGAGAAAATTTTGAATTTAAGAGGTTGATATTTACTCAATAATTTGAATAATTGCATAAAAATTAAGTACTATTTATTTGCTTACAACGTTAATCTGTCACACTATTGCTTTTCAGTATATTAAATACTATCAGTTATTAGTGTATTATCTCAAAAGTATTTATTTCAGCTAAAATAGAACCAAATTTTGTTATTATTCTATTCTTTTTCTCTCTATCAATTCTTAGTTATGTTAGAACTATCTTTCGCTCTCCTTATCTTTAGGATACTATTACATATTTTTAGCTATCTTTTAAGAGCCATGAATGTTATTCAAACTCTGTGAGGTAGAAGAAATTTTATTATTTTAACTTTAGGCTATATGTTATAGACTAGAAGGATTCTAATAGCAATTATTCTAAAAAGATAAATTTTTGTCAAAATCTGAATTGCTCATTATAACGTTCATTAAGTCAGCTTTCCACTCCAGCAGACTAGAAAAATACTATACAAGTTTCTTTAGTAAGTCCTTACTTGACATGGTGTAGACATTATGAACATCCCTAGATTATTTTAATATATTAAAATTAAGTAAATAGTACAAAAGGGATTTATATTAATTCATTTCACATATAAATAGAGCAATTTGCTAGTTTTTTATTGACTTAGTTTAGTTATTTTTATAAAATGAATTAAATATATGCTGATGATGGTAGGTATCGAACTGGAAAAAAAGTAGATCTAATAATTGTGAAGACCAAAAGTAATTAAAAGAGAGTAATGTGTATATAGAGATTAATTAAATTAAATTTAATTAATTATCTAAAAAATAATAATTGTTTGTATTTGTCTGTTTTGTCCTTATTTATTTATAAATTAATTATTAACTAATTTATTGATTTCAGTGTAAAATTTTATTAAATATTTAAAAGTAATAGATGAGCTTTAAAAATAGCTTTACATTAAGCAGTTAAGCAAATCTCTACAAATTAATTTGGTTGATTCTATCAATCAAATCTTATTAAAATGGAATTATATAAATATACCATTAAAAATAAATAGGTCAGATTTAAATGAAAAACTTTATTTAGCTAGTACTTTTCAAGCTATTTTTAAATAGAAGTTTTAATGCTTTACCTATAAACATCTTCAAAATTGAGATTGTGTGTTATAAATATCTTTCTAAAAAACTCCATTTATGGAGTATCCTTTAGTTTTAAGGAGTCTTAACTGAATTCATCTTTTATTTCCTAAAATAGTTCGTCGATATTGTCAGAAAATTGATTTAAATCGTTCAATAATTTAGCTTTTTCTTGCAATAGAAATTTTTATCTCTCAGCATTATTTTTTTCCTTGGCTTATATTTATTCTTCTAAATTCTTTACATTTCGTTTCAAAATCTCAATTTAGGTTTCTTATCTTTTAATTTTGTTATCTTTAGAGAGTATGTCTTCCTTCAATTAAAATATTTCTTCGTTTAGTGTATTGATGTGCTTCTCTAATTTGAGTTAGACACTCTTCAGCTGATTGATCTCTTCCTCATAAGCATCATATTTAAATAAAGTAGAGGTATCACCTTAAATAGTAATTCCCTTCTCCTTGTGATAAATAATATTCTTTTTTATTAATTCTAATTTCTACTTCATTCCATTCCCTACTTCGTTCAGCTCTTTTGATGAATAAGAAATTAACTATTTAAAAAATAGCAGTAGCTAGCAAGTCATAGCGAATAAATTTTTATCCGTGCTTGCTGTTTTGCGTACTCAAAAAAAAATAAAGAAAAAGAAATAACTATTTTTAGCAATACAAAATAAGTAAAGTTTGCGATGTAAGCAAAATTATGATAGGACAAAGTATTGAAAATAATAATAATAATTAAAAAGGATTTATGTATGAAATAAAAATTGCTTATTAGTTTTTTGATGATAAAGCAACCAAAAAAATGTTATTAGAATGCCTGATTTAACACAGTGATCAAACAAATTCGATTTACAAAAACTCTTTTAAATTGATATAGATGATTTATATCACGCAATGTCCAATAAATTTTTTTTTAGATATTATGCATGTTTATTTGTCTTGCAACAAAATCCTATTTATCTCTTTAAAAAAATCGTCACCAGATTCGTCATCAGATTCAATAATTATTGAACCAGTGTATGTCACATTCAGAATGAAAAATCATATAGATAAACAGTTTGAATTTTGAAAGCTAAATAAATAAATAAATTTTTATTACCTTTGATTTTATCTTTGAGTAATTCTACTTAATTTTGATGTTCTGCATTCAGAGATATTATTTCTTCTAAAAGCTTTCTACACACTTCGTTGTATGGAAAATGATAGGGTTGAACCCACAGAAAGAAATTCTCTTTTGATTTTAAATTTTTAAAATAGAAATTATTAATTAAAATAACACCTAAATTGCTACAAATTTAAAAGGCAAATAAATAAATTTTAGGATAGAATTTTGTTGCAATAATTAATACTCTTCCATACTTATTAAGAAACTATTTATTTATTTATGGAGTAATTTATATATTTTGGTAACAAATTATTTAAAATTTTACTTAAAGTATTTTAAAGTAGAAAGTGTGTTGGATGAACATAAATTATATTTATTCTATTTATTTATTGATATATCCTTTGGAATATATTATAACGTTTTTAAGCAAAAAAAAAAGGTATACTTATATGTTTATTAGTTGTGATTTGTAATATATCCTCTTTTAAATCTAATGACGACTTCCAGTGGAAAAAAATATAGCTCTTTAGCTTATCTAATACATACAGCATTTCTTAAGGATAAGAACAATCAACCCTATAAAATAAAAAAATAATTTTAAAAATGTAAATAACAACAAAGAATATTTTTTTTCTTTTTGAAATAATTAAGCATGAAAAAGCGCTCTTTTAAGCTTGAAGAATCATTTTTGAAAACTTGAATTTTGGCACAATTTTTTTTGTTTGTTTGTTGGCTGGGGTGAATTCAATTAGCGTTTTTACTTATTTGTTAATATGCTAATTTTGTAGGTTTCAAATAAAAAAGTGATGACAAATAGAAAGCTTTTTGATTTAATTATTGCATTTTTGAAAGGTCTACTTGCAGCTCAATCTGAATGTTTCAATATAGAGTTTTAGCTGTTCGATTGATTGCTTTTGATCCATCATAGAGTTGCTTTTGCAGTCACTTTCGTCTTGATTTTCATCATCTCTTATTTCTTACTAAATTCGAGTAATGTTTTCTCTCAATTTGGTCTAAAATTAATTCAAAATAAATGTTAAATAAATTTGTAAAATAATTATGTTTGTTTGTTTGTTAACGAATAAATTATTGATTTAGAAAACTTCTTTAGATTAATATTCCTACTTTATTTACCTACTACCTAAACGGGAAATAAGTTAGCAAGTAATTAAGTAGTCTTTCTTAAATTTGATAACTTGTATAAAAAAAGTTTTAATTACTTTTTGTTTATCAAAATCCTTTTTTTATTATCCAGATAATCGCAAATGAGCAGTTTGTGCTCTTTCTTCTTATTCATCAAAAGTTTTAGACTAAGCAAGAACTTCTCTGTTTGTATTAAGTGTGTTTTTTTACCAGTAATTAGTTTCAAATCCCTGCAAAGTTTGCCTTTCTTTTTATGTTGAGGCAGCTCTAACTAGTTAAAATTGATATAATAAATAATAATAATCTATCTATGTGTGAATAATTCTAGTATTTAATTTCTATTTTAAATAAACATATTATTTATGTGTTGTATACTTGCAGTTAGACTAGGGTATTTTCCTTTAAAGCGAAATTTCTAACTTTTTATAGCATCAATGTCCGTAACTTTAGAAGCAGCTTTGAGCTGCGCAAAAGATTAAATAACTTTAGGATCATTATAATCTAAAACTTAAGAAATCGATTATTTGAGTTTATCTGCATTTTATGCCTATGCCTCTAAATATTTTTTACGAAGAGATGTTGTCTCTTTGAAATAATCTAAATTGTCTTTTTAAGCAGAGCCAGGCTAATTAGATATGTTATAGCTTTGTGAATGAGAGCGTTTCATTAGAGTCAAAAGTTAATATCACAAAGAAATAATATTGATTGGTGTAAGTGTGATAAAATAGTAAAAATAAGACTTATATATTATCAAAATTAATAACTATTTACCAGAAATATAATTTTCGAATAGAAGATTTACATAGGAAAGAAAGCAAATTAAGATTAAAAGATAATTATTAGAAAAAAAAGTTTGTGCAGATAGATAGATTGATAAGTGCATCAAAATATTAAATAAAATAGGGATTAAGAAGAAAGTTAGATTTAGAAATATTTTCATATTTAGAGAAGAGAAATTAATAATGAGACATTTGAGCTTTTTTTAGAGGAAGATATAATAACTTAAAAATTGTAAGAAATCAAAATCAATTGTTATAAGTTTATAGTGATATAATAATTAGTGTGTCAATTGTGTATAATAAGCTGGATAAAATGATACAATATAAATTTAATTTCACTATTTTATTACTAACTCAGCAATAATTTATAATTTCTCTTTCTTTCTTGTGAATTATCTTAACAACTTTTAATTAACTTTTCATTTGGGTAACTAACTAAATAAATATTCATTTAGCGGTCTCAGTTTTTAAATTAATTGGGGACATTTCATATCATAAACCATTTAAAAGAGATCAATCTAATTTTAGATATAGAAAAATTTGTAACTCAGCAAAGCTGTGACATCTATCAATTTTTATCAATTGATGATTTTCCAAAAACATTATAAAGTTTACTCACCTTACTAAGAATATAAATAAATATAAATAAAGAGCGGAAGAAACGAAAGACAAATCTTTCTAACACTGCCAGAAAATTGAATTTCCAGCTTGAAAGCTAAAATTAATTGAAAATTATGTTAAACCTATTTTACAAACAGATTTTCTTTGTGAAAAAAGTAAAAGAATTGAAAAGGAATTTGGACTTTTTTTCTGGAATTTTATAAAATTAGATTTACACAAAAAGATGAATTAAAATATTTAGATAAATTATGATACAATTATTAATTTATTTATTTATTTAGTTGTTAATAAGAATATTTAATATGGTTGGTTGGTTGGTTGGTCGTTATCCCGTTATTCAATATATTAATTTTATATTATTTATATAAAGTATTCTAATTATAAAGTGATTAGAAGGAAAATGGTTTAAAATTCCTTCCTGCTTTTAAATAATTTAAGAGGAAAGAAATTTAAAAGATGAGAGACTAGTTTTTTTTAATAGAAGCTCTTTGTTAATATTGAGGAATTTTATTTGTCTATCAATTTAAAGTTAAATTAGTTTTAGATGGTTAGTATTAATAAGTATTTGGCTAAATTGAATGTAGACATCGATTGACTGTTTTACTTACTTCCTTAGGTAAGATTTTGTTTGTGTTGGTAGTTTAGTTTAGAAGTTGTTTTACATCTAGTCAGGGTATTAGAAAGGTATAAATTATTTTGTTGAAAGGATAGAAATTATTAGTTAGATATGACTCAGTTTTATATAAGATTATGGTGATTAAAATAAACTAATAAGTTGATAGTAATGTGATTCAAACTTTCACCATTCAAAAGAATTTTTATTGCATGGGAGCAGCGGCTGATGGTAATTGGCCTAACAATTATTGCTATAAGAGGAGAGTTGCCAAGGGATTTAAGGTAGCAGCTGGTTAGACAGGTTATTATTGGGCTTGTTGAGTCTAAGCAAGTTACAATAACAATAATTATTGTAAAGTATTTTGTAATTATTATTACTATTATTGTTATTATTGCTATTGAACTTAGAATTATTGTTAGAGCTACAATAATATATTTTGAGAAATAGCTGTGGGGATTTAAGCAGATTATTGTAAAGCAGGTTATTATTGTTGGGGAGGAGGGATGATGATTGATGTGTTCTTTTATTAAATCTAGCTCAAAGGGTTAACTTGGATGTTATTAGGAGCTTAGGGAGCTACTAAAACAAGGTTTCTATTTTGGATGAGTTACTTCTTCATGATATTGTTATTTCCCTTTAATTCATCGTGATTATCGGAACAAGAATCTTCGAAATCCTTTTATTCCGATAAATTGCTGGCTGTAGACATGAAAGATTATTTAATAAGGTGCTTAGGAGGGAGAGCACGAGCCATAGCCTATTGAGAAGCTGTAGCAAAATCTTGGCTAAGTGCAGCAGGGTTGGTTAAGTCAGCACAGCTTGGAGAACTTCCACCGTTTTTGGATTTCTTTCTGTGCATGGTAAGAATGGTTTTGGCAGAACTGTAATTGATGTTCAATTCTTCAGCAGCCTTTAATTTAATTAAAAAGAAAATTTAGTAAATCGTGCGTAAAAATTGTTTAATTAATAATTAGAAATGATTTAATTAAAAACTTTTAGTTCAAAGAAGCTAACTAACTAAGTAATTAACTAATAAAAATAGCTAGCAAAATGACAATAAAAAGGGAATAGAAAGAAATGAATCTCTCTATATCTTTTTTATGAAATGTATTTAGGGAGAATGATTTTAGAGTGAACTACCCACTTTCAAAAGTGAATAAATTATCCTCTTTTTTGATGTGATTTCTAATCATAAAATTAATAAATTAATTAATAAATTACCTTTTTAATTGATTTATTTTCTTAAAAGATCTTATTGAGGAATTTGACTCTCAATGTTTCAGTGATCTTGTTGTATTTACGTTGGGCATGGGGAGCCTTACGAAGGACTTCTTAGTCGACTTCTTTGAGGATGTCTTCGATTACTTTCATTTTTTTTTGATCAATGTAAATGTTAATGATTGAGTGTAAGTAAGGTTAGGAATTGTGTTAAATGGGGGTTATTGATTTGAATTTATTTAATTAAGCCTTTGATTTTTGCTCAGGTAAATTAAGATTGTTTTTTTTTTGAGTTTTTTTTAATTTGATTTTGTTTTTGACTATTTTTTTATTAGATTTCAAGATAGATTGTTTTGAATTACTTCTATGAGTGGTTATTTAAATTAATTATCAAATTTATTTTTAGAAATCAAGGAATAATGTGACGTAAATTAATACCTTTTCTTTACGTCTATAAAATTAGTTAATACTGCGCCATTGTAAATCGTAATATTAAATACACTTTTTATTAATTCGTCATCTCCATTATAATTTGCGACTTGCACAAAGCACAATTCAAACCCCTTAGACAAAACCCATTATTATGTATTATTTTTAAAAACTTAATGCAAGTTAGCGCAAATATTAAATAATTGATCAAGGCCATTAAGCTTATCATTGCAAATGATTTACTGATGCTTTTTAAATCTAAAAGTATAAAACATTATTTCTATGCGTACCTTGCATCACTTTGCTCCTTCAATACATTATTTCTATCTTCATTTCTTTCCCCTATTTCTACGAATTTAAGTTTAAAAAAATGGCTCTTTTTTGTTCTCAACATACCATTTATCTCCTCAAAAATTGTATCTCAGTGCTCTGAGATCACTAGTTTCCTGTTTAAATATTTTAGAAAAAGCCTTTTAGCCATCAGACAGAGATAGAATTTAATGCTAGCACTATATTTTATTTTTTCTCAAATTTACCTCACCCCCCACTCTCCAAATACTGCCTTTAGCACTTTAATAAAAGTGTAAAAAAAAATTTATCTTCGTTTATAAAATACATTTAGTAGCGAAAATTAGATTTCCTACTTAATTTAAGTAGAATTTCTTTCTAGTATTCTTCTCTTTCTTCATGCAAGTCTTTCATAATTTATGTTTTTGATCTTAAACCCTTCAACTTCTAGTAATCTAGTCTTGTTATTCCCTTTTTGCTAATTTCTATCTATTCTACTTGTTTATTATAAAGAGTTAACCCGAAATTCTTCTTTTAGATTATTACATTAATTAAAGCTAAAATGGTAGTAATCTCGTCTTTATTTATTGACAAAAGCAGCTAGACTTGATTAGTTCAAGCAATGCCTTCTTTTAAGCAGGAAATTACATTTAAAGAATTCATTTTGAATATTTTTTTAGCTTAACTCTGAAATAATATTAAGGTCTATATTATGTCATATTAAATTATCACTTAAGTCTTGAAAATTATGACAAATTTTTAAGAAATCTAATTATTACTGTCTTTAATCACTGGTATAAAACTATAACATTACATTCTCGTTGATAGTAATAGAAAAAATGACACACTAAATTTTGTAAAAGTATGCAATAATACAGTAAAATTAATAGCTATAAAACGATAACAATAACATGGAAATAAAAATATCAACTTTACAATCTAGAATATACAATGCAAATAAAAATTAATGAAAACAGTATTTCTATAAAAAAAAGGCACTTTCTCTTCCTATATTGAAAACCAGAATAGCTAGCTATCTAAAAATCTTTGAGTTTGGTTATAGTTGCTACAATAATTTACTCATTAATTCATTTATTGATTGATAGATAGATTTATTAATTCATATCTAGAGCTTTAAAGACAATATTAGATATGGATTATGAAGATGATTATAATTGTAAGGAATTATATAAAAATTAATAAGTGTGTTTTAATGTATTTTCAAAAAAAAGCTAAGAAACTCTATTCTTATTAAGTTAATTTCAAATTAGACAGAGATATAACTTGGAATAACTGAATTAATCTAATTATGGTATTGGATGTTCAAATACATTCAAGCAAAAAATTTAAATTACGTAAATTTTAAATGCTCAGACATTAAGCATGCCATCATAATACAAAGCTAAAAGCTAATAAATTGAAATAATTCGGTTATTTATCACTTCAAAAAAAATTATAAAAAATTATTATTATCATCAATTATTGATTCTACCTTAATAATATCGTATTAATTCTATTTACGTCTTACTTTATATGAGATCATTGATTTATTTTTATTTTTTTTGTCACCTTAAGTGCTCTATAAAATTTGTATACAAAATAAAACTGAATAATCAAATCTCTTTTGGAGCAACATTTTGCTAAAATTTTCAAATAAATTTAAATATAAAAAAATTCACTTTCTATCTTTTGTACCCAATCAATCAATCAACTAACAAAGCAAGAGCCTTTGGTTAATTTATTTTGATTGCATTAAAATAATTCATATCGCAGTTCATCATGCCAAAAAATTAGACTATGAAAAATACTTCAATTTGAAAAACTTAAGCAGTTGAAAAATTATTTGATTTAATCATATGTAGGGTTGTCATAAAAAAAATACACTTTCTAAAAATTTTACATCTAATTTTAAATATAGAGTTTTTTAAATGAATTTCTATTAATATATTTCAAAAAAAAAAAATTTAAAAGTTAGAATTATTTAGAGATATTTAAAACTGGTGATTTCTTTTATTTTTATGACGTAAGGTTGAACCTCCTTTTTCTGAAATAAAAATTGAAGCTTTTCAGATTTATTAATATTTCTAATGTATACACTGATCAATCAAAAAATTATATCTAATCTTCAATCGATAACTTCAAAATATAATTCAAGTAAAGAGATCAAAATCAACTTGGAAATTAATAAAGCAAGCATGCAAGCAACAAGTAATTAATCATTTTTACTAAATTTTAATTAAGCTCTTTTAAGAAAAAAAAAAGGAATTTATCTCTTTAATAAAAGTAATTAAACTATTGAAAAAAAACTCAATAAATATATAGTTTCATTATGTCAGAGATCAAACATAAAAAATTTTAACTAAAATACCAAAATTGATATTGATTAGTCTGTTTTATTTAAGCACCTTAGGTCAAATACATCAATTTACTTTCTTTTTCTGTTTTCCGGTGATAAAAATATGATAACTTTACTCATAAAACTTTATTCAATAATTGATATTCTAATTATATATTTGAATACAACCAAATTATTTATTTATTTTTCTGATTATAAAAATTGAGTTTTGAGAGCAAGCTTTAGATGTTAATCTAAAATTAGCTTGTAGGGTGAAATCGATTCAATTTTTACTTTTCTATTACAAAATTTGCGCAATTATTTAAATGGAAAGATTTCTAAGAATTGCCCTGTAGTTATTTTATTACAAAAATTGTTAAATTTTGTAGGATTGTAATAGAAGATGGTATATAAATATTTGATGTTAAGCTATGAAGATTGTCAAAGCTATTTGTTACTGAAAAATAAATGTTTTAAGGATAAAATTAATAATGAAAGATAGATATATTTATTTGGCTTAGAAATGCATAGTGCGCAACTTTTAGTAAAGATAAATGTGAAATAAATTTAAGAATTAAACCCCCAAAAAAATATAATATTAATGAGTTTACTTAAAGCAAGTAATGATTATTCTACTGAGTAAAATCTTAATTATAACTAAAAAGAGAGATCGTTTAGGAGTAGTATATATCATCAATTATTAAAATGGGATTTAGAATTAGCAGATTTGGGTGGGATAAAAGATTTACAAAAAAATTAAAGGTTTTAAAAAAAGTATTGCCATTTCTGGGCCAAAAGAATGGTCTACTATAATTTGTCATGATCTCATTAATTCTGAGGAGTAGTGACGGAACAAATTTAAAAATGACTCAATATAAAATTATTTGATGCAAATTATATTTTCCATGTAACTAATTTTGATAAATACTCTGCATTATTTAACCTGTTAAGGTATTTTACTCAAAGCTACCAATTAAATCTAAAGGGTTTTAAATTTAGAATAACTTTTTGAATCTCAATTTTTACTAAGGTTTTTTTAATATTAAAAGTAATCCAAATCTTATTTTTTGGATGATATTCAAACAGAAAAATCCATGCTTTCATTACTCATTGTTTATTATAATTTATCTTGTTTTAGATAATCAACAAATCTTACCTTAAACGGCTGTTTTATCCGTACGTCAAAAAAGAGTGATGACGCAACTTTCGTTTTTAATTCAAGTTAAGCTAATGCATTATGAAATATTTACATTATGTAATGCTAACATTCTTGCTTTTTTCAAATAATAACTACGTTCTAATACTATAAGCAGGATAATAGAAAAAAGATAGAATTTGCCTTTACTTAATTCAAAAGTTATTACATAAATCCCTTCACAAAGGTGCACTCAAAGATAAGAGTGACTCGCTGCTATTAAATGGATATTTAGATATCAGTAAACTCAAATGACAAGTTAAGGAGATTCTATTATAAGGTTAGAATTAATTTAATGCTAAAGATATTTATTTGGAGATAGATAGTCAGATAAATAGTCTAGAACTTTTTAGAAAGTATAGTTTTGATGCATCATAAATTTTTAATTTAGATATATAGCGCAGATTTTAACAAAATGGAGATAAAGCTGACTGTAAAATAATTACAAATTCGTTATGAAGAGGGAGAAGAAGCAGGCAAGCTAATTAGTATCTATATTTATATTGCTTTTTAAAGTAATCTCAGAAATTAATATTTTTTTTATAGCTTTCTAATAAGGAGAAATCAAAATTTAGGCTTACGAGCTCTTGTGGTTGGGATGAGATAATTTTGAAGATAGTTAATTTATTATTTCGTCATTTTTTGTCACTTTTTTTGAATTTACCAGCTCATTTGAATTATTAATCTATTCTTCTGCTAAGTCGCTTAATGTTAAGAGATTGGCTTAAGGTATAAAGGTTATATTTAAATTTTTTAACTATCTAGCAATTTCTATTAAAAGTTAAATTCTAATCAAAATTATTCGAGTACAATTTTTTTTTTATTTGTATATCAAAGAAAGTCCTACCACCTCCTTTACTTATTAAATCTTCAATAAAGACGCATTATTCAACTACTCTATATTGCAAAAGTTTTGGCAGTGGTTATTTCTAGTATTTTGATCTTATTTTTCCTCTTCTTTTCACGATTTTTAAATTGGTTTTATAAATGCAAATTACTGCTTTATACATTTCATTTTTATCTCTAATACAAAATAATCCCTTGTAATGATTTAAAGCTTTAAATATAACTTTTTTATGGCTGATATAATTACATCGATTAATCATGAAAGAATCCAAATTTATTCATTTTCTTAATAAGATAAAGAATTAACTAACTAAATAAATATAATTATCATACAAAAACGCAATCATAATTCAAAGAATGTCTTATTAATCTCTTTATGTTTATTTTATAAAATAGTATTTAATATTACTTATTATTCTTATGGAGTTCGCTCATAAATAAAGATAACCTTTTAAAAAAGAAAATTAAAAAGTAATAGTTAAACATGTAATTGTTAAGGCAGTATATTTAATACTTAAAGTTATGAATAAATTTGTGATTGTAAATAAACATTTGTATAAAGAACTAATTAGAACTGCTTACCATAAGCAAACAAACAAAAAACAAGATAAAAAAACAAAACAAAAAAACTTTATTCTTTTATTAATAAATAAGAAATGAGCCAGTTTACCTCTTATTAATAATATTTGTTTGTTAATATCTAAGATTGTTTATCAAAACTATATTTTTTAGTTAGTTTGTTAGTCATTAATTAACCTTTTACTCTTATTTCTTCTATTCAAATTTAAAATAAATATATAATATTAGAATAAATCTACTCAAATTCTAGCAATAAGCGTTACAAAATATTATTCGCTAGCTCTTCCAAAATTTTTGAACTACCAAATTTAGTGTATCATTATCAATTTTAGCCTCTTAAAGATGGGGTGATGCGAGTGTAAATTTAATATAACATATATCGATTCACTTCTTAAATTAAGTAAGGGATGAAAAAGAAATTTATTGGTTCTTCCTAATTTTATGTAAAAATTATATTTTTTTATTGGCATAGTATGCAATTTGCTCTAATTAAGGCGTGAATAATTAAATTACGATTTCATTGAATTCTAAAGCATTTCGCATCTAAAAAGACTATGAAGAGGTGATTGTTGACGTATTTTACAAATATTCTCATCATAAACCTATGCATAAATAATTCATACATTTTTAAAAGAGAGTCAGTTTTCATTTTATTTATTTAGATTAATATGAGATTTTGTGGTGGACTCTATAATTTTGTACGCAAATATAGCTAAAGTGATGAAGATATTTTAGTAATAGTTATTTTTATAGGACATAATATATGCTTTGAAGCCATGACAAGATAATATAAAAAAAAAATCAAAGATTTTGACGCATGTACAGTAAAGGGTGTAAATTAATCAAATTTTAATTTCAAATTTAGCATATTATTAAGCTAATTACATTTAAGAATGGAAAATTTAAAAAGTATATGAATATCAGCGTCATACATATTTATTGCATCTTTAAAAAAATTATACTTATAAAAATACACAAGAATTGTTTCATTTTAAAATGGCTAATTTACATGAAAATCTGTAAAAAAACAATATTCTTACTCTAATATGTGCATAAAGTTAATCATGACGGCATATGCGGAATTAATAATTTAATTGCATGTTATCAATCTAATTCGTCAGTTAAATGCAAGTAAGATTAAAATTTTACGAACGAACTTCTTTCTATTAGTAAATAAATTGCCTTCTTATCAGTAATTCATATATCGTATTCTGCATAACAAAAGCAACAGATAGTGCAAGCTCATATGACTCTTTCTAATAATGAATCAATTAAAGTATAAATATAGGTCTTATTTTATTAATTCAAGTGCATAATGAAACTCATTCTTTATCATCTTCAGTTCTTTTGATATAAATAAATATCTAATATTATCATCTTGTCTTTTTTTTGATTATGTCATTTACTTATATTACGTAATAAACCAGCTGCCTTTAAAATATAAAAGCTTTAATATAATTTTCAATAATTAGACTTGATATAGGTAATCACCTTTTGTATCTATTTAAAGGATTTTGATTTAAAATTCTATTTTCTTTCTTACTTTCAACCTGCTTATCTTGCAATATAATATTTTTCTATAAGCATTTAAATATGGATGAAGTCTTTTCAAACGTTCAAATGGATCCTTTATTTTTTCAACAATTCTCAATTTTGTTACAAAAAAAAGTCTAATTTTGTCCCTCTAATTAATTATGAAAAAAATATATTTTGTTTATTCCCCACTTAATAAAATACATTAAAATGTATTAGTCGCTCTCTTTTATTTTGAATTGATGCAGTTTAAAATATTTTAGACTAGAATGATAAATTTTTAATATCAAATATATAATGAATACAAAAAGCTTGTACTGTTCATTCATTTATTTGGTTTTCTTTATATTAACTAAAAAATTAATTTTTTTGTGTTGATTAGGAGAGATGTTGAAAGTCTAGCTATTTAAGAAATAAGTAAAAGATATAAAAGCAAAGATGCTTAAAGCCAATATATTTTTTTAAATTTTAAAGGTATCCTAACGAGTAAGTTTAAATATTTTAAAAACAATTTATTTAATACTTGCATTATAAAAACTAAAAATGAAACAATAAATGTAATTTTATTAGATTTAATCAATAAAAAAATTTGATATAGATATAATGAATGAAATTTGCATTGCAAAATCTACTTGTAATATTGTTAAGATTTATGAGTAAAAAATCTAGCAAAATTCAAATATGATATTCTTATTGAGAAAGTAATTTGGAACAAAATAAATGAGGAAATATGATGGAAAGATAAAAACTTAAATTAATATTATGACGACTACTATTAAAAATAAAATACTATTTTTAATACGCCATCAATGTATCATTAAATTATTTAACACTCACTTAAAATCTGTAAAGTCCAAAAATAAATCAAATAACAAAGTTAATCTTTGGACCTAAATTTTAAGTCTTACAGATAGATTTAAGTTAAGCTATAATCTCTAAATTCATTAAATTTTACATTATATATTCTATTCTATTTATTTAAAAAATAATTCTGTCCGTCCTTAAACAGTATTAATAAATATTTAAAAGTTTTATTTAATATTGGAATTTTATATTTCAAAATATAATTTTACAAAAAATAAAATGTTTAATTAATTAACAATTTAAAATTATTATTGAGAAAATTTACACTAATTAATTTTAAAATAATTTTATTTAAAAAAAAAATACAAATAAATTTATACAAAATATTTATTTGATTCTAAATTATTTTTATCTTCTTGAAAAATTTAAGAAATGCTAAAGACAGATAATTTGCATGAAATTAGTTCAATTTAATTATCTAAAAAGTTGGTTTGTGTTGATTAAATTACACACATAAAAAATAAGATTTCTACAATTAGTAAGTATTTAATTAGAAAAAAATTTGATTGGTGGATAATACTTACTTAGCTAGCTAGCTATCTATCTATCTAACTAACTAGCAAGAAGTAAAGAGATGGATTTAATTAGGAAATATTTTTAAAATAATTTATACTATTTCTAATATAATTAATTATTAAGTTTTAAAATGTATTACAATTAATATAAATCATTATGGTATCAACTATCTACAAAATTTATAATTAGTAAAATTTTAATATAAAAGATGGAGATGTAATTAATAATATAGCGAGTTAAAAATTACAGAAATCAAAAAGATGATTGATCTATTGATTGATTGATTTTTGATAAATAATTGATTATTATTGCTTTGTTAATGTATATTATTTATATATAGTTGAATCAGTTTAGTTAATTTAATTATTATATTAAGCAGTATGCTTGGCGTTTATAAAAAGGAATTAATATGAACTATGAACATATTTCGTCACTAATTCGCATTATCATTACGTACTTCAAACTCGTTAAGCAATTTTTCATAGATATTCTTTATTTTATTGAATGTAATTTTTGGAAAACTTTTATAATTGGCTGCACACCTGTTTGGAGTGTTCTAATTCACTCGAATCCTGTCATTGAGCTGCTGGTTAAATCTTTATGAAGATGCCACTGCCCTGTTAATGCGGTGCCAAACCTGATTTAAATCAAAATTTTAACTCTTCAGTATTTCTATTTTTTTTTCAAGAGGAAATTTGTAAAGTGTTATATCATCAAATTTTCTTTAGCTTTGGCTGTTGCTGATAACTCCAAAGCTCTTAAAATCATAATTAACCTTGTTCAAGTTGCTATTCTCGTACTTTTCTCGGTGAATACGGAATTTGCTATTTTCTTATTATTATGAGTTTTCTAATTTTGCAGAGTGCTTCGGAGTAGACATTTAGAATATGAAGTCATTTTCTTTCAGGAGGTTTTCTATGATGCTATCAACAGTAGCTTTATCGTAGAGTTGTTTTTTCATTCTAGCAGTTCCTTCGTGTTGAAGCCAATCCTCCTCCTCGTCTTTTTATCTAGGCGTATCGTATTGGTATTCTTCCTCATCAAGAAAAGATTGCCTTTATAATAAATAAATATATATAAAGCTTTAAAAAACCAAAATCAATATTTAGTCAATTTATGTTGATCATAATTAAGCTAAATTACTCAAATTCACTAATTCATAGTATGCAATTAAATATATTATTTAATAATCGAAAAAAAGTCAATAAATTTATTAGCTATGGGGCTTGATTATTTATAATTGATCTACGACCCCTCACTAAATAAACAAAAACACTGTTCATATCTTTTTAAATTGCACATTTTACAATCAATCAATAAATTCTTTATTTTATTTTAACTAACTTTTATTTCAAAGTTATAGTTGATAAAGTATTGAAGGAGTATGTGATTTTTTATTTGAATGGTATCCACTTGAAAGTTAAAATTATTTCGAAAGAAATATGTCATCATTATAACTGTATTTTATATACAAAGGTGTCGTAATGATTCTCTCTCTCTTTTTTAAAAATTGTGTGAAGGGGTATTAAAGTACACAAAATTTAATAAATTTAGAATTTTGATGGAGAGGTAAACTAATCAAATATTTTCTGTTTAAATTTAATGAATTATTTTTGGATGTTTACAGTTAAATTTATAATTACTGCTGTAAATAAAATTGAATTATTCTTTAAAAGGGCAAACATTTTAAAAAATTAATATTTTATCATATCAGTATGCATTCTTCTTTTTAATATAGAAATATTATAGTTTAAGAAGTAACTGAAAAATTTATAAAATTAAAAAAAATGAATAATTTACTTCTGTTAATAATGAGGCGTTTGCTTTGTTTGCTTAATTGAAGTAGAAGGGCGACGAGATGAATGAGAATGATGTTGCGACTTGTAATTGACGGAATCTATAATCATTGATGTATTAGAAATGAGTGTGACGTCATTGTTGACTAATCCAACATTTGTATTATTTGCTGAAGATTTTTTATTCAGTGATGTGAACAGCAGTTTCTATTCTTTTTTATAGCCTAAATCACTTCTATACTACTCATTTTACAATTGATAATTGTTTGAACTTATTAAGCCATTATTAGCATGTTTCGGTGACTGATAAAAGTCCATTTGTGCTAAATTTAATGGCAAAGAAAGGTGAGCAAAAATAACATAGTTAATTTGCTGTTGATCTTCCTTTTGATTTTTACGTATCTCGTGTGTAACTTCATATGATATTCTTCTTAAATGAGAATCAATGTCTTCATAATCAGCAACCATAGATCTTTGATGAAAAACTGAACTTTTTTTTAGTTCTTGCAGGTAATAGTAAGCAATGCCTAGCTTATCATAGAGATCTATTTCTTGATCTCTTGCATTACAATACCATGCATATTATAGAGATTTTTTATAAAAAAGGAGGGATTCACTGTATTTCGTTTAATAGATACAAATATCTCCAATTAGTTAATATGCTTATGATTTTAAGTAATCTGAACCTTTGTTCATCTCGCAACAAATTCTTGCTTAATTTAAGAAATATGCAGCCTTGTCTAAATTTCCTACTGCTATTTCAATCTCTCCCACAAAAATGAGTATTTTAGCTAGAATCTTTAGTTAGGTTGTTTCTACCGCCTTCGTAATAATTTCCCACACAGCATCTTCTAATTACACGGAATATTCAGCAAAATTATAAATCATATTCAATATTTCATTCTTATTTAAATATAAGTACATATGTAAATATTTAAGACTTTAATCACCTTTGTAGTCTAAAAATGGTAAAATATCTGACTGTTTCTTCCTCTTTAGCTTATACTATTCTTGCTTTTCCTCTAGTGTCAGCTTACTATTAAGAGATATGCTTTTTACATTCAACTGCTAATTAGGTTTTTGCTATGTATTATTAATATCCTTTTTATCTTATTCTAGATTTAGAGTAGTAAATGACTAAGAATTGTTATTCCTCAAGTTATTTTAACTTCTCCTACTTAAATTAGCTGACTTTAGGTTATTCCTAGAGTGCAACTATGTTTGTTTCTCTTCTTAATTTTATTGATTCCCACTTTAACTATTACTGTGCTCTTCTTCTTCTTTAACGTAATTGTTCTTTTTGTACATTTATTCGTTAAAAGTTTAAATTTAAGAGCTGTTGAAAATTAAGGATCTATTTTAAGAAAAAGAAGACTGTGGTCTCGTTTCCTGCTAAGAAATTCTAGTTTTTTGAGAATGAGTTCTTATTTATTGCTCTCGGTTTAAATTATTTTATAAATTTATTGAATGAGCAGATGATGCTCTTGATAAAGGTTTTTCATTGAATATTCTTTCTTCAAGAAAAGGTGTAATCTTAATTTATTCCTGTTCTGAATTTTCTTTAAAAATATTTCCTTTTAATTTTGTTTGGCTCTAAGCAAGGAGAACTAATTAGCTTTATTTTTCCAAATCCTCTTGATGCATAATTAATGTTTATTCTTTTTTCTAAATATTCATAGCTGGTGTCGCCAAAGACCGAGCTGAAGATACAATGCTGTTATTTTCTTTTACAATCCTAGGAGAACAATAGCTAAAATTATTATTTGATTCTTAAATATTATTATTAATATTGTTATTAGCGGCTGCAAGAGACTAAGTCCTAGTATGTAAGTTTGTTCTTGCAGAGCATGGCTTAGTTGAAAAAAAACTTTATCCTGTTTATGTGCTATTACAATTCTAATTTCTATTTGTTTTCTATTTTAATTATCTGTCATACTTGCTAAGCATTTATATGCTTTGCTACACAGTATAATTGTATTAATCTAATATCTATTATTAATTATATTAACCACTTTGCTTTAGAATTTATGTACTCTAATTCCCTATTGAATTTGCATTTTTTAATATTGAATTTGTTTATGTTTGCTGTTATTGTTAAGGCATCCCTTAATAATATTCATTTTAATGAATAAGATTTGATTTTTTACACGAAACTGAATTTTGTTAAAGCTATTTTTGTTAATGTAGCTGCTGCTGCTACTGCCTTGAATTAATATTAGTATAATTACTTAAATAAACTATATTGTTCTGCTTTATCTTATTTTGAAGTCTATCATATATTTTTTTTGTGATAAGCTGCTAGTGTTATGCTTCTTTGCCTTTATCTTAATACTCCCTTCCTGTGTAAGTACTTTAACCAAACTATTTCTATATTATTTGCTAGATATTAGACATATTTACTTCGAAACAAATTATTTTGATTGCTTATTTATAAAAATTAAGCTTAAATATATAATTAAATATTAACCAGATATTTTTTCTTATCTTTAATAAAAAGTATAAATTTTTCCTTTTACTCTATATCTCATCTATTTATCTATTTGTCAATTTATCTATCTTTAAATAATAAGATGTGAATTTTTTTTATAGTTTTCTAAAAATATAACTTAGTAAAATAAAATAGAATAAATAAATAAAAATATATTTTTAGGTGTTTAAATTCTTTCAAATGAAAATCAAAAAATAAAAAACAATTTTAATGTTTCCTCATTTAATTTAAGGTATCAATAAAGCTATAAACAAATATTTTTTTTAATTTAATCTTTTAATAGAAGCAATTTTATTTTTTTAAAACAATTTTAGCTTTTATAATTATGTTAAATTTATGAATTTAATTTATTAGAATTATTACAATTAAATTTTAAAGAATATTTTTAAAAATAAATTTAAATCGTATTAATAAAATTATAATTTAAAAATTTTTTAAATGAGAAAATAAATTAAATAATTTTTTTTTGCTCAATATCAACTAAATAAAATAAACATTACTACTAGCTTATAATTTTAATTTTATGTTTTTTCACTGATAAAATTCGTAGAAATTTGAGCATTTTAAAGAATATTAAATTTTGAAAGATGCATAAAAATTATTTTGAATTTTTCTTTATTATTTAAAACTTAATTCAAGAAAAATAGAATTAAGATTTATTTATTAAATACAAGAAAAATAACTATAGCATAATTTAGAAACTTGATAAAAAAGAGTGATAAAATGATATTTTCCTACATTATTCATAAATAAAATATTAACATTAGAAAATTTTGAATTAAAAAATATTTTGAAAAATATGAATTATATTTAAGTTTCAAACTTTAATTAATAAGAAATGTAAAATATTTAAATAATATTTAAGAAATAAAAACACATCAATTTTTAATGTAAATTTAAATTATAAATTTAATTTATGGTTGAATTTATAAGTTTTGTATATAATAAAATGACCTTAATAAATATTATTATATAATTTATTTAAGTTAAATCAGTGAGTAATGCTATTATTTTTTCATGTGATCAGCTTTTCCTTTTGCAAATATTAAAGGTTTAACATCTTTAATTTATAAAAAATTCATTTTTAAATTCTTTAGACAAATAAAAAATTAAAGAATAATTAAAATTTTTTAAATTGCTTTTTAATTCTACAATTTTTTAAAAATAAGAGTGATTAGTTTAATTTAAAGCTTGTTTTAATTAAATTTTAGTTCTAAATATTATTTTTTTATCCATCAATAATGTTTATGATTTACATTTTTAAAATATAGTTGTATATTAGATTTTAAAAATATTAAAGATCTAATTTATAAAATTTAGATGTAATTAAATATCTTTCTTTTAGGTGAGAAAGAAATTAATTAAATATAAAAAACTAAATAAACTATAAAAAATTTTAAAATAAAATTATTAAATAAAATCTATATAATCTAAATATATCACCAAGTAAGTTTAAATTATAAATTAATTTATAATTTGCATAAATTACTTACTAAATCCTTATTAAACTAAATCTTAGCTAGATGAACTGAAATGAATTAAAATAAAAATTAATGTAATTAGTAATTATTCATAGTCAAGCTACTAATACCAATATCTTCTGTCCCTGGTTATCCTAATTAAAGCTTTATTGTTATAAGGATTAAAAATCCTATAAAATAATTGATGTAATTTTGTATTTTAAATTTCCTTGATTAGATTTTATAGTAATCTAATTTTTAATTTCAATTGATAGTATTTTGTTAAGAAAAAATAATTGCACCATTAAAATAGTTTGATCAAATTCAATTATCATGTAAGAATTAAAAAATAACAAATTGAAATAAATAATATATTATGAGTAAGTAAGGTAAGATTTCACAATTTAAAAGTAAACTAATATAAAAATAAAATATTTAAATAAATCATATTTATGATAAATATTTAATTAAAATAAATGATAAAAATATTAAATTTTTTGCTCTATTATTTAATAATTTATATTAGCTATTCGATAGTATTTGCATAAATAATTAAAATAATTGTAAAATATAAGCATCATAAAATATAAATAGCATAAAAATTTTATTTTCATTTTCTAATTTAAATATTAAAACAATTATTTTTACAACAAATTTGATTAGTTTGTTCAATATTTTTTATTTTTTATAAAATATCATATTTATATAATAAAAAACATGAAAATTAAAGCACACTAAACTTTATAATTTTAGATTAAGGCAAAAATTTTTTTCATTAACGAAAGATATTTGTTTATCTTTTTAATTTAACACAAATTGAGCTTTTACTATTTACATTATTTTTTTCATTTAATTATTTGTGAAATACTAAAATGAAATTTTGTAATTTTTTCGTTTGAGTAATAAAGACAAAAACTTATTGAATGCAATTTCAAGTTATTACTCTAGGATAATATATTATTTAACAATTAATTATTTACTGTCTAAAAAGAAAATTTTTATAGTATAAAAGTAATCTAAACATTGACTTACTAAAATAAATGTAAGTTAAAGTTTCAAAAAATTTAACAAAAATAGAGTATTAAAAAAAATTAACACACAGGAAGAGAGTTTAATGTAAACAAAATAGTTTCAGAAGTAAATTAAGATAAGAATTTTGTAGGTGATATTATTTATAAAAATAAGTCAAATTAATACTTAAAAATAATATTTTTTTCATGAGAATTATTAATGCTTTTTTAAATTAAATTTTTTCTGTCAATCTAAATTAATAATTAATGAAATTATTATCATTTTTTATTGGTAAGCATGGCTTTTTGCAAAATTTTAATTTGTTTTAAATAAATACTTTGCATAAAAAATTGTTTTGTAATTAAAACCTTAGTAATATTCTTGCCAATTACTTAATTTGAAGGGAAAATAGTATTTGAATTGACTTAATATTCATAAAGTTATACTTTTTAATTTTTAATTAATTAATAATGATTGATATTTATCTTAATTTACTCACTGAATTAAAATCTATTTAAATATTAATACCACTAGCCGCTAATTTATCAACAGTAATAAAATCATAAAGGAAAGCTAAGTTATTAAATAGTTTTTATGCAGGATATGAGCTACAGCTAGTACTAGAAGTATTCCATTTTAACATAGTTTTTAGTTAACTTTGATGGTAAATGATCATTTTAAATATTTACTGGTTAGTTTATTAATTATAGTTTTTATTACATATATATATTTAGTAAAGATAAATTATTAATGTACATTTCAATTTTCTTATTTCATATTAAAAATGATATAAATTAGATTTTTGAGCAAATTAATTTTTTTCTTCACAGTCTTTATTATCTTGCAGTAAATCACAGTTCTTGCTATGTTTAAACATGTATGAGTGCTATTTTATTTAGATTTTTTGCCTAATAAACTTTGGGAAAACGAATTCATACAAGATAAGCTGTGATTATGAATAACTTTTTTTTGATAGGCTTAAAAAGTAAATTAAAAATAAATTTAGTAAATTAAATTTATTCATAAATTCATGTTATGAAAAATTTAGGTATTTTATTAATTATATATGATTGAATATTCTGATAGATAAATATAAGAATACAAATTTTATATTTTTACTTGCTAGTTTTTTTAGCAAAATAGATAAATTGCTTGATTAATAAAAATTCAAAATACTTGAAAAGTGCATTGTTTGCTTGATTTATTCATTGATTAATTTATTGATCGCTTTTTTTCATGTAAATTGAATTTGGTATTTTATAGTTTAGGATAGATAAATTAAATATAAAATCAGAAAGAAAGAAATAAATCAATCTTTTTTTTTAAAAAAAGAATCATTAAGCAGCAATATTTAACAAATCAGTAGCAAAAAATTAATTTATTTAGTAATTCTTATAATTTAAGAAGATATTATTAAGCATAGCAAATAGAAGTAATAAATCTAATTTTATTAATTTGGTTGATAGAAAAAGGGAAAATAATATTAATAACTATCATATTCTCTACAAAGCCTGTGATAGTTAGTCAATAAAAATAGATAATTCAACTCAATAGCATTCGAATTAGAGAAAAAATAGCAACTTAAAGAATCGTTTTGCAAGAGTTTAATATTTTTTGAAGGTCTTTTAATTATGCAAGAGGCATAATAAAGCATAGTACATAATGAAAACGATTAACAATCATTATCTTGGCTACTAAGCAGCAGCAATTATTTGAAGTTATTCAAATTGGAGTTTAAAAAAGAAAAGGTAGAAAAGTCTTATTAAGTTAACTCAATTGATCAAAATAAGAAGTTTTCTATTTTAGTAAGCTTTGCTGTCATTTTGTACTAAATTGTAATTGGCTTGATATAATACTTTTTTTTCAAAGATCTTAGTGGCGCTATAATCGAATTCGTTTACTCGTTTGTCAATTGTTTGTTATTAATAAAGCTAAGAAAGCATTTTTACATTGTGTAAATATTATAGTGCATATGCTTTCTCTCCTTCGAAGTAATTTTTATGGAAACATTTGTAATGACCCGTATATATTAAAATGATAGATCCGATGACCTTCAAGGTTACTTTTTTACCTTAGGATTACTATCAATGTGTTTAATTTATATTTTAGCCTGCGCTTTGCACAAATGGTATTACAAAGCACTCCTTGTAGAAACAGCCATTATTCATTATACTTTAAGAGCAAATTCTTCCATAGTTAAAGCATTTACATATTATCCTATATTCTATGTGAGTATAGTACTATTTTTTATATTGTTCTACATGAAAGAAAAATTCGAAAGAGACCTTTTTTACAAGCTATATCTAAAGAGGGAAGAAAACAAAGCCTTTAAAGATTTACTAGAAAATACAGTTCCTTCTTCAATTTTCGTGGCAAAACTCAGAGAAAATAATTTCTCACAACCACACCAAGGATCTTCCATCAAAAAAAGTGTTAAATAAAAAATAAACTCATTGTTTTCTTTCTTTAAAAGAAATTCTTAGAAAAAGTAGACTAAATTAAATGAAGAATAGAATAATAACACTCCAAATTAATACGATAATGCTACTTTTCCTTATCCAAACAACTCAAAAATGAAAATAGTTTTTGCTAATTCCCATTGCAAGCGCAAGTTTGCTACAGAAAATCTTGAATTTTTATAAAAAAACATGAATTATCTCTTCTCCTAAGGCTCTCTAGCTGCTGTTAGAGATAACTCATAAGGGAGGTAATTGATTTATTAATTAATTAATCAAATCATCAATTGATTTGAAAGACTATGTGCTAGCCATAGAATTAAATGTTATTAAAATAACAATTTTTTCATTAATTTTCAACCAAGTTTTCCCACTTTGTCAGTTTTTAACAGAGGAAAGTTAAATTAATTTTTTTTTTTTTTGAATTACAGTAGTGAAGAATTTAGAAGTAAAAGGAAACTTTCTAGTTAAACAAAAAGATAAACAAGCATAAATTAAGAGTTTTAAACATGCATTCTTTAGTTTATTTGGGACTAATTTTAAAAAATAAAAGTGTGTAAATAAGACTAACCTAAGAGACACAACGACGAATACTTTAACCAAAATGAAGAAGTTCATTTAAACTGCATATACAAGAAAAATAAAGTTCTCATACAGGAGTACGAAAATCTATAAAAGCAAAATATCTTGGAAGCTGACAAAGCTATCAAAAAGGATAGCTCATATAAAAGTAATCTCTGCTAAAATTACATAAATATTAATGATGAAAAAAAGGAAACTAAAGTACAAGATATTAGAAGTAAAGCGGGAAGTATAATGCAATTTCACAATTTAGTAATTAATTGTCTTAAAATATATTTAATTCTTATAAATTAGCTTTCAAAAACAAACTCCTTATTATTAAAGCATTAAATGTAAAAAGATTCAAAAATCTTTATTAATTTTTTAGAAATAGATAAAAAATATAATTTATAATAGTTATCTATAAAATACTAAGCATAGCATGATTTAAAAATATTTATAAACAAATTTTAAGATAAAAAAATTGATGAAACAAAACAAACAAACAAACAAACAAACAAACAAACAAACAAAAAAGCATTTGATAAATTAGAAAATTATAAATTTGCATACCCCATATTATAATAAAATTAAAAAAGTATATTTTCAAAAAAATTTTTTGAAAATTTAATTAATACCTAAATTTTTTGGAAAAGTTTTAAAACCCTGGGTCTTAATTAAGGAGAATGTACAATATATACATACATAAAAATGATCAATAAATCATTTTTTAGAGATCTAAATTTAATAATCATTCATTCTTATATTTAATTTTAATTGGTTTCAATTAAATTTTACTTTTAATTCTATTTTATCTTATTTTTAATGAGAATTACTAGCTTATAAAAACTAATTTAATTATTTTATATTTAAAGAAAGTTGCTTAGAGACTTGGTAAAGATGTCAATCATTCTTAGAATACTGTAAATGCTAATTCAGATCCGAATATGCAATTCGAATCTATCACAAAAGTAAGGAGAGATTTTGACAAAAAAAATTTTCTTTTTATTCCTGATGAAATGCACTTCGACATCAAGATTGTTAAGTGCAAGTGGGAAGATGAAGTAGCCGTTATGGTTTTATTGAGTGATATTAGCTAAAAGGTTGTTAATGAAAGAATGAGGCAAGTTAATAATTATAAAAATGAAATGCTTTCTTCTATTACACACAATTTAAAAACTCCTTTAAATGCTGTAATGATTATGATTGAATCAGCTATATTGTCCAATTCTCTTTAGTAGGCATAAAAGTAGCTTCAACTTGCTCAAAATAGTGGCAGACTTTTACTATATATGATAAATGATTTGCTAGATTACTCAAGACTTAGCAGTAGCAGACCTTTTCATCTTTCATTTTAATCTTTTTATTTATAAGATTTATTATTAAACATTAAATCTCTCTTGTATTAGCAGTTTTAATCTAAAAACATCGATCTTCAATTCCACATTTTTATCAAGGATGTAAACTAAATTCTCATTAATGATAAGCAAAGAATTGAATAAGTTTTACTAAACTTGTGTTAGAATGCCTTGAAATTTACTTTTTAAGGGTTTGTAAAGATTAATGTATTTGAAGATGAAACAAGGCCAAACGATCTATTTTTTTAGGTCCAAGATTCTGGTCTTGGAATATCAGATGAGGCAAAAAAAAATCTTTTCAAAATATACGGTAACATGATTATAAACAGCTAAAACAAAAGACATGGTAATAAATATTTATTTATTTATATTTATTTTTTTTTTCGGAAAAATAATAATTAAACTTATTAAATATAAATAAAGGTGTTGGACTCGGTCTTGCTGTTTGTAGAAAATTAGTCAGCTAGCTAGGGAGTGAAAAGGTTATTCAAATTGAAAGTTTTAAAGGTAAAGGAAGTAGCTTCACTTTTAGCATTTACAAGAAGCACCCTTTTAATTAAGAGGATGATATTTTACTCCCAAAGTTCAGGTCTTTAAAATACATTCAAATGAAAAAGAATGTTTCAGAAAAAGAGTTGGTTATGAATTCTAATTAAAATGTCCAATTAATTGAGAATTAGAGACTAAGAAGAAACTCATTGACTAATATGAAAAAATCAATTCATTTTGAAGAAAATAATCCTCTCACTAAAATATCTAGTCAGAATATGGAAGAAACGTTAAACGGTAAATCTCAGTTCAACTTATAAAACTAGGTCAAAAATAAAGAAAAAAATAGCAGCTAATCAAGTAGCAGCATGGAAACATCAAAAAAGGATATTTTCAATGAGAAATAAAATAATCAAAGTATTAATTTTTTGAATTTAAGCAAATAGAAAATACTTTTAAACAATGAAATACCACAAAATAATAAATTCAAATTGAATGCTAAAGATCAAAAGCCAAAGAGCATTTATAACAGATAATGTTCTTTAGAGTTTCAGTAGCTATGCAATAATTTGACTAGTACTGAAGAAGACTGCTCTGAGAAGAAATAAGCAATTTCTATTCCTTTGATGTCTACAAAAATCCTAGAGGAAAAAAACTTGTCAGCCAATAATTGTGGGTCAAACTAACAATTTATACATCATACATAAAGCGATACACATCTAAATTTAAAAGAAGATAATGCCAACGAGTTAAAAAAGAAGAGCAAAACCCTTGTTTAGCATTAAAAAATTTTATATTAAAATAACCAATTCAATTTCAATCATAACTTTAATTTAATGTAGACAAGTGAGTAATCTTCAACTCCTATAAGCAGTAATAAAACAATCGTTCAAGCTTAAATTTTCCAAGAATATTAACTAAGAGATTAGTTTATTAAATAAAGCTAAGCTTCGACGTCATAAAATTTAAATTTTAACACCTTATAAAACTAGAGAGAAGATTCATAATAATATAATAGGATATGCAAGAATAGCATAAGTCAGCCAAGGCTATCTATTTTGTAAGAGTTAGATGCATCAACTTAGAATGAGTCTAGTGTGTTGAAAAATGCAATTTTTAGAGCTGCTCATTTAAAAGCAGAAAATTAATTTGATAGTATCTAACCTTATTCTTGCTTAAAATATAATGAAATGGCTGATTTTGGCAACACCAGCACTCCTAAATCTAGTCCAACAACTAATTACTAATTAGATATGCTAAACTAGCTAATCTGGAAGAAAACCAACTTGCTGATCGTTGACGATACAATATTTAACATAATGGCTTTAAAAACTATTCTTAAAAATGTGAACAATTTGGTATTTGATGAGGCTTACAATGGGCAACAAGCTATCGAAAAAGTGCTTTAAAAAAAAAATTATGATCTCATTTTTATGGATATAAACATGCCTGTACTGGATGGTTTTGAGGCAACACAATCAATAACAAGGTTAATTGAACAAAAAAAAATACCATATACAACAATTATCATAGTATCCGCTTTTAATGATGAATCAGATAGGCAAAGAAGCTTTTAGTCAGGAGCTAAAGCCCACATAGATAAACCTGTCACTTTGGATAACATTTATAAAGCCATTAAGACTGTTAAGCTTCCTCACTTATAAGTATCCTGAAAAAAATTGTGTTGTAGTAGTCCAATTTTCCAACCTAATTATAAAAAAAGTCATTAAAAAATAATAAAAAGTTTTTAAAATCAGTCACAATAAAACATCAATAAAAAACATCTAAATTTCTTATTCTTTTAATTCTAATTGTACATTATTATTATAATTATTGTTATTGCATGTAAATAAATAAATAAATTAATTAATAAATCAATGAGGAAACATTAACTAAATTTTAATTAAATTTCTTAAAAATCACAATAATTGTTTTTAATTTTCACTTTTACTATTTTATATCATAAGATTTTCCAATAATTAGTTGGAGTCATAAAAAAATTAAATAATTTTTAGGAAAATAGAAGAGGTAAATAAGCAAATAAAACCAAGAAAATTTAAATATCATGAATAAACTGTTCAAAAAAATTTCAAAATAATTGACTAAAATTCTATTTAATTTCTTAAAATTATATTTTTTACTGCCATTTGCTTTTTTCTTTTTTACTAATAATAGATAGATTTTCCAGCTTTCTTTGTGAAGTGTTTTATGTTGGAAATCAAAGATAAATATAATTTGTCTTGAAAGATAATGTAAATTCAATAAAAAATATTTCAAATATTAAAGATATTTTAAAATCATAATATGCTTTAATACATTTGCCATTTGCTTGTTATTAAAAAATATAAATTATTTAAATTTGCTTTTCATAAATTGATATCTATCTATATAGGCAGGTAGGTTAAAGAAAACTCAATTTAAATTTAAATATTGGAATCTAAAATAATAAAAAATGTAATAGACATTTTTAATTTTACTTGCTAGATTTTCGATTATAAATAGTTTTTAGATTTATTTAATTAATTCACGTTGTAAATTGCATTTTACTTTCTTTAGTTTTGTGAAATTATAATACCAACACTTTAAAGACTTCTTTTTCAAATAATTTATTAAAAATTATACATGAAATCGCTTTTTATCAGCCTTTTTTTATTTGCGTTTGTTTTCAGCGATGTTAATAAAGAATAGCAATAAAAATAGCCAGCAGCAGAAAATGATGAAAAAGAGCTAGTTGAAAAGCTCAAAAATAATGAAATACTCTATATTCAATAGGTTTGCATGACTTTCTCAGAATCATAGTGCAAATAATTTAATTATGATTAATATCTATCTCGCGGCAATCTAACTCAAAGAGCGGAATAATTGAATGAAATGGCTTAAAGGCTTAAGCATATAAACCCCGCTTTTGAATTTAGAGTATTTGACAATTAGACTATCTCTTTGGTGCCAAAAAAGAATCTAACTGATGACAATTTTATATTTAGAAGCAATAAACAAAATAGTTTGACTAACGAATTAAACCCAAAGACATTCTACAATTATAAAGATATGAAGAATAATTTCGAAGAGTTTAAAAATATTTTAAAGAAATTTGAGCATGTAATTATATTAAAATAATGTTTAATTTTTATAAATGTATTAAATTTTTTAGCATTTCATTTTGGATTTGTGCTTTGACATATTTTAAATTTAAAAGGAAAGGGAAATATAGCTAGTTCTTAATCTTCTGTTACATATAGAGAATATTAATCATTCAATGTAATACTAATTATATAATTAAGTTTACTTTATATTTAATTTAATTTATGCAGATTCTCACTTTATTTGCCACATATTCCAAGCACCATGAACGTACCTATTTTAACGTTTGGTCTAACAGAAATGTAAGTGCTGGCTTCAATAGATAAAAACATGCTCCATAAATTCATGGAAAAGAAAATGGAAATACAACAATATTGGTACAAATTTAAAAATTTAACTAGTAATTACACAGAAAAACAAATGAAATAAATATTTGGATTTAAAGAAGAGAGACTGGTTGATTTTGCAGATTTTTCTTGGGCATTGTATGAATTTTTTTCATTTTTTTAAAAATTTTTATTATTTAAAAACTCATTTTTTTAAAATCGTAGATTACACGTTTACAAATATTCAATAGATTATGAGGGAGTTTATTATATTATACCCGGTTTTGAGTTTGTTCGTTAAACAAACAATTATTTGAAGAAGATATACTTCTAAACGGAAGAAAATTCTGATTTGACTGTCTTTATCCCTGGTTATCAGAAAGGCAGACCTCTTGTCTATCATTATAGTATTAACTATTACTTTTTAAGCTAATATTAATTGTCTTTAAAAATTAGATAAAGACCCTGAACACTATTTCATTTTCAACAGAGAAATCAACCATAATCATCCAAAAGATTGTGTTTAACTTAAGATCATTAACGAAAAAGAAATAAGCTAGTGCATGGAAGATATTCTTTTTTATGCAAACATTAATAAAGGGAATTTATGTGTAAGAAAAGACAAAGAATTTCTACACTAAATAGATGTATTTATATAGGTGATAAATCTTAAAAGAAGTTTTTCATGCAAGTGCAGAGACGACATAAGTACATAATTTTTTAAATATCATAGTAACATTAATGCAAATTTTCCTTTAATATTTAAAATTAATTAGGAGAAGTTATATACAAAAACCCCGATATTAATTTGATTGATTCTATCAATATAATCAAAGAAAAATGCTTGTAAGGAAAATATAACGATCCAAAGTATTATTAGAAAGATATTAGACCGTAATTCCAACCCGTTTTAGAAGCCTAAAAATAAGAATATGATAGTTTTTTAAAAGTAGTTTTTTATATGCAAACAATATATTTACATCCATGTTTTTTATATTTATTTTTAGAAACTATCTAACGAGGAGTTTGTTCTGAAAAATTTATAAGGTATCTATGTTGAAAATCTTGAGTTGTTGTACAATCTAGCTAATTACAAAAAAAAAGCATTACAAATCTTGGAGAGAGCCATAAAGAGAGCTTATGCAGCAGTCGATTAGCATAAACTTAGTGAAAATAGCTTTAAGAGAGAATAAAAAAATTCAAAAGAAGAAGAAAATATTGTCATTGACTTAGAAAAAGAGGATCTTTGAATAAATATAAAGAAAGCCATAATATATTAAAGCTATTATTTTTATTACTATGATTAAAAATATGTTGCAAGTAAAATATGAAAATATATAGAATTACTTACTTATTTATAAAGATCAAATTTATTTTAAATACTTTATCTGTTATTTATATGTCCGCAAAATTACTTTATTAAGATTTATTGTTAATCAAAGGATTTTTTATATTAATTATTCATTTTTTTTTTTCGGTAAATTTTACTATTGTAAAATCAGTAAAATAAAATGACTATTTTTGCCTGAATTTTGAATTTCAACAAACCAGAAACAAATAGAAAGGATAAGAGAATAGATTAAATACATAAATATTATTCTAAATAATTAAAATTCCTAGGATCCTTATTAATTTTAAATAATATACTAAATAATAGTAATTGATAAAGTTTTCATTTACTAAGCGTAAAATCAAAGTATAAAAATATTTAAATAATATGTATTTGATATTGATTATCAAATATTACAAAAAATAGATAAATGGATTGGAATGTTCATCAAAAATATAATTTAAAATAAAATTGAGGATTGAAATAAATTTTGTAAATTTATTAACTGTACAGGAATAATAATGATCCAGTATTTTTAAATAGCATATTATAAAACCTTTCAACTTAGAAAATCAAGGAAAACTAAAATTGTGTTTTTATTTATTTCAATTTTAATTTTAAGCTGGATAAATTTAATTTTAAAACAAATAAAATTTAAATCACCAATAATTACTATTTTTTTAAAAATGATTTTTATTCCATATAAAAAATAAAAATTATTTATCTTACTTAAACAATCAAAATATTTTTTATAGCTTCTGATTGATTTAAAAATTTCTTTGTGCAAATTTAAATGCTTTCTAAATTTAAAAGTATAACTTTTATTAAGTGACAGAACTAATGATTTATTTGAATTTTTTGGCTTTTTCCTCAAGAAACTTGACACTAGTTTGTATTCTATTTAAATCTTGATATATAAGGGATTATTATATTAAGTTTGATTTTTGTAAGCTAAAAAAAAGTATTTAGTGAATAATATTCTGTCTTACTAAGCAGTTTATAAATTCAGGCTATTTTTAAAAACTGCGTTATTAAAAATTAACAGTTAAATACAGAACAAAATTATTAAATTGCAATAGTTTTCAAGTATAATGTTATCAATAGCAGACATTTAAAAACCCATCTTTAGTTATTTCACAGTAAACTCGAAAAAAAAATTTAATGCAAGAAAATTATTGCTAAATTCTTTCTTGAAATATTAAAACTCAGCTTGGAATTACAACAATTTAAATGATATTATTGAAGTGAGTACAACTTTTCTATTTAAATAAGGAGATCAATTAAATAGGTGCAAGGATTATTTAAAGAGTTGGAAAAAAAAAATTTAATTAAAACTAAGTTTAATAAATTGCAAAAACTGGTAAAACATAATTGTTTTCTCAAAAACTTAGTGAATTTCCTGATTTAAATATTTTCATGAATTATTATTAAACTGACTTATATAATGCTGAATGCAGGGAGAGTGAATCCAGTAAGCAATACTTTGACTAGACAACCGAATAGTATCAGTACGGCTTATAATTCTGTGAATAGTTTCCTTCTTAATAATCTCTATATCATATCTAAGAAGATATAATCTATAATCCTTAGACAACTGCTCAATTACATGACACACGCTGTGAATAATATATGAAAGATGACAATTGTGAGTCACTTGTTGAGGAGAATCTGTTCAACTTAAATTATAATATGAATAACGACAACCAAAGTACTGTTTTTTCACATTTTTATTGAATTATAATTGATAATTATTAAATTAATTATATTATTTATTTATTATAGATTTGATGTTTTAGCCTAATATATAAGATTTCTAAGCTACATACATTTCATAACTATGCTAGCAGCAGAACTGAATATTTGAATAAGAACATACAGAAATTGAAAACCAAAACATTAATCAATAAAACTAATCATCTAATATTTTCTCTGAACCCTAAGACTGTGCAGAGTAAAATAATATTTAGTCATTTGATGTAAAATCTAAACTAGTAAATACCTAATCTCCGCCGCTGGCCATATTAATTGACAGAGAAATGAAGGTAGAATAGCATTCTGATTGCTATATATCCCCAAACTCCTCATCTTCATAAGAAAGAGCTCCAAAGAAAAAGAAGGAAGTTCCTTTGTAGGAAAGAATTATGCACATGAAAAAGCTTAATGTATTTCCTCTTGTCAAAGTATCTCATCTTTACTATCACTAATTGCTAAAACTAGCAAGGTTATAAAGGCTATCATCTCAGCAGTTGTAGGACATTAATTAGTCTATTCAAAATTTATTTGAAAATAACTAATAGCCTAAGAATACTGCTACAAAGACTTAGCTCTAGCTATGTATTATGAGCATTTTGAATCCTCAAACAATCTTAGACAAATTTAATGATTATAGTGATCCCAAAAGAAAAAAAGACGATAATTGGTAAGAAATTTGTCAAACAATAGGCTTATTATTCAAAAAAGTGAATTCGCAAGAAGTGAAAACATGCGTGTAATTAAAGTTGCTTCTCTCACTTTAAATCATGGGACTGTACATCTTGGGTGTAGAAGATGCTATTTCGTTTAAATTAAATGCCAATATTTCATAAAAGTCTTACAAAAATGATATATTCCTTGATAATATACTAAATGATTAAGAAAAATATACTCATCTCAATTAAAAAATATATGCAATACAATAAGAATTTTAAAATAGCAAATAACAACTTTTAGAAAAAATGCGCTAAAATATCAAACAACTAACTAATGAAGAAAATAAGTAAATCAATGACTTTATGGAATCTATTTTCTTTTAAATTTGAGTAAGTCACTCTAAAAAAGGAATGCTAAATTATAAATTTGCCTACAAATATTACTTTTTCTTGATAGATCGATAAATGTTTCTTATAAAAAAAACTATATTGAATGAATATGCAAGAAATATCAAATTTTTTTAATACAATTTAATGGGTCCTACCTACTAATTAATAACTGATTTAACCACTTTTTCTTTAATTTGCTAAAGAATAAAAATGAAATAAAAATAATCAATATAATTTTAAAAATTTAATTTAGCTAAAATTAGTAAGCAGTAAACTATTATAAAACTTCTCGTTCGCCAAATCACTTTACAACAGCACTTGTAAGAACAAATATTGACTCTTTCTAGCAAAACCTCATTTACTTTTCAAACAAAAATTATTAACCAATCAAAAAGTCTAAATTCTTAAAATATTTCAATCGATAATTTGACTTTAATAACATAAGTTAAAGTTTATGAATAAATAACAAACAAAACCATAAATAAATTTATCATAACTTCTTAAAAATATTGATAAATAATAAATCTGTAGATGTAAATTAATTAACAAATAATGATTTTGTCTATAAGCTGGAATTACTTTACTTTCCCTTATTTTCTTATTCCATTAATATATAAAATTATGTCTTTTTTAATCAAGAAAGAGAGGGGAGAAAAAATTAAGGTTATAAAAAAAAGTTAAATTAATAATAAACCTCATTTTTAAATCAGAGAATAACAGAATTTAAAAGACTTTATTCTCACTTTAGAATGAGGTTAATTTTGCTACTTCCAATCTCGCAAATCATCCCCAGCTTTAACTGATCACTGTTATTACCTGAAATCTAAATAAATCAAGTAAAAAATAAAAATTATATAAAAACAAAGGATCTAAGCTTTAAGTAATCTTTATCAAATTGATTTTAAATCAAAATACAAATCAAAAACAATCTTTTATTTCTTCTTAAATTAGTAATAATAATATTTCCTTTATGTTATCTTATTTCTTATAAAATTTTAGTTCAAAAAATTAAAGTTAGCTCTTTCTTCAAAATTCTTACTTTCTGCTTTATTATATTGTCAAAAATTCTTTAAAAAGATTTAGTATGACTGACATAAAACTACATTTAAATTAACTTAAATGTCTATATAATAATAAAAATAATTTATATCAAAAATTTATTAACCAAATTAAGAAATTATTTTATTTAAAATTAATATTAAACTTAACAAACAATGTTTAATAAATAAATAAACAAAGCAATTTTTATTTCAAATTTAAAAAAAAAATTTTATTTGATAATAGTTTGCTTTTACTGTTATGAATATAAGCAAAGACTAAAATTAGAATGACAGATAATTTTTTTATTTTATTTACTTATTTATTTGTAAATGCAGAAAACTATTTATGTATGTATGTACTGGCTATGATTTTTAAAAATAAAAACGTTGATTAATAGTAGTTAAAAAATAAATTTTACCAAAATAATGAATATAAAGTTTATTTATATCTCAGTTAGGTTTTTAATTAACAAATTTTAAAATAAACACATACAAACTAGTTAAATTTTTAGTATAAAAATAAATGTTTATTTATAATGAAAAAAACTATTTTTCACACTTGTTAATTGATTGGTATATTGGTATTTAGAATAATGTGATAGCTTTCTTTTATTAAAATAATTTTTGAAACCATAGCATATCAATATAATTTTTTAGTAAAAATTGCTGCTTAAAATCAAAAGGATAAGATACAAAATTTATTTGGCGTGTTTTTAAGACATTTTTTAATAAAAAGTTTTCTTCGCTTCGAAATGATTTAGTTTAAATAAAGCAGAGAATAAATATTAATATTTTAAAGTATTTAACTATTTTTAATTAGTCTCTATAAATTTTAATACTCTTCTACAAAATTATTTTTTTGTTAATAGTAATCCATAACAATCTAAAATAGTTTCTTCTATAAAAATATATAAAGATCGATTGAGGGTGCAGCGAGCTTCAAATTTTAAACTTTTTTATGCTTAAAATACTATCTTTATACCATTAAAACTATTTAATCATAAAATTTCTTTTAAATTTTTATTTTATAACATTTTAAGTATTTTTCGTATTTAATTTTGAGATGAGAAATATTATTTATTACTATACTTTTAGTATAAATATTAACATAGAAAAATATCACACCTTTTTATTTATTTTTAAAGGATAAATATTTATAAATATTAAATGGTATTTTAAAAGGCCATTAATTTTCATTAATTAGAAAGAATTAATCATTAAATAAATTATTTATTAATATTTTAGCTTTTAAATATTATCATAATTTTTGATAGAATTAAGTAAAAAAAATATTTGTTTTTGAAGTTAACTGTGTAGTTGATTAAAAAATTTCTAAAAATAATAAATATACAGACCAGAGCATCTATAATTTTCCCTCTATTTTTATCAAAAATATTTATTTTCATAGAATTAAATCAAAGTAATTTTCATACTTTTAAATATTTTATTTCAATTTACAATAGCAATATCTAAGTTCAATCTATTTTCTATCAATTTTTTATTATAAAAAAAAGTTTATCATTTTTTTATTGGATATAAATGATTTCAGATTATAAAGAAAGAAAGAAAGAAAGAAAGAAAGAAAGAAAGAAAGAAAGAAAGAAAGAAAGAAAGAAAGAATGAATCATCCTTTTTTAAAAAAATTAAATTGCTATTTAATCTGAATCAATATTACTTAAAAAGTAAAATGGCTTCTCTCTGATAATAGTTTATTAATAAAACGTAAATAGAGAATATTTAACAAAAATTATATTAAATAAAAAAAGCTTTAATAAACCTGAGATAATTTTGAATAATTCACAAATATTTTAACTTAAAAAATTATAGAATTGAATAACTAAATTTATAGTATTTCTTATTTAAGTTTAATATGGTTAATCATTTTTGATTTAAATAATTACACTAATTTTTTTTAATGAAAAAAAAAGTTGTAGAATTACAGTTAAATTCATAAATATCTCCAAATTTATTCAAAAGAGAAATTTAATTAATTAAATGAAATATCATAAATATTAATTTGATTAACTTTGATCAATATTAAGTATAATTACTCTGTTCTCTTGAATAATACCCTCCCTTTGGGCTTTATTTGTGAATAAATTTTAAATTTAAATAATCGCCCCATGAAAATAAAATCGTTTGAAAATATTTAATATAAAAATATTTTTGAATAAAAAGTTATTATTTTGAATAAAAATTATAAATTTAATTTAATTTCTAAAAAATTAAAAATTTTAAAATAGTACTTACCCTACACAGTACAGATTAGATAATGAATGAGCAATTAAATCAATTTTCAATATCTATTACTAATTTTTCTTTTGTGGTTGATTTATTTCTTAAATTGGTTTAAATCCATTTATTATCGTTTCCTTTGATATTGATAATCATGCTTCATTAACAATATCAATAAATGATTATCTATCCATTTTTATGTGATATCCTTAATTTGTTTAATTTTAAATTTAAGTTACCAACCTTCTTTTAGCTTTTTTACTATAGATTTAAATGCTTTATTAACTGAAATACCAACAGGTTAGAAAAACGGTGTGGTGTGGTGTTGTATTTGATTTAAAACTATGTAATCCACTACATCCTTTTTATTTATTTATACTATGAGCACTATGAAGGTGTAAAGAAATAGAATATGATTTTTCTCAACTTATGGTTATTCATTTTTTAAGAAAACATTATCTATGCAATATTGATGACCTAATTTATGATTATATGCAGAAGTTTAATTTTAATTAAACTGTATTATACTATCCTTCTTATCAAGCTATTTAATCATTCGATTACTTTTTCCATTATTAATAATCACAGGTGTTAGTTTTCTACCATCATTGAAACTTAATATGATAACTTTTCTCCATCCGAGCTTTTGTTTATGGTTACTGATTTTGATCCAAATTTTAGAAATAGTTTACATTCCTCTAAGATCTAACTCAACACCAGTTTCATCAAAATTGATCCATTTTTTCACTTTGATTTTAAAGTAAAATTAAATTTCATTTTTGAATTGATTGAAATTTTCTTATATTACTTTTTTAGAAACATAAAATATCTTATTTCCTTATCTTAAAGACAAATTGAATCTCCTTAAGAAATTATTAAAAAAACCATCTAAGAATTAGCTTATCGTATTTGGAAATATAATTTTGGCTTTTAAATTGAGAATTGAGAATGATATTATTCTTTTTATTTTTAAATCGTACAAATATCTCTCAATATCCTCAAACTGAGGTTTTAATTTGCCTCCTGATAATCATAAGGTAGTATTTAGTTCTTATTTTGTTAATTCAAGCATTTAATCTTCTATTTCTTATGTTTATTCATGCTAACTCCTAGCAATTTTTGCTTTAAATTTATTATTTATATCAACTATTATGCTTCCAATAATTATGGAAACCAATTTTATAAATTAAAAGGACATTGAATTTAATAAAATTAGTGAGCTATCCTTATAGAAGAAATTCTCAGCTACAAGAATCATATACTTATAAAAAAACAAAACAAAGTATTGGTTTATTAAAATGAAGAACATCAATAAGCAAAAATAGAAAAAATTGAAATTTATTATTTTTTTAAATATTATAAAAAATAAATAATCGCCTTCTTTTTGAATAATCTATTTCATTAGATTTTTTAATGCTAATACTTTAATCTATAACTTCCTAGATAATATCATTCCATATTTGTTATTTTTTCTAACATAAATTATCTTTCAATCTCATGGTTTTCCCCAAATTTTTCTATTAAGTTTTATCTATTAAATTATCTAGCTTAAGCCAGGTTAATTATCATCTTCATTTTCTTCTATTTCTTCTCTGCCTTCCTCTTAATTCTCTTCAATTTCGTTTCTTATTTATTACCTATCTTCTTTATTAGTTTTTTAATTATTCCTTTTCTTAATTAAATAATATGCAGAAAATTATATTAAGCTTCCAAATGAAAAAAACGAAAAAGAAAATCACAAAAAACAGATCATAAAATATAGCTTCTCTTTTTTAAAAAAATAAAAAAATTAATTTTGCAATTTTGTCAATATTTTTTTTATGAATTTTGAATCTTTAATTGGCATAAACAGAGAGTTGTAGAATAAAGAGGGTATCAATTTAATCATTGAAATGAGTTCTATAATAATATATAAAAATTTTAAAGAGAGTCATTGAATTTCCATAATTTTTGTATGGGTAATAGATAAGCTATAACATTATTTCTAACTTTTTAGATGATAATATTTATATTTTATAGAAAAATTTCTTTTTTATATTAATATTTCCTACTATCCTATCTTCAAGCTCATTATTCTCTTATTTTTCTTCTTCAATCAAATTATCCTATTACTAACCTATTTTTCTTTTATAATTCTATAAATTCTGATTTCTTATTAATCTCTATCTACATTTATATATTTTATAGCTTTAATTGAGTGTTTTATGATATTATTCTTTCAATATTTGTTATATGTTAGAAAAACTTTTTTATTTGAGCTATTTAGTATATTTAATCCTTTTTCCATTTTTTTAATTGATATTATTTATCTTTTAAAATCAAAAATTTGATTATTTTAAGGAGGGATTTTGTTACTTTTATATTGGGTTTTTCTTAATTTTGTAATTAAAAAATCAATTTTTTTAGTTTCAATCATGTTAATGTAACTAGCATGCTTATATTTTTATTGGGGCTGTAAAAAAATGGGGCTACTATTAAAAAGGAGTTCTTATTAAAGGGAGTAGTGTAATTATTTTTCTTGACTTTTGCTTATATCAGTTTTTATAAAGCAATTACATAAATATTAGCTTTTAATAAATATATTTTTTAACTAAATTATGTCTCTTTATAAATATATGGTCTAAAAAAAATTTCTTTAAATGAAAGTTATTTTGAAACTTTTCTTTAATAAAAATTAATACTTTAGAAATTAAATAATCCTCAAAGATATTTTATTTTTTCTAATATTTTTAATTATGTATAATTTTTCATTTAAAAATAAATTAATTATTTAAATAAATAAATAATTTAAACAATTTATATAAATTAATCTTATTTTATATTTATAGGAAGTATTAAGACTTAATTAGTAATTTTATTTTAATTAAAAAGTTAAAATCTATTTAAACTCAAATATATCATTCATTAATTAATTATGAAAATGTTTTAAAATGTAATTTAATATAATAATTTACATTCAATATTTAAATAAATAATTTATCTTTTGATTTTAGCTTTACAGTTATTATTTAGATATTTAAAAATCAGTAATAGCCAATTAGGTGATAGATGCATTAACAATAAGATAATCAAATTACTAATAAGTTTATTAGATTAAAATTCTAATATCTTATTTTAAATATAATTATTCTTTCAAAAATAAGAGCTTAAAATAGATAAAATCCCATAAATTAGAAATAAAATAAATAATGTAAAATAAGTTTTACTTTGTACTTTAATATTTATTTTATAAGAAAATTAAAAATTTTTTAAATTTAATTCTAATTTAAAAAAACTTTTTTTGTGCAAATTTAAGTATTTTGAGATACTTGGTGAGAGAAAAAAGATTTTCAGTGCAAAAGAATTTTGTATTAGAATTAAATAGAGAAAGAAATATAATAAGTGTACTACTAATTAAATATAATAAAAAAGCAATGAAAGATTTACTATAAGCTCAAAAAAACTTTGAAAATATGAATGAAAGTGAAAGGAGACAATTGAAGATACGAAAATGAAAGGAGAAGAAAAATGTTTTTTCATTCATTTTTGAAGAGGATATAAAAAGTAATTAAGTTGCTTTGATAGAATCAAAATTAATTGGCTTGATATAAAAATTAGAGGGGATATAAACAAAAGATAAAGACTGTGACTAAAAAAAACAAAAATTATTCGAAAGAAGAAAAAAGTAAATTAATCTAAAAATAAAAAGACAATCAAAACTTAATAAAAATGGGTAAGCCTTTTTTTTATTGAATATGCTGAACTTTCAAAATGCAAAATTTTTTCAAATGAACACCACTAAATTATTTTATCTTATTATAAAAACAGGTCGTATGCACGGTACTCTCGCTAAGGCCGGTAAGGTAGGATATTCGCTTTATTCATTTTAAGCATCATCATGATGATATATTTTAATGATTTTTCTCTCCTTTCTTTAACGATTTGTATTAAGTTGAATTGGCAAATAGATAAATAAATATATTATTACCTTAAAAAGTAGAACAACATCTAATAGATTTTAAAATAAATTAAGGGAAAAAATGATATTTGATTCTTTGAAAATTATTTTAAGAATTCATTACACATTTAGGCAAACAATACAAACAAATTTAGGGATATAAATATATAGATATGACAAATATTTTAATGTATAAATTTCAAAGCTTTAAACAGCAAAAATTAATTGCTAATTTACTAAAAAAAGCTAAAAGCGCTACTTAATTTGTTAAGAAATGAGAGAATTTCGTTAAAATATATTTTATTTTGCAAATTTCAAGCTATCAGAATCTAAATTTACTTATTTCTATTGAAAAAAATAGGTCAGAAAATAAACCCCCAAGGTTGAAAAGAAGGACAAGCCCAGAAAGACTCCTAAGGGTAGATCTTACAAGAGAATCCTCTACAACAGAAGATATGCTCCTCACATCTTGGCCACTGATCCCAAGAAGAGAAAGTCTCCCAACTGGCACGCTGGTAAGAAGGAAAAGATGGACGCTGCTGCCAATCCCGTCAAGAAGGATTGAACAAAAAAGCCTCTTTTACTTTTCTTATAGATAGCTAAACACTCAATAATACATATATAGCAATAATCTTATAAACAAAAGCAACATGTTTTAAAGCAAATATTCAATATGTGTAATATATTTGTTGTTTTTTCTCATCTGCTTTTTATTTAATAATGTACACTCTCCTTCATTCACTATTTCAAAACCATCAAAAAACTCTCCATTTTAATTATATAAATAAATATCAACATTATATTTCTCATTCATTTATTCTCTCAATCTTTAACTTAAATTCAAATTTCTTTTCAAATCACGTTTGTTTACTGACTGACTGGCAAGCAAGACTAAATTGCAATCCATCCATCAATCAACTTAAATCTTATTCATTTGCTATGACCAAAAAAGGCGTCAAATTTAAAATTTATAACTTTTAAACAAACCTTTTCATAGAATTTTGAAAAAATGAAAAAAGCAGCTAAAACAAAACAACATAAACTTAGATTAATTTTATACAAATATCAATACATTTGCCTTTCTAGCCTTAATTAATTAGTGAAATTGGTTTGTTATTATATTATTATGGGACTTAACTTTAATTATTAAATTGACTTATTAAAAACTTCTACTAATATTGAATACAGTTTTTATTTAAGAGCATACAAAATCATATTATTTTTATTTAAATCTTAATGTTTTTTCAATTTACAATTTTATCTATTATCTTTCAAATTAAATAAAATACAATCTATTTTTTTTAATAATTATAAATTATTTGATATTGAGAGTAATAAAAAATAATTAAAATTAATCAATTAAAGTATTTTAACAAGTATTGAAAAATAAATTTTATGATTACTTCTTTATTTATAATTTACATAAAAAATTAATTTTAATTTTTTAGAATATTTTTTTTTTGAAAATATTTATTTATAAAAATTTTAATAAAAATATTTTCTTCAGCATCCCCAGAAAATTAATTAAAAAGGATTTAATTGAATCTTCCAATTATTTTAAAGGCAAATCATAAATTAAAAAATATCTAATATATTGACATACTATTCCCAAATGTTATTTATTTACTTAATTAATTGTTTATTTATGGTAATTTATTAATAATAAAACCATTAAAATGTTTATTTACTATACATAGAAATCAAACATCTATAACACCAACTAATTATAACTATAGCAGTATCTCTCTATAAATTTATATACCTATCTGCATTTCTTATCAATTATTATTTTTATTTCTTAAATAAATTAATCATTTAGAATAAATGTTTGAATAAATAAATAAATTAAATCATCTTCTACGTATGAATTACTTTTCATTTTTTTCATTGATAGCCTAATCAGGAACATTTCCTAATATCTTATCTATTCTGTCATTTACTTCTCTTGTTATTTTATTAACGTGCTTAACAGATTCTACTATTTCATCAAGTTATGATGGCTTAGAGCACCCAGTTATAGCTGTTGATACATCCTTATTAGCTATTGTCCAAGCCATTGCCAATTGAGCTTATGTCATTCCTAATTCTTTTGCTAAATCTTCTAATCCTTTCAAAGTTTAGGTTCTCTACTACTTCTACTGTTCAGAAAAGAATGATTCCCATCTAGCTCTCTATAATCTGTTATTGAATACATCAAATCTAGCACCCTATGGAACTACACCATCATTGTATTTACCAGTTAATATACCTCCACAAAGGGGACTCCAGATAGTAGATCCCATTTTATGGACATCAAAAAGTCTAGCATATTCAGATTCAAATCTTTCCCTAACAAACATGTTATATTAAGGCTATTCAACAACAGGCTTTATTAAACCCTTTTCAGCACAAACTTCCCTCAGTTCGAAGATGTTTGCAGCACTCCATTCTGATGTACCCCAATAATTAATATAGCCTTACTTGATTAGTTCAGTAAAGGTCGTAGCCACTTCTTCCAAAGTAGTTTCGTGATCAAATCTATGAGCAAATACAACGTCTGCATAATCTAATTATAATCTTTACAAGCTTCTTTTTAAGCCATCTCTTATATGTTTTCTGCTCAATCCAGTGTTATTAACACCGATTGGTTTTCTGTTATCTCCAAAAAATAGTTTAGTAGAAACTATGTAGTCTTCTCTACTCGTATTAAGGGCTTTTAAAGCATTACCTAATTATCTTTCTGCCTCTCCATTACCATAGTTCTCTCCTGTGTCAAAAAAGTTAATACCATGACCAAATGCTTTCTTAACACTTTCTTAAGTAGTTAATTCTTAAGCAGCACGGGTGCTATTTAGTGATGTACCAAAACCAATAACTGATACTTTCATACCAGTGTTTCCAAGTAATCTATAAATCATTTGCAAAGTATTTATCTGTATATATCTTTCTATCTTTTAATAAATGAATAATCAATATTTATAATTTATCTGATTTCAATGTGTAATTAATAAATGATATATCATCTATCTTTTTTTATTATCTAATCTTATAGATCCTGAAGATAATCTTCACACAAATAAAGACAAATACAGATATTTATAAATCTTTTTTAGTATGATAAAATGTTAAAATGCATTTTATAAGGTATATAAGTATGAATCAATCTATAAAAAATCAATACTATTTAAATTCTCTTTTCCATAGTTTCATGGTTAAAATTGATTAAGGATTTGCTAGATTTTATCAAATACTTTTCTATTCAAACGCATTTAAAATCAATTCAAAATAATTATTTTATGTAAATTCTTTTAAAAATTAAATTTTTTATAAACATTAATCAGCCATTTTTAATGAATGAAAATTTTTGAAAAAGAAAATTATTATAAAAAATTTAGAATAGAAAATGTTTGAAATATATATGATAAATATTAATAATATATTTGTTAGGATAAATAAATAAAATATTACTTTTAGATAAAATGAACAAAAATAGTTTCAAAAAGGGGAAATAATTTTAACAAGTTTTCTGGATTTGAATTGATATTTTTTTAAAATTTATTCTGCTTTTTGACTGATTTCATTCAATCCAAAAAAACCAAAGAAAGATAACGCAACATATATTAAATTTGAGCACTTAGAAATACCACGTCCTAGCAATGAAACTCCTTCATCTTCTATATAGGTCCATACTAAATTAATTTCTAAGATTTAAAGATTAGCCATTTTAGCAATTCCTTCACCAATATATTTGCCTCCATCAATTCCTAGTCTGTTTCCTGAAAGGTCTAAAAAGAGATTTTTTAGTTGATTACAAGAAGATATCCCTTCAAAAAATGATTAAATACTAATAATTTTGATTGAATAAACATAAAGTTTAAGAGTTTCTATATTTTATAATTTAGAAATGCCTTAGCCCAAATATTACATACCCTAATCGCTAATATCATTAGAACTAAGATTAAGTTATAAAGAATTAAGTGATGAACATAATGATATTCCATCAGCCAACTTTTAAATACCATCATCGTTGATATCACTAGATTTTAAAAAGAGGTTTAAGCAATTAATCTTTAAGAGCTTAGAAATACCTTAACCAAGATATTGTAAATTATCTTAGCAAATAGTATTATAATTAAGTCCAAGAGTTAAATTAGTTATATTTAAATTATTAGATATCTCCTATGCAGTGATCCTTATCGAATTAATCGATAATTATCGAATAATATCTCAAAAAAATTTTTATAATCGATAAGTAAATAATTAAAATGTATTATAAAATTCTTGTTCGATAAAATCATGAAAAAAATTTAAAATATCGATAATTTATCGGTAAAAATCAAGATATCGATAAAATTATCGAATTTATCGAATAAAAAAAATATTTTAAAATTTAAACATTTATTTTTAAAAATATATAATAAGAAAATAAATTATTTAATCATTTCTGATAAACATTTTTCATAAACAAATTTTATAATTGATAAAAATTATAAAAAAACTAAATGTTATCGATAAACCGATAATTTTTTATTTTTTAAAAATATTTTATCGATAAACTGAAAAAAAAAATTTTTTTCTAAATAGATTATCGATAAACTGATAACAATTTTATCGATAAAATTTATCGATAAATAGTATTTTTTTAGGATCACTGCTCCTATGATAGTACTTTAATATCATCCTTGCTATCTAAACTTTATGAAAGTTCTAAGCTTAAATGAGTTAATTATTAGCATAGTGAAAAAGTTTCTTTAAACTTTTAAATTTCATTTTCTGTATCTTTATAATCACTAAAATAAAATTCTAGTTGAGTCAGCTTTTTACATTGTGAAACTGAATGAAGTAGCTTTTAGCATCCAATATTAGTAATTTTATTTAAAGAAGCTGAAATAATTAAAGAAGTCAGATTATCAAATGATAAAATAACTTCTCCAAATTTTTGAATTCCGACGTCACCAACATTATTATTTTTTAGATTAATACCTAAAAAATTCAATTCTTTTAATTTAGAAATCTCTCCTCCTAAGTTTAAAAATCCTTCATCCCCAATACTATTTTCGGTTAGATCAATTTCTAAAGAGGTTAATTTTTAACATTTAGAAATTCCTTTAGCTAAATTTGAAGTACCAATATCTGATAGATTATTTTTGAATAGATAAAGATTTAAATATGTGAGATTACCACATTTAGAAATTCCATTACCTAATTCAAAATCATCATTCTCGCCTATATTATTATTCTGAAGATCAATAGTAAGTGAATCTAAATTTGTGCATTATGAAATTCCTAAAAATAATTTTTATATTCCATTCTTATTTATAATATTACTTAATAAACATAAACTTAATGTTTTAAGTCTTTCTAATTTGGATATTTCTTTTCCTAATGAGTTTAATCCAATTTCACCAATTTAATTTTACTATAAATGAAGTGATAAGGATATTAAATTGGTACAATTTGATATTCCTTGTGTTAATATTTCGCAATCTTTATCTGAAATATCATTAGAATTAAGTCTTATATTTAATTTATCTATACCTACACATCTACGTATTATTTACGAAAGCTCATATATATTTTTTATATGATTTTTTTCCATAATATAATTTGATATTTCAATTTAACCTTATACTAATTTATCTATTAAACATTAGATCTTAGTTTCATTATTATTGACCTCGAATTCGCTATTTTAGTTATTATCATCATCTTCTTGATCATTATTACTATTATTATTATCATTATCCTCATAATGATTATCATCATCATCATTGTTTTGATTATCGTTATCATTATCATCATTGTCATTATCATGATTATCATCACCATCAAAATGACTAATATTTTTCCTATTATTACTAATATTTAGATTATTAATTAAGGGATCATTAGATTAATCTTTCAAAATATTTACTGATTGAACGTGTTATGATTATAATTCTGATTTGATTAGTTGTTTTGTTGAGATTCTAAATCAATCTAAATTTATTTCTATTAATTAGTTTGATTATTTAAGGAGTTTAGAGCAACATAATTCTACTTTGCTTATTACTTAGTAAAATAGAATATTTTTAAACAACAACCCATTTTATAATTTAGAATAATTGATTGATTTGATTGTCTTTTTTGTTTTTGTTTTATTTTAAAAATAGAACATATAATTTAATAATCATAAATAAATAATATATTTAATTTTTTCTTTGAAGATTAGTTTAAAATAATATGATTTGTTGATTCTTAATTTAAAGATAACAAATTTAAAGATATTAGTTAGATAGATGACAAGATAAATGGGATGTTTAATTTAAAAAGATCCTTTCTTTATATTTTCTATTAAACCGATTTAAAATATATCAATCAATCAATCAGCCCTTTGTTTAAATTAGTAGTTTCTTTCGATGCTTAAGTTGATATTTTTTATTTAAGAATATTTCAAATAATTTCAAGAAATTAAAAATAATAATTGTTTTAGTAGTATCTTATATATTTATTAATTAATTAAGTTCAGTGTGAGAAAACAATCAAGTTAAAATCTACAAATTTCATCCTAAATATTTAGTCAGTTAGTTATTTAGAAATGTAGTAACAATTGTCTACAAGACCCCCAATATAGCCTCTTGGATATCACTAAGCTAGTAGCCTTAAACAGCAAAACCAGCAAATAATTAAGGGCTTTCCTCATCAAAATATTGTATTGATTAACAAAATTTTAAATATTTAAACTTTTTTAACATGATTAATATAATAAAATTATTAGGGCATCAACAACACCTTACAGCAATAGCAGTAAAAAGTATCAAGTTTATCATAGCAAATACAAAATCAGCTCACGATGCAAGCCCATAATTCCTAATAAATGTCCAAAATAAATCAACCTTATGTTAATTAGCAATAAAATTATCTTCAAAAGTCAAATAGCCAAGGATTCATTTAAGGCGGATAGTATGGATAACCAGCATTAGCTAGCAATTTTATTCAAGGTACGAGTAACGCAATAAACCAGCAATTTATTAACAATCAATACAGCCAGCAAGCTAGCATGCAAAATTAAAAAATAATCCAAAGTAATAATAACAGTAATGGAAATATTTATTAGGCATCATAGCAATAATAACAATAAAATTAGTATCATGCAAGTTAGGTGACTAAGTAATTAGATAAAAAGTTAAATTTACAATAGGGTTCAGGTCAACATGCAGGTATTCAAACTATGAATTAATAAGTTTTACCAATAACTCATTAGAATCCTGCAGTAATCTCACAGTAATAACTATTAGAATAAAATAAAGTATAGTAAAACAAAGTAAATAATTAAGTCATTACAGTCAACACTAATTCTTCTTTAAACGCTGGTTCATCATTTTATTCTAACTATGTTCAAGATTAGTAAAATTACTAAATTCCTTAATATAATTAGTATACCGGATAATATTTAATCAAAGATCCTGTTGAAAGTTAAGCTATTAAAAGTTCCTCTTCTCTCAGTTCTCAGTAACTACCCTATGAAAATTTACCAACTGCAGTATTTCCTGTCATATCCAAGAATTCAAATTAGCAAATAGTGAGTCGTATACAATCTGGTACTTTGAATGATAGTTAATTTAGTCATAATATGCAAAATAGTGTTTCAATATTTTAAGATCAGTAAATTAAAGCTAATTTGTAACAAGTTATTAATGATTCTAATCAAGGCAAAGAGTGTATAGCAGTAATTTCAAATCCTTAGAGCATGAATTTAAACGATTTTAAAGCTGCTAGTTTATCTAGTCTGCCTAGGGTTAACTCTGCTGTAAATAGTATGACAGAAATACAGTAATAAATTAAAAAATATTTAATATTTATTTTTTCCAAATTTATTGTCAAATATTTACAATTAAATGTCAAATTTTCTAAATTTAAGCTTATTTATTATTCAATTTTGTAGCTTATTATTTTTATGAGTTTTAAATATTGTAAATTAATTAATTAAAGTATTATTTATATAAAAATTAATAGGAGAGTGGAGGAGATTTTTAATAACCAAAAACAATTAATTAATGAAATCATTTCAAATACTTAAAATTAAAATAATTCTTAACAAAATGAAGGCTAATTTTCTTTTCATTAAAACAAAACAGCTGAGATCAATCAAAAAATTTCAGCAGATCCACTAGATTACTTATCTCCAGCTGTTAGAGAGTTGATGGAGAATATGAAATAGTACAATTAATAAATTCAATAAAATGCAACTAATAACATTGAGAAAACTTAAATTGAAATGGATTCATCTCAAAAAATTAATGGTAGATTTTATTAATATTTAAAAATTATAAAGTTTACTTTAAAATAAATAATTAGAATAAAGCTAAAGAGACTCTATTTTTAGTCCAATCAATATTATCTATCAGAATTAAAATGGCCATCAAATAAGCGAACAGGGAAAATATGATACTGATTAGATTAAACTTGATAAACAATAAAATAAACTATTAGAAAAAATAGATGAAGAAAAATCAAATTTAAACAGCCATAGAGATTATCACTAAGGTTCAATGTTACAAAACCTAACAGATCAAACTTCTTATTTCAATAGCAGAAGTTAAAGTTAGCCAAGCGCCATTCCTAGCAATCAACATATTTAAATAAACTCAAATAATTTTATTTAAGAAAATCAAAATTAAACAGAAGTAGTAAAGTCTGAGGAGTACTAACAAAATAATGTTCTAATTTAAGATAACATTTAATAAATGAAAATTTAAGATATTCCTGATCAATCAAAAAATAGTTATAATGATACTTAAAAAAATGTTGATGTCTAAAAAATCATTGAGTATTATAAAAATCAAAATGTAAAGTTAGAAACTATAAACGAAGAAAATAATACAGATATTTTTTAAAGCTATTACAGTTAGAATTAATTTAAAAGTCCTCATTCTCAGTTATCATCTGAAAAGCCTAAATTAAATGAAATTTAGACTACTTTAATTAGTCAGAAAGATGGCATTCCACCATATATTGAGAGTGTCGAAGTAGAAAAAGAAAGCTTAAATGAAATGATTCAAAGATACCAAAATAGATTAGATAGTAAGCTTAATCAGCTTAGCTCACATTAAAATTTAATAAAAGCTGAGAAAAATGAAGATTAAATAACAAACAACTAATTTATCTAGGGTGCTTATCAAAACAATATTTATTACCAAGACCATAATTAGTAAACTTCAGATTCTCAAAATAATTTAAATACTGGTTTAAAAGCATAGTATTATGATAATGATTTGAAAAATTTTGAAATTAGACAAAAGTAAGAAGAGTATGATAACTAATAATAAGAAACTCAACAATTCAATTAAAAAAGTTAAAGTTAATAGCAATTAATTCAAGATAATTACACCTCTAATATTTAGCAGCTGATTTATCAAAAAACTGATGAAATAAAAAATTAAATTGATAGTTTGTCAATGAACACACTGAATGCATTAGTATAAAAAGAATAGAATTCTTAGATTAGCTAATAACATGCTATTTAAGATAGCTAAGATTTAAAAAATAAAGATTTTATATCTGCAAATGATTATTCCATTTAATAAAACACTAAATTTGGTAAAGTTAGCCATACAAAAATTTAATTTGAAGATGGCTTAGCTATTTCTACTATTAATCCTACAGAATCATATATTAATGATACAAAATATTTTAACTAAAATTTGACTGATGCTTAAGAAGAATTGCTAAAAACCTAACAAACTTAGGAATCTAATGTTTAAAATACTGATACTTATATGATAACAAGAACTGAAGAAAACGAATCAGTAAAAAAATCTATGAAGAAGGTTGAATAAATAGTTGGATCAATGCAAAATACCAACTCAATGCAAGGTGATAATGTTGCCTATAACTTTTAGAGAGAATAAGATTATATAAAAATAAATGATTTTAATGATTTAATCAAGTAGAATGAGAGCCCAGCCAGAGAAAAATAAGAAGAAAAAGTATTAGATAGAATTAATTAACTTTTAAAGCAACATAAAGAAAGATCTAGCAGTGTAGCCAGTTCAGTTTCATCAACCCCTCAACAGAAAGTTATAGAAGGCGTAACATTGGAAGATATCGAAAATTTAATTGATAAAAAGATGGGTCAACTGGTTGAGAAGTTGAGAATAAAAAAATTTAAAAGAAAAACCTCAGATGTTCAAGAAAAAATTAAAAAAAAAGAGGGAGAGGGCTCATTTAAGAATAGAAAAAGTTAAGATATAAGTGAAATTAATGTGAGAAAATCTTCAGCTAACAGCAGTACTGCAAGACAAAATGCTGAGGAAATTGAAGATTCTAATAATGAAAATTTCACTTAGTTAAATGAGAAACAATAAAAATAAATAAAGAAGTCAGCTCCTAGAAACATCAACACATCTCAAGAGCAGTTAGTGATTACTATTAGCACTCAATAGTAGCAATCATAATAATAGCTTAAGAATAAACCAATATCTCTAAGTGAAATCGAAATCAATAAATTTGGATCCAATTAGGATATGCACAGATTGCCAACTGAAGAGGAAGAATTAATAAATTTGTATTCTTAAAAAACTGTTTACACTTCATAAATAGATTAATAAGAATTAAAAAATAACAACAACAGTGATTTATATTAGAATCCAGCTTCAAACAATACAAATAAAATAGATTTGAACACTGTTATGGATAATCATAATGAAGATGAATAAGAAGAAGTTACAGTTAATGATGCTTCTCCCACAAAAACTATAAACAGCTCACCAAGAAATAATACACAGTCTTCTTCTGAGTAATTTGCATCTCAATAAGATGAATTTTACATAACTGTAGAGACTGAGGAGAACCAAGACGACTTTTCTAAACAGAATCAACAAATAAATTAGCAAGAGGATCAAAAATTGTAAATTTATTAATTTTTTTTTTTAAATTGAATTTAATGATTTTACTTATTTTATTTTAATGCAAACATTAGAAAAGCTTAAAAAGTTTTAAATAACTATGTGATAGAAGAAAAAGAGGAAGATGAAACACCTCAAAATAGTGGACAAAAGGATTCTAAGCTCACTTTTAATTTGAAAAGCAGTTTTAATGAGATAAATTTATAAAATAACTCAAATTCATAGTCTCAACATCCTCAATAATAAGTTTAGCTTGAAAATCAATAATAACTTGGATAGTAATAATAGTCATAACAGTAATAGCTATAATAGTAGGGTGCAGAAATGAAAATTAATAAGTAGATTTAAAAAATTTTAAAGGTAGAAAAATAGAACAGTCCATCTAAGTTTTAAAATATGGGATTTGGTGAAAAAGCTTAAAAAATAATATAAAGAGGAAATAAATCTGCTAGAGCATAGTTAAGCAGTAGTAGCAATAACAACAATAATCAAAAAAGTGAGAAGAATTTGAATGTTATTACTATTTCTTCGGAAGAGCTCAAAACACCTAAATCCTAAGGTGAAAAAGTCAGTTAAACAGTAAGATCACTACAAACAGAAGGAAACCAGTAAGAAAAAAAAGTAAAAATATAAGAGCAATAAGCAAGAATAATTGTTGAAGATAGAATACCACCCAAAGAGAAAAAGGAACTAAAAGTTACTAAAATGAGTAGCAGCTAAAAGTAATTGGCATAAATACCTTAAAAGACTTAAGTAGGAAAGATTTAAATTATTTAAATTTAACAATAGCAGCAGTAGTAATAAAATAAACTCCAAAAGACTAACAGTGCTTAGAGTTTGCATTAGAAAGATTAACTTTAGAAAATTCTGAATTAAAAAAAATCTTTACTCTAATAACAAATAAATGAGATAGAAAATTAAATTTAAAATCTTTAAGAGGAAGAAGACAACAAATAAGTTGATAGAAAAATATAATAAGTCTAATCTGCAAATAAAATAAATGCTAATAAAACTCCTTTATTGATTTCTCCAGTTTAAAATAAATAATAAAGATATCATTCTCCTTAAGCATAATATAATGTAAATTTTAATATTTAGAGAACTATTAAATTATTTAATGTTTCTTTAATAAATAAATAAATTAAATACTCTTTAGGCAAGATCTAAATCATAAGAAAAGCTTCACATTGATATCTAATAAATAAGCAAATCTAAACAATAAGGTAAGTAGATGGATAATGATTCAAAAGTTAGTAAATCATCTAAAAGCAAGACAAGGGGAGAGTATCTCTATGAAATTGCCATTCTCCAAAATGAAAGAAAGTAAATTATTAAAATTAATATCCTTTAAAAAGAAATTAATTAATTAATTCTAACAGGAAAATATTATAAGAAATTTCCAAAAAAAGTGAAACCTAAAGACAATATTCTGAATGTACCTTTTCTCCTAAAATAAAGCAAACGCACAATCAATTCCAGTAAAAAATATATTCAATACTAGAGAAAAATCTATCAAAAACTTTATTTGATACAAGCTTATTGATATTTTTGAGCTATTTAAATGAACCATTTTTAAAAAATAATTATTCAATGATTATAAATAAGAATAAGTATTTATTACTTTAATATTTTTAAAATATAGTAAAATTTATTTTATTAAAATTAACCTTTTATTTTAAGCTACATTAAAAAAAGATAGAAAATACATTTCTTTAAATAAAAAATAAAATATTTTATAATTTGGCAAAAATAAAATAATAATAAATAAATGAATCTGATGAAATAAATATCACTTTTATTAAAATCAATCAAAATTAGTCATTAAAAATAATTAATTAAATTCAGCAATCTTAAATAAATAAATGAGTCAGTAAATTAATTTAAGATGTAAATTCCCACAAGAATGCTTTTTAAGAAAAATTATTAATACAAATAGATAATTTAGTGTTAATTTTTAAGTAAAATAAGAGAGATTTAAATATATGGAAATTTTAAACGAATAACAAATATTATTAAAATTAATTATAAAAATATCTTTAAAATAGTTAACTTTCATTCACAGAAAGACAATAGATATGGTAGAAAAAAAAATTGGAAAAAACTAAATCTTTAGTCAGTAATTTTTCGAGCGATGATATCAAAGATTGCACATTTAGACCAGAGCTTTTGAAAAGGTTAGATACAAATAAAGATGAATATTTTATCTAGGAGTTCTAAAAGTAAATTTAAAAGCTTAATGCTAAAAAATTGATTCGATAAATGAATAGTTCAAGTCCGAAATCAAGAATTTCAAACAAAAATCTAGTAAAAATATTTTTTAATTTATAACAAAATTTTTATTAAGCTTTTTATTAGAGCGGATCAAAAATAAGTGGATCATAAATGATGAATAATTCAAGTTAAAGTAGTACTATATTCTAGTAAATGATTAATAGTAAAGGTTCCTCTCAATAAAAATTCCATAAAATTTCATAAGATTCAGTTATAAACTCTGCTAAATAATCGAATTCAAAGTATTACTAACAATAAACTGGGTACCAAATATCTAATTCTTACAAAAGAAATTAGTACTCTCATAAGAGCTAAAAGGTGAATAAGACATAAGAAACTATTAGCTCAAATAAAACAGAACTTGAGCTCATACAAGAATATTAAAGATTAATCTCTAATCTTTAATCAAAGGCTCCCGTTCCTATCGTAATAAATATACAAATAAGACTAACTTTTTAATTTAATTAAAATTTTTATTATTTTATTTACGAAATTTATTTAGATATTGATATCAATAATTTCTGCATTATTTCAAGCTTATAAATAAAAGAAAATATCTAATATAAAATAAAAAAATTCATATGTAAAATATTTTTCGATTCCTAAAAATTTTGATAAATTAAAAAAATTAGCAATTATAGAAGAAAGATGAAATTTTCACGCTTGAATAATTTTAAATAAGAAGTAAATTATTTATTATTATGAGTTGATTGATTAATTGAGTGATATGACTATTTTTAAATTATTAATAAAAGATAACTAGTTTACTAACAGTTAAGATGAATTTTAAGATGAAGATTATTAATAATTCAATTACGCAGAGCGTATAATTACATTTATTTGGATTCAATTATTCTAATAAATATTTTTTTGTTTATTTATTTAGCGGAGTAGATAGCTAAAAGCAATAGAACTTAGTAGAGTTTTAATAAAACGCATCTAAACCCATAATTTAATTGAATTTTTACTTCAATAAGAATTAATAATAAAACTTTAATTATGACACTTAATTAAAAATATGAGCATATTGCAAATTACGTATTATCAACTAATTGATTAGTTAAATAAAATTTAAAATTCTTTATAATAACTTTTACGTTAATTATTTATGTTGAGTTTTTTGATTAATTTAAAATGCCTTTTAACATTATCGAGTAGACTTAATTATGGTTTGGAAATATTTTTTCTTTTTTTTAAAAGAATTAATTAAATAGATTATTGTATGTTTGTTTGTTCTAAGTTAAAAATATAAATAATAAATAAATAATCATTAAACTATTTCCTTTTTTGTAAAAAGCAAGATGAAAAAGAATAAAGTTGGTAATCATTCATTCTTTCTTTAAAATATAATTAATTCCAATTTATTATGAAAATAATTGTATAGTACCATTCAATTTCACGAGCGAGCACAACGGGTTAATCCTATAAAGAAGCAATAGCTATTAATCAAGCGATGATTAAACATAATCTATTGATAGCTACTAAGTAAAAAACGATGATGACATAGAAAAGTAGTAATAAGTTGGACCTCAAAAAATTAAATCTGCCTTTGCGCCTCCTCAAACTCCGAAAGTAAACTTGACTGCATAAGATGAATTTGATAAGGACTAAATACCACCAAATTTAGATATTGCCTTGAAACACTAAGTAATTAATTTTCATAAATTCTTAACATTTATTTTATGATAAGGCAGCTAAGTGTGTTGTATTTAATCAAAAGTTTTTAAAAAATATTGTGATTAATAATCATAATAATAGTAGGTAAAATAATTTATGAAATTAAAAAAAAATAAAAATCTTGGAATTTTAAGTTTTCATTAACTTTTAAACTAAATTAGAAAGCAAGTTAAGTAGGCCCAATTGATTTTTAACAATTGAACTTTTAAAACGAAAAAGAAGGCATCTGCCCTTGCTGTTCAAGGACTATTTACAGGTCAAAATTAAGTTTAAGCAGTAATAATGCTTAATTATCCCATTTAGGAGTAGGAATTACTCTTTATTTTAACTTTACGAAATTCACAATATTTCTCACTTTAATTATATTCTTAACATCTGGTTTGTATAATTTAATTACAAATATATATCGTGGGGAGAACTGCTCTAGTAGTTTCTAAGCTAAGTAAACAATTTGTTATAGATACATTTGCCAAAGCAATTGGATAACTATCATGACAGCTGGTAATAAGAAAAATGAAGCAAGTTTATTATAAAATTAAGAATTATTCAATATTTTTACTGTTTGTGTTGCTGTATTATGTTTTTAATACTTCAGATACTACATTAGAAAAGCTGACGCTATCACTTATAAAGTTGATAATTCTGCAGAAGACTATACTTTGCTAGTTAAAGAAATTCCAGTAATTAAAAATCCTAATTATGAGAGCTACCTTTAAGATTTAAAAATTTATTTGTAACAATGTTTGATAGAAGATTTATACACCTCAATATCTAAGATAAACTTTTGTTATAATTTAGTTGAATTACAGGCAATTTAAAAAAAAAAGGAAGATATCTTAAAATAAAAAAGAGCAGCAACTAAATAGAGATACATTCATGGTAAATATTAACCAGGATTCAGTATTTCTTTACTTGATTAAGAGTTAGAAATAGTTGAATCCTAACTAACTTCCCTAAGTAAAAAATTTTATGACTCCAATGATGAATAAACATTCTCTAGTAAATTTACAGGATGGGCGTTTGTTTCTATTGAATTTGCGAAATGTAATTTATAAAATTTTAAAATTAAATTTTTGAAAAAGAGTTTTAATATTTTAAAACCGAAAGAAACTAAATTATAGATCTTTACAAACCCTCTGATCTGATTTTGGGTACTTCTAAAAAGTTGAATTACAGCGGAAAGAAGTTATAAATTCAAAAGCCACCTGCTCCCACTGATGTATTTTGGGAAAATCTTCATATTCATAACCAAAGTATGCGACAGTTATCTATCTATATAATTCTAGTATGTTTACTGTTTGGTTGTTTCTTACTAGTGAATTACATTTTAAAGCAATAATAAACAGTTAAAAACAGTAAAAAAGTTTTTTTCTATAATAATGAGGTCACTCTTCAAATATTTGGAGTTTTAATATCTGTAATCATCAACGTTATGAACATGATCTTAGAAGAGCTTTGCATCTTTTTTACGCAGTAATTACTATAATTAATTTTATATTTTTAAAACTACTTAATTGATTTGGTAATTAATTACAAATCCATTTTTTAATTAAAATAAATTTTTTTTAATATAAAATTTACTCAACAGCTTTTTTCTAATGTTCATTTTTCCTTATTTTAATATAAAATTCATTCAACAGTTTTTTTCAAAAAATGCTTTATTTTTACAAATAAATTTATTGAATACTTTTTTATTATTAAATTTATTTTCAAATAAAAAATTTATTTTTATTTCAAATAAAATGTTACCTTATTTTAATATAAAATTCATTTAACAGCTTTTTTCTAATGCTTTATTTTTACAAATATATTTATTGAATACTTTTTTATTATTAAATTTATTTTCAAATGAAAAATTTAATTTTTATTTCAAATAAAATGTTACCTTATTTTAATATAAAATTCATTTAACAGCTTTTTTCTAATGCTTTATTTTTACAAATAAATTTATTGAATACTTTTTTATTATTAAATTTATTTTCAAATGAAAAATTTATTTTTTATTTCCAATAACTTATTTTAATATAAAATTCATTAAACAGCCATTTTCTAATGCTTAATTCTTACAAATAAATTTATTGAATAATTTTTTATTTTTAAATTTATTTTAAAACAAATAATTTATTTTTTATTTCTAATATTACCTTATTTTTATATGAAATTCATTCTACAGATATTTATATGATGGTGAGTGAATTTTTTAAAATAAATTTTTTATTCAATTTGAGAAATTATTTTAAATTATTCTTTTCTGTTAAATTTTAAAAATAAAAATGATAAAAAAGTAAATAAAAATAACAACTCTCAAATTCTAAAATTAATTTAATTCATTTCCTTAAACTGTTGAATAATTTTAAGAAAAATCAATTAAGTTCTATTAAATTTATTGATTTTATTTAATATTTACAAAATAACAAAGTTAAAAGGTAAATAAATTTATTATTTAAAATACTTTAATAGTTTTGAGAAATAAAAAACAAGGACTGAATATTACACAAGTGCTATTTATAAGATATCTTTGGCCTAATTTATAGTCTCTGCGTTGATTATTTTTGTAAGTTAGATGTTTTACTTAGGTTAAGGTGGAAGCTATTTTTAAAAGATATTTGATAAAGGTGGCTTAGTATATAATATTTAATACTTGTTTATCACAAGTACAATCATGGGATCTTTCTTACAGTTTTTGAACATCCCTGGTGTTTTTAAAGCTATTAAAAGATATTTTGCAGTGATTTCTTGTAAGAATGAAACTAATTTTTCGACTTAAGAATAACTCCATTAGTATTTAATTAAAGTTTTTTAATAGGTAAATATATTTAAATTATAATTTTAGATTATTCGAAAATCCTGAATTTGATATCATTGGTAAGTACAGCAGACAACTAAAAACAATCTTTTTAATGGCTTTCTATGCTCCAATAATACCTGCTTGCTTGCCATGGGTAGCATTTACTCTTTTACTCAACTATTTTTTAGATAAAGTAAAATAATTTTTAAAAATACCAAAATATTCTTAACTTTAAATAAAATTAATAAAGTATGAACTAATATATAGAAGAATAGTGAAGTATAATATTAGTAATGAAATTACTATAGAAATGACTGAATTATTAGAACTTACAATTATCATTTTTTGTGTAATTAATTAATTAATCAATTAAATTTTGTCTAATTTTAAACTAAAAAATATTTAAATTCTAAATTAATTAGGTTGGTAATGTATTCTTTTCTGTCTTCGTATGTGATAACAATATGCTAAGCTTACAAGGTATTTATCAATTTATTTCATGTGGAATTGGCTTAGTAAATGCAATTTTACCTATGCAATTAATAAATAAAAAACTATTTGATGTAGCAAAGGCAACTCCTAATGAATAATCTTACTATTAAATCGAAGATAAATTTATCACTGTAAATTACATAAAAAATTATTAGAAATTTATTAATAGTTAATTAAATAAATACCAATTAAAAAGGACTATGAGAGAGAAAACCCAGCAACAAAATTAATAGCCAAATAAATAATCAAAGATAGAATAAAAGAGAAAAAAAATAAATAAAGTGGAAATGAAGATCCAAATACTCCTTTATCAAGATTTCTTAATATGTAAATAATTAACTTATTTTGGTTTAATTAAAAATATTACAATTTTAAACTTCAAACTAAATATAGAAAAGATGATTAAACTTTTGAACAAACGCCATCAACAAGAAAAAGAAAAAGATAAAATAAAATGGGTAGTCCTTGATATTTTTTTCATATTCAAAAAATAAATAAATCTGAAATTTATTTGTTAAATTGAATAAACAAATATTATTGATAAAATTACTATTATTAAACTCGATTACTTTTTTTAAAAATACATTTGTTTAATATATCTTTTTATTTTAGAAAATAAACATTTTCCAATAAATACACTTACTTACTTACTTACTTACTTTATTTAAAATTTTACAATATTTTCATTTAAAAATATTTTATTTCTTTTCTACTTTTTTTTAATTATTAAATTTTTTATTTTTTCATTTAAGCCTTACTTATTATTGAACATTATATATCTATCTATATACTCTAAGAAGTTTGTTAAAAACTAAAATTGAGCTTTCAAATAAGTTTTAATTTTATTATTAGAAAAAACATTTACAAAAAAACGCACTTTCTTTTCTCAAAATTTTACTAGATTTTCATTTTAAAAAAATAATTTATTTGTATTTACTATTTTTTTTGTTATTTATTTAATATTTTTTTCATTTAAACACTTCCTACTTTCAAACATTATCTATGTATCTATCTGTATATTTATATACCTATTTAATATTTAGCTGTTCCTGCATTTGAAAAATTACTAACGAATTTTTTTTTTTTCTAATATAAAATTATCCTTTTATACCTATAATGTATTAAATTCTTTTTGATAGGTTTTAGATGATATGAGTAATTGCTTGTTTTACTCTTTTATTAGTATAAAATATATTTATTATTCCTTTTAATAATAAACTTATCTACATTTTTACATAATTTAAAAAAATATCTATATAAAAAATTTGCTCATACAAATTCTTACCTAATCTTAATTTTATTTTTTATCTAGTAATTAGAGATTAAGTTAATTGAAATAATAAACTGTATTTGATACATTCAATACATTTAATTTATAGTTTATTAAATATTGTATTTTTTTAAAACTATACTTGATATGAATTAAAATTAAAAAATAATCTTATAATCAACCTCATTTTTGCAATATTTTAAGTTCATAGATTTAAAAATTTCTTATAAAATATTTTTTTAGAATAAAGAGCAGCTAATTTAGGATAGATAAGAAAAATAAATAAATAGTTGTAGGCTTGGTAGTTAGTAAATTGTAATGTTAATAAATATATTAAATAAAGATTAATTACTATTAGATATTATAAGGCTTACTAGATGCAATCATTATTTAATAAAAAAATTATTGATAAAATAATATCTTTCAGCTAAAGCTTTGCACAAATATTTTGTTTTATTAAATTTAAATATATTTCAAAAAAAAAATGAGTACAGAAAGTGATACACAAAAGCAAAACGAAGAGATTAAAGCGAGTGAGGATTAGACATAAATGGAGTTAGAGACATCAGATGTTAAATAGGATGGCGATAAACAAAAAGATAATGAGAGTGAGCAGACAAAAGCAAATGATAATCCAGATGAAATGACATTAGAAGATTTAATAAAAACAGAAAAGAAATCACTTAGAGATAGAATTATAAAGCAGAAACAGAAAGTGAAAGTCATCGAAGGAAGTACAAGATCTTTTTCTGAACAGTTTTAATTGTTAGCCTAATGACTTAGAATAATATTATACTAATAGAAAATTTCAATGAGAGGTAGAACATCAATTTTGAAGACGAGACTTTGGAACTTAGATCAGAAGTGGTAATTATGCAATTTAAAAAACAAAAAAAAATCCTTTTTATATGTTTAAGAGAGCGATTTCTGTAAAAGTTTTTTATAAATTTAAGTTGCATGTTTATGGAGTTGATTTTTTGAGTACACAAGACATTATGAGCTATTTTAGTAGATTTAATCCAGAAAAAATTGAATGGTTGAATGATTCTTCTTGCAATGTAGTTTTTCCAAGCGAGGAATTAGTTGAGCAGGCAGTTTAATCTCTTTCTTTGACAATTCAGAACGATCCAAATCTTTCTGATGAGTGGAAAAAAGGTATACCATATAAAGAAAGAAATATTGAGTTTTCATTATACTTCAGAATTGCTACAACAAAAGTATATTTAAAATTCTAACTATTTCTTTCATGATAGCATGCATATTGCTTGCTTGCTTTCTTTCTTTCTTTTTCAAAAAAGTGGAAAAATGAGTTTGATACAATTATTTATTAGCTTAATTATTATACGATAAAAAAGCAATAAAAAATCAATATTTAACTAGGATGTCAAAGGATAGTAAATCTCTGGAAAAGAATCCCAGTACTACAAGTATATTAGACAAAAGACTTAAGATTAAAGGTTGTAAAGGTAGAAGAGATATGAAGAGAGAAATAGCTATAGAGGAAACAGCAAAAGCTACAATGACAGAGGTAGAAGTTAATAGCAAAGTAAAAGACATAGCAGATCAAATAGAGCTGATACAAAGGATTGGAGAAGAGATAAGCTCAATAAGGACAGTAAAAGAAACAAAAAAAATCGTACTTCTTCTTCTCGCTCATAAGACGGTGAAAGTAATTCAGATAAAAAAAATCAAAGTAAGAGTAGGAGTAGAAGTCGTTCACAAAAAGATTAATACTCAAATAAATCTTCTTCTCCAGCTTCAAAATCACCAAAAGAAGAGAAAAGAAGTCAATCAAAAGAAACTTAAAACAAAAAAAATAATGAAGAAGCAGCAGCAGTACTGGACTAACAAGAAAATGATAATGATGATTTATGAGTGTTAGTTAAAAAATAAATGTTTAATATAAATTTAATTAAATTGTATTGTTTGTTTATTTTAAATATTTAAAAATATAAATAATTCTACTTTATTTAGTACTAGAATATATCTAAATTAGGTATTAAGCATGACTCACTCATTCACAGTTTCTTTCTTTTTGAAAACATCAATCAAAATACAAAAGATTCACTCAGAAAATTTCACATATTTTATAAATTTTAACAATCAGTTGTTTTTAAAATCCAATCGTTTGTTTCTTTGTTTTTTTATCTTTAAAACAAAATTTTCAAATCAAAAACAAATTAATTTATTTAATTAATTACATTAAAAAAGGATAAAAAAATATGAGTTAGCAAAGCGGTAGAAATACTGCTAATTCTAAAACAGTTTTGAGAAAGCCATCAACTAGCGAAAAATCGTCCAAGTTGCAAATAAACTCGGTTCCTACTTCATAAGAAAAGATAAATTCTACTTAAAGCACAAGTTCTAATAACTTTAAGCTTCCCCCAACAAATAATTAAAATAACAAAAATGTAGTGTTAATTTAAAATGTAGCTGGAGTAATATTTTTATTAGGAATAATTTTAAGAAGCAGAAATATAATATAAGCATTTAAAATTAGGATGGTTTATGGTGCACAGTAAAGGAAGATAAGTATGCTCAATAAGCTGAGAGGTTTATTGAGAAAAAAACTAAATAAGCAGAATCTAAAATAGAAAGTGAATTAGTAAGCACATTAGAAAAACAATGTTCAGATTTAGGAAAAGAGCTTGAAGTAGAAAAGATTAAAGTGCAAAATAAAAACATAGAAATAGTTTAAATGAAGAAAATTATAGATTAGCAAAGTGTGGTAAATAGCAAACAAAATTTACTTATCATTTCAAGCAAAATGAAATTTTTTTAGCATTGTTTAATTATTATTTTTTAATACTTAGCAATTGCAAGAACAATCAACAGAAATTATGCATTTAAGAAATTCTAAAAAAAACTTAGAAGAATAGTTGGAGAAAACAAGAGATGGATTCAACCAGTTAAAAAGAGATATGAATAGAGTTTAATCTGACTCTACTTCAGAATCTTAAAAATCTAGCGATTTAAAAAATATATATCTAGAACTTAAAAAGTAATTTGAGGAATACAAATTAGTCATGAAATAAAGAATAGATGAGACTGAGTAAAAACTAGAAGAAACATTAGAGGAAAATGAAGATTTAAGAAGAGATTTACAAATAAAATCTGAAATATCTCAAAGAATTGAACTTGAAAGTAACATGAAATTGTAAGCAAAGTATTTAAAAAGATTTTTTTATTTATAAAATAATTAGGATTAAAAATGTATGAACAAAAGGAGCAATAAAGCATTAATGAAAATGAAAAAAGAATTGAAAAACTTACAAAATTATTAGAAGAAAATGCTGTTCTTAGCGAAAAACTTTCTGAGTCCGAAACATATAAAAGGAAATTCAAAGAAAAAAATATTTAATTGGAGAAATCACTAAAAGAAATACAGTAATAAAGAGATAAGATAGAATAGGCATATGTTTAAATGAAAAAAAGAGTTAATGATTTAAGTGTTTTAAAAACTACAAATAATAAAATCTTAGAAGAGAAGATCAAATCTCTCTCTAAGGAAAACGAAGATTTAACTGAAGAAAATAAAAAACTTAAAAAGTAGCTTTAAAGAAAACCAGCTGTAGTTTAAGATTATGAAGAAGAGGAATAGGAAGAGTTAGAAGAAGTTTAAGCAAAGCCATTCCTCTTTGGGCCAATAGATAATGGAAAATTCTGAATAGATTTAATTAATTAATTAACAAATAAAATAAATTTAAATTTTTTATATTTATTTATTTCAATGTAATTCAATAAAATGATTGTTGCTTAATATTACCTTTTATAAACATTCTACTTTATTTGCAAAATAAAAATACAATTTTTCATATTTTCAAGAAACAAACTTGCAATTTTTAATTTAATACAATCTAATCTAATCTTTAATATTTTTCTATTATAAAGTTTAAAATATCTTAAAATTTGATCATTTATTTTTTTCATATTATATAATTAATCAATAAATGAATAATAATTGTGGATTTTTTTTCATAATTTAGATCATGCATGGTTTGAATTTAGTATCAGTAAAGTAAATAGGTATTGATTGATATTTTCAATTTATTTTTTAACATAAATATATAAGGCTTTATTCATTATTAATAATTCATATTTACATTAAATCAAAAATTAAACAATTTGCTTAATAATAAATTCTTTTTAAAAGGGTATGCTATAAAAAAAATCTTATTATTGAAATCATACAAAAATAATATTAATAATAATAAAACACAAAATCTGATTAAATTTTGATTCATAATAAATTAAATGAAATAAAATAATATTAGATTTTGAAAAATTAAAAAATTTAAAAAGCCAATAATTTTATTTTAATAATGTATATTTATTCACATACACAACAACTACACCGTACTTTAAGTACTAATTTAAAATATCTATATGAGTTAATTTTAAATAATTGCTTTTATTAAAGATTTAATATTTAAATTAAAATTCTTGTTTTCATTTTATTATTTCTAAATATCATAATCAAAAAATGTTTGTTTTTATCATAATTTAAAATAATCTATTTTTTACAACTATATTAAATATTTTCCTACACTACTTTATTTGTTGTGAATTGATAATAAAATTTTTAAAAATTTAATAGATTTTTTTAATTTTTACAATTATAAAAGATTCTTATTTAAAATAAATAAATAAAATATGTTGCTTGATTGATTGAAGAGATAAAAAAGGATAAATTGAATTTTTTGTTTATTTTTAAGACATTTTTTTTGAGAATAATATTAAAGTTAAAAAAATCCAAGAATTCGTTTATAGATATATAGATAGATATATTTATCTTAATAGAAAATATTTGGATAAAGAGAATATTTTGAAATTTGAATAAAATATTATTAATTATTTATTGATGAAAAAATCATTTTAAAATATTAATTTTTTATGTATGCTAATTGGAATTTAAAAGAAATACTGCAAATAGAGTGAATGTTAACAATTAAGATATAAAAATAAATGAATTTGTTGTGGAGTAAATAAAGTAAATATTGAATGATTTAAGGGATTTAAATAATTTATTTTAAAGACTACTACCCATTTTATGAACATGTAAGTAACAGTTTTTAATATAAATAGTAAATCGGTGAATTATTAGATACTTTTGACATTTAAATAGCTTGATAAATCTATAATAACTTAAGTGAATATTTTGTTGATATATATTTATTCTCTGGCCGCTAGTATAAATTGTCTTTTAACCAAGCTTATTAATTGCTTATCAAACAAAGAAAATATCTCCTAATTCTGAACGACCATCTTCTTGAACAGTTCGCTCAGTAGATTTTTAGTTTTGTTCTTCTCCAGTTTCTTCTCTTGGAGTTGTATCTATTGCATAATAATATTAATATTAGTATGATTTTATATTAAATAAATATTGCTAAGTCATTTCTCATTATTCAAAGTGCGCTTTCTTTCATAAACATAACAAACACTCTTTGCAAGAATTATAAATATCATTAACTATCTCAATTTTAAACTATCTAAATAAGTTAACTTCCTTAAGCCATATTTCATAAATTGTAAATCTACTTCAATAATATGGCGACTTGCTTTATAAATTCCCAAATATTTATTATCAATACTAACTTTAAATATAAGCAGTCCTGCTTTAAATCAGATTAAATATGGTAATATGGGATGACATTTATTTTAATTGTAGCATTAAACTATTTGCTTTGAGCATTCTAGAAAGAGCTATATAGTTGAAAGAAAGAATGTGCATTTGTATGCACATGAGCGACGACTTTGTGAAAAAAGCTTTAGCTTTAATTTGTAATGATGTAAATTGAAGATAGATTACCTAATGTTGGTGTCAGACTTATATCTGTACCAGTTAGGAAGAGGTCTGTTTTACTTGATCTTTCTTCCGAATCTCTTTTTCATATTAAGAGTCTTGTTAGCTCCCTTTTTTAATACATTAAATGAAAATTCATTAGTTATGAATGCCTTTGTGTCTATTAAATTTGCAAAATTTTACCATTTCTTTAATTTGCTCTTGCTTTTACTTTTTTTTATATTTTTCTTACAAATATTAATTTAATTCTTTTGTTTCCTTCTTGAAAGATTTTTAGCTTTTTTATTTTTCCCTTTGTGAACAGTCTCTCATTCTATTTAAGCATATTAAAATTAAACAATCCTTAAACCATTGCTTGCCTAACTATCTTACTAAAAACTAACTTTCAGCCATTTTGATCCTTTCTTTATTATTTTTCTTCAGCCATATTATTTTTGCTACTTATGAAGCTGAGTTTTTTATAATATCTCATTAAATTGCCATTATTTTCTATTATAATTATTTTTTCGCGGAAATTGAATATTTATTTGTTTTTTTCAAATAAAATATTTTCTAGAACAATAAATTAATTTCCAATTAATAATTTTGAATAAATATATTTAAAAAGGTTTAATATTTAAGAGATTACAAATAGAAGATGTAAACCATATTTCGTAATTTATTTGCAAATTTGTTTAAATTAAAATTGGGTTTTTTTAAAAAAATAAAGAAATATTATGGAATTCTATTTTAAAAATATATTTATATAAAAATAAAATGGAGTTAATTAATTAAATGTTTAAGAATCACTTTTATTAAGATTAATTAGGTATTTAATTTGCAGCATAATATTATCATGTTCTTTTGCAATTTTTTATTATACATTTTAGATGTAATTTAAATAAATAAATATACTAAATAATTTCTATTTTGTCTTTATTAAAAAAATAAATTTAATTATTGATAATATCATGGAACAAATTAAAGATGTGCTTATTTTTAAAAGTTGAACACCATTTTATTTTTTACGTTTGAAGAAATTAAATTTGAAATAAAATGTATTTGGAAATAGAAAGCTAACTAGAATCGTAAATTTAAGTGCAATCTATTTAAATTGAGTAAATTAATCTTTAATTCTAAAAAATATTTAATCAAATTTATGATTAATCAAGTATTAATTAATTATACACTTTTATAGATTGTTTAATGTATTGTAATTTAATATTTGTCTGATAGGCAAATAACACATAAGCTAAGGATTTTTAGTTTTCTATTTTAGTTTTTGATATGCTCAAAAAAAAGAAGTAAATTAAATTCATTAATAATTTCTTAATTTATTTATTTATTTGTAATTTAACAAATTCAAAACTTCAACTATATAGTCAAATATTGTTTATTATAGGCTCTAAATATAAATATAGATATGAGTAGTTAGCTTCCACCTCACGTTTAACTGCAAGAACCATTAGAAATAGAAACCCAAACTAAAGAAGATGATAATAGAGTGGAAATTATATAAAAATAATAAGAGGATATTGAAAATAATTTAAGTGCACCGTCAAATAAAGAAAATGATTGCATCAGAATTATGAGGAATTATGGTTAAAACTACCCAAGAAATTTCGGAAAATATTGTGTGTTTAGATTTAGAGACAACGAACCCACTATCACGATAGGTCCTCATTGTAATATATTTGAATTATTATATATTAATAGTTATTAATAATATTTTTTTAAAATAGGGCCATTGTTTTTATTTACATACATCATTTTATCATTAGCCAGTTATAAGTTGATAGAATACACAATTGAGTTCTTCTCTTTCATATACTGCTTTTTTTCAATATTAATTTCAGCTACTCTTCTTATATCCTATATGATAACAGCATTAAAAAATCCAGGCATAAGCTCTGCAAAATATCAAATACTTAACGAATAAGACATACTTGGTATAAAGAGGTATCAAATAGATTAATTAATTTCTAATATTTAATCATACGCTAACTAATAATTTAAAGTTAAATATTTTTTATTGACTAAATAGATATTGCAAACCCTGTTAAATTCTAAGGCCTAAAGGAACTACTCACTGCTATGATTGTGATGTATGTATTTAAGAATACGATCATCATTGTCCATGGACTGGTAAATGCATAGGACATGGAAATTTACAAGTTTTCTATATATTTGTTATGTCTGTAATGACATTTATGATTTATTCAATTTTACTGGTATTCAGTAAATTATGAAAATAATATTTATTTATATTTAGTTAATTTATTTACTAATTAATCTTATAATAATTATTCAATACTAAAATTGTTTACTTTAGATTTTAATAAAATACTATAAAAAGAAAATATTTAAATTAAACAAATTTTTTTATAAAATTTATATTTATCTTAAAAAAATGATTGTCATACAATTAAATTATTTGGTTAGTTTCAGCCAATTAATAAATTTGAAAAAACTAAATTGTTTGATTTAAATTGTGTGGTTTTCCTAAAGGGATCATTGATTAAAAATTGATTTATTTGATTGAAAAACAAGAATAATTAATTAATTGATTGCTAAAATAATTATTTATAATTGATAACAGGGAGATATTTTTGTAAATATATTCAAACAATAATGACAGAGGTTGTATTTTTATTACTATAGATAGATTGAAAAACAAGAATAATTAAATTGATTGCTCAAATAATTATTTATTATTATAAACAGAGATATTAGTAAATATATTAAAATAATAATTAATGGAGTTATTTATCGTTTTGTTATTATAGAAATAAATTTTTGCTGACTAATTTATATATTCATTTTTTTTTATTTTGAATTTGAAAACGTTTTGATGATCAAATAAATTCTTAAAAATTTCAATTTATCACATATTATTTTAGTAATTCTTAAATTTTTAGGAGCTGCTATTGGGGATTGATAATATTTCAATAAAACTTAATAAAATGTATCCAAATTTTAATAAAATCTTCTAATCTGGATAGAAAATGTGTGATTTACTATGATTAAGGATATGGATTACAATATTTTGATGTATGTTGGTTATTAGCTTATTTATTCAGTATAAATATTTTTAATTTATTTTTTTTACTTTTTTAATCGTTGATAAGTGTCAAATATCCAGCGAATTATATATACATACATTTATAGATATAAAGAATAAGCTAATAAAATTAATCACAATTGATCTCCTTTAAAAAACTTAATTTTATAAAAATAGCAAAAACTATTAATGAATAGTTCAAGCGTTAACGGTAATTCATTCTTAGTCAGAGATTCTCTGTACAAATAATTTTTTATGAAATATAGATCTTGATAGAGTGCCATTCAGCAAAATCGGCTAGAGAATTATTGAATCTGTAAATGTTTTAATATTAACTATCATTTTATAAACAAAATTTTCAAATTTAATTAGCCACAAATTACTCCTCGATGTATAAATAAATACAATTTTAAACTGAAGAAAAATAAATTTATTTTGTTTCAACAGATTCTAAACAAGACGATTATATTTTACATGGATAAGTTGTTGGAAATAAAGATGATCAACTTAAATAGATATCAGATTTTAGGAACAATTTATAGAACTATGGTATTATTTGCTAATTTATTAATTTATCTAATTTTGCTTTTGTAAATAAGGCAAAGCTTATAAAAATGAAAACGGTTTACAAGTGCAATCGGTAAACGATTATTATAAAAAAAGAGAAGAATATTTAAATCAATCAAGTTTGCACGATGTTTCATAGTTGCGGTCAGAATATGTGAAAAGGGGAGGGTAGAATCCTGAATTTCTATAGAATCTTCAAAATATAGAGAAGTATTTTGATGGAAAAAAGAATTACTCAAAGTACATAAATAACCCTAATGCATTATAAATACAAAGAAACTAGTCTCTACTTTCAAATTCATACTCACTTCCTATGTTAAACCAATCAAATATGATTGATTCTTTCTCAAACGAACTGTAAAATTTTAGCATTTTAACAAATAAAAACTAACTTACACTACCTCCATAGTTAAGAGCAAGCTTAAGAAACCCAAAGTAGATTTTGAATTATTCTAATAAATTTTGATATTAATCATTTTTAAAAGTCTAGTTGCTGGAAATAAATCTGATTAAGAATAAGCATATGACTACCTTAATGTATAAGAAAGTGAGTGTCTACTGGATATGTCTAGAATGCATCCTAATTCTTATATGTATTAAAATAAAAAAGAGTAATACCAAAAAATTAGATAGTTAAAAAACGAAATAGAGAAATCGATGATCTTTAGCAAAGTCAATCAAAATATGGGAAGCATGCCAAATTTTTCCCAATCAGCTGTTATGGTAAAAATATTTATTTGTTTCCTAAATAAAATGAATGCTCATTTTTTAAAACTAAGCCTTCATCACTTCCCTCTAAGCTAATCGATTATTCTGCATAAAAAGACTACTTTCCTTAAAGAAATGGTGTATACTTTCCTGATGAAGGGTTCATAATCAGATTCGATTATGCAGCCCTCTTACCTCCCTCCTTTGATCAAGTCTTTGTTAACTTTGGTATCTTTAAAAAAGGATAAAGTCTTGATCCCTTTTTAAAAACAGCTATTTATAACTCAGAACCTGATACACTATTATCTCAAAAGTGCATTTTTACAGAAAAAAGGAACATTCATGAGGTTAAACCTCATTAAGACACTATTCTTTATTTTGAATTATTTGCTAATGAAAGGGATCCACTCAAAAGAACTTTAACTAAAAGAGTAAAACTTATTTAAGCTATTTCAAATAATTTTAAAAACGTTTAAAGAATTAAGATTTAGTTCAATCAAAAATTTTGTGCTACATAAATCATAAAATGATATTTTAAATTACTATTTTGTTGATTCAAATAAATATTTTGATTATTATTAAAATTAAATAGGCATGGACTATGCATGAAGTTTTTGATTCATAAAATATTCTTAACTGCGGAAGATTTAAATTACCTTTTTACAGTAAGAATTTAAATCCATAATTGTTAATATAAACTGGGTTACAGTAAATGGCTGATAGCAATTTATTTATTAGGATATGCTTTCCTAATGATCCTTACTTAGATAATAACACCTATGTTTTTATAGAAAATGAATATAAAACTCCTTTTTTCCATATGAGAAACTATTCATAAGCTTCTCCTTAAAAAATTAATTCTGTTTTTGCTCCTTAAGTGTAAATTATTAGAGATGATTATTAGTAAATAAAACATGCATAGGAATAAGCAGAGTAGCTCCGTTTACTATAGCTGCAACAACAATTCGATTCTTCATATGTTCCTAATGTAAAATATAATTTAAATAAATAAAGGAATTTAAAAAACTATTTTCAAACTAAAAGGAATAGCTTTTTGAAAGACCAAATCAAAACAATCATGATTCATACGAAAATTAATAGCAATACGATCAAGCAAACCCTCAGTAAAGGTAATCATAGTAAATACCTTAAAACTAATAATTACCATAAAACTAATAATTACCACAAAACTAGTAATAAGCTTAAGAGCAATAAATTGCACCAAATAAAAATTAATTAAGCGTAAACACAAATTTAAAAAAAGATAGCAATTTAGAACCATCATAGAAAAAACCACAATAAACTGATTCGTAGCGTAGCGTTTAAATAAATTAAAATAATCAAAAGCCACAATAGACTGAATAAAGTGATCCAATTGTTGAGGAGCAGCCATAAAATAGGTAAACTTCTCAAAGCTTTTATAACTAGCCTTTCATATAATAAAATGATATTGATTCTTCAAGTGTAATGAATTCATCAAATCCTTATCAAAACCCTTAATAAAACGATAATAATCTGACGGATGGAGTAGTAATTAAGTTAGTTAGTTTAGATGGATTTAAAATAGATGAATTAAAAGGATAAATAAACATCAAAATATTTGATGGTGAAAATCCAATGTTAGACTTTGGTAAACAAGAGTGTAACGAATTTTACAACGTAACATATGTTTCTGGTTTTAACCAATTAGATTTAGAGAGGGTATTTCAAATAAAGATTAAGGATATGTTGAAAAGTTATAAGAAAATCTAATTAGATAAGATCTATTTATATATAAGCATTTTATCTGGAAATCAATCACTTGGATGGCTAGCAACACCTCTTTTCAAGGTATTTATCCATTAAAAATTTATTCAGCATCATATTATTTTAACAAATTAGACCTCTTATAAGTCATCTTCTTTAAATAATGGAAAATTCAAAGAAAATTTAAATAAGCCTCCTGCTAAAAAACCTCCTTTTTTACGTATTAACCCTAAATCAGATATGATCATTGAATACATAATTCATGATCCAGATTTATTAGAGAACGAAGTAAATGAATTCGATACAATAGAGTAATCAAAATTTATTTTTATTTTTTTCATTTTATCAAAGAGTAATTTTTCAAATCCTTAATATAATTTTGCTATTTTACCAAAAAAAATCTAGCTCATTTTAATTTAAAAAAAATATTTTATTCTTGCAAAAAAAATTTTGATTGAATAAATGTATGTAAAAATATTATCTAAATTTAAAAAGGAGTTAAGAAAAAAACAAGCATAAAAAAAAGCAAATAATTAATCTACTAATTAAAGAATTACTTTTATTTAAAAAAACCAAAATATTTAGCCAATTTACAAATTTTATATCTTCAATTATAATATAAAAGCATATTTTTTAGTAAAAATAAGCTAAATTTTTTTGTATTTTGACAATAACTTAATAAAAAAATCTAAGAAACATTTTTTTTGAAGATTTAATAATTTTTTCAATCTTAATTAAATGTTCTTCATATTTTTTAATCATTTTAATCAAAGTAATTTATAGTTTTATACTTAGTAATATCTTATTTAAAGCCAACATAATAAAGTTTAAAAAATTTTTTATTTAAAAAATACTGAAATTTCCTTTACTTTTATTTTAAATAAAATACTTTTATGAGGTTTTTGTAATTTCGTTTTTAATTTTGACTAACACTTTTATAAATATAAATATTTAGGAAATAATAATAATCATAATAATAAAATTAATTACCTGTAGCTGCAAATTCAAATTCACCTTCCAACAAAAATGATATGACTACTGGTTTAAGGATAGCATAAGTTGAAAAAAAAGATAAAGTAGATGGTCCAAGAAATGTACTTCTAATAGAAATGGATTCTATTTAAAATTATACTAATGATCTAAGTATTTCTTATGATTTAGTCATACTTAAACCTTAGGAAATAGTAAATGATGAATTCGGTAACCCAGCAGTCTATCACTTTGATGAATTAATTCCATGTACAGAAAACACAGATTTGGTAAATAAATTTAAATAAAAGTTATAATTAATTAATTAATTAATGTAATTAAATTGCAAAGGTTGAATTCAACACTACAATTAAAGTACCTCTTGATGTAGAACTTGCTATGAAAAATAAGTAGTCTAATTGGGAGCAATATCATATTATTATAAAATTTGTTGAAGTTGATGATAACGATATTGAGGTAACGTTAGGATGGTATGCTCACCCAATTTTTAAGAATAAGAAAGTCAATTAAGGGAGTTTTTCAGTTAATATTTATGATACACCATTATAAGTAAACGTGCCATTAAACAACTCTTTAATTAAAAAAAGATTAGAAAAACTCAATTATAAAATTTCTTATAAAAAAATTCCTGCTTAAGAATACAACCTTCTTTAAGTAATTTATTATAAAAATTATTTAAATTATTCATTGCATATAATTTTTTTATTGAGATATTATTTAATTAATTTTACTTATTAGGTTAATGAACATTAAGATCAAACTCTTGGAGCCTCTTCAAAGCAAGCCACTCAATAAAAATGCATCTTTACTGTAGTTATACATCACCTAAAAAATTTGGAAAAAGATGTTGATTTATAAGTTAATATTGCTCTTTTCTTTAAGGATGATTTTATGCAAGATGACTTAAAGAATAATTGCACTTTCTAGGGTGATATAAAAAAATGTACCAAAAAGTTAATACAATTCTTAGAAGAATATAACTTCGAATTAGATATAAGAAAAATGGCAGAAACATATAGAAACTAATTGGAAAATATAAATCTTGTTTTTTACTTGCTAGACAAAGGTAAAAATCCTAAGTACTGGTTTTACTGTAGATTGTTTGATAATCAAGGTAATCCAAGGTTAGGAACATTCGAAGAGAATGTATTTAATATTCCTGTACAGAGAATGACATAAGTAGATCCTAAGAAGCTTAAATAAAGTAAAGCAACCATAAAGTATAGTTTTATGGAAGGTACTTAGGACGAAGAACTAGAAAGTCAGTATTCTCCAGATTGACTAATAGTAACAAATATTTAAAAGAGACAAATAAATATTCAAAACTTTAAAAGAAATAATTTTCAAAAAAAATTTTAAATTAAAGAAAGTTATCTCAAAAATTTCAGAGCACAATTAAAATAGCTAATATAATAAGAAACTGTATTAAACTACAAAAACTAGCTAGTCAGTCAGTCATTCACAACTTAATTTATTTTTTATACAAATATGCTTTTATTTACTTAAAATTATATACTGTTTATATACTTTCCAAAAAAGCTATGGGCTTCAATTTATTTTTTAATAAACTACCATTTATTTTATATTATTTAATAATTAATAAAATAGGATTTGGCTAAAAGTTAATATAATCCTATACATAAATGAATAATAAACAAACAAATAAATAAATCAAACTTATTTTTATACTTTTGTAAAAATGAATAAAATTGATAACATAAAATTATACAATATATCTGCAATGATGCTTAAATAAAAGATATTAATATTTTATCTTTTATAGTTGAAGCAATATTTAGAAAGTTGACTCTTATATTTGGTATTTAAATGTCAATTAATTATTAATCTTAATTTCAATTGATTCCAATAACAAATAATTTTCTAAATACTTTTCAAATTTTAAATGAAATTTAATTTAGCAAAAAAAAATATTTAATTATTTGTATTATAAAAGCATTAGTTATTAGGTTGCATAGTCTTTAAAATAATGAATTTATATCGAAATATATTACTCAAAACATTAAACTTTAAGAGGAGATTAAAAATAATTTTAACACAACTCATAAAAAAGTTTTTTAGATTTATTTTGGATTATCTAATTTAAAAAAATAAAAGAATTCAAATTAATTAATAAATTTTTGAAATTGATTGTATTATAGATTCATAATATCAAATTTATTTAATTTCTGTCAGTGTCAATCATATTTATTATATATCAAGCACCACAAAATTGCATTAATATTTAATTAATAAAAATTTAAATTAAAAAGATACATTTAGTTTTTAAAATGTTTAAAATTTGCAAAAAGAGAAAGACAAAAAAGTCTAGCAAGTCATTACTTGAGAGCATGTAGCCAAAAACAATTGAAGAGCTAAAAGCTGAAGAAGTGATTATTGCTTAGTATTAAAAAGAATTCACATTTGAAGAAAGATATAATGACTCATAGGAATGCAAAAAAAAACATCCAGAATGTGTTCCTTTGATTATTGAAAGACATCCAGATCATAAAGATATAAAAGAAATGCAAACACCTAAATTCCTTTTCCATTGTCAATCATAAACTGCTAATGCAATGGTGAGAACACAGAAAGATGTTCAAGCGAAAAAAATGTGGTTCTTTGTTCATATGCCTGATAATCAATTAAAATTGATATACCCTCAATCAAAATTAGGTGTCTTGTATTAGAGATATAAAAGATCTGATGGAAATTTGTACATATTTTATTCTGATAAAAATCTTGTTTAGCAAACAAGCACATTCATGAATGTCATGCAAATAATATGTGTTATTTTACTGATTTTCTATGGCTATGTTTATTTCTTTGGCGTTAAAGATATCCTTTGGTTATTTGGTTATGACCTAGCTAAATTATAGTAAGAATACATTTAAAGCTAAACAAATTCCACTCTAACCAATTCCACGCATGTAAATTCTACTTTTAGCAATACAACTAATTCGAATGCTGAAAAAATAGAATTATGAGAAAGTTTATATTAAAAGACATGTTAAATAAATAAGTAAAACGTTAAATTGTTAAAAAAATGAAAATTTTTAGGATATATAGATAGATATTTATTTAATATCATCAAAATAAGATTAATTATAAAATTAAGAATTCTTGTTAAATATTTAAATAAAATTAATTATATATTTTTAATTATTAAAAGTAATTCAATAAAATATTTTATAATTCTTATTAGTTTTTTATTTTTATAAATTCTTAAAATTTTATAAATTAATTCTAGTTTATTTTATAACATTTGATTCTAGATAATTATTAATTAACTGTCAAAATAATTTACAAAATCTTAATAATATTTTCAATTTGTTATTCCAAAATTTTAAGTGAGTATTGAATTAATAAAAATATTTTTGAATTTATGATTAAATTACATTTTAAGAGTAAAATATTATCAAAAAAAAAGATCAATTTTAAATTAAGAATTCTTGTTAATATTTAAATAAATATTTTTATGTCTTAAATATTAAAAAAATTCAATAAAATATTTATTTATTAATCTTATTTATTTTTTTATTTGATATAATTTTATTAATTAAATCTTATTTTAAACGTTTTGATATTTATTAATTAAATAGGTTTTCAAATTAATTTATAATGGATTATTTAACAAAGAGAAAAAATATAAAAATAATTATTATTTTTTTTAAATAATTCAATAAATATTTTGAAATTGAATTTTACAAATTTTTAGACTATTTTGTAGCTTTTACAAAGAAAATAGAAAAAATTTTAAGGTAGGTTATTGATGTAATTTGAAAAAAATTAAACATTTATCTTGTTAATTTTTAATGGTGAATATAAGTATTTTTCAGTTTTTTTTCTATACCATTATTTTTAATGATAAAGAACTTAAAGAAAGTTAAATATTTTATCTGTTCAAACAGATAGATTAAGAAATAAATTATAAATAAGAAATTAAGAAGTGTTTTTGGTTGAATAAAAATCTCAATAAATGCTTCTAAGTGATTTAATATACTTTTAATACAAAAACATGTTTATTTTTATTTACAAAATAATTTTTTAAAGGTTTTTTATAATTTTATTTTGTTTGAGTTTGTTTTTTATAATTTTTAATGTTTAGAATTAATTAAATAATTTTCATGAACTTGTGGATAGAATTAAAACTTTTTATTATTTTATAAATTCATCATAGTTTTCTAGCTCTCCCTAATATTCTTATCTTTATTGAGGGTCACATGCGCACAAAATTTCTATTAATTTTGATTCATGTTAATAATTTTCTCTAAAGCCTTGTGGGAATTTTTATTCATCCTGTTTATAAGTTGCATTGTAGTGATCAGTTTTTCTATTTTCCATATTGTTGCACATATCTAATAAAATTAAACCAAGATTGTATAAATCTCCACAACTGTCGAACTAACTTCTCAACTCTGGTGGTCTATTTAAAAAGTATATTTATTAATTGTTAATTAAAATTATCTGCTAATTAGAAAAATAGAGATTTTTAAAGTTATTTGTTTGTTTGTTTTTTTTTTAATTTTACAAATCAAAAGTTACACTTAGAATTAATTTAATATTGAAAATATGCTGATCGAAATTTGATCGATCTCTTTATTATTTAAAATTATTATTTTCGCAAGAAAGATTTTTATTGTTTGTCTTATTAACTACTTAATTTGTTTAAAATTGTTTAAATAAAAAAATATTTTAATTACTAATAACAAACGGTTCCATATGTTGAAGAAGGCACTTTTCTAAACTAGAGTTCACCTACTTTATTCTCAATTTAGATTTATTTGCTGAAACCAAAATCTCCTATTTTGCAGATTTATCTTACAGGGTCAACAAATATATTCTCAGGTTTTAAATCACGATGGACATAGCCGTTTTCATGAATATAAAGCAAACCACTTAGTATCTGTTTGAAAAAGTGATGAATAATTATTCTTTTATTAGGTAAATCTGTCATATTTTTAAGAATTTATTTTGTGAATGAAAATAAATTATGGGCTTTGTTTATTTCACCTACATACTCCATTTAAATATAGAGATTGAATTGATTGCAAGAGTTATCAGACTTTTCCAACCACCAATCATATGCTCTAACAATATTAGGATGAGATAAACGCATCATATTAGCAGCTTCCCTCATATATTTCAAATTTTAGATAGTTTTTAATGTTGCTTTTTTTGGTACATTATCTTCCTTACGCTTCTTAATAACATAAATATTCCCGTCTACCTTATTTTGAACTAAAAATATCTCACCAAAAGCACCCTTCATTTCACGCTCTTGAGGTATCATCAGCTTATAAAACTATCTTTGCATCTTTCCGCACTAAAAAATATGATCATTAGACTCCTCAAGCTGATTTTCATAAAAATTAAAAATGTAATCGTTCATTTTGTTCTCCAATTTATTTTAAATTTCTGCTAATTGTTTGAACTAATCCATTTTCATAGTAATCAAGCAGTTGGCACGTCCTTCCTTAGTAAATTTTTACATGCTTGTAATCATATCACTAAAATCTTCATTGAAAATTTTTTTTAAATACTCTAGAAGATTGTCCTCAAATGTATTTAAGTTATCCTGCGAAGGCCCTATAATTAAGCAGATCACCTACTAATTTACTTACTCCATTTCTAAATATTTCTAATTATTTATCTATTATTTAATTGGTTTTCACCTTTGGTAATTGATCTTTAAGTTCTTACTAATGTTTTACCTTTAAAAATAAGTGTAAAAATAATTATTTTCTAAAAATTCAATGATCCAAATTAAAACAAATACTTTTTTTCTAATTTTTAAGCACAGCTTTCTTTAAATTGAAGATTTATCTCAAAAACTAAAATTCTGAAATAATCTGATATGAAAGAACTATCCAAATAGACTATATAAACTCCAAAAACTTAAGTGGTCTCATTCAATGTTTATTTCTACTAAATTTTCATTTTAAAAGTGTTTTCAAAAATAACTTTATTTTTGTCTATACGATTGATAGATAGCTGTCAATAGGAAACTTTGATTTATCTCACATTCAAACAATTATAAATATTGATTTTAGTGAATTTTAGCTAATAAGCAAACATTCTTTCATTATTATTATTAATAGCATATAAATATTAATGTAACATATTTAAAACAATATAAATCTATCATTAAAAATTATATGAGTGGATGGATAATAAATGTTTCCTAATTTATTCGAAATAATTTTAAATAATAAATAAATAAAAATTAAAGCCTTTTACCTAGATATTGAATGTTGATTATGCTTTATCTATTTTTCTATTAATCTTTCTATTTCAATAAATTGCAGCTATTTGATCTTTTAAAAGATAAATTAAATATTTATTTAGTTATACTTTTAACTAATCTCATAAATTTGCCTTATTTTATTTTGGAACTTAAGTTGATCAATTATTGAATCTATTTCATAAAAAGTTACAAAAATAATTCTTCTATTTTAAAAACTCAAAGAACAAAATAAACACATTTATTTTAATAATTTAGAATAAATTTTTATCATATGTTATTATTTATTTATTTATTTTAAAGTAGATTAAATTTAAATATTTTCTAAATTTTCATAAAAATTAAATAAGGATTAATTCATTTTAGCTTTTATGAAATTAAATGTAAAATTCCAATTAATCAATAATCTTTATTAAGTAATCCCAATAAGATGGTTCATTAGATATTTAACTTTTCATGTTAGATAATATCTTAGAAGAATTTAAGAATATAATGTGAAATAAAATTTAATTTAAAAATATATCTATATTTATATATATAAATAATTTTTTTGCATAGCTTATATTTTTCTGTGTCCAGTATTAATAATAATAATATTAAGTAGAGTAGTAATATTTTTTAAATTTAATAAAAACAATAAAATTAATTTATTTTGAAAAAAATAATTCCTTCTTCTTTACAAAAAAGATTACAAAAATAATAATATGATTTAATTAATTTTATTGAATTTATGAAAATATTTTATTTTTTATGTTGCACTTCATTCATAGAAAGGAATTCCTTTAAAAAGAGCAGGGTAAGAATAGTAATTAACAACTCTTGTGTTAGAATTTAGATTTCTCAAGGTTTGAATATCTTCTTCACTGAATTGCAATTTTTAGGCATCAAAGTTATGTTAGAGACGCTCAATTTTGGCAGTTCTTGGGATGACTACAACATCTTAATGATACATAAAAGCTATCATTACTTAAGCAACTGAGGCATTTTACTTCTAAGCAATTTAGTTTAATGTTTCGTTTTTTACTACTTCATTGTATTTGGCCATTGGACTAAAGGCAACTGGATAAATATTTACTTTTTTCAAAAATTCAACTAAATTCTTTTATTAATTAAACACATGAAGTTCTATCTAGTTTACTAATGGTTTTATTTTACAATATGCTAACAAATCAATAATCATTTAACAGTTGAAATTAGACACACCTAATCCTTTAGCTAAGCCCAAACTATGAATCTCTTCAAATTCAGCCCAGATTTAATGAACAGGCTTATGATTCCACTATTAATAGTCATCACTAGGAGCTGCTAAAGGAACATGAATTAAAAGCAAATCTACATAATCTACCTATAATTTCTAGAGCTATTCTTTCATTATTTCTAAACATGAAACACCTTTGATAGAAGCCTATTTAGTCACTAAAAATATATCTTCTCTTTTATATTTACCTTCACCAAAGATTGTTTTTAGAGCAGCTCCTATAAACTGCTCATTTTCATACATTTAAGCTGTATCAATGTGCCTATAACCAACATCTAGAGCTTTACGAATTAAATTAGTCACTTCTTCTACTGATTAAACTCTAGAACTACCTAAGCCAAAGGCAGGCATTTTTTATCCATTTGAAAGAGTAATTACTTTTTGGATTTCTTGAGAGCTCATTTTGAATAATTAATTTTTAAAATAAAATTTTTAATTAGTTTTAATAATTATTTAATTCTAAGTTTATTATGGTGACCTAAAAAGCTAAATTTAAAATACAATAAAAGATATTCTGCATACATATTTCATTAAAGAAACTCTAATTAATTTATATTTCTTTCATAATTGTTATATAAGAATTAAATAAATTCTTTAATTACATATTTAAATCTTTTTTACTAATTTAACAAATTTGATAAAAAAAATGTAAGGATAATCATAAATTAATCTTGATAAAATTTAATTAAATTTGAACAAAAATCACAATTTATTTAAAATAAAATTAAAGTAATTATTATTGTAAAATTTTATCAATCTCTTCAAAAATAAAATAATTTAATACTTAAAAATGAAAAATATTTCAATATTTTAATTAAAAATGATAGATAAAAGATATTTCTGAAACTATAGACTTAGCTACTTAACAAAAAAAATAATTAAATAAATAAAAATATTAAAATTTGTTTGAAATTTTAAATTCTACCAACTTTATTTTAGCATTTTATGGATAAATTTAATGTCTTTTTCAGACTATAAGTATTTAATTGACTTAAGATTATTATTCATTTTTTAAAATGTTCTTTTAATTTTTTAAATTTTATAAATTAATCACATTATTAAAGATAATTTTAAAAATTTTTAGTAAATTTAAGCAGCAAAGTTCAAAAATTTTTATTAAAAAAATAATTAATTTTATTTAAACAACTAAATAAGCTATTAAAATGTAAATAAAAAGAAAAGAAATTTACAAATAGTTAAGTAAATTCATTAGAAAAAAATATTTATCTAAACATTAACAAAAAAATATTTTATATTTAAGTATTTTATAAGAAATGAATTTGAGAATGAGTTATTATCATTCATAGAAAGGGATTCCTTTAAAGAATTCAGGGTAGAGCTAGAAATCAACAATCCTAGTGTTTGTATTCAAATTTTTAAGAGTAATCAAATCCTCGTTACTAAAAACTAGCTTTTGTGATTCAAAGTTAGGCTTTAAACGTTCTGGTTTTTCAGTTTTAGGAATAACAACTACTCCTTGTTGAACCATGAAAGAAATTAAAACTTGAGCTACTGTAGCATTATACTTTTTAGCTATATTCTACACAGTCTAGTTATTAATAACCTCATTGTACTTAGCCATAGGACTATATCCGACAGGGTATACGTTAATTTTCTTTAAAAATTCAACGAAATTTGTTTGTTAATTGAATATGTGAAGCTCTATTTAGTTCACAACAGGTCTAACTTTACAATATACTAATAGATCAATGACCATTTGGCAATTGAAATTAGAAACCCCTAAGCCTTTGACTAAGCCTAAACGATGTATTTCTTCAAATTCAGCCCATATTTAGTGCACAGGTTTATGATTCCATTGTTTATAATCATCACTAGGGGGATTGAAAGGAAAATGAATTAATAGTAAATCTACATAATCTACTTACAGATCCTTTAGCTATTATTTAAACACTTCTGAGCATTTAACTCCTTTATCAGGGAATTATTTAGTCACTAAGAAAATATCTTCTCTTTTGTATTTTCCTTCTTTAAAGATAGTCTATAAAGCAGCACCAATCATGTGCTCATTTTCATAGTATCTAGCAGTGTCTATGTATCTATAACCAATATCTAAAGCAGTACGAATTAGGTTAGTCATTTCTTGCTCATTTTATGTTTTGTAAGTACCTAAACCAAAAGTTGGCATTTTATTGCCATTAGAAAGGACTATTTCATTTTATCCCATAAAAGAGTTCATAGTTTTTTATGCAAGTTTTCTATTTTTATTTTTTACTACTTTGACTCTAAACTTATAAAACTCAATATTTAAACTCAAAATATTTTAATTTCTAGAACAATTTATGATATTTTTTATGGCTTTAATTTAATTGGTCATTCAAAAGAAGAAATTAAAAATGAAAAAAGTAATGGCCAATAATATAGCAAAATAATTAAAAACCACTAATATTAATTATCGAATTTAATTAGCTATTTTCAATTTTTATTTGAGTAAAATTTGTTCTGGAATAATTGATTACTTTTTTAAAACTTTTTTAATAACTAAAACAAAATTTAAGGTTATTACAGGTGTAACAAAAATATAGAAAATAAAATTCTTATAAAACCTTGATATTTTTTCGAAATTTATAACATAGAAAAAGGATTCTTATCAAATCTTATTCAAATTTTAAAAGAAATTTTTTGAATACAATTCGAAACAATAAATTCATATAATAAGCATTTATAATGAAAATTCTTTCTACAGCAAATTTATACTTGAGTTAAAGATCTCAAAAATATATTTAAGTGATAAAAAAAATTATTATTATAAATTGAATTTAAAATTGATAGTTAACAATATTTCGATATTTTAATACATAGATTCAAAGAAAAAAATAACTGGGAAATGCTAAATATTTTTTTAATAAATAAAACTTTAAAAATAATTTTCTCTAATTTTTAGTTAGAACTTTCTTCAATATCTTAAAATAAAATGATAAAATTTAGTTAATTAGCAAAAGTTAAAAAGTAGTCTTCATAAATTGTTAACTTTAACTCTAAAATAATTCCAATAACTTTAAAAAATTATTATTAAAATGTTTAAATTGAAAAAAAGAAAATATTTTTTAGACAACAAATGAAATAAAAATTAATTGAGTAAAAATTACAAAATAAATAAAATAGTTTTGTTTTTATTTTAATAAAGACATTTTTAAAAAAATAAAATCAATCTACTTTTAATTAAAAAATTTAAATTGATTTGTCAAAAAATTCATAAAAAATTTTTGACAATTAATAAAAAGTAGAATGTATGTTTGAAATATAAAATTAGTAGATTATTTAGATAATAAAATACATAATCTTTATAAAATTGAAAACTATTGATTTTTAATAATATCCATCCTGAATTGTTTGTTGATTAGTTTGATTATTTTAAATATCTTTGATACATTTAAAAAACTTAATTTAAATCTAAATATACAAAAAAAATATTAAGACAAAAAACGAATTTATTTAATTATTAGATATCTTTGGAAATATTTATATTGATATATTTTACATTAAAACTTTAAAAAAATTATATATACTAATTGTGACGTAAAACTAATTAAGATAATTAATAAATAATATCTTTGAAAGATTAAAATTGATGTTTTTTACATTAAAATTAATAAAAATAAAATAAAAATGTTGAAACAAAAACGAATTCAATTAATCATTAGATATCAAATTTAAAATTTATATATTTATTTTATATTAAAATAAAAATAAAAAAATGTTGAGAGAAAAAAAGTGAAATCAGTGAATTAAAAATAATTTTCTTGAAATAAATACAAAAGATACTATGTAGATAGTTTTTTAGTTATTTAATAATATTTTAATTTGTTGAATAAAGTATTTTCAGTCAAACAGAGGGACTCCTTTAAAGAAAACTGGATTAGAATAGTAATTAACAACTCTTGTATTGCTATTTAGATTTTTAAGAGTTTCTAAATCTTCTTCACTAAATATTAATTTTTGTGCATCAAAATTATGTTGTAAACGCTCAGGCTTTTCAGTTTTAGGAATAACTACTACTCCTTGCTAAAACATAAAAGAAATTAATACTTGTGCAACTGATGCATTATACTTCTAAGCTATTGCTTTGACAGTCTCATTATTGATAACTTCATTGTACTTTGCCATTGGACTATAACCTACAGGATAAACTTTAGCTTTCTTCAAAAATTCTACTAAATTTCTTTATTGATTAAACACATGAAGCTCGATTTAGTTGACTACAGGTCTAACTTTACAGTAAGATAATAGATCTATGACCATTTAGCAATTAAAATTAGAAATTCCTAAACCTTTAGCTAAACCTAATCCGTGTATTTCTTCTAACTCAGCCCAAACTTAGTGTACAGGTTTTTGGTTCCATTACTGATAGTCATCGCTAGGAGGAGCATAAGGAAAATGAATTAAGAGTAAGTCTACATAATCCACTTATAAATCCTTTAGCTACTAATTAAAGACATCTATGCATTTGACTCCTTTATTTGGGAACAATTTAGTAACTAAAAAGATGTCTTCTCTTTTGTATTTTCCTTCACTGAAAATAGTCTTCAAAGCTGCACCAATCATGTGCTCGTTTTCATAGAATTTAGCAGTATCTATGTGTCTGTATCCAACATCTAAAGCAGTACGAATGAGGTTTGTCATTTCTTATTCGTTCTTTGTTCTGAAAGTTCCTAAGCCAAAGGCTGGCATCTTTTAACCATTAGAAAGGACTATTTCTTTTTATCCGTGAATAGAGCTCATTTTATATATGAATTAAATTTTGTTTTATATTGTTTTTATTGTTTATTTATTTAATTAATATAATAAAGAACTCATTTGAATTGATATTTAAACTAAAAATCTTTTTTATTTCCAGAACAATTTTTAAATAGATTACTGATTTTAATTTAAAAGGAAAATTAAAAGAATGAATCTTAAAAATTAAAAAAAGGAAATTATCAATTAATCTAACAAAATCTAATAATAAAAATCAAATAATAATAAAAATTTTAAATCAGCTAAAGTAAAAAAAAATGTTTAAATCATTCTCCAAATATAAATTTTTCTAGAAGCAGTTCTTACATAAAAAAATACAAGCACTTTTAGAAATATAAAATTAATTTTTTAAATTGCATAAATTTCATTTATTTCTATATGTAACTAACTATAAACTCAAAGAATAATAAAATTCTTTTTAATTTGATAATTATAAATTAATATAATAGATAAATATGTAATATAGGCAAGTATAATCTTTTTATTTATCTTCATATCAAACAATAATTATCTTTTATTTTAAATTGCTTTACTAAAAAAATATTTTGTTAAAAAAATTATAATTTTAAAACTATATTTTATTGTTTATTTTTTTAAATTTTTTCTAAAATAAATATTTATTTTTATCTTGAAATTTATTTTAAATACTTTAAAGTCTACAATGATTTATCACTGGCTGAACTAAAATATGATTTAATTTACATATTTTATTAAATTTAAAAAAAATTAAATAGCTTTTAAAATTAAGAAACAACAGCAAATAGATATAAATTTTAATCAATCAAATAAAGGCACTCCTTTAAAACTCGGAATAGTATCAACATTAACAGTTCTCATATTTATATTTAAATTTCTCAATATTTACATTTCTTCTTCACTAAATTTTAATTTTTAAGCATCAAAATTATGCTACAAACGCTCCAGCTTCTCAGTTTTAGGAATTACTATAATATCTTATTGCTATAGCAAAAATGCTATCATAACTTATGCCACTGAAACATTATTTTTCTAAGCTATTGAAACCACAGTTTGATTATTAATTATTTCTGTATATTTTGCTATTGGACTGTATGCTATAGGATACACTTTTATTTTCTTCAAAAACTCAACAAATCTTGTTTACTAATTAAATACATGCAACTCAATTTCATTAACAACAGGCCTAACTTTACAATAAGATAATAAATCAACTATCATCTAGCAATTAAAATTTGAGACACCTAGTCCTTTAGCTAATCCTAGATTGTACAATTCTTCAAGTTCTGCCCATATTTAATGAGCAGGTTTATGATTCCATTACTATAGATCATCGCTTGGGGGAACTAAAGGAAAATGTATTAAAAGGATGTCAATATAATCTACTTATAAATCTTTTAACTATTGCATTACCACTTCTAGAGTTGATTAACCCTTAAATGGAAATAATTTAGTAATTATGACAATATCTTCCCGTTTATATTTTCCTTCACTAAAGATTATCTTTAATGAATTTCCAATCAAATGCTCATTTTCGTAGAATTTAGCTGTATCAAACAGTCTATAGCCAACGTCTAAAGATGTACGAATAATGTTAGTCATTTCTTATTCGTTTTTTATCTAAAAAGTTCCTAAACCAAATGAAGGAATCTATTGGCCGTTTGTTAGAGTGATGAAATTTTAACTATGAGTCTGCATCATATAAAAATTATTGAATAGTGGCTATTTATTTTTTTGTTCTTAGTATATTTTTAGATACAAAATCTATATTTAGGCTATTAATAAATACAAAACTTTGTAATAAAATACTGAAATAATTTATATAATATTTTATACTCACACATTATTAAAAGAAAGTGATTGAGTATCCTTTAAAACTAATAAATCGATCTATAAAAATATAATATGAAATTAAAAAGTAAAAACATTTCAACAATAATCTAAGTAATTAATTATATTATTATTCAAATAAATCATAATAAAATTTAAAAAAATCTAATCTAATATGATATGAATTTTTAAAATTACATTTGGTAAAATTAAAAACTAATAGTAAGTGTTATAAAAAAATATTTATAAACTTAAATCATGTAAAATAAAATTAATTTAAAAATTTTAACAGAATTTTAATTAAAAAAATTTCGAAATAATTCTTTAAAACATTTTATATCAATTCTGGTAGAACTTCAATAAATATTTTAGTAAATACAGTATATATAAATAAATCTAAAATTTTGTTAAATTTAATGCATTCATTTTTAAATCTAGAATTTATTTAATCAATCAATCAATCAAATATTGGAACTCCTTTAAATAATGGTGCAGTGTCAACATTGACAATTCTCTTGTTTATATTTAAATTTTTCAAAATTTGCATATCTTCTTCACATAATTTCAATTTTTGTGCATCAAAATTTTATTATAAACGCTCTGACTTCTCAGTCTTAGGAATAACAATAATATCTTCTTGCTAAAGCAGGAATGCTATCATAACTTAGGCCACAGAAGCATTATTTTTCTATGCAATTTTAGTAACAGTTTCGTTTTTAACAACCTCTGTATATTTTGCCATAGGACTGTATGCTATGGGATAAACTTTAATTTTCTTTAAGAACTCTATAAATCTTGTTTGTTGATTAAAAATATGTAACTCAATTTCATTAACAACTGGTCTTACTTTACAGTATTATAATAGATCAATTACCATCTGGCAATTAAAATTTGAGATACCTAGTCCTTTGGCTAATCCTAGGCTATGTACTTCTTCAAACTCTGCCCATTATTAGTAAATAGGTTTTTAATACCACTGTTATAAATCATCACTTGGAGGGACAAAAGGAAAATGTATCAAAAGAAGATCAATATAGTCTACATGTAAATCTTTTAGCTGTTACTTTACAACATCTAGAGTTGACTATCCCTTAAATGGGAACAATTTCGTAATTATGAAGATATCTTCTCTTTTATACTTTCCCTCACTAAAGATTGTCTTTAATGAATTTCCAATCAAATGTTCATTTTCATAAAATTTAGCTGTGTCAATAAGTCTATATCCAACATCTAAAGCTGTACTGATAAGGTTAGTCATTTCTGATTCGTTTTAAGTTTTAAAAGTACCTAAACCAAAAATAGGTATCTATTATCCATTAGAAAGAAATATACTAGTTTTACTGTTGATTGACATTTTTTTATTATTTATATCCAGAATTTATTTAATTATTTACTTTTTTATTATCTAATAAAAAAGCTAATTTTATTTAAACTGATAAATAATTTGAAAGAATTTTTATAAAAAAGTAAGTGATGAACATTTAATTGAAAAATCTGATCAATTCTATGCAAAATAAAAAATCTATAATATAATATTAATTAACTAATTAAAGTTATATTCAAAAAATGTAAATAAAGAGAAGTAAATTTGGAAAAAATAATAAATTTTGATAGAATTTAACTTCATATTGATAATTTATTTCTTACTTTATTTTATTTATTTATCTTATTTTCAAACATAAAAAATATAGAAGCAGAAATAATTTATTTAATATAGTATGAGTTCTCATTAATTAAGAAAAAATTGTATTAAAGTACTTTTTTTGTTTCGAAAAATTTGAATATGAATAAGGTAAAATATATTGTAAATGATTTTATCATTAATTAAAATGAGGATAGAAAAATAAGATTATTGTAAATTTTATAATTTTTAAATAATAATAAAAATAATAATTAATTTACGAAAAAGCATGAAGGAAAAATAAAAAAAAATTTTTCAAAATGAATTGATCATTTTAGAATTTTAATTATTTATTCTTAATATTTCATTCGAATAAAACTGAAATGTTTTTTTTATATAATAATTTTTAAGAAAAAGATATAAAAATAAAAGAATTACCATTGTATTTTATTATTTATAACATTTATAACTCCAATTAAAAACTTTGTGTTTGTGGTAATTTTGATACTAAAACATAATTTAAAATAATTAAAATAGATTAAAATGAAAGCAGATTGATTTGATTTCTAACCAAATATTTGTTTTGTTTATATATTTTGTAAATATTACAAATTAATTTATTTCAGCAATTTAGGAGGTTTTACCAAAATAATGTAAACACGAAGATCAGCAAATTTAATTAAAATATATGGTAATCAATCAAAACTAAAACTTAATATATTTTTAAAGGAAGTGGTTTTAAGTGAATTGTAATATTTATCAATTAAGTAATATTGATGTGATGGTATTATTTTTTGTCAAAAATTCAAATCAAATAAGCTCTTAATTATTTATAAATCAATGATGACAAAAAACACTAGTATCTTTCGATCTAATAAAACTATTGCTATAAACAATATATTTTATTAAAATTATAAGAAGCAATTAGCTTTCTTAAACACTATGAGGTCAGGTCACCTTTATATTTCTACAAATTTGATTGATATCATTCTGAATTTAAATTATCTGGAATTTCCTTTATATAACTTTAAAGCTTCAAAAAAGTAAACAACTTCAATAAAAGATAAATTAAAATTTAATAAATACTTGGCAAAGATTCATTTTTAGAATTTGGAAAATAAAAACAGTTTTTCTCGTTTATAATTTTTATAGTAAAGTTAGTTAGTTAGTTATCATATCTTTTTATTTAAAAAATCTTACTCACTTGGAAATCAAGGATTACAATATTTGATAATTTTTTTATGGCTATCAAGATAAGTAATAGTTAATTTTGCTAAGTAGAAAACAGATAAAGTAATTTACAAAAACAAGCTCAAAAATATCTGATGTTAAGTGAAATATTTTCTTTCTATCATTAAAGCTTTATGAAATTTTTTAATTTTTAATGGATTATGATAAGTATACATCAATTTTAGATATATAACAAAAATATTTTAATAATCAGGTAAAATTCACTTACTCAAGATTTTATTAAATAATAAACTAAACTTTATTTTTAAAAAAGATATTATTTAACCATAAATTTAAATTAAATAAATAACTTATGACTATATCAATCTTATCAATTTTTTTCTGATTAATTAAAAAAAAATTTTACCATCCGATTTACTTTTATTGCTTAATTTATACACAAAATAATTGGTGACTTTACTCTATAAGTTTAAAATATATTTTGCTTTCTTTTATTTAAGGAATGCTTGTTTTCTTCAAATTAGATGATTTAAACACTTTAAAACTTTATGCCCTTTATTTAATTTATTTTTATTTAAAGAAAATATGTTTTTATTCGTTTATTTAAGCATATGTAAAATTTTGTCAAATTTTATTTGTTAAAGCTAGATGATTTTTCTGTTTAAAACATTTTTATTAATGAATAAATTGCTAAATTAACTATCAATTAATTACTATCATTTTGTTAATTATTTGTAGGATTAGTAGGTAATACATAATTTAACTATGAGATAAAAATAATCAAAAAGGAATCATTTATTTCATCTTTTTAAATTATTTACACAGTCATTAATTAGATAAATCAAATATATTCATATGAAAAATAGTTTTTATTAAATGAAAAATCATCAAAATATTAAAGACAGTTATTGATTCATTAGCTCATTTTTTTATTAATTAAATGATTTCTAATTTTGACCAAGCTATTGAGAAAGTATTTTTACTTGTTATGGTAACTATCAATAAAAAGAGACAATTCAAAAATATAAGCTATAATTACTTAACACCTTCAAATAAAGTACAAAATAATGTTTATCAAGAATAAATTTATTGGAATATTTTAAAAGCAGAGCAATAAATTTTATCAAGATCTTTTAAATAAAATCTAAAGTTTATTTTCTTTATTTGGAAATTACTTAATGAAAATCTTAAATAAAAACTTTTGTAATCTTTAGGAAAAATATTTTTTGAGTGAAAATAAATAATAATTGTTTTAAAAAAATTAGAACTAATTTGAAAAAAGCTAAAAATGGCTACTTTTATTAAGCTATTGTTTAAGTTACAATTATTATAATGCACTTGACAAATAAAATTTTTAATTAGTTTTACTTAGATATTTTATTCTTTCAGTAATGCTATTGTTATTTGTAAAAGCTTTTTACAATCATAGATTGAAATTTAAAAGCTACAATTAACACAAAAGCTTTTGACCTTAAAATAGGATATTTAATTGAAAGAAATTTAAGCATTAATATAAAATACTTGAATGAAATTAAAACCACAATTAAATTAATTTGAGTGGTAAATATTTTTGGTTGGGATTAAGATAAAAATAAAGAAATTTTATATTCTACCAAACAATCAATCTAAGTAAAAATATTTGTTTAGCAAGTTGATTAGAACTTTATATAAAGAAGTATTTGGTGAATTTTATTAATAAATTATTTTATTTAATCATGAAACAATATATAAGATCTCAATATTATGAAATAAGAAATAAATTATAAGTTATCAATATTTAATAACTTTAATTGTTTGAATTATTTTTATTAAAAATACTTCTAATTTCAACTGTAAAACAAAGACCTATAATCGATAAATAAAATCTATTAGTAAATTAAAAGGTGAATTTGTTTTTTTCTTAAAAATATTTTTAATATATTTTCCTAAGATAGAATTTAATAATGAAAGCACATTTGATATTTCAATAAATAAAAAACCATTTTTGAATACAGTTAAAATATTAATAAAATGTAAAATTCAGAAAATTAGCTTAATTTATAAGCTTAAAAAATAAATTTAAGGTGGGTGACTCAGAAGATTTTTATTGATTATCAATAAACCCAATAGATAAAATTTCTATCATTTTTTTGAATTTATATTCTTAATTGGGCTGTTAATTTCGTTCAAATATATTAATAACAATATAGGTAGGTAGGTATATTACAGGTGCATATTTATATTTTTTGTTATTATAAATTAAAATTTGAATGATATTTCTTACTTACAGTAAGTTAGAAATAAATTTAAATGAATTTTGAAGATATAATTTTATTTTTAAATATTTATTTGTTTTTTAATAACAGATGGATTATAAATAATCTATTTATAAGAACTTACTTCATAACGCATTTGATAAATTAATAATTAGAATTGAATAGTGAAAATTTTATGTGTCTTTAATTAATTCCAATTTTTGAATATATTAATCAATAGATAAATAAATAATAAAATAAATAAAGGAATGAAAATTTGAAAATTATGTAAGTTATTGCATAGTAAGAATTTATTAAGTTCTGGTATAAGCATTATTGATGATATTACTTTCACAAACAAGCATTTATGCATTTTATAATAAAGTATCATAAAAAGAATACTTCTCACACTTTCAAATTTATTTTTTGTCAAATTTATCAAAAATTGCAATATCATTGAGAGCTTAAAGTATTTATTTATTTTCTCGAGCTTAACAAACAATAAATTTAATCTCTTCAAAATAATAGAAAGTATTTATTTAGTTTTGACTTTTTTGCAGATAAAATTATAAAAAGCACCTCATAATTTAATTTTTATTGAGTTGTGAAATGCTATTAAAATATTTGAAAGAGTGATAATTATCAATACAGTAGCTGAATATTAAAAATATAAGTGCTTAGTTTAATAAATAAAGGAATCAACTTATTTATTTATTTATTTATTGCTTTGGTATTTGTTTGTGCTTTTAAATTTAAATAACCTAAAGTTAGATTCTTAATTAATTTCAAACAAATTTTTTTAATGAAGTAATATTAAAAGTGACTGACTATTTTTAAGAATAAAAATAAATTAATCTATTTGCTATGAAAGTTAATTTCAACTTAATGAAACAAATAAGAAAATTTAGGGGATCTTTCTGGATAATTTCATATTTATTTTTACTGAATAGAAACAGGTAAGCATTTTTTATGTGATTGTTTATAAAATGAGAAAAGGTGAGAGAGAGAATAAGTTCTATAATAAATTTTATAAGATAATTTAAATTTATATTTTATTTATGTTTGAGAGGGAAGTTTGCTGATAATATTCAAATATTAGATCATTAACCTAAGAAATAACAATATTTCTAATGCAATGTATTCTTTATCTTGTTAGTGGAAATGATCAAATTGTTACAATCAAAACTTAATTTTGTCTTTATCTTTCTATGTATTTGTTTTTTTGTTTTGATTCTTTTCTTTTATTAAATCTCAAATTAATTTAATTAATTTTCAACTATAATCAAAATAATCGTTATTGATTCATATGCATACATGAGTGAGTGAGTCTCTTTATCAATTTACTTTGAATCAAATTGTTTTACTCCAAAAGCAGTTCTTAAATACAAAAGTTAATTATTTAAATTTTTGTTTGGATTACATATGAAGTTGATTGCATAACTCTTAATTTATTGCTCTGTATTTTTGCTAGTTTAGCTTACACATGCAAAAAATTTTGATTCTTTATGTTGTAAACTACATAAATAAATAAATTTATTTCTTTTATCTTGAAATTAAATATTGGGATGTGTAAGGAATTTTAGTTAAGAATTTTACAATACCTGTTAACAAACAGTGTAAGCAAGAACAAAATATCCAATGAGCAGTTTATATGTACTTCGAAAATAAACCTAACTTATAAAATTCTATCTAAATATTAATTTTTTACTAATTTAGCACTATTAATTGAATTACTACAGTTTTACAGATAATTTATAAGCGCGCAGTTTAAAAAAAGAAGACTGTATCAGATTTTATTCTAACATACTTCTACTGCTTTTAAAATTTTAAATTTAATTTGAAAGCAGGAGATCTTTATTTATTGAAAGGGATAGAACTAATTGAATTAGCTAGGCGCAAAAATAAAAATTTAAAGCAATGTAGAACAAGAACGATAGAAAGAAAGAAATAAAAATGAATTCTAAATATCTTTTAATTTAGATATTTTTGTTAATAAATTATTAAAAAATTCTAATTTTTAGAACATCAGATGAAAATTTCGAGAAAATATGTAAAATGCAGAAAATTAATCATGTATGTCATCAATTTTAGAACAAACATAAATTATTCTAAAATAATTAAATAATAATGACAACACTGCTTTTATATTGATTTTTGATATATCTAGAATACAACAGAGTCTGTCTCTTCTTAACCACTTAATTTGTTTCTTATTTTAGAAAAAAAATAATTAAGAAATTAATATTTATATTCATTTAAGTCTAATTTATTTATTCACTTTTTTTCTCTACTTGAAGTTTTATGAGAAAATACTCACCCATTCACTCCCTTCTTTTATATTTTGATTATTGATTTGTTTATTTCTAAATATCTATTTAGTTTATCTTAGAAAATATCTTTGAAAGAGCTGATGAATTTATTTAAAAATTTAAAGCTAAATATTAATTTCAAATCAAATTTGCTAATTGTAAAAATAAATTAATTTTTGATGACGAAATAGAGATTATTCTTATTGAAAGAGATCATCAAGTAATTTACACATTTCTAGTTAATTAGCTTTACTTTGATTGATTTGATGCTGACTAACTAAATAACAAATAAATATAAAATTACAAAAGTATAAAAAGAGTGGGAAGCTTTAATTTTAGTAAAGTATTAATATAATAAGAGGCTAATAATATAATAAAAGCTAAGCATTATGTGATCATTTATAATTTATTTTTAGACATTTCTGCTTTAACAGTTTACGCAACAAAAAGGACAAAAGAAAGAGATATCGTCAGTCTTTAAGATCCGTAATCTAATTTAGACGATCAATTAGTCGTATGTTAACTGGTGCGTCGGTTTAAATCAAATATATAATTCTAGCAAAAATAGCCAGCGCGATTAATTAAGTAAATTTATTTGAATTAAAATTTAGTTTCATAGAATAATGAAATATTAGAGGTGTCTGCTGTATTCTGACGCCAATTATCTTAAGAAAAAAATTAATTAATTAAATATTTTGATCAAAAAATAATAAGCTATTTAGCTTGCTTGCTTCTCGTTTTTTCCTTTGCATCTTCATAAATTCCCATGGAATAAAAATATTTAATTACTAAAAACTTAATTATTATTATAAAACACAAATTGTATCTAAAAAAATTAGAAAAGCAACGTAGATACTCGTTGTAATTAAAAAAACAAAAAAAAAGATATAAAAGGAAAGATACCATCAAAAAAACAAATTAATAAGAAATAATCTAATTAAAAAAATTAGCACTTACACTCACTCTCTCAATCTATCAATAAATCAAAATATATATATTTTTATATATTTCTAAATATTAAATACAAACAAAAAATCAAAAAAAAAATTATAATATTAAATACCAGCTATATTTTTAATATTATCCGTATTTATTAAAAAATAACAAGTAGGCTTGCTTGCCTTTCTATTAAAAGGCTAATCAAATCAAATTTTAAACAAATTACAAATTTCACCTTCCTTTCATCTTTTGAATTGGATACATACATAAATACATACATACATAACATACAAATATTCACAGACAGCCTGCTCGCTCATAAACTAACTATCTCCAAAATATTTATCTTCCATACAACTATAAATCTAACTGCGCTATTCAAAAACGATCTCTAAATTTACTTTTTTTGGATAGTATTTATCTCAAACTAAGCCCTACAAACACTTATTTCATTTGAATCCATCATTATTACAATGGGTCAATGCACTTCTGGTGGTAAAAAGATATCTATTAAAAAGGTGATGAAAAATACTCTCACTCAATTTATTGATAAGACTGAATACCTTGTATAATCTTTTGAACTCCTCACTGATGCTTATGGAAAATTAAAAGAAGACATTTTTGAAATTATCCATCTTGGAAGCAACAATAACAACGAATATTAAAATTATCATTATATAGAAGAAAATATATTAGATTTGTACTAATAATAACACTAATAAAAAAGCCAGATTTATGGGGCCACTGAAAAATCAACTATTGTTGTCATCATGAGTCTAAGCTCTTTACCTGATCTCGTCAATAATGCTTAACTAGATGAGAAGCAATAGCTTGAACTTATTCGTCTCATTGAACGCTTCTAAGAATGCGTGAAGTGTCTACGCGCATTAAGAAGCAGCTGCTGTAAAGCTCTTTAGAGATAAGAAATTGGTTGGTAGAATTATTAAATTGTTTAATAGCCCTGCGCATCTCCTAAGAAATGCTCGAACCTCAATGAAACAAAGAGCGAAAGAGTAAGCACAGGCTCTCCTGTCAAACTAATGGGGTCTCCTTAAAAGCACTGCAAGAGCAGTCCATTAGAAAATTAATACAATTATCCCTGCCATAACAACTATTCTCATTAAAAAAAAGACAACTATATTATCAAAAGAGAAATCTGTGCACGCAAGTTACTTCTAATAATAGAAAGCATAGATAAACTCCAACAGTCTTATGATTTCGACTACATCATAAGCATGGTTAAGGAAATTATTTTCAAAAAGTATGGCTTTAATTGCAAATTTAACGATGTTTTCAAGAATTTAGATGAAGGGGAAATCGAAAAACAATTTGCAGCAGCCATAGCTTCAGAACAACAAAAAAAGCAAGAGCTTTTGAAGACAATTGTTAAAGATCTTTCAGAAAGTGAAATACTTTGAAGTTTTCAACCAAAATGATAATGATTCTTCCAAGGAATAATACTCCTTCGAATAAACATCATTTCATTAATTGATTTAAAAAGCCCATGAATATAATAATTCCTACAATTAAAAATATTCCCTCCAAAACATTTATCAAATAAACAAAGAAAACATTTCGATACTATTTATTCGCTCGCTCCTTAAATTTTTTCAAATTAAAAATCAAAAAAAACTATCTCTTCACAAACAAGCAAACACAAACAACAAATAAATCTCTTTAATATAAATATAAAAATGCATATCAACACTTTTTTGAAATTAAATTGCCAAAATCATAATAATGATAAGTCTAATAATTATCATCAGTAAATATGAAAATATTAATTACTAACTTACAGAGAAATATGCGTTATTCATACTAATTAGCCAATTGAATAATAAATAAATTACTAACAACTCACATAAAAAGTCAAAACGTGTTTTAAAAAGATTAATGAAGTAATAATAAACTTCAAAATCTTTTGTAAAAAACTACTCATTCATTATTACATACATTACTAATCACCACACTAATAAATATTTATTAATTTCTTTCAATTTAAATACAAAATTTACTAACTTTTGTTATTCATCCACTAAATAAATAAATAACTCACTAACTAACTAACTAAATAAAGAAATAAACAACTAAAAATTTCATTGCAAATTTAATTTATTCAGAATAAGTGTTATCTAAAATTATTTATTAATTTTGAGATTAACTGTTAGAAACGAAGTGAACATTAAACATTTACTACATCGAATTATCTTAAATTTAAATTTGGGAGTCGACCTATTATTTATTATAATTTGTATTTATTACTTTTTCCTTGTATTATACCTTCATAATTATATTTTGCACCTTTAATATAAGATAAACTAATTTAAAAATCCTTTTTCTATTACTTTATTTTGGAGTTTTCACTCTTTTATAATTAAATGCACGTAACATTATTACATTTGAAGTATTTTTACAAACACTTCCTGTAACATTTTTATTTAAGAAAAAAAATATTTCTATAAATTTTAATTGTAATTATAGCTAAGCAACAGTCACAGAGCCTTGAATCCTTACACCTACTAACTAAATTTGTTTTTTATATTGCTCGATTTGAGATGGTAACTGATTAAAACTATCGATGCAATAGAATTTATCATAAAGAAGCAACATATGCCTTAGAATTTTCAAAATTTTACGTTATAAACGATTATAAATGTAAATCGATTTATTTAATTAGTCATTAACTGACTATATTTTGTAATTATGATCTGTATTTCTCCTAGTTGAGTCTCACTCACTCATTTATTTATTTAAAAATTATAACAAATATAAAATGACATTTTTGAAAACTAGATAGTTAATTATTGCTCCTTTCTTTAAATTATTAAATATAACATGGATCATTTTGATGCTCTAAATAAGAGGAAAAACAATAAGAGGAAAAAATGTAGCTAATAAATGTGCAATATCTCTAAAATTAAATGAGAAGTTTCGTTCTTATGCAAGAACTAGGACTTGTTTTTGCAAATAGATATTTATTGGAACTAGTAAGTAATTAAAGTTAATAGAATACAAAAAATATTCGCTTTTCATTTTAATTACTTCTCTGTTAAAATAAATACTACTTAACAAGCAACTAGTTAAGATTAAAAAATATCTTTTAAAAAGCAAATATGAAATGGTTACAATATTTTAAAAGCTCTTCTTTTTCAAAAATTTATCTGCAAATTAAATTTATGAAACCCAATATAATTTTGTGTAAATTTATTTTGGTAAATTTATTAATTTATTCATTATAAACTTTCTTCTAGTATTTTATTAATTAATTTAAAATTTTGCTGAAATAAATCGATTAATTTAAATGCTGAGGTTTATTTTTGAAATTTAATACTAAATCAACAACCAATTAGAAGTAAATTCATTTTAATAGAGACAAAATTATAAAAAATTTGTGTTTTTTAATTTTTTTATGATTTGTTTTTATTTTTTTTTAGAGAAGCAAATTCTTTTTATTTATGTTAATGTAAAAATAAATTTTGCTAATTAATTAGTGATAATGAGTAAGAGCATTTTATAGTTTAATAGTTATTCATATTAATTAGTTTCTATACTTATCAAAAATAATTATTGATTTAGATAATTATTAGAAAGATTAATATCATTCATGCATACATGTTTGTGTAAATCTAAAAAGATTCATGGACGACAAATCAATGATAAAAGTAATTAAAAAGTTTTAAATTTAAATTAATTCATAAGAAATTTTAGTACTACAAAGCCATATTGTCTGTTCTAATGCTTGAAAGTTTACAAATTTATTGAATATCTTTTTCTAATTAATTCTTAATTTTTTTAATTTCTAAGTTTTAAAAAATGTTTTAAAAAATTTGAATAAAAATTAAAATAAACACAAAAAAATTAAAAAAAATGTTAAAAAAATAGAAAATTAAACTTGTTAAAAAATATAATTTTATTGAATTAAAATTTTTAAATTTTCAAAATTTCTAAAAATACTTCAAAATTCTATTTTAATTTTTAGAAATTTAAAAATTTACATCAATATTAATTAATTAATTATTTAATTGGTAGCAAAAATTTTCATTTTAAATGGTCTTAATTGCAGTATCTTATTTGCTTTGCAGGTAAAGTAAATTAACACACTTTGTTTATTTATTTATAAGTATAAATTATTAGAAGTACTCAAATTTATAGATAGTTATTAGAATTTAGAGATATATATATACTTTGTAAAACTTGGATTATTTATAAAATCTAATTTAATAAATCTACTAATTCAGTCGCATTAGCAAATATTTTAGAGATGTCTTAGTCTAAAGAAATTGATTATTTCAAATCCATAAAGCTATCGTAAAAATTTTGAAATTTATTTTTACACTATTCAATCTCCAAATCATTATTCAATTAAAATCATATTTTTTTCTATCTATCTTTATTTTTAGAATGTCCAAAGCTTTTTCTGAAGATGGAAGACGTGTTTCTACTAATAATATTACTGAAGGTATTATGAGCTACGGGTAATCCATAAATCATTATATTAAACAGCCATATTTTATATTTATATCACTTAATAGAAAAGCATTATATGAATTCAATTTTTAAAAACATTTATTAGGATGTAGCAGATATACAGATTTAATAAATGGGGAACTTCATGTAAAACAATAGATCTTAAGGTTGATATCCCATCTTTCATATTAGGAAATGATTTAACACCGCAAAGAGTAAAGTTAGTTTAGGATAAAAGTAGAGTTTTACAAGATGATGGCAATTAGAATAAATACAGAATGCTTATGTTGTCTAATTCAAGTGATATTAGAGTAGACACAGAACCAAAATAAGAAGAAATAATATCTAAAGAAACATACTAAACATAAGAGACTTCTGGATAAGACTATGATGATGAAGATTATCAAGAAACAGAAAAATAAATGAAAGAAAAATCAAAATAAATACTTTAAATTTACTAAAACACAATCCTTTTTACATATAGAAAAAACTTCTATCCTTTACTAAAAGACAAAATAAATGACCCACAAAAGAATTAAACTTCAGATGCGGGATGGGGCTGTATGATTCGAGCTGGATAAATGATTTTTGCTTAGACTATAAAGAGACATTTAAAAAAAACAGACTATATAGAATAGCATTAGCTAATAAACATTATAATAGGTTAAATACATTAATTATTATTATTATTATCTAAAAAACTAATTTGATACATCAAAAATTTAGGCTTTTTAGAAGAAGAGGAAGTACAAGAAGGAGGAAAAGGATATATTTTTAATTAATAAAGTTATATATAAGATAGAATTCGTCCTTATAGCATACATCAAATTACTAATAGAGCATTTTGTAAATATAAAATACAACCAGGGTAATGGTACACTCCAAATTAAATCGCCATCATATTAAAGGAGCTCCATAAAAAAAATAAAATTAAAGGAACTGAAAATTTAAAAATAGATGTTCATAGTAGTGATAAACCAATTATATTTGAAAAAATCTTGTAAACACTTTTGGGGCGTTAAGGCAAAATTAATTTAAACTGCAACCATGAAAATTAGTAATCAAGAAACTCAATAAATCAAGATTAAGATGAGTAAAATATTAAAGCCAATATTTAGAGTGCTAAAATATTCTAATTAATTTATAAAAAATATTAATTAGAATATTTTAATTTGATAAAAATCAATATATTGATTTAATTTTATTATTAATTAACAGTTCGTTTGAAAAAATCATGCCTCCTAACTAGCAAGAAATGTAAATAAATAAATATTTTATATTATCAAGTTAAATAAAATGTTTTGTATACAATAAAGAGAAGAGTTTTCAAGCTAGTATGAAGAAAGCAAGGAAGATTAGACAGATAATTTATGTTGTAAAGACTGCTTTAAAACAGACAACAAGCTGTTTCTCCTTCTACCATGCAGACTAGGATTAGATGAAATCAGCCCAATTCATATAGAAATCCTTAAAAAATTATTGTCTCTCAAACAATCTGTTGGAATGATAGGTAAGAAAATAAATTGCATTTATTGGATATAAATTATTTTATTAAATATACTTGATAATTTAATAGAATTTTAATAAAAATTTTTGAATTTACTTTTCCAAAAACCATTTTAAATAAAGATTATTTATTTGAAAAAATATTTTTAAATTTTTCTAAATGTAAAAAATAAGGTTTATGATTATATTAACTCATTTTTTTAATTTCTTAATTAATTAAGGAGGTAAACCAAACAAAGCTCACTACTTTTTAGGATTTGTAGGAGATGATTTATTATATTTAGATCCTCATTATATCAAAGAATGTGTTAGAAAAGAAGATCTAATGGAAAATATTTCTTCTTATTTCGAAGAAGATGTTTTTAAAATGCCAATAAATAAAATTAGTACCTCATTGGTGTTTGGATTTTATTTTAGTGGCGTTGATGAGCTAAATAAATTCTATAAATTTTTAAGATAACTAGAAAAAGAATATAAAGATGATTTTTTCCTTGTAATTGAAAAATAAACTCCTTCTTATGCAATGTCGAATATCTCTGAGATAAAAAAGTTGACTAAGTAAATAAAGATTACTTAAAAAGATAATTAAAATCTTTTGGAATAATAATTTGAGAATTATGATGGATCAGTAGGTGATGACTTTGATGAAGATGATGATACAAGCTATGATGAATAAGAATGCTATGAAGACAAATTAGATGAATTCGATTAATATAATAACTTAGAAGAATCAGACTATTCTTAAAAGCTTAAACAATAAACTAATTTAAAAAACTACAGTGACCCATTTGGTACTGAAAGCCATTCCGAAAACCAATTAAAATATGGAAAATTGGCTAATCATGAGCTACCAATAAGAAACCAGATCTAAAAAAAATAAAGTGAAGAGGAATTAAAAAATCTTGTAAATTTAATTTAATTATAGTAACAAAATCAGCAGATAAGTAACTTATTATAAAATCAGAATTGTATTTGAATAATTATCTAAAAGAAATACAATCAATCAACTTACCAAATAGATAAATATATTTCTAAGATCTACTTAAAAATTATTAATTAATTTATAATATTAAATCATATAAATAAATTATAAAAGTAATATAAAAGATAGTTATAAATATTGTGATTTGCTCAATAAATTGTCAGTGTAATTCTATTTATGATTATGCTGATTTTTCTCGAAACTTTTAATGTTTCGTATATAAAGATAGAGTAGGTCAAATTAAAAACACAAAAAATAAAAAAATAAATAAGCAGTTTTTAAATACAAAAGAAAGTATTTTAAATATGTTAATTAAAGCTACTTACTTATTTTTTTTGTAATTTAATATTAAGCATTATATTTTATTGTTATATATATACTTTTATTTTAATTTCATCTTTTTAAAAGATATTTTAATCATTTTAATTTTTTATTTTTTGAATTAATATAAAGAATATAATTGATTGCTTCTCTATTAAATCCTATATATAGATGAGATATATTTTTTAGAAAAATTTATTTAAGATTTAATTAGAATATAATTTTATTAGATTCATAAAATAACATTAAAAATTAAATAAATTTGACATCAAAAAAAATTTTATTTTTATATTTTAATCATTTATTGAAATTGGACAAGTCTGGAATTTTTTTATTCTGCAAGAGGTGATTTTAAAATATTTTATTAAAATTAAATACAGTTAAAATCCTTAAATTCTTGTAGATTAATCTTTTTTCTTTTTTGTTTAATTTTTAACTCAATTTTCATTTAAGTTAATAATGAAAAATATTTTATTTTATTAAATTTCAACAACATTAAATTTTAAATTAGATTTTATTTAATATTTTTTTTATTTTTAAATTATTTTAAAAAACCCTTTATTTCTTACGATAATTAAAATGATATTTAACACAATATTAATCCTAATTTTCCCTTGTTTAGGCTTAAATAATTATACTTAGCTTGATTTTATTCTAATAATTTAGTGTTTTATTTAAATTAATACATTTTGATGAATAAATTGTATACAGGGTATAAATAAATAGTCCCTCTAACTTTTAATTTAATTCAATCTTTCTAATTATTTTCTGAAACGGAGAGAGAGAGTATTAAATATTTAGAATGTTAAATTATAAATTAAATAATTTTATTTAATTGCAAATAAATTAAACTCAAAAATAATAAAAATTTACTTACTATTTATTTCTTCTTCTCAAAAATTAAAAATGAATTTTAGCTAGTTTGCAGGATTTTATAAAGAAAGTTTGATTTAAATGATTTATGAAAATTGTTAATAGAAAAATTAACTATACAACACTATAGCTAAATTATCCGAGGCTATTTATAAAAAATGCTAAAAAAATGCTTCTGATAGCTAAATTGAAGACTTACTAGGTTAGCTCAAAGTTATGGTGTAATATGCAAATCAAGATATATCGGCTCATATTGACCTTGCTTTGCAACAAGTTTCCATAGCTAAAAGAGTACAATTGAGAATACATCCATAAATAAAAGATAAAAATTCCTCAATTGAGGAAGAAGATTAAGACTCAAAACCTTAAAATTAACAATAAAGATCTAAAACAGTAGAGAATGAGTATGAGGGCGAAGATTTGTAAAAAGAAAAAAATTCTGTTGTAAAATTTTAAGAGTAAGTTTAAGAAGAAAAAGAATCAACTTAAGATGAAGACGAATCATACTCAAATGATAATTAATAGGAAAAACTTGAAAGTTTCAAAAAAATGCAAAAAATATTTGATACTGTAGAGTCTTAGAATGGATTAAAAATACCTCTACATTTTAGAGATAAATTGTTCTACTTGTAGTACTAAACAAAAGGTGTTTCGTTTTGTAAGATGCTAAACAAAGAAGACATCAAGTTTATTTATGAATTAGTTTAAATTTACGAAACACAAAAAAAAGTATCTCTAATTTTCGGAGTTGATAACAGACTAATAAGCAAAATTGTCTTACAATATAAAAGAGAATCAGGAATTGAGATTAAAAAAATCCATAGAAATTACCCAGGCAATAAGTAAAAAAAGTGTAAAACAACTTCAGCCAATCAGCACTTCTCAATTAATAACGATGATGATGAAGAATTAGATGATGATGATGATTCAAGTGATTCTTAAGAGCAAGTTAATAAAGAAAAGGTATTTAATCCTTTTGATAAGGATACTTCAAAAGATAACACAACAATTAGAAAAGTAAGATTTTAGGATTTATAGTAATCTAAATAAGACATTTCATCTAAGCCTGTTAACAAACCTACTGTAAAGCAAGAATAAGAAAAAGAAAAATTTAAATCCCAAAAGAATTAGTAAACTGAAAATAACTCTAATGATTCAACTCAGAAACCTTCCAAATTAATTACAGTAAAGTTAGAGGATAACCAGAATGAACATACTTCAAGTGAAGAATAAGAAAAGTAAGCCAAGAAGTAACTCATAAAGTAGCCTCATAAGATTACCAATAATAAAGATAAGCAGAAAGTAGTTCAAGTAAATTACACACTTAATTCAATTTCTAATTATTTATTCTAACTATTTAAATAAAGGAAAAAGATATTTAATCAGCTTCAAAAACTCATTTACCACATAAAAGTGTCAAAGAGGGAGATAAGTAGGAATATCAGAAGACCATTTCAAATCAAGGATAAAAGAGATTAGTCCAAGTAAGCTAGCAACAATAAAAAAAATAAAACTTACTGTAGAAGAAGTGAATTAATTTAAGATAATTTATAGATTGTTTTTTATTGTTTTTATGTTAAAGTAATTCATTTTTTTATTCAAAACAATTTATCATATTCATAATAAAATCTTTTTTTCTAATAAAAACTAATTTAAATTTTTTAATATTTCAATAAATTAAATTATACTCAAAAGTTTAATAAATTTTATTCATTAATTTTATTTTAAAGTGATTAGTTTTTGCAAAAAAAAAATAAATAGATTGTTTTAAATTAAAATTTTTAATAATATTAAAAAAAATAAATTTTCAAATTTATTAATTAATTTTTAAATATGAACATTTTGAATAATTTCTTCAAAAAAAATGATCTATAAATAAATAGATTCCCTTATTTTTATTTTTTCATTAGCTAAATATTAAAAAATAGAATAAAATTTATGTTTTAAATTTATTTGATTTGTTTAAAATATATTAGTAAATAATATTATATGTTTAAAAATAGAAAAACGAATTTTAGAATATTTTAATTTATTTTTTATAAGATTTGTTATTTTTTAAGAATGATTCAATAAGAACAACACTTAAACAGATTTCTTAGCTAATATTTTTAGTTTGAATTGAATGTTTATAAAATAATATCATTCAAATAAACACTCTTTGATTAGAGAAAAATAACTGAACAATTCTTCATTAATTTTTTGACACCTTTATTTAAATTGAATTTGTTTAAAACACCATTTTATAAATTTAAAAAGTGTTTAATTTTTATTTTAATGATGATAAAATTAATAATAAAAAATATAAATTACTTAATTAAAAATATTATTTAATATTAATTGGAGTCTCCCTAAGAGTTTACTTTATGATTTATTTTTTTTTCAAATTTGAATCTCAATTATAAATAAGTAAAACAACCTATATTAATTTATCAACTCATTTAAGTAAAATTGTTTTTGATATATATTTTATAAATTAAAATGAGAAAGTATTAATAATAAATCAATTAAAATAAACTAACATTTGAAAATAAATATAATAATATCATTAAAAACTAAATAATGACTACAAAAAATAAACTATCAGATTAAAAATTAATTTCAATATAGAAAATAGAAGATTAATTATTTTGTGGTATAGATTTAAAAGAATTTTGTTTATTAAACATTTTTTATAAAAATTTTAGTTTTTTAGCAAATATAAGTGAAAAGAGAGTTTATATTTAGTATTGAGAATCATGAATTAAAAGAACATTTTAAATTCCACTAATAGAATATGCAAGTAATATCACGAAAATTATTAAAACATAGACAGAATTGACATATCAATCTACCTAATCTAATCTAAATTCAAAAGACTGATAAACAAAATATTTCTTATAAAAGAAATTGAATTAGAATAATAACAAGGCGAATCGACAACCATATAAATATTAGAAAAATTACTATTCAAAAAATAGAAACTACCCTTTTGATATAATCCCTTTTATAATATTAAATTTTCAAAAAATAATTAAGACTCAAGTAGAGAGTCAGCTCAAAAAGTTTTGTAATATAAATTAAGCAAACAAATACGAATTAAGAAAAAAATGAAAACTTTGTAAAGTGATGACAAGATAGTCTTTAAATAAAAGGCTTTATGTCAATAGTCATAGGCTCATCAAAAGAAGGAGGCTGTCTATGTTTGTATTGAAAAGAACTGTGCTAAGGTGGCTTTATGTTAGACTTGTGTACAGGAAAAACACAAAGGACATTCTGTAGAACAAATCGAAGATATCAAGCTGAGAGCTATAAAGTTTATTGAGTCTCAAGGTAAGCTCTAGCAGAACAAGGAGATTATTTTACTTGAATAGGTGGAATAGACAATCAATGAGCGCTTTTTAAGCATGTAAGTTGCTTTAGGGAGAGCTTTAAAAAATTTCAACGAGAGAATTCATATGTATAAAGAGTGTATTAAAAGAGAATAACTTGATATTCTTTATTAAATAGAATATGCTTGTGAGGCTATAAAAGGAGGTAAGAATATAAACAATGATCAATTTAATAAACACCTAAGCTTACTTAACGCAAGTATCATAGATGCTGGATGTGCCGCTGGGTTAGTCAAGCCAGCAGAAAACTTTCTCATGATTAAAAAAGTTGACGTTATAAGAGCTGAACTCTAAACCATGAGCGAGAAATTGTTTAAGTACTACTAGAATTTCTAAGAAACATTTAGCAAATATAATGAGTAGTTCAATAAAATATTTGCAGAAGGAGTTGAAGAAGATGATTAGGCTGACTTAAAGTTAAAGCTGTTTAAAAATATCCCAAGTGCTCGTTAAAGTATAAGCATTCATGGAGATGTGAAGAGTAAATCAGGCAATGAAGACTCTTTTGATTTAATAGATTCACTTTAATTTTTAGTCAATGAGATTTCTGATGACGAAGACAATGCAAGCGCTTAAGGAGCAAACCATTCTTCAGCTGAAGCAGAGATTAGTAATGATAACAGGAGCATTAGTAGCGCTCCAAGAAAGAGCCTGAGGAAATAGAATAACCGAAGCCAAAGACCTTCAATAAGAAAAGTCCCAAGTAGCAATGAAAAAAACAACATCCTAATTTAAATAGATGATGACTCATTTGCTCAGTTAGAAGAACAAGAAAATCAAGACAATAACATCGGGGAAATCACATGTGAAATCCCAAAACAAGACGATAAAGAGAAATGCGTTGATAAAGTGCTTGGAATATATGAATAAGTTGAATAGATAGACGATGACTGTCCCAGCAAAGCATAGTTTAATTTAATGTAGGATTATTCAAAGTGTTATCCTATAACCAAATTCGTGATTTAAATTGTTTGCAGCTAGAACGACTAGTACTTTGTTTTTTATAAACTTGCTAATGGAACAACTAGTATGAGAGGTCCATTCGAAAATGAAGAAGGAGCAATTAAATATTACGAATAAAAAATAGAAGAGTAAAGGTAATCAGTTCTTAAAAGTATCTGTTGAGATTTAAATTTGAGAGATTATCTGAATTTCTTGCTTGATCAGAAAGCTTGAAAAGAGAACAAATAATACAATCATTGATTACAAACCACCTTTTTAAATAAAAAAAGCATATTTTCAGAAAAATCATAATACTATTTTTTAAAAATTTCAAAAATTTACTATAGTTCTTTACTTACAAAAGGAATACATTTCCAAAAATATTATGTTAATTAAATAAACAAATAAGCTATATTATAAATAAATTTTACTTTAAATAACAACACTTATTTAAAAATAAATACCACTCTGATACACTCTGATGTCGAACAACTAACTAACTAGCTAAATAACTAAACTAAATTTATAAACAATAAACTTTTATATATTAATTTGATACTTATATATAATATATATAAATAATTTTAATGAACTATCTATCTACTTTTTTAAATATTAATTATTTTTACTACCTTATTGATAATTTTTAAAAATAATTTAAATAATGTATTTATAATTTTTTCTTATCATAATTCCACTTATAATTTATAATTTTTTCTGTATAAATCAGTCAAAATAGCTTAATTCCTTTAATTATAAATTTTACTACTTCAATTTATTTAGAGTTTTAAGATTAACTATTTAAATGATATTTTTTATGCATAATTGTATCAAAATTTCTAATAGAATAAAGAGCTTTTTTATAAAAATAAATCAAGTTAAATTTACAAAAATTATTATTTAAAATAAATTATTTTATTTTTAGAGATTTTAATTTTTTTGATGTAGGAGTATTTTATGAATGTAAAAAGAAATATCTTTCTCTTATAAGCATAATACATAAAATAAAAATAGGCAACAAACATATTTATTTATAATTTATAAATAATTAAAATATTTAGGAAAAGTAGTTAGTTGAAATCGTTCAAACAGATTTTATAAAATATTTTTAAAAAACTAAGCAAATAAAAAATTTTAATTTATCAAACAAATATTTTAAAATATTTATTTTTAATTAAAATTTTAAATAGTTAATAATAATAATTTCAGTTTTATAATATTTAGATCAGTTATTAAATTAGCATTTTAATAAATTAAAAAAAATAAAAAATTTTAAAAATTAAATATTAGAATAAATCAACTAAAAGTATAAAAGATAAGTGTTTAATTTTAAATAGAAATAAAGAATATCTTATTTTTAAAGAAAGATATTTTCAATAAATATAGCTATGATTGCTTATTTTAAGCAAAAAGAATCCAAAGAATATTGGAATAAATTTATTGAGTTTATTTTAAGAAAGAACTCTTTTCGCTGAAATATAATTTTTAGTATTTTAGCGGGTTATTAATTGTGGTAATTTTATTTGCTATATTAAAAATAAAAATTAACGATAAATATTAATTTTTGAATGTAAAAAAGCTATTTTTTTTAAGTTTTGGATTATTTTATTATATTACTTAAAGTATATTATTATCACAATAAATCAGAGATAAATTATTTTATGTTATTTTTTCATCTTAAAGAAAGATTATTGTGTTGTAAAAATTAACTCTTTTTATGATTTCTCTAATTATTAGTTTTGGTAAAGATTTAAATAAAATAAACCGGTGAAAATAAGCAACTAAAATATTCAACAAACAAGTAGAGCAATTTTTTAATGAAATCAAAAATAGCAAAAATTTTTATATTCTTTTTTAGCTTATAATTTAATATTTACTCTAATTATTAGATAAAATGTTTAATAAATAAAACTTCAAACAACGGATAATGTAGGCGATTTATTTAAAAATGAGAGAAGGAGGAGTTTAGATAAAATTTAAAAAATAAATAATATTTTAGAAAATTTATTTAAAAAGAAACAAACAAAAAATGAATGTTAAAATGATTAATGAGCTATTAAATTGAAATAAGATGAATAAAATTATTTATTTGGTAAATATGTGGAGAGATTATATCATGTTATTTGGTAATAAAATTTAAAATATCTTTCTGGCGCCTTTATTTAGAGAGACCTACAAATTACTTAGTGATTGCAAATTAATTGATAAAGATTTATTACAAAAAAAAGAAAAATAAAGATAACTATAGATATTTTGATATTAATTTGATTGAATATAAATCAAAAAATTAAAGATTAAGCACACAAAATATCTATCAATTTATTTATTTATTGATTGATTTATTTATCTTTGTACTTATATTTATTCATAATAACACTACAATCAATTACTACTAATTAACACTCTAATATAATTACTCTATAAAAAAAAAATTATGAAATTAGACTCTAAAAATATAATTAGCTAATAGTCACAGAGTGAACAATTCCCAATCATTTCTTCATAGGAAACTCAGTCATCCAGCTATAAAACAATCAAAAAGAAAATCGTAACCAAATTGAAACTTTCTGCTAGCGGATCTACCTAGTACACTGACTCTTCTTAATATAAGAGAAGCGCCAAATTAAGCAAAGCAAAAGATCTCAATAAAAAGATTATTTTTGACGATTATCCATCTCAGTCATTGGAATTGACTAGGACTCAAATGGATGCGTTTTCTTAAGAAAGTCACATTCCTTCTTAGTTGAGGATATTAGACACTCAATCATAGAACTTTGGATACTGTCATTCTTAGCTTGATGATGATAATGAAATGAAAGTCAATAATTAATATCAAGCTATTTTAGAAAATGAAAATTAATATCAAATGCATCAACATATTTATTAAAACGACGATAATTCTAACAGCTGCGTATTTCAATAGACAAACTATGATTCAATTAACATACAATAATACAATTAGAATCTCAATAAAGTAAGTAGAAAGCTTTAAAATGTATAAGACTAGCCAAAAAATATTTCTTAAAGAGAGATGATTGCTGAGAGTGTCAGCATTTAGTCTCATAACCAATCCAATAACAATGAAAATAATCAAAATTAATTAACTGTTTAGAAAAATGAGAGCCATAGCAACGAATGCATGGAATATAATGATGAAAATTAAATGAAAACGAGCTAATAACAAATAAAAAACAATATAAACAGGTCTGAAAGGGTATTACTTGGAGAAATTACTTAGTAATTAAAGCCTCTTTAAAGTCCATAATTGGAAGAAGAATTTTAATTTAACAATAATAACTACTTTTAAAATTAAGAAGAAGAGTAAGGCTTAGCTAATTTCAGAACTTAGTAGAATTAATTTATCTAAGAAGATAATCATGGAAGTTTATTTTATCCTTGCGATGATGTTAACTTTATTGAAAATGATGAATTTAATTATGATCAATACAACAACCCCTCTTTAATTTATAATCCTATGGACGACTTAAATAGAAATTGTTTTTAATTCTTCGAAGCTAGCAACAGCTAACAGTTTTAAAAGGAGCAGGCTTAACCTTAGAGGAAGCTTACAATGAGAGAAATGCTTGATTAATTTAATCAAGAAGACACATTTAGCTTCGATGATTAAGACCTATAGAATTTTGAAATCAGATAGAGCGATTACATCGTTGATCCTTAAAGTCTTTAAAACTACAACAGTAATTTCACTAACTTTGCTAAAAAAAGAGCAATCCTCATTGACTGGATGCAAGAAGTTAGCACTGGCTTCTCTTTCAAAAGGGAGACTTATTAGTAGTCGATTTCGATTATTGATAGATACTTTGAAAGGGTTCAATAAGTTCCTAAAAACCAGCTTTAATTAGTAGGAGCAACTGCGCTTTTGATCGCTCATAAAATAGAAGTAAATAATTTAAGAAAATATTAATTCGCTAATTCATTCAATAAGATTTTATAATTGAATTTGCATTTTACAAATTTAAAAATTAAATCTAAATATAAATTTAATAACAAACAAGCAAACAAACAAACAAATAATGTGTTTGTTTATTTATTTAATTGATTTGATTGCTTCAAAAATTTAATTTAATTTTAGAAATTAAAAATTTAATATTCAAAAATCTCTTTTTAATATTGATTTGATTTTTACCCACTTTACTAACGTAAACTGATAAATTTGATAATCCCAAATTACATTTTAAGGAAAATTTGGTAAGATATTTATTTAATGTAAATCTTTGATTAAATTAAGGAAGTAATATGTAAGAAGAACGAAGAGTTCATCACTATATGCAATGGTGGATATACAAACAGCTAATTTATATAGATGGAAATTGACATTTGCTTAGTAAGTTACCAACTAAAATAATAAATAAATATTAAGTTATTCATTTTTATAAAATAGAAATTGAAATTCGAATTAAATACTCCTACCCCTTACTTTATAATGAATTAGTTAATGCTGAGGTGGGATGGGCTTGTGGAGTAGTACAAAGAATTATTTGACAACGACATAATATTCTTTAAAAAAAATAACTAAAAGTCTTTCCTTCTCTTCTCTAAGGTGTGCTAATATATTGACTGTTCTTACTATAACATATACATCTACAATTATCCTATAAAATACGTTATAGCCTTATTCATGTATTCAACCTTATGTGGAAGCCTTATACAAAATAGAGATATTGATGTCAAATTAAGCCACCTAAATTAATTATTCGATCATTTTATTTAAAACACTTTAAACTTAGAGTCTTGCAGTGACTTATAAAACGTAAAATTATTTACAGACTAATTCATGGACCTAAATATTTGCGATAAGGTACCCATAACAAATTAATATATCAACAGGCAGGATGATAAAATATATGTAATTTTATTCTTGAAATGATAAAAAATCTAAATTTTCTAATCAATATTTTAAACAAAAATAGGAAAGCTATGAAAATGTTTGCAGTCAACAATTATATAATAGAGATTTTAAAAGACTCTTCGGTATTGGAGATTGATAGCAACAGAAAATAATAATAAAATTAATAAATAAAATACTAACAACAACAATCACAACAAACATAAACACCCTATAATTTATTTTTAACCCTTAATAATTAAATGTAACCTGATCATAATTAATTAATTAACTAATTTTTTAATGAAATAAATAATTAAATAATCTCAATAAAACACAAAATTCATTATTCTTAATAATAATAATCGATTTTTATTCTAATTCTTTTAACAAAAATGAAAGATATTCAAATGACTCAAATCAATAAATAAATAAATCAATTAAAAATATAAACAAAACAATCAATTAAAAATAATAATAAAAGATAGAAAGAGCTTGCTCAAAGCATTATTTGCACTATTTATTTAAGTAATAGTAAAAATGTGGTTTGAATTTATCTTTTCATACTTAAAACTAATAAATTAAATAAATACTTTTCAATGTGTTTATCACCCAAGTTAGATATATATTAATGAATTAATTTATCTTATTACCACCAAATTCTTTTAAAGAAAAAGCTGATCATTTAATTTGTTTATTCTACTTTGTATTTCAATCAGATCGATTATAATTAATTACTCTTCTTTCACAATTCCAAAAAAATTATCATGTTTATTTCTTTGCATTTACAAAAATTTTATTTTAATCTAAAATAAAAATAATATTTTATAATTTCGACTAATTAAAACAAACCGCTAAGATTATTTATTTTTTATTAATTTATTCAAAATGATGCCAATTGCTATTACATCTTTTATGAAATTTTTATATCTTTATTAAGTAATTAGATCATTTATTTATTTTTAAAAATAGAAAACTAGTTTTGCTATTTTACAAAATTTTGATTTTAATAAACAAATCTTAAAATATCCTTCTAAAAATATATCACGCCTGAACTCAATTTTTAAAATTACCATTTTGTAGCAGAGCGAGAGCAATAGTATTTACTCATAGAAGAAAAACAACAGGAATATTTTACCAAAGAGAAGTGAATTTCAAAACAAATGGATTCTTCTTCAAATCCTTAAGAAAAACAAAATCAACTTAGAGAATTGCTTATGTAGACTTCATTAAATGATAACTTAAAAATAAATTTAGTGTAAAGCGAAACAAATATTTTACAAAAAATTGAAGAGTAATTAGACTCTCAAGACAATACAAAAAGAAATGTAGAGAAATTATCTCTAAAGAGACTATCCTTACTTCATAAAGATGGTTTCACTCCAAAAAGATAAAGCATTGTTAAATCTCAAACACTAGCAATAGAGCAATCGGAAAAATAAAAAACTATTCCTCTTAAAAAATTTAGAAAAGCTGCACTTGGAATTCAATTTGCTAATGCCTTAGGATCAGAATTATATGATACAAATAAAAGACTACTATAAAAAACTATTGTTGATATTTCCGATCCTATTCATTGTCAAGTAAATTATACAAAACGTTTAACTCTTTAAGTCTATTAAAAGAATTATTTAATGAATTTGTTATGCTATTTTAATTGCCTTTTTAACCACTGAATTTCAATACATTAATCAAATATTCAAGCTAATTAATAATTATAATTTACTATTTTTTGTTTACTACTGGGTATTTATTTTTACTGATTGAAAACAAATAACTCAAAGACCATATCAAATTAAATCATAAATAATAAAATGTTTTTAGAAACTTAAAGAATAAAATAGATTTAAATAAGACAGCAAACTATTTTAATTAGAATTAAAGTTTAAATAGCTTTATTCTAAATAATATTCTTAATAAGATTTAAAAAGATCGCTTTAAAAATTAACAAAATATTGCCAAATTCTTTGTTTCTTTTGTATTTATTAAGTTTTATAATTTATAAAATATTTTTTAAATTATAACTTTAGCTTGTTATAGATGTATTAAAGAAGAAACAAAGAACTAAAAAAGAAATTGACTTTATCTCAAAAGCTGTCTCTAACTTAAATTTCTTTGAAACTAAAAAATAAGAGCTAGACCAAAAATTGTATGAATAACTTTTTGCAAGCTTGAGTTATGAGTTCTTTTAAAAGGAAGAAGTAATCTATCACCATGGTATATTTTAAATTTTATTTTTTAAATAAATAATTTACATTTATCTTAATAGGTGATCAAGGAAAGAAATATTATATCATCCTTAAAGGTATTATTTATATTAAAAAAATTATTAAAAAGTTTTAGTTGAAAAGTTAAAAAGGTAAACTAAGCCTAAAACATTCGATAAAAATTCATTTTGGATTATACAAAATGAATAAATATAAATAATTTTAATAATAATTAATCAGTTTTAATATTTGTGTAACTAGAAAAGATTTTATGAATATCATATAATTTAATCTTTTTAACTAAATACATTATTTAATAATTGATATTATTATAGGTTCATGTTCTTTATTAGTTCCAAATACACAGAATGAAAATTTTAAAAGTAGTAATTTGGTGAACTTCTAAGAAGAGTTTTAAAAGCTAAAAGAAAAATATGATCAATGCAGAAATAATAGTCTTTTAATGTGCTCTCCTCAACTCAAATCTATTAATTTCTCTCCAAAGATTAAGGCATTAAATTTATCTCCTAATTAGAAATAGCATATTCCAAGAGTTATTCAATCAATTTAAGAAATATAAGAAGGAGATTTACATGGTAATGATTTTCACTAAGTATAACAAAACAGATAAAATTAAATGCTTTATTCTTAGCCTTTATCAAAAAAATAATTTAATGAGAGCTCTTCTTTTGTTCAGCAAAGAAAATAAGGTTTAAATACTTAATTAACTTTATTCTTACATAATTAATAAAATACATATTAAATTATTATCAAATAGAAAACAATATCTCTGTGGCAATATAAAACAGTGCAATTAATGGAGATTTTAAAAAGAGTGAACAGTCTTCTCCATTGCAGCCTCTTTAAAAAACTCTTTCTACTAAAAATATTCCAAAGCTAGATCATAGTTTGATGTCAAATAATACTGATAACATTGCTAATTTCATCAATTACTGTTTTCCTGATTTTAATTTAACTTGCAATTTCAAGTAAGGAGACTCATTCGGTGATGTGGCCTTGCTAACTAGATCTAAATAGTAATAATTATTTTATTTCAAATCATTTTTTGATAAAATTTAATAATAGATAGGGGACAGTTGTTTGCTAAGAAGATACTCATATAATGAGTTTAAGTAAAGAAGCTTTTGATAGAATTTTGGGAGAACAATAAAAGCAAATAGTAAAAAATAACATAAGATACTTGAAATAATTTAGCTTCTTAGAAAATATTCCAGATTCTACACTAATGAATCTAATGAACTACTTGAAGTAAGTTCACTATTAAAAAGGCGAAATAATTTATGATCAATTTGATCCAAGCAGTTATCTGTATTTCATAAAAAGTGGAGAAATAGAGCTTTCATAAATTGTTGAATTCCCAGACAATCACAAAGAAGAAGTTCATTCTTCTTAAAATGTTGATGAAAAAACACAAAAATAAAAATTTCCTACATTTAATCACATATAAGAAGAAAAATTAAAACAAAAAAATCTAAAGAGAGTTAAATTTGCTTTGATTGGTGCAAATAATTGCTTTGGAGAAAAAGAAATAATACAAAACACTCCTAGGACATAGATGGCTAAGTGTATATCATAGGTTGCAGATATCTATTGCTTATCTAGAGAAGTAAAATATTCATTTCTTAAATTTTGTTAAATGTATTAATTTTTATTATTTAACTCAAAAAAAAAAGCTACTAATTAGTTACCTTAAATTATATGACGGAATTAAATTATTTAACAAATTTAATGCATAAAAAGAAAATGAAAGGTAAAAAAGAATAGATCAAGTTGTCAAAGTGTAAAGCAATATAAAAAAGAAATTAGAAAAAGAATACCAACTAATAGATTACAAGGCTAAATAGATACAAAGCCGTTTGCCATCTCTTCCTGATTTAGTTTCTCCAAAATACTCTGTAAATGATTTGTCCTAAATTGAAGCTTGTATTAACAACTAAAATAAAAAATAAAATCTAATTCAATCAAGCTTACATTAGACTGTTGGAGAAAGTGAATTAACTCATTTTTAACCATATTTAAATTAAAATGAAAACACGTCAATTTAAAAGCTGAATTAAGGATTATTGTAGTAGTCTTTCCCATCAATAAATAATCTTCCTTAGATACAATTAAAGGATTTATCAAAGTAAAAATTATTTATGGATATCAAAAAAATTTCTAAGAAGAAGAGAAACATTTATAATTAGCTTGCAAACTCTTAGAGTTCAAGTTCATTAGAAAATCAGCTTAATTCAAATGAGTAACCAAAACACTAAAAAGCTAAAAAAAAAGTTGATAAGCTAGAAATAATTTTTGATTATTTTTTTGAACAAACACCATTGTTAAATAAAGTATTTTCATAAAGAGACCACCTTAAACCTAAACCTATATTAAGTAAATCAATAGAGAGCAACAACAGGATCACAAATTAAATAGTAAAAACAAACTATTTTTATATTATTTTTATTAGTTTTAACTTATTAAATAAAAGATCAGTTCATTTACATCAAAAGGAGATTAGTCTAACTAAAATGTGAATATTTCCTCTTTTAATTAGGAATATATCATTCCAACTATATCTAATTAGGCCATTACTTCTAGAAAAGATTTAGGCTATTCAAATATTCTAAACAATCAATCTAATATATAATCACTTTCAACAAATAATGAGTTATCTAGCTACCCATAAAAAGAAATCATCCCAACAATAAATAACATAAATGATGAGTAAACTCCTTATTTAAAAGTTTTATTGTATGGAAACTAAAATTTAGTCAAAGATGATAACTTATTAAAAAAATAAAGCTAAAATTAAGAGCAATAATATCATGCACACTAAAACTAAGAAAGGAAGAGCTAGTCAAAGGAAAAAAATATTCATGTCGAAAAGTTAAAGAAATAAAATGCCAACAAATCTTTAAATGTAAAATAGTAACAAGAAATTTCTTCTAAAAGTGATCTTCAGCAATCAGGTGAAATAAAATCGTTTGAAAATATAAATAGGTCTAGAAATACATCTTTATAAAAATAAAATCTACCTCCATTTTTATCTGCAAGAAACAGTCTTGGTTAAGTAAAGCAAAACATTTTGTCTGCTTTTACTTCTTTGGCACCTCAGAATTAATAGATTAATAAAATTTTGAACTTAGAAATATCACCTTCGTGCTAATCCCCTATCAATCTATAAAATGGCCTCAATCATTTCGTATCTCCAAGAGGTTTTGCAGCTCAACACAAAATATTTAAAAAATAATGAATTATAACAACAAATAAATCTTAGATTTAACATAATAAAAGTTATCATTAAAATTTTATAAGTATTAAATTATGTTTTTAAATAAATAAATAAAATTATTTATTTTAATTTAATCAAAATAATTTGAAAAATATTAAATGTTTAAATTTATTAAACTATTTTTTTTAATTTATTTAATAATTATTAAATTTCCTGAAGTCAGAGTATAAAATATACTAATAATTCAATACAACAAAACCTATTTGGCTCTATCATTTTTTTGATTTGTAATAATTTTAAATAATAAATATATTTAGAGATAATAAGGTAGAAGTATTGTCCAAGATAAATCAAAATTACCAATCATAACTTAGAGTTATAACAATTTTTTTTAATTCTTATTATCCACCTGTCTTCAATTCAGCATATAATACATAATAATATAATCTATTTTACATTTTCAATTTTTTAATAGTAAATTTAGAGGTAATAACTTGGTAGTATAGATAGTAAATCATATTTACTTATTAAATATTTTTAAACTAAAAATATAAAAAAATGTTAAAAATTCTTATTAAATTAAATAATTAGAATTATCATAAAATTTAATCTTGAAATTTAATTAAAATGAATTTTTAAGGATTTTCTTTGTATTTTTTAAAGGTTTAAATTTATTTTATTTTTTAAATGATGTTTTTTAAATTAAAAGAAGAAAATACTCTTTAAGACAAAAAACTAGCTATTATTGTAGAATAATTAATTGTTAAATAGTTATTTTTATGTTTTGATCAATAAATTTATATTTTTTTATAAATATATCTTTATAAAGTAATTAAATCTGATTGAAAATTCGTGGTTGTTATCAATAATTCATAAGCAAATAATTAAGAGATATCACGCTAAATAAATTTCGTTATAAAAAGAATAATATACTCACTATGATTAATAATATTAAAGAAATCCCTCAAATAAAAAAGTTATAATTTCGACCTATTTCTGCTTATCATAATAGTAAATTTTAACCTGAAAATCCCTTAAGCCTTAGGACAGGGAGGGTTTAAGATAGTTACTCAACAGAAAGAGAAACTAATAGAAAAAGAAGCAGCTTTGCTCAAACTTTATCAACAGATAGGCATGAATAGATAATTGTTAATAAGCTGTTAAATAACAGTGGAGCTAATATATTAGATAATTCTTAAACTTAAAATTATTATGGAACAGATAGCTTTGTACCAAATAGGAAAATATAGCTCAGAAAAGTAGTATCAATAACAAATAACTCTGATAATGAAGAACAACAAAATTATAATGTTAATAAAAAAGAATACAAAAAATCATATTTAAATAACACTGAAAGTTATTAGATAAAAACTTTCACACCAAGAAATAAGAAATTTATGCTTTTATATGGAAAGGAAATGCCAAATGAACGTACTTCTAAATCTTGTAACTAAATGCTTTAACATTTATTCTTTAATAAGATTTAAATTTTTTTATCAAAAAAAAATCTACTTACTAAAGAAACCTTTAAACATTAAATATTATGTAAAAGTTATTAAAAATATTGTTTAAATATATTGTAGGTATTAGAAGGAGCGAATCTCCTAACAGATCATTCTAGTTAGGCAATACCGTAGGTCAATAATTTATAATTAAAAAGAAAAAAAAGCCTATAATAGAGCAAGCCTAGTCTGCTTATCAATAGCATGTTACTAAAGAAGAAAAAATATAATTCAAGGAAATCCTTGTTAAGCTATTAAATTATGAGAAAGATATGACGGATGATAAGACAAAGATTGATTAAATTAATGAAATAATTTAGGAGAAAATAAAATCCAAAACAAATTTAGAAGCTTTTACATTCTAAGAAGATGAGAATTTAAAGAATAAAATAAGAAGCTTAATTGAGGAAAAACACATGAAAATGAGTTCAGTAGTAGAAAATTTAAATTAATTCCAAGATTCATACAGATAGCTTTAATATGGATTAATAACAGAAGATAAATTTTTAAATACAATTGAAAAAATGTCATCATAATAATAAAGTAAATTTTAAAATAAATTTTATTAATTATTAATTCGATCAATTTATTATTAATTAGACTAAGGTCTTAAGGGATAGCAGCTACTCAAAAACATTATAAGAAAGGTTTAGTTTGCATAAAGAATATAATTTGTAAATAAAAATAAAATGACAAAACAAGACTCTTTTGTCTCATCAGGCTCTTCTCCTAGGATTCAAAATGACAGCATTTTTCAGAATTCTCCTCTAAATAGCATAAATTCTCCCATAGCAAGTCCATACATGAGTAAAAATTAAAGATCGGATTTTTACTAAGCAGTTGGAATTGAAGACTAGAAAGCATACATGAGAAATAAAATAAGCATGCTTTAAACTCTTTACAAAAAAAAGCTGTAAAGTGATTAAGAAGATGACAGAGATTTAATAGAAGGAATGAAAAAATGCTGGAAATTTGATAAGCATGGAAGAATAAAAGTAAAAGGATTTTAAAAGTAAAAATCAAAAAAGTAAGACATCTATTCTGCTGATAGAATGTCCAGAAAGTATGCTTATTTGAGACAAACAATAAGAGATTTTTTTAATAAATGCGATAAAATTGGAGTCAATCCAGTATTGGTAAAAACTTTTTTAGAAATGTTTTTTTTTTTAATTTTATTTAACATAAAAAGGCTTTAGAAAATAAATATTTTACATCTCTACCTTTTACTCGACCAGGAAGCTTTGTATTATTTAAATCTTTAAAAGAAGGAAATTTAGAAATAGTAAATAAAATGCTTAGAAATAACATAGAATATTTATATGAAAGAGATCATGTAATTTAATAAATTATTTTTGGTTTGAATACTGATAAGTTTTTTTAATAAAAGCTTTTGCAAAATGTTCTACATATAGCAATATAAAAAAAATACAGAAGTCTTTCAATATGGCTTATCCATAATGGTATTGACTTTGATTAAAAGGATGTCGCAAACAAAACTCCAGTAATTTTTAAAAAATAACTTAAACTAAAAAAAACTTATAATTAATCAGATATACTATGCAATTAAATAAAAAATGTTCGACGTTGCCAAGTATCTCCTATTTAAAAGAGCATCTCCTTGGTCAAATAATTCCAAATATAGATATGATCAGATGACAACAAACTCAGCATTAATAAGATGCATTAAAAAGGCTAAAATGGTAATGCTATTTATTTTATTTGCATTTTATCTAAAGTTAAATAATATATTCATTTTCAAGTTAAATGTTATTATAAAACTCATTATGCTTACTTTTATTTAACATTTTATTATCAACTTATAAATATACATTATTAATATGAAAACAAGTTATTTTTTATTTATATAGAAATCAAAAAAACTATCTTGAATAAAAAATTAATTAATATTTTAAATTTTTTTAAAAAGATCGATTTATGTGGTAAATTATAGAGAGGAATAACTTTAAAGTAAAACTGGTTGAATTAAAGGAAAATATTTTATTTAGATTAATACTGCAAGATTCCTGGAGAACTTGACTGCTTGAATAATGAAGAAAGGCTTTTTATAGAATAAGAAAGGAAAAAAGAAGAAGAAATAAATTCTATGCTTTTAGTGAATTGAATAATAAAATATTAATAAAAGGATCCTTTCTTATACTAATAAATGCATCAATTACTTCAATTAAAATAGTTTATTATATAAATTAATTTATGCTTTAAAATGAGAAATACAAATTATAGAAAGTAATCATTTAAATTGATGTAAAATATTTTGTTAGATTAATTAAACTCCAAGCTTTATCAACCAATGAAATTCCATAGAAAAAAAAATATATATTATAGAGCAAGATAAGCAAAAATAAATATAAAGACTTATTAAATATTTAAATTTAATTAATTAAAAATGAAATGGATTTATCAAACAAACATATTTATAATTAACAAACATGAGTACTTCTAATAATGAGTTTATTTGTACTATTAAGTGTTTCTGAATATTTATTAACTTTCAATTATTGACATTTATTTTTCTTAATGATAAAAATTATTCAACCATAGGCCTACTTACACTAGTATTTATATATTCGTAAACATATTTATCGTGGTATTATAAACCAGAAGACTTGTCTTTGTATTTTGACTATTTTTATTATTAAAATTAGAATTATAAAAATTTTTTATGTGAAATGTTTTATTCAATTAAAATAAATTATTAGGCGAAAACTAATAAATCTACTTCAAATCCTGTTATATCGCAGTATTTCTTTTGAGGCTTCAAAGGAGGAGGACCTTCAATAGACATATCTAAAATTATAAAAAATGATAATATAAATGAATATATTATTTATCAAAAATGATTTACAATTAAATTTATTTCTTGAAGTCAGCTCAGAAGCACATATTTATTTTAAATTTTTATTTTATCTTTGATTTTTAGAAACTTTCAACTATTTCTTTCTTTAGTGCCAATTTTGGTTTTTGAAAGGGAAAACAACTTTCTCAATTTCCATTTTTGCTTATTACTTTACTTTTAATAATTAGAAAAAATTAATTGATTATTTTTCTTTTGGATTGTGTAAAAATTTCGCGCAATGAAATAAAGTAAATAAATTGAATTAAATTGTATTTAAAATAAAAAGAGTTGATTATATATCATACGAATGTCTAACTAATAAATCTTATCTAATAAATAAATTAAATATCAATTTTGCTATTAAATTAATTTATAAATTATATTAAACATAATTTGTTTTTTTTATATTATTTATAATAAAACCCTTTCAAACTAAATAAACAATAAATTTGATATATTTTTATGTATAACAAATAAATAAAATAATAAATAATGATTTTACTGTAGATTAAATATTTTACTTTATTTCAATAAATTAATAAGAAATAAAACTTTTAAATTGCCTCATAAATATTTTTTTAGATTTATTTTAATCAATTCTTTTTAAACTATTTTTTTTGATTCAAATAAATAATTAGTTAAATGGACTTTTATTATTATATATATATATTTTTTAACTATAGTTAGTTAATAATTCTCTATTCCTACTTATGGAATATTTCTAAGGATAGATTTTTCATAAAGAATTTAGTTTTTCATACATTTTTTTGCATTATTCAGCAGTTTTATTAGGCATATGTTAAGCTAATTCTTGCCAGTTGTTATTTCCATAGACCTCTACTAATTTTTTAAGAACATCTTTATCTTTCTGTTCCCATTTTTTGTGTTCTTTATCGAATAATTAACTCTTTGGCCTACTAGCATGATCTTCTTATTTATGATCGATACTTTCTTATTGCTTAATTTATTTACTAATAATTTCAGCAATCAATGCCTTTTTTAAGTCAATATTTATAGGAAGTTATTTGGGAGGAGAGTTAACCAAAATTTTTTCTTTTTAATTGTTCTTATCAATGACATTTTATTCGCTTTTGGACTTTTTTTAGAGGTTAATTACTTAATTCTACTAAATCAGTTGATTTACTAATTCCTTATCAACATACCTTTTTTCTAGTTAATTTTATTTATTATTTATCACTATGTTCTATATTTCATAGGGCTTTTCTATCTAATTTTTTTATATTTTAGTTCTTTTAAATCCTCCATTAACTACAACAACCTTCTTCTGGTCTTTAAATATCTATTACTAAGGTTACTATTAAAATTATTATGAAGGCTACTTTTCTATTTATTATAAATTAATATTCTATTATTAATTATAGTTTTTGTTTTCATCCCTATTCTAAGTATTTTCTTTTTTCAAGTTTACTTATTGAATTTCTTTTTAAATGTCTTTTACTATCTTTTCTTGCTAGATATCATTCTAACATTCATTGTTTTTTTTCTGCTAATATTTTTGAAGATATCCCTACTTAATTTATTTTTCTGGAGATCCAATCAAAGGACCTGCTTTTTAAACTTTCTCAGGAGATTCAATATTTTTTTATAATTGAGGACTTTTTTTGATAGCTTTCTAAGGCGAAATTTCCTATTTTATAATCTTATTATCTTATTAAGGAGAGCCATTTTAGTTTTTTTTCTATAATTGAAAAGTAAATTCGTTAGCCGATGGGATATTTTGATTGTCATTTTATTATTCTTATTTAATTTTTTTAATTGTGTGGTACTTAGCTTTCCATAACTTTTAAATTTTTATAGTAGCTCTCTTTATCTATTCTTCTTGTTATTCAGCAAGTAATATCAAAGGACCATTAAATCTGATTATATCCTTTGATAAACTCAACTAATCGATTTCGGCTGGTTATTCTTCCAGATTTATCTTTTAATCAGCTTAATAAATATGACCATTAAATTTAATCATATCTTTGGATAAACCATCCTGATCATTTTAAACAGGTCCATAAAATCCTTAAATCTACTTTTCATCGGCTTTATTCAGATGTTTTTTTTGCTTTTATACAAAAAAAATAAAAATAACCCATTAATGTGATTATAGTCTTAAAGATTTTAAATTACGTTATTCTGATTTGGGCTCTAGTCTTTTTATTAATTCCTGCATTTTTGATTCTAACTTTTGGGTTTCTATTTACTGTAAATAAAATGAAATATTTTTATTTTGTAGCTATAATTATTTAATTAATTACTCTTTGTCTTAAATTTATTTCATTACACTTTGTAGATCTTAGGCTTACTAGTATAAAGCATCATTTTCTTTTATATTTAAGTAAAAAGGGTCTTTTATATTGTTTTTTTTCTAATACATTTGTTGTAATTTTTAAACAATTTGATGAAAATTAAAATTTATAAATAGATGAGATGATGTATAAACAACTTTTTTTATTATTTTATGTGTTTTACTTATAATTAATTCAATTTGTTATCAGAAAATATTAAAAATTTAAATTGGGTAAATCAATCTTAGAATTTCAGTCTTTTCTTAAATTACATAAATAAAACATATCTAGTGAAAAGTTTTCATTCCTTTTAATGTTTTAAAATCTTAAACGACTATTGAATTTTTTCATTTTTAAATATTATTAATTTAAATTTCTAGTTCCTTAACATATGTTTATCAAAAATCTCATTTTTAAATATCTTTTTGTATTTTTTTGTTGTTATTTTAGAAAAGATGTTTTTTTATAAAGCAAAAATTTAATTTGTTAGAAATAAAGCTAAATTTTTAGAATTATTTTAATAAGAAATGATTTAAAAAACATTCTAATGTTATAATTTTTAAAAAAATTATGAAATTATACTTTTTTAGAACAATAAAAATATCTAAAACTATATAAAATAAATATGAAAAAAGTAGTGAAATATAAAGTTAATCTTATTAATAAAATGAAAAGTAAGTTAATTAATTATAAGAAATAATTGATAAAGAATTAAACCATAGCGCATCAGATATTAGATATTGAAAGTCCTATTAACAGCTGTGAGCTTTTAAATTAGATACATGAATAATAATCACTAATTAAAAAATGTAATTATTTAGAATTAATGGAAAAAGTAGATACAGATGCTGAATACAGGCAAATCACCTTAAAAATATTTTTAATAGAAATCTAACAGACATCGAATATTAAGATTACCAAAATAATTGTTATTATTTAACTTTGTGATTATTTATTTTATATTTTTAATTTAGAAAATTAAATAAAATATTTGTTTTGATTTATAATTTTTTAGTATTTTTATTAATTCCAAAATAATAAAAAGAAAGATTTCATCATGAATTTAAATTAAGATAAATTAGGTTTTATTACATTTATATATTCAAAGTTAAAAAATATTTGAAAAAAAATTCTTTAAAGTAGTGCTATAAGTAACTAAAATTAAAAAATATTCATTATTAGTTCATTAATTTAAAGATAATAATTTTAATGAAATTAAACTAAAATAGTAATTTTATAAAAATTCTTGAAAAATTGATATATAAAATAATATTTTAGAAAAATATAATTAATTTAACTTATATCCTTTTATTGTTTATTTACTTAATTTAAAAATTTGTTCAAAAATACTTAAATTTAACTTATCCATTTTTATTAATATGTTCTACTTCCTAATCTTATATTATTGCTTTATTCTTTATTATTTTTTATAATTATTTAAATTTTAATAAAAATAATTTCTAACTTTTATTTGTTACTAAAAAAAGGATATAATAAATGACATTACTTTAGAAATTTTATTTATTATATTTAAGATTTATATATTTAAACATGGATTAAGCTACATATCTTAATATTGATAATTTTTTTCTACAATAATAAACAATTATTTTTTAATACTTCTTAATATGATTTAATATAAATAATTTTATTATAAAGTGGATGATTATAAATTAATTAAAAATTATTTTTAACTTTTAATATATTACCTCCAAAAAGACTGAGAAGCCAAAGGAAACCAAATTTTTATAATTTTTAATATAATTTCACGAAAAGCATTTTTATTTTCCTTTATTTTTGAATGAAATTTTATTTGAAATTAAAAATGCTTTTTTTCATAAATAAATTCTTTTAAAATTTCTGTTTTTAATTTGTTATATAAATTTGATTTTCTATAAAGTAATTAGTTAAATAAATATTTTAGAAATTATTTAATCATTACTTATCCAATAATATTTATTGAAATTAGTTAAGAAATAATGTTAAAACATTATTTTAATAATTTATTGATATTTTTTAAAATGAATGAATGATTCACTCTATACTTATTCCAAAATTTTAGAACTCAAATATCCAACAAATTTAAGATTTTCTTGGTTGGTTTTTGTGAAACCGAGTTCCGAGATAAAAGGGAATACATTAATTAAATAAAGTAGATAGATTAGTATAAAATCCTTGCTTTTAATTTCTGCCTTCAGAATATAATAGTAGAGAAAAGAATTTATTATTAAATGATAGGTTAATTATTTAAAATCAAAATTGAAGGAGAATAATAAATAAAGTGATGCATTCATTATTTTGACTCAAAAAAGATATAAATGAGTAGCGACAATGAAAAATAAGCTGCAAATAGGTCAGCCAATCAAGGAAATAAAAAACAGCCTCCTAAAAAATAAGAAACTCCAAAGAAAGAAAAAAAGTAGCTTGATGAGAGCAATAATGAAGAAGCTCAATTTTCCTTATTGTAAAAGAAAAATACATTTGCTTTCTCAATTTCTGTACCAGAATTAGAAGAAGCTAAAGCTGATGAAGTAGAAATTGAAAGATAAATATTTAGATAGGTATAAGAAGAAATTATGAAAGAAAAATTTGAAAGAAAATAAAAAAACGAAGAAGAAAAGATGAAGGATGTGGCTGAGAAAAAAAGAGTCTAATAGGAGGTAAACAAAAAGCTAGATGAAGAAGAACTTTTTGCTGTAAATACTAACAAAATGTAATAATATAAACCTAAGGATGAGGATGACTATACAACTAATGCAGATGTTTAATAAAAAAAAGAAGGTGAAGGCTAAGAAGGTGTTGAAAAGAAGCTTTCTAAAGCATAGAAAAAGAAGATTAAGGAAAAATAAAAGAAAGAAATTGTTGGTACATGTTAAGATACTAATAAGAAAAAAAAGACTACAGCTCTAAGCAAAGCTGCACAAGCTGCTCTTGAAAATTAAGCTAAAATTCAAAAAGAAAAGAAAGAAAAGGAAAGACTCGAAGCTGCATAAAAATTAATTGAAGAAGAATAAAGAAGAAGAATAGTAGAAGAAAAGTAAGAGAAATTTAAATTGAAATAGTTAAAGAAAGAATTGAAAAATAAAGGTTTGATCAAGACCAAGGAACAATTAGAAAAGGAAGAGGTTGATAGAATCAAAAATTAAGCATTCCTGAAATCTTTGGGAGTAAGTGTTTCAAAAGTAGAAGTATTAAAGTAAGTAGTTTAAGCTGAAATAAATTTATCAGTACCAAAAAAGAAGAAGGTTGAAAAAGACCCTTTCGGATTTGTAATCAAAAAAGAAGAAAAGGTTAATGAAAATGTCTAATAATTTGAAGGTGATGTTTTGGAAACTATGAAGAACCTTGTAGTACCAGAACTTTAAAAATATGACTCTAAACTTAAATAAGATTCTAATTTAGTAGAAAATGAATTAACACAATCTAACAACACTTACTTAACTTAAAACTCCAAATATATTTTTAGAAATTAATTTTCCAAGTAGGAGGATACCGAATTAGAAAAGGCTGAAAAAGAAACTAAGAAGGCTGCTAGAGATGAAAAAATTTTACAAGGATAAAATAAATCAATTAAGGTAGAAGATAAGGAAAATAAAAAATAGAGGGAAATTCTCAGGTCTCCTATTGTTTGTATCTTAGGTCATGTCGATACTGGTAAAACTACTCTCCTTGATAAGCTCCGTGGTACTAATGTAAAATATTAAAACTAACTTGTTTATGTTTGATAATAAAAATAAATATGTTCATATCTAAAATTAAGGTTTAAGGTGGTGAAGCTGGAGGTATTACTTAATAAATAGGTGCTACTTATTTCCCTAGTCAAAATATTGCAGTTGAAATTGAAAAATGCAATTAACATTACCCTGCTGAACTCAAAGCTCCTGGTTTACTTGTTATTGATACTCCTGGTCACGAAAGTTTTTCAAATCTCAGAACTAGAGGCTCATCACTTTGTGATTTCGCTATTTTGGTTATTGATCTTATGCATGGTCTTGAACAATAAACTTTGGAATCTTTGAATCTCTTGAAAATGAGAAAGACTCCATTTGTGATTGCCTTGAACAAAATCGATAGAACATACGACTGGAAAACAGAAGAATTTGCTTCTTCTTACATTAGCTTTAAAAACCAATCTAAAGAAAACAAAAATGATTTCAATCATCGTTACAATTAGGTAAATAAATAAATATTTAACTAAAGTTAAATCAAAAAAAGATTGATTAAAATATTATATATTTTAAATTATTTTTTTAATAAAATTTAATTAAGATTATCACTCAATTAGCTGAAAACTCCTTCAATGCAGCTTTGTATTGGGATAACCCTGACCCTAAAACTTATTTTCCTATTGTACCCACATCTGGTGTTACTGGTGAAGGTATCCCTGATCTCTTATCAGTTGTCATCAAGTACACAAGTATGTATATGAAATCAAGAATGGTTGTCAAGTAAGATGCCTTCAACTGTACAGTTATGGAAGTTAAAAAGATAGATGGTTTGGGAGTAACAATCGATGCTATTCTCGTTGATGGCACTATCAGATAGGATGATAAAATAGTTCTTTTAGGCTTTAATGGGCCAATAAAAACTAAGATTAGAGCACTACTAACTCCATATCCTATGAAAGAAATAAGAGTAAAAGCTGAATATGAGCATCACAATGTAATTAATTAATTCGCTAATTATTACTTAATTTTAAAGTTATTTTATTTTTTAGGAATTATTAAAATGATTTTTTTTATTAATTTTAATTTAATTAATTAATTATATCTAATATTAATAAATAGTTTATTCATGCTTCTATGGGTATTAAAATATCTGCTCCAGATCTTGAAGAAGCTGTCGCTGGTTCTCAATTATATTTGGCTAATACTAACGATGAGGAACAAACTGCTATTGATTTAGTTATGAGTGACTATAATTAAGTTAAAAAGAAAGTGAAACTTGTTAATATAGGCGTTGGTGTTGCAGCCTCTACTTTGGGATCTTTAGAAGCATTGTTAGACTTCTTGGAAAAGAAAAAAATTCCTGTTTCTTATGTATCTGTTGGTCCTGTATCAAAGGATAGCATTACAAAGGCTCTTAAGTCTGTCTTAGCCGATGACCCAAAAAAAAGAAAATAGGAGTATGCCTGTATGCTTGTCTTTGATGTTAAGATTCTTCCTGATGCCTAGAAGTATGCTGAAGAAAATGGTGTTAAAATACTAACTGCTAATATTATTTATCACTTGTAAGACTAGTATGTTAAATATGTTTAGGAATGTGAAGAAGAGAGAAAAAAAGAAGAAGGTAAATTCGCTGTTTTCCCATGTCTTATCAAAGTAAATTTGATTTTATAATTTTATAGAAATTAATTTTGCTTATTTTTAAATAGCCATTACAGTTCTTTAACAAATCAGAACCTATTATTATGGGTGTTGACATAGAAAGAGGTACATTGAAACCAGGTACATAAGTTTGTCTTTTCAATCACACAAAGTTGAAGATTGGTGTTGTCGAATCAATTGAAATTAATAAAAAATCTATTCCTTTTGCCAAAAAGGAAACAGGTAGTGTAGCTATCAGAATCGGTTGTACTAGTAACATATTAGCTGGCAGACATTTTACCTAAAAAGACTATTTAGTATCTATAGTAAAATACTATTTTGATAATATTATTGTAAGAACTTAATCATTCTTTTTTTTAATAATTTAGATAAACAGAAGATCAATCGATGCTTTAGAGGAGCACTACAAAGATGAAGTTACTAAAGATGAATGGCTCTTTATTAAGGAAAAGCTAAAACCTTTCTTCAAGATTCTTTGATTAAATCATTTAAATAATATAAAATAATATTACTAAATATAGTTTTATATAAGTATATCAAGCAAGTATAACATTCTAATTAAAAAAAATTATTATCAATATAAATTAATTATTTAGTTAGTAATTAAATTTCCCCCTCCTTATTCTGTAATAATATTGTAATTTATTATTTAATTGAATTTTTTATAGGGAAGAGAGACTTTAATTTTTTATTTATTTATTTATAATAAAATATGAAGAACATAAACTAATTAAATAAATTAATCACTTTATTCTTATAATTCTTGGAATTTTGAAAGTATTTAATTTTGTTATTTTGTTAAGCTTTATCATATTATTGATATAATATATTCAATAATGATAATAAGAAAAAGATCACTGTTAAATGAATTTTTTTGTAAGAATATATTTTTAATTAGAATAAAAATATAATATATTTATATGATTAAATAAAAATTTTTAACAATAAAATTACTGTTTACTATATTTTTCTTCTTGAAATTTATTATATAGTTTGCTTTAAATAGATTACAATTTTCATTTTTACCTTTTTTAAATATGTAAAAAAAGTCTTTTATATCAAAAACCTACCTATAAAAAGCATTGGGCAAAAATAAATACTTATTTTATTATTCAGCTACTACAAAATTGTCAAAAGATTTTTAATTTATTTTGATTTAATTAATAAGTATATTTGGAATTGCTTTGTTCTAAACAATTAATAAAATCTTAACTAATTGTAATAATAGTTTTTGTAAAAAAATCTATATTTAATAAATCCTTCTGCTCTTGAATGCTTGCCATAAATTTATAATTTTGCTTGAATTTATCAATTTTCTTATTATATCTCATTAATTTATCTTAAGGATAAGACAGTATAAGATCTTACGATGATATATAGTCATGCCCTGCTGCTTAGATAGAGTCTTCAACTTAAAACTTAAAGTTAATTGTAGATTCTGCATTAGATCAAGATCTAGGAATAATGTATACAGTTCACAAAGATGAACAAGTTATGGTTTGGGATTTTTAAAACTAAAAAGTACTAAACTCTCAATAATACAGCATAAGTTACTAATTTGAGAGAATTATTCTATTTTAAGCTGAGAGTTACTTGTTAGTTGTCTCAAGTGATGGATCATTTCTTAGGTTAGATCCTCAAACTCTAAGTATCATAACTACAAATCAAATATAGTAAACATAGGCTTACTAATAGTTGTCAACATATTGGATAGATGAACAAAGAAAATAAATTCTATAACTAACTTTTAAAAATTAGGTAAATTTAAAATAATTCTATAAATTTAAAGAAAATTAAATGTCATAATAATAACTTCTAGACTTAAAAAAGAATTAATTCTTTTATCAAATTTACTTTAACTTCTTTTTATTATTTAGCTTATAATAATTAACTTTGAAAGTGGTTCTATTTTAACTTACTCAGACTTTGTAAATGAAAATCTAAGTTACTTAAATTACTTCAAAGAAACTGGAGAGATTTTGGTTCAAAGCACAAATATGACTTTTTATAACTTTGATTGTTTCCATTCTGGCATTAACACTTTTAAATTATAAAACTTAAGCAATGTGAATATTGTCAAAATAGGTAAAATAGGCGAGTATTTCGTATCAATTAAAAATTAAAATTCTGTTTCTTAAATATTCAGATTTATTAATAGAAATTAATAAGCAAGTCCTTACATCATTTTTAAAAACCAAAATAAATACGAAATCAATTCGATTTTATATATTTCTTAAGATATTAAGAATAATTAATCTCCTTCTCTGTATTTAATTTGCAGTTATTAAATTGTACAATTAGACTTAAACGAGGGGAAAGAAAGCGTGATTACTGAATTCACTTCAGTATAATACATTCAAATGGCATAATATAATACTAATTTTTAAGGATTGCTTTACATTGATTTTCAAAATAAAATTTAAATTTTTCAGTCATAAAGTTAAGCTCAAATTCCTATTATCAAATAAGACATTCTATTTTAATATACACCATAACTGAGCTACAGAAAATTATTATTGGTTAAATCAATTTTATTTCTATCTTAGAAGATGTTTATCATCACAAATTAACCATAGCTTAATTTACTTGTATACGATTAAAATCTTCAGATAAAAAAAATGTTTTCTTTCAACCCTACAAATGAATATATGAATAAAAATAATTTCAATGTGATACCGGACGACTCGTCATATGAATCTACTTATCTCACTCAAGATGCTAAGGTTTTGGTTAAAGAAAACTTTTTAGTGAAATATGCCTTCAATATCATTGAAGTTTACTATTTATAAGACCTAATTTATGAAATTAGCGAAGACAGTTATATTATAGGAGCTTATATTTAGTACACGGAAGTTACTTAATATTTACTTGTTATAAAGCAGAATTCCTAATTTTACATGAGACATCTAAAAACTGGAGTGGTTATAAACACTTAAGTTTTTCCTAATATTCAAATTTATAATTATTAAATTTCTAGCGATGCTAAAATTATTATCTTATTTGGCTATTAGTCTGATAATTATTCAGGTAATTTATCTTTAAATTTAGATTTTTAAGTGTTTATAAAATTACATATTTCTTAATAGTTATAAGTATTTCTGCATGGAGTTTAGATGATAATATGCTATAAATAGGGGCATCTAATGGAGTTGCAATTTGTAAAGGATCGTAAATAAATAACATAATTATATAAATTGAAATCTTTAATTGAATATTCTTTCTTTATATAATTAGATTTTTAAAAATGGACATCTCTGCTTCAAATAAGTATTTGCTTGTTGTCTGCAGCTTTTCATTTAGCTTTATGAAAATATCAAACAAAATGGATTTACTCAATAATAAATCATATAGTAAAAATTTATAATCAGGGTTTATTGATGAGGATCCAATGTATATTTGTGTTTTTGGAAACCAAGATACTGCATTCGCAGAAACATACAGCTATACTCTACCTAAAGTAGATGGAAATCTAGCTACACTTACTTTATATGATAGTAGAAAATTCTTTGCAATGTACACTTAAGCAGTCATAGTCTTGCAAAAAGAATAAAAGAGAATGACCTTGTTTAATCCAGCAAGGACAGATGTATTGCATTATTTCTACATAAGAAAGTTAAGTAAAACTCAGGAATTATACTTTCAATATTCCACATTAAAAGTGACTAGTACGAATTACATGACGGCTTACAATAATAATGAGTATAGAGTATTCTTTTCTTACTTCAATAATAATAATTATTCTGATGGTAGAACAAAGTATGGTTATTTTGACATAATATCAGGAATATCAAAATTGAATATATTTGGTGTATACTTTGATCCTCTGACAAAATATTTTTATTGTAGCGCTGATGGTAATCTAATATTTTACTTTGATTAGTAGTTTACTGCTCCTGGAAGTTTCGAAGGGATGCTTACTACTGATAAATAATTTTATGATCTAATCGTTGATAAAAATCAGGTGTATTCAATTTCAAATACAGACTTCACAAATAATATTCTTTCAGTTGGACTCAACAGCACTTATAATTAACTTGTTTAGTATAATAATGCTAATTACCAATAATAAAACTACTTAGATATATGCTTTAATACTAACAGAACATATGCCTTAATTATAACTAACACAACGGCAGTTATATCAAATGTAGTAAATTTGATTATTGCAAAGAAACTAGGAGATAGCACTTATTCAAATGTAGTTTAGTGCTTCTCTACAAATAATTACTTCGGAGTACTCTATTAATAAAACATGGTAAACTCTTAGATTGCTATTTATTCATAGGATCGACAATTCACATTTATAGGTATGATAAATCCTACGAATAACTAAATAATCAGTTCTTTCATTATGGTTTCAGTTTAAATAATATATATTTCGAAAGGCTCTATATTCACTGCAAACTTACCAGACAAGTAAAGCTAAGATTAAACAACCATTTCTAGTGATCCTAACTTTGATGGTATGCCAATAAATTTAATAGCACTTGAAAATAAATTTTATATACTCTATTAGTAATCATTGATTTTATATTAGACTGATAAAACAGTAGTGTCGATTTTAAGAATAAGTAAGCTCAACTAGCAAGAATCCACTTTATCACGTCAGTTTTTAGTTTAGACACCTGTGCTAATCAGTCTCTAAAATAATTTCTCTAAGCTAAATCTAGATAAAGAACATTAATTTGTCTGGATTGAAAGCTAAATAGGAGAAGTTTTGGTACACGACTCAATAAGCTTCAAATAAATAATGTATTTAAAAAATCCTAAAAAATACAGTTTCATCTCTCATTCTATGGTTTTTACAAAAAATGAAGCATTTATTTGCTGGCTTGCAAAATGTATTCGCTTTGAATATACTCAAAGTATTATAAATGGAACAATAAGTTATAGTTTATCTAAAGATACTTAATTTATTGAGTTAAATACATAACTTAGTGTCTTTTAAATATCATATGATGAAATGAGCTAGTAATTAATATTATGCTCGAACGATCAAAAAAATTTGTTTCTCCATTCGAAATAAGGGTTATTGATAAAATAAATTTAAAATATATAATCCAATAATACGAATAATACGTGCTAAGGCCTAATTGTAGATAAAATGTACAATAGAATTTATTCTTTGGGTAAAATGAATATGACTATATATGATCTATCATTTCTATTATAATCAAGTACTTCATTTATTTATTAGGATTAATAATATTATAAAAATCCTTTTCTAAATAACTTCAGTTATTAGAATTAACTTGACAAATTGATATTATATATTCCAAATAGAGATGAAGTGGTTAAAGTGTATGACATTAATTAATAAATTTACCAAGAGCCAATTTACATTCCTGGCTTAAAACAAATAATTCCTTTTAAAAATAACTTATTAGCAGCTAAAACAGATAATGAACTTATTTTGATTGATATGCTTACAAAATAAGTTAAAAATAAATCAACATTTAATGGAATTTAATAATTTGAGATAGTCAACTTTAATTAAGATAAAAATATACTTATTGTATTTGATAAAGATAAAATAAGGTTAATTGACTATGACAGTAACTATCAAATTTAGTTCTCTTTTATGATTAATTTAGGTAGCTTAATCAATCTAGTTTAAACTGATGGAGTGATGATGATAGCAGCTGATTCATAAAATAATATTTATGATATTAATATTACAAACTAAACTTTTACAATGAAAAATAAGTCTGTGTTAAGCAATTTACCTGTATCTACTTTAATAATAAATAGTAAACATTAAATTTTAGTAGTATTCTATGATGGATAAAAAGCTGAATTTTTTTCAAGAAAAGGTAATACATAATAACCTTTGTAAAAGATTTATGGCTTAAATATCAGTGAAAAATTTAATATAACTAACAATACTACTAACCCAATTACCAATATTGTTAGCAATATTACTAATACAGTCAATGGAACATTAAGATCTTGTATCTATGAAGAAGCAAGGTAGCTAGTGTTTATTTTAACTTAAAATTTAGGAAGACTCTTTGTATTTTAGTACTAATCTGATTTCTCAAAAATAGCACCGTTCAAGCTCATTAATGTCCCAACTAGATAAACTAAAACTATGTTTCTAAAAATGTTTGTAGAAATAAAAACTTTAGCCATAATCACAAGCTATTAAATAGACTTGCTTGACTAAGACTCTCTTTATCCTTATCAAATATTAAGAGACCAAGAGTTTATTTCAATTAGTAATTTTCATTTCAGGATTACCAATAATAAAGACTATTTAGGAATATTAACAACTACTTCAAATTTGTTTATTTTCTATTTTGATTAGGTTGCCAATAAATTTGTGAAAATAAAAATTTTCCCTATAGATAATCCGAAATTTGTAAATATTTAGTAGAAATCTTAGATGAGAGACATTTAAACATTTTAAATCATTGGTTTTAGCAATTTAGGAACAGTTTTTAGTATTTCAACTAATTTAAATATATCATAATAAACTGGTAGTCAGTAACCCACTAATTAAATTAATGAATGTATGGTATAGATTTTAAATCCTTCCTATGGATACATTTAATACACTTTTAACTCTCTCAAAGCTGGTAGATTATTATTGGACAATTAGAGTGATATTACGAAGTACAGGATTATTTTTAAGGATGGTCTATTTAGTAAATTGAATTTTTAACTCCCTGACTTTAGTTAAGATTATTCACTAGATTTTATTGGTAACTCATCTTAGCCTATTTTAAACATTACAAATGAATTCTTGAACTTCCTCAATCCTGTTGAATTATACCTGGAAAATTTACAAATAGTTTCAGGTAATTCTCAAATAGTTTTTAACAATAAATTAAGAAATACAGATTATTTGTAAAAATAAATTGCTAATATAGTGTTCCAATCGGTTACATTTAACACATAAAACTCAATTTCATAATTTGTTTTCTAGGAATTCCAATCTATTTCATTCAACAACACTCAATTCAATTTAGCACCATCTATCAAAAATATGAGTTTCATTTTAATAAATAACAGTTAAATTATAAAAATTCAAAACACAAATATAAAAGATATTAGCTTGATTGGCTCTAATTTGATTCATATTATTGGAGCAGATATAGAAAATCAGAGAGATGAATTCGAAAAAACCATAGTTGAAATATAAAACTTAAAATTTGAAAATATGAAATTGATTGATTCAAATATAATTAATTTTGAGATGATTCATCAAACTAATATGAACTAAATTTATTTTGTAAATAGCAGAGCTATTTAAGATCTACAATAAATCCATTAATCAATCTTAGTGAAAATGTGTGGACTGTAATTAATTTAAATGACTTAAGTAAATTTTACAAATAACATTGATGTCCAATTAATTTAATATTCTCCAACTTATCAGGATTAAAAATTTGAGAATATATATGTAGAAAAAACTCTAAAATCTTAAAATATTAGCATCATTTAAAGCAATTTAACTTAGAATATCATTTAAACCATACCATATAGCCTAATTTATATTAATGCTAGATATTTCTAATTAAATAATATGAACTTTAACTAAAATTAAGTCAACTAAGTGCAAAGTTATTAACTAAATTAAATTCAATAAAATTAACTCGGTTCAGATTTAAAATAAAATCAATATGATGGTGAAACTAGTGTTGTTTCTGTATTTGGTTCAGAAAATTTTATTGTTAGTAAATGCAATTTCATTTAAAATAAAGCTACAAATGGAGGAAGTCTGAATATTCAAAATACTTAGAATTTTATTATAGAAGATTCTACATTTTAAAATAATGAAGCTTTGATAAATGGAGGTGCCTTATACATATAAAATGATGAATAGTTTAAATTTTATTAATAAATATTTTAAAATTAAATCATAAGAAGCTTATTTTAAGGTAATTCTGCAAAAGTTGGTGGAGGTGCAATATATTCAAAAAGAACCAATTATACTTTATATGATAGCATCATCAAAGATAACTACTCAAGTATTGGAGGTGCTATCAGGTGTTTGGATCGTACACCTCCTTATCCAGATGCTTTTATAAGTTCTATTTAATCTGATTTAAGGAAATTAACTTCTGACTAATATAACAATACAGTCTAAAATAATAAAGCTACAATATTTGGACAAAATTTTGGTTCGTTTCCTTTAGCTATAAAATCTGACAATTAAATAATTGGCTCAGATTTAGTTTATGATAACTTTAGAAGCGGAGATATAATAACTAATCTATCTTTGCAATTATTAGGTATATAATTTAAATAAAAAATAAATAAATTTAATTTATATAATATTTTTATAAAAAGATGAGGAATTTAATCCTGTAAAACTTTAGCAAAAAGGCTATGGAATCACTTCAAATAGCGATTAAATCATAATTTAGCTGTAAAATGGAAATGCCAAAGCATTTTCAGATGAAATTTTTTTGAAAGATTAAATTACTGCTAAGTACGATTATGATAAATTTTTATTCACAAACTTGCAAATTATAGGTGTCCCAGGGAAAGAGTAACAACTCTATATTTAGATACCCTCATTAAAGGTGTTTAATAATAGCTAGGATTAATTTTTATAATCTCCGCCTTTGAAAATTAAAATATAATTTAGAAAATGCATAGTAGGAGAAATACTTGAAAGTGTTTGCCCTAGTTGTTAATAATTTTCTTGTAGAGTGTGCGAAGAAGGTAAATTTCGTTAAATAGATAAAAAATTTAAATAATTTTAATTTAAAATAGGCACCTATTCACTATTAGATCCAAATTTATAATAAGTTAATACCTGTAAGCTATGTCCATTTGAGCAAGCATCATTTTGTAAGTTAAACTAAATTATTTTAAAATCTGGATATTGGCGTAAAAACTCATTAACAGATGAAATTTTTTATTGTGAAAACTCTCCTTAAAATTGTTATGGATTAGAAGAAAATAATTACTGTGTTGAGGGATTCACAGGTCCTCTATGTGAAACTTGTGATATTGAAAAAAAAGTTTGGAACTAGAGGTACGGAAAGGTTTCAAATAAGGTTAATTAATGTTATAAATGCTCAGAGATAGAATAGGGTATTTCTTCAATAATACTTCCATTTATAGGAGTGTTAGCATATATCATATTTTCTATCAATAGAATTAGCTCAATGTAATTTTTTTTATCAAATTAAAAAGAAAAATTGTAAATAAATATTTAAATAAAAAGTTTAAAAATAATAAAAAATTAAAAAAAGCAAAATTATTCAAATCAAACTAAGAATTCAATTATAAATTTTGAATTGTTTTCAAATAATTAAAATTTTAATTTTTTTTAGAATAAATACATCCTTAAAAATAAAGAATAAATAAAATAAAAAAATTAATTTTACTAAATTCCATTAAATTTAGATTATAAAATTTCGATAAAACAAATTTTTTAATTCAAATTCTTAAATAAGTTAAAAATAATAAAAGATTTAGGACATATATTTCTTTGTTTACTTTTTTTAATAATTTAATTAATTTATTTGAATTAAATTAAACTAAATTTAATATTCATTATAGGGCTTAACAATATTTATATGCTACTTATTTACGTAAATGCCACATTTTAGCTGTAGGTTCTAGTGGACAGGCTGATAAATTTAGTTTGTATAGTAAAATCTTTATGAATTTTTTGTAAATTTCGATGAGTATTCTTTAAATGAAAATATCTATTCCTACATAAATATTCACTTTGTTTAATATTATTGGAGATCCTATTTCTACAAGCTAATTTTCTCTTGATTGTTATTTAGATAGCCTTCCTTTTTCTATTCCTGTTGCTTATTATCGTATTTTATGGAGTTAAATTATACCTATATCACTTTTTATTTTATTGGTGATTGGATATTTAGTTTTGGTTTTATTCAGATGCTTTAAATTCGAAAAGAAATTCATTTACTCAATGCTTCTTATGCTCTTAATTTTTATGCAAACTGGAATTGCTTAAATTTTATTCAAATCTATTTCTTGTCGTTAGTTTGGTAACTCTGGAAGTTACATGCTTAGTCAATTGACAGAAGAATGTTGGACCTCAACACACATATTATTCACTTTATCTTTAACTATCCCAGCAATTATAATATGGATTCTTTTAGTTCCTCTAATATTTTTTTATAGAATTTTTGTGGCTTCTAAGAATAAAAAGCTTGACAGGTTCTAGACTATTCAAAGATACGGATATCTTTATTAGGAGTATCGTTAAAATAAATTTTATTGGGAATTTATTAAAATGTATGAAAGAGTTTTTATAACTCTTTCCTTGGTTTACTTTAACAATTACCCTATAGAATAAGGATTTTGTATTTCTTTTATCATATTACTCTATATCTACTTGTCATACACTCACAGGCCTTATTTAAACTAATAGATAAACTTAATAGACTAAAGAAGCTCACTTGCATAAATATTAATTGCCTTATTAGCAACTTTGTACAATTCTAGTAATTAACAAATTAATAAATAATGGATACTCTTTACACTATTTGGAATATAAATCATATTTATTATTTATATGATTATTCTTCTTGCTAAAGATTGTATTTAGACTAATAATTCTTACTTTATCACTCAGCTTAAGCTCAAAACAGTACAAAAGTTCCCATATCTTTCAAAGCACTTCAGATAACTCAGTGAAAACCCATGGAAAAAACTCGCTAATTGGTAGTTGCTAAGGTAACTTTTAGATCACCATTAAAATAATTAATTTTTTACTTATGTTTAATAGATTAAATACCCATTTATGGCTTGTCAGTAGAAGATAAAATAGTTAAATATTATGGGAAGATTTTGCTGAAAAGAAATCTAGAGACGTAAAGAGTATTTGCTAATAAATCAGCTAACTTTCTAAGAATAAAGGTTTAAATCATTTTTATACAAATCATTTTATTAAATAAGTTAATTAATTATTTAATTATTTTTAGGAGCTTCAAATGAATTGCTTAAGAATTCAAGCTTGAAAATAAAATCAGAAAATTAAGATTTATAATCAAATTCTGTGTAAAATTAATTTTTTATTAATTTTTTAAAATAAACATTTTTTTCATAAATTAGGAATTAAAAAATATCTCTTTACACAATTAAAAACGAACCTAATTAAGAATCAAACAATTTAATCAATCAGTTAAGTTTTATTTAAAATTAAAACAATGCTTTAGTGTCTCTCTAAAAAGATTCTAACCAATAACCTGATAACTTAGACTATATCTCTCATTATTCTTTAGCTTCTTAGAAAATTCCATCAGAAATGAAAATAAACTCAGAAGTATGTAATACTGAAAAATAAATTTACAAAACTGAATATTTTAATGATTAAAATGATGAGTTTGCTTTACCTGTGTTGAGGGAATCAGATGTTTTTCCCTCTTACATAAATAAAGTATATTAATAAAAATTAAATTCTAACATCATATCTAATTAATAATCAAATATCGATTAATATAAGTAAATCTAAAAATATTCTAATCAGTAAGTAGAAAACAATTTAGAAAATATTTCTCATTATTCAGCATCTTAGATAATTCCTTCTGAAATGAAAATAAATTCTGACCGCTCTAATACATAATAATAAATATACAAAGTTGAGTATTTTAATGATTAAAATGATGAGTTTGCTCTACCTGTGTTGAGGGAATCAGATGTTTTTCCCTCTTATATAAATAAAATATATTAATAAAAATTAAATTCTAACATTATATCAAATTAATAATCAAATATTGATTAATATAAGTAAATCTAAAAATATTCTAAACAGTAAGTAGAAAACAATTTAGAAAATATTTCTCATAATTCCTTAGCATCTTAGATAATTCCTTCTGAAATGAAAATAAATTCTGACCGCTCTAATGCATAATAATAAATATACAAAGATGAGTATTTTAATAATCAAAATAATGAATTTGCTCTACCTATGCTAAATGAAAAAGATGTTTTCCCATCATACATAAATCTAGCATAAAATTAAATGAACTCTAATATATAAGAGCTAAATGTAATAGCAAAACAACAAACAATTGTCAACTAAGATAAATTTATTTAAAAAGATTCTTATCAGTAAGCTAATAATAATTTAGACTAAGTTGCTACGAATAAGCTAAATAAATAAGATGTTTTTCCTACATAAATAAATAGAGAATAGGAAAAAATAATTTTGAGTATAGAAGATAATAAAGAAAAATAGGAAGCAAATACCGATTAAGATAATTAAATAGATCAAATTTAAAGTAACTAAGATAATAATTAATTTGATGAATTTAAAAATACTGAAAATAATGAAAACTAAATTATTAAAAACTTTATAAAAAATTAAAACATAATTAAAAGAAACACTTCTAATGTACCAGTAATACCTTTGTAATTAATAGTATCTGAAGAAGATGATGATTAACTTGACTTTAACTAAATTAATATTGCAAATTTAATTGAATTACAAAAGATAAGTTTGAATGATGATAATTATATTACGTAAAAGGGTAAATAAAATAGAGTAAAATAAAATAATGAAACCTCAGAAGTATTAGATTTAAACGAGCAAGATAATCAAAAAAAATAAAATTTTAATAAATAAAAAGAATTAGAAAAGTCAGATTCTGAGGATAATAATTAAAAAATAAGATATTTAGATCAAAGCTCAAAATCAGAAAAAAGCGATGATTAAACACTTGATTTTATCTTTTTGTCAGATGAAGTTAATGATATGTTAAAAAACAAGATTAAAATTAAATAGTATCAACATAATAATCAATAGTTAGAAAAATAAGAATTCTAAGCAAAAGAATAAACAAAATAAAAAGATTCACTACAAGACCTAGACGTTTTCATAGATTTAGAAAATTTAAGTAAAAATATTATTGATTATAGGAATTAAATTAAAATCTAAGATTTGTTTAACAATTTAAGTTCCTCAAAATAATCAGATATTAATGAAAATTAAAGTCAATCATTTGATTAACAAATAAATAAATGAATTACATATATTCTTATGTATTTTTAAATCATTTTAATGTTATCTCTTCTTAAATATTGTTACAAACTTATAAAAAATTTATTAAAGAGGTGTCATCAACTCTAAAAGTTTCAATTAATCAAAATAATTTAGATTATATTTTATTTTTCAAAATTCTTTATTTTATTTAAGTTTGTTAAAAAAACCTCCTTCAATGGATAATAGTTATTAGTAATTTCCACTCTCAACTATTTAACCATTATCCATTACAATTATTCTGTCATATTTCTCAATGTTTTCAAGCCTATGAGTAATAACAAGCAAAGTTTTTCCCTAACTTAATTCAAATATTTTATCAGAAATTAAAGAATTTGTTTAAGGGTCCATATTCGAAGTTGCTTCATCTAGGCAAATCAGTTCTCTGTTGTTGATAGCAACCCTCAAAAAGTTGAGGACTTGCTTTTAGCCATTAGAAAGATTTTTTCCACTTTATTCAATTTCAAAATTTAAATCTAAAGGTGACCTTATTTAATTAAAATAAATGCTTAAATATTATATGATAATATTATTTTTTTTAAATACTTATTTTGTACATCTAAAGACAGTTCATATGATTTAGCAATTTTACTTATTTCTTCTGTGGAATGAATTTACAGAGGATCTAAGTTGTCTCTCAGAGAGGCATTAAAAAGGAAACCAAATTAAGGAATTATTGAAATTTTATCTCTTAATTGCTTAAGACTTAAATTCTAAATATTTTATCCTTCTATAAATATATCGCCTTTTGATATGGAATAAAGTCTGAACAAGCAATTAAATATAGAAGTTTTTCCTGACCCAGTCCTTCCACAGAAAGCTACTTTTTCTCCTTTCTTAATCTGCAAGGAAAAGTTTTTCAAGGCGTATTAAATATTTTGTTCATTTAAGCTTTCTTCAGTAGATGACTCTACTTCATAGCTCAATGAAATATTTTCAAATTAAACCTATAACTAACTGTTACTTTATATGTCTTTATGCTTTGATTTTGGTTATTAATTAATTTTCTCTAAATCATTTGAAAAAAATTATTTCACTCTTTCAAAGCTAATCATTTCTATTTCAAATTAGTTAAAAGCAACTGCAGTTTCGGCTACACTACTGCTAAATAGTATTGAATATTATAAAGTAAGAACTATAATATCTTTATTGATCGATGGATCCATGATAATCAGAATTATTCCAGTTAAAGCTATTATAAATTGAATACCGTTAGCAAGTAAAAGTGACCTAGAATAAACCCAACAATGTAGAGATAAGCTAATAACAAAGGAATTGATATTATTTCTGAGCTTTTCAAGATACTAATCAATCATATAAGCCTATTTATTAAAAGCTCTAACTGTTGAAAATCCTTTGCATGATTCATTAATATGATTTAGTAAAGCTCCTTGATTGATAGTATCAAGTCTGGTGACCTCTCTGCTGATAGGTCTATAGGTATTTGAAAATGCAGCAGCTAGTAGAAATACAAAGATGAAAAAAAATATCATCCATGGATACTGTATACAAATTCCAGTTATATAACTAAATTAATAAAAAGTATTTTTAAAATATTTAAATTAGCAAAGATAAAATAAATAAATACCCAACTACATAAGCAACTTATTCTAAACAGTATTTATATTAATTTTACAATGATTCATCTATTGAATTGATATCGTCTGAGAGTCTATTTAATATTCTTCCGATAGGATTTCTATCGAAAAACGGCATTTTACTATTTATTATGCAATTCATCAATTTATTGTAGATCCTATTACTGCTTAAAGATGATGTTATTATAAATGTAGTATAAGATAAAAGTGCAATTAAAAGTTGCAAGCTAGTTAAAAACAAGAAACCAGATTCAAATTTTTTGAATTGCTGATTAATTAATAGCAAAATAGTTCCTTAATCTTCATTTTAATTAATCTAGTTTTTTAGCCAATAATCTATTAATGTACAAGCTCCTTAAATCATGAAGAAAAGTAAAGCCTATATTCCAACTAAAAATAGAGTCATACTTGAAAAGAAATCTAAGTATGTGTTAATCTTTATTTTCCCTTATTCTCTGTATTCAATTTATTAATCTTCTTCATTATTATCACTTTCAGTAATTAAAGACTTTGTCTTAAATAAAAAAATAAATTAAAATAAAATTATTTTGATAAAAAAAACGAATTTTTGTTTATTTACTTCGTCCTTTTTTAATAGTTCAACCTAACTTGAAATTTCTTATTCTTTTTGCTTCTAAATCTTTATGTCTTTCTGATTATTTTCTAGTAACTATTGATAATCCTAATTTGAATAAAATTTTTAATTTACTTTTAAAGGATTTTTTTAATCTTCTTCATTTTCTTTTTGTAATGAATCTTCAATATATTTCTTTAATATATTTTTATCATTTACAATAACTCCATTTTCAATATAAATTATGTTTGATTGTTATTCTGTTAGCAAGAATGAATAATGACTGGTAGCTAAAATTACGGTTTTTTACTTTTCTTTAATTAAATACTTAATAACAACATTTTAAAAGATTCTTTCAGCAACATGAGCATCTAAACTACTAAAAATATCATCAAGTAAATAAATATCTTTATTTGCATATAAACTTCTACATAATGCCATTCTTTATTTCTATCCACCACTTAAATTGCTTCCTTCTGAAGATAGAATTTTTAAATCACCTTTTGAAAATTATTCTAAATCCTATTGTAATTCACATAATTCTATACATTTGTTATACAATAATTTATTATAATCTTATCCAAACAAAATATTTTCTTTAATAGTCTTAGATTATAACCAATGATTTTATGCTACATATGCCAAAGACCCATTAATAAAAAATTATTCATTTGATTTATTTTGATCTTATTATTGAGCTAATTCTAATTTTTGTTCCATTTCCCTCAAAATTGACAGAAGAAGAGCGGTCTTACCAGAACCTAAAAAAATAATAATAATATTTAAATTATAAAATTAGAAACAAGTAAAAAATACCTATTTTTCCAATAACAAAATTAAGTGAGCCTTTTTCTATTTGGAAATTTTCTACACATAATTAAAATTAATCGTCATTTTTTTGAAGATTTTGTTGTTTTCTTTGATTTGAATTATAATTTTTTTCTTATCTTTAAATTTAATTACTTGGCCAAATAAATTTCATACTTTTTATTAAAATAGCTGTTTAATTTAATAACTATGAATTGCTTGCTTCATTTTAAATTAAACAATCTAATATAAAAATAAATTAATTATCAGTTTTTGATTTAATTAAATTACTTTAATCTATTTCTTTCATATTCAAATAGCTTTAGATTCTTCTGTAAGAAATAAAGCATTTCAATATTGACTAAATAGATTCAGGAACTGCTGTAAGAGTGAAAGTAAAATAGCTGAACGTAGCAATAATTGTAAAAACATTTGAATCTTACAATTTATTTCCATTGTTTACAAAAGTAGAGATAAAAGTGTAAGAAAGAAAACATGTCACAGAGGAGAACATTACACTCAATGACTATTCACAGATCTTAGCAATCTAAAAATATTTAAATTCTCTTTTTCTTATTTCATTAATCTTTTCTAAGAATATTTCCTCCCATCCTAAATATTTAATACTTTTTATTCCTTCAATAACATCTTTACTTAATGAAACTCTTTGATCTTTTGCAGTGTACATTTTTTCGAAGCAAATCTATTAAAATAAAAATATAATTAAAGCATTAAATTAAATTATAAAAAAATATTTACTTTCACGAAGTAGTTTACTATGAAATTAAAGCAAACAATAAAAATAAACAGACCTGATCCACCTAAAATAGAGGATCCGATTTTGTAATAAATTAAGCAGGTAGCTGCTATCAGCATTGATAAATTCACACCAAACCTACTAAATCTTTCAAACATAAAGGCTTGATCTTCTGTATCAGATGTTAGCAAGTTGTTGATGTTAGGTAATTCCATAGGAGAAGAATTTATATTTTCTTAATTTTATTCTTCTGATTAGGGTTTTTAATCATTTACTGAAAGATTTTATTCGGATGTTTAAATTTATGAGAAATCTTTAACCAAAAGAGATTTTTTATAAATCAGATATTATAAAGTGCTTTTCATTTGTGCCTGCTGTTTAGAAGATAGCCAATCTGACCAGCAGGTAAATTAGTTTCTGATAGTAAAATTAAAAACTAATCCAATCATTAACAGGACAATGTATTTTAGTTGTTATTAACTTTCACTGTTGTAACTTTTTAGTTCTTCTGTAATTAAATCTAGAATTAAGATTCCTAAAGCTGTCATTCCATCTCCTACTAACCTAACTATGAAGCCCAATAAATGTGATTAACCTAGCAAGTGTAAATAAATTCTAAAAAGGCTAAAGTTATTGGCCTTAAAGTATTACTTATTTTAGTTAATATATCTCTCTAATTTCTTTATTTATATATCACTGCATGTAGACTGAGTAATGAAAGGTGCTATGTCTTCATTTTAAATTTATGAACTTTTTAGTTTTTTCTTAGAAAAAGAGATAAACTAAGATATTTTTTAAAATAATAGATCGTAGTTTTTATCTAAATTAGACATTACTTTTTTCAATTAATTATTTGATGATTTTATTATACTTATTATATGTATTCAAAAAGTACAATCTTATATTAGTATTATTCTTATAAAACCTGATAATTTATATCTGAAAGAATTTATTTATTTATTACCATTCGGATACTTCTTTAATGATAAGTTCCTAATTAAATATGTTTTTAATCAGCAAATGTTTAGACTCGTAATTAGCTAGACATTTAATTAATTAGAAGAAATAAGTATACATTTTTAATAATAGAGTTGAAAGCCATTAACAAAAATAATGTTTTGATGATGCTGAAAGTAAAAACACCAATAACTTCTTTACAAAATTATTCGTATAGATAATTTTTAATAAAATCTAAATTTTAATTAATCAAAAAAATTAAGCTCTGATTATTCGTAACTCTTACAGTACATTCATTTTAATAATCCATATTAAAGCAAATTTTTAATTAAAGATATTTTAAATTTAAAAACTTATTTCTAAATATCTTTTAATTTGTATTAAAATTGTTAAAAAGTAACTTTATTTAAATTAAAAAAAAGGTTGTCGACACTGGGACTTCCCAAGCGGTCCCCCACCTTAGTACTAACCCAGCCTTAAGGCGCTTAACTTCGGAGTTCGAATGGGATCCGGTGTTTTCACCTTAGTATGGCCGACAACAAAATTAATTAAGTTGATTGTGTATTTATATTTACTATAATAATTAAAATAAATTAAAAAGTTTTAATCTATTAATAGTTAATTATTTAAAAATAAATAATCTCTAATAGATTTAACTTAATTTTTTTAAAAAAAGGTTGTCGACACTGGGACTTCCCAAGCGGTCCCCCACCTTAGTACTAACCCAGCCTTAAGGCGCTTAACTTCGGAGTTCGAATGGGATCCGGTGTTTTCACCTTAGTATGGCCGACAACAAAATTATTACGTTGATTGTGTTTTTATATTTACTATAATAATTAAATTTTATTATTTTAATCTAGTTTATTATTCAAAAAATAACATATAATAGATTTAACTAATTTTTTTAAAAAAAGGTTGTCGACACTGGGACTTCCCAAGCGGTCCCCCACCTTAGTACTAACCCAGCCTTAAGGCGCTTAACTTCGGAGTTCGAATGGGATCCGGTGTTTTCACCTTAGTATGGCCGACAACAAAAGATATATTTATTTATTAATATTTAAATGCTAATGTTTTTTATTTATTTTATAAATTTTAATTCTTAATATGAAGAAATTAGTTTGGTTTTATTTTAATAATTTTTTTTTCAAAATATTATTTGTATTTTAGATATTCAATTTTTTAATTTGTTTGATAAATCTTTTTATTTAAAATATCAATTATATTTTAAAAAAAATAAAATAAATTGATTCATTAAAATTTACTCAACATTTAAAAAAATAAATATTTTAATATATTATTTATTTTTATTATTGATATTAAGAAAATTTAAGCACATTAAAATTAATAAATTCAACTTTTAATCTTGGAAGCTTAGAAATGAATCTGAATATTATTTTTAATTTATTATGTCCATACTCTTGCTAAATAATACTTAGAGTTAAATATAAAGTAACTTAAAATTTTTTGTTAAAGAAATAACACTTTGAGATATTTAAAAATTTTTTTATTCAAGCAAATATAAAAGCCTACCTTTAATTTAAACAAATGTAAGATAAAATTTTAGTTAGTATTAGGTATTAAATATATTTTGTCAGAATTATTGAATTGAGATGACATGTAAATAAATATAAGGTTTTTTTTAAAATATAAATTTAAGTTCAACCTATTGAAATTAGAATACCATATAAATTAACAATTCTTAATGTTTATTGTATTAAAAACAATTCTTTGAATATTTAATTAAATATATCTATAATTAAGAAACACATTTTTAAGATTAAGCTCTATATATGATCATTTAAATATTTTTTATTTTAGCGCTCTTGCTTCGCTTCTTGAATGCACAGTAATGCTCTTTACTAAATGAGCATAATATGTATTGCCATTAGAATCCTATTATTGGATATCAGATAAGCCAGAAATATAACTACTATATTACCTACGAATAGCAAGGAATAATAATTGCCTGGGATTATAATTAAAATTATCCTCTCAAATAACAAGATATTAATGTTAAAAACATAAAATACGCTAAAATTACTGATAGTGACAATTCCTTTATGGTTTACTCTTCTGATGGGATTGTTTCTTTTTTTAATTTATGGGACTTTTCCTTCAAAAACAGCACTTAAATACCAAACCAAAATTAACTTCCATTAATATATTTAGAATCAATTGGTTACTTGGTTCATCTAAATGTTCTTAATTATTAGGTAATTTAAAATGCATACCTATAATAATATATTTTATTTATCAATATTATATTTTAATTTTAATAATAATAACTATTTAGCTTACTTTGCTCAGCACTTGGAAACAATAATAAGTAGAATAAATAATACTAGATTTATCAAATATATTAGGTTCGAACAATAAAATTTTGATTTTTGATTCTCTGAGGTAACAATTTAAACCAGCTTTTATAGTTAGTACAGGGGAAATTTATTTGATTGATTTAAAATCACAAAGTTACAGTCTACTAACAAAAATCATTTTTTCAAAAGGAGATAACATAAAGGACGCCAAATAAGTTAATAGCAAATTGCTTTTTGTTTTGAGCAGCTTAGGCAACATCTATTTTTTTAATATAGAGTAATCTCAAAATATAATTTAATTGAATTCAAGTTTAGATCAAAATTAAATTATACAGCAAATAAAATTGAGTTATTTAGATGATAATTTAAATTCAGTATATTTTATAGGAAAAACTTAAGTTTTTTATTTCGATAGCAAATCCCCAACCTAAATACTTAGTTTCGAAGTATTTAATAACCAAAACAAAGATAATATTAAATAAATAGATATTTATTAATAACAATTAGTATTTATTAATGAAGACTATGAAGTTTTTCTGTTTTCAAATAATATTTTGAGAAAAAATAATAATTTTATCTATTCCAAAAAGAACAAAATACATTTTACCTCTATTAATGCTCTAAATTATGCTCTTTATTTTGATGATCCTTCTGTTGGATTAATTATTTTTGATATTACTGATTCAATTCGTCAGATTTACCAATGCTATAACACTACAGAGGTTGATAAAGATGTTTATGGAGTTACAATACCAACTCTGACATAATAGTATTAATTTTAATACGGACCATATTTAAATTTAGATAGCAAAAACTAGTTATTACTTAAATATTATCAAAATAGTCTTTCTCTATTTAATTTAATTACAAAATCATTCTTATATGTGAAAAAAAATTAAGAGCTAGTTAATATTTAAATAAATCAATTCAATATTATATCTGCTGTTATACTATCTTAGAATACAGTTTTGTCGTTTAATTATTTCACAGGATAAATAATTACTAAATACAAATTTATGTGCAGTATATAAGAGATGATTACTTTATCTACAAGACCATCTATTATTGTAACAAATTCATTTCAAAAATAAACAGGTATTAGTTTTAATAAATAATAGATTTTTCATTTTAATTTATTATATAATAAACAGATTCTAGCTGTGATTCTTAAGTAGCAATTATAGACTTGAGTACTTAAAACTATTAATAATTAGATGGCATGCTTCCAGAAATTAAATCCTAAAGCCTGTTAAGAGTAGGAATATCTGAATAGTAGAATGTTGTAGTTAATTAGATAAATGTGAAAAGAGATATTTTATTTGCAGGCATAAATTCTTCCATCATAATATATTATTGTTAGTGGACATCAAGCTAAACAGGTTCCAACAACTAGTATTCTTGCTAATTTGCTTAAAGTATTAACTTTAATAGTGTTTATTAAGCACTACAAATTGAGTATGATATGAATTATAATCTCTCTTTTGTTTTATTTAGAGATTAAAAATCTCTTTCAGTGTTCAGCTTGAACTCAACATCTGGGAATTTAATAAAGTAAAGCTAATACGAGTTTTAGATTTAGTCATTTACTATAATTCAGCAATCTACTGGTCTTATTTTTTTTACTTAATCTCCAAGAAGCTAAATATTTTCAACCCAAAATTCCTATACACAATTCTATTCATAAATAATAAAAAATAAAGATTTTGATAACTTTCCAATAATTCATCCTCTTGATAATAATTATAAAAAGACGTCTTAATTTTCATGTCTTAAATATAGTAATGTTTGCCTTAAAGCAAGCTTAATTGTTTAAAGTGATGGGATGTTTACTTCTTCAAACGATCCTTATGCAGTTTCTTTGTTTGGAGCTCTTAGTCCATAAAAAGATGATGATTCGATTACAGAATTGTTTTCAAGCTTTTTAAATAATATTTTGTTTTATTCTTAAAGGTCTAATAAGCTAAATATAATATTTGATACTTAGTCTTATAGTAAAATCATTAATTATAACATTCCTTCAAATTTTATTAAAATTGTTGAGTTAGACAACTCTCATATTTTAGCACTCACCTAAGATAATTAGGAAATAAATATTTCTTACAAGTAAAACAGAAATATATTAACACTAAGTTATACTCCTGATTTTGCTATAGATCAATTCTCTATTGATCAGTTTAATGCCTTTATCTTTGATGAAGAATTGTAAACAGTATCAAAAGACTACTAAAATTGTTGGATAGTTGGATCTTCAAGCGATGGTGCCTAATAGATAGCTTATGTAGAAAATTTTTAGATCTAAATTAACAGTGGATTTACTTTTGATGGAAAATTACAGAAAGTTATGAAGTTCAATAATTTCTTTCTTCTAATAACATACACCTCTACTGATACTTCATTTTAGACTTAGGTTTACATTCTTAAAATAAGTATTGATAGCCAAACATAATAAACTATCCTTTAAAATGTAGCTGAAATAGATAATTTACCATTCGTGATTAATGTGATTTATGATAGGCTAACACAGAGAATATATTTTTATGGGACTTCGGCTAGCAAATAATCTAACTACATCTATTATATCTTATATCAAGATATCTAAAATGTATTAAAAGGATAGCTAGATTAATCTAAACTGTAATATTATTATGTTTAACCTGATATTATGTAATAAATCAAACTAAATATTGTTAATTTATTTATTTATGAGTATGCTGATGATGAGAGAAATATTTATTAGTTAAATGACTAGGAAAGTTCTTCAGTTCTAATTATTGTCACAACAAGAGAGATTATAACTATAGCTTAAAAATTAGATCCTACTTCACCATAAATATATAGAATCTTAAATTATTTAAACTCGTAATATTAAATATTAAAGGCGAATATTTCAATTCCTCTAAAATCTTTAATTATTTTTCCTTCATTTCAAAGGACTTTAGAAATTAGAAGTGTAATTAAATAAAATCAAGCAATTAATTTAATTTCTAAAAACAATCTTTTCTACTAAAACATTTTTTTTGTTGATGAAGAAATGCACTCTAGATTTATTCTATGCGGTAATACAAGTTGTCAGTACTTTAAAATAGAAAAAATAAAAAATAGCCAACAATAACAATAACAAACAAATGATCAATCAGCAGCATATGGTAATTCTGGCTCATAAGAAAATAATAATTCACTAAATTAATAGAATTTACCAATAGGATCTATTGATTAAATAAGTAGATAATAATAATTAACGCAGCAGGAGAGAATTGATATTGGTCCAAATTATTAGATCGTTTAAATTTTAACATATACTTAATAAATAACTCTCACAGATGTTTAAAATATTGCTATTTATAGCTAATTCATTGAAACTATGGGTAATTCTTATCAATAAATAAATATCAAAGATTATGAAACTGGTAAATTAGTAAATTCGATTATAATCAATTCATACGCTATTGATCTTATCTATAATAAATATTTAAATAATTTACATATCCTGAATAAAGACTCAGTTATGTTCTTCGATATTTCTGAAATGATGACTTAAAGCTCCCAAACAATAACAGATTCAATTGCACCTAATTTTAATATTATTAAATACTATCATAAAATGAAATAGACAACTAATTCTTTAACTGATTAAAATTTTTATTATTTAATTGGAAGCTAAAATGGTCTCATATTAAAGTAAGATTTTGAAAAAGATATTTTCTAAATTGAATTTTCACTAGGATCAGAAATTTTAGGAGGTTTTACATTTAAAGAATATAACTATTTTTATTCCTTTGGAGCTATATTAAAAGTTACTTAAACAGACAGTAATAAGAACACATATTAGAAATATTTAAACTTTAATAATTAAGGATACAAGATATTATAATAAAAATAAGATAATAACATAGTAGTTTTGAATGAATATTTAATTGGAGTTTCGTATCCTCAAACATTAAAAGTATATTCAGAGTAAAATGGTGATATTATTTAAGTGAAGGAATTAAAGTTGTAGAGTAATATTCTGAATATTTGTCAAGATAACTAAACTTATGAGCAGTAATTTTTTATAGCAGATAATATTGGTAATTTATACGTAATTTATCTTGATAGCTAATATGCTGTATAATTATCATAGACTTCTGTGCTAACTGATTAAAACACATTTATTTAATAAATAATTTACGATTATTAATTCAAACTAGTAATAGTTTATGATAGTAAGAATATAATATCTTTCTTCTCTCTATAAAATGATTTTAGCTTATCAAAAATAACTAAATTTTCTTACTAATAAAATTTATTTAATAAAAATATATTTTATGATTATTAAAATCATATTCTAATTTATAGATCAAATTAATATCCAACATTTATTGTTGTTAAAATCGAATCATAGGTTTCTTAATAAATAGTTTCTAAAATCTAGATGGTAAACTTTTCAAGAGACACACCAGAATTGAAAATAAATAAATTGAGTAATAACAAGTAATATCTAATTATCATTCAACAGAATTTTGTATAAGTGCATGAATATTACACAATTTAAGATGGAAAAATACTATTCCCAATGATTGTCTCTATTTAAAATTTTTTACACATTCTATAATCTGCTTAAATCATAGAATAGAAGCTATCTGAGTAGCTTCTGATCGTTCTAACTTATGAAAATTCCCTACAAATATATCAATTTAGCAAAACACTATCTAATTTTATTCACTCTAATGACTTTATTAGAGATAAATCTCCATAAATTATTTTTTATAGAGAATTCAAAAATCCTATTTTGCTTGCGTTTTATCTTGAAAAAAGTAGCATTACAGGTAAAAATTAACAAATTTAAGATATTGAAAATCTAATTATTCATGGATATTCATAAAGTAGCTTCTTTATATTAGACTTAATACTTGAAAGCAAAGCTTAACCAAACAAATAATGTTCGATTGACATTTACCAAACAAGTTATTTGTCTCTTTCAAATATTTTTAATATGTATTAAGCTTGTCTTTCATCGATCATCAATTCCGCTTCTACTAAGTACTTAGTTACAATATATCTTTAGTATTCAAACCAACTTTCTATTATCCCTTAATTTCCTTAGTTCTAAAATTATAGCTTTCTCATAAAAGGAGTATACAATAATAACTAATATGATATTTCAAATCCTCCTTAGATAAATCTTTTATTAACACCAAAACTAATTGAATCTATTTCAAAGTTAACCAATATAAAATTTTAATAGCTTTTCTTACAAATCAATTAATCTGAAACAGAAATATTACTATTCTAAGATAAATTAAAGTATGTTGAATTTTCTTAATGTTACTGGTAATTTATAGTTTAAAATACTGATTAGGTGTAGAACCTTTTATTCAACAAATAATCATTTTTATAAACTTAGTAATCTGAATTTACCTTTAACAATATTCAGTTCCTCATCAACTTCTACAATGTTACAAACATAGTCTTCAGTAATAATATTTTTATTAAATCTTAAATTTAGCAACACCTATTCTAAGTAGAAGGAAAAGATACTTTACTTTAAATTTAAGATACTAAATTTTATAATAATACAATTATGGGTATTAATATTTTTAATGTAAGGGAAAATGCAAAAGTTGTAATGACAAACTTTGATTTTCAGTATAACCAAATAATAATAAAAGATATTGATATAATAAATAATTAATTATCGCCAATTTTTTTATTTTTAGGTATCTTCTAATTAAATTCAACAAATTTGGCGATTAAAAATAATAATCTTACATAACAAAACAAACTAGAGTTTATAACGAGCAATACGTTCCCTTCATTTATTTATGCAATACAATGCTTTGCATGCCAAACCGTCAACTTAAACATTACAAATTTTATTAATAACTAAAATATTCTCTTTTATTACTAAAAACTATTTTATCAAATATATAACTAAGAATAAGATATTATAGTGAATATTAAAACTGATATGCCAAAATTTAAATCTATCATGATGAACTTAATTAATAATAAGATATCTACTTAGTTTTCTAGTATAGTGAATTAGGAATATGCAGGATATATAAATTTAGAATAATCTGTAGTAGTTATATAAGCATCCCTCTTCTCAGAAAACTAATATACAATTAAATTTGCTCCAAGTGTGTTATCACTTTATGCTAAGAAAATGTTTTCAGTGCTCACATTAAAGCAATCCTATTCATTATTAATAGAAAATTCAGAATTTTTGAGAAATTAGATGATAAATGGTGGAGCTATGTTTATTGAGGGATGTTCAACTAAATTAGCTATAAATAATAATAAATTCATAGAAAATTATGCATAAATAAATGGAGGAGCTATTTTATTTACAAACTATATCAACACAATAGATTTTTCACTAACTCTAAACACAATTATTAGAAACTCTGCATAAATTTCAGGTGGAGCTATGCACTTAGACTCAACTAGCATTAATATGAAAGACAACTACATTTTAAATAATACTGCGTTAATAGCTGGAGGAGGAATCAGGTATTTAAATGTTGTACCTAATTTCATTAAAGAACAAAACTAATTTTATTTTAGAAATCTAGAGTTCGCAAGTATCGAATATGGAAAAGATAGATACAACAACACAATCTTAAATAACAAAGCAAAAATATTTGGAAATAATATCGCATCATATTCAAAATACATATCTTTATTATACAATTATACAATAATAAATCCAAGCTAATAAGTTAATTACAAAATTTTTTAAATCTAAAGTGGTCATAGCATTCCTGGTTTAAACATATTTCTGCATGGTAACTTATAAATTTAAATTTTTTGTTTTTAAATTTCTTGCTTAACCAAAGCAAACTTTCTATTTCGCCAAACCTTTTTATCAAAAAAATATTATTTTACATCAAATTTTCAAATACCTAAAAATCATTATTATACCAAAGAATTAAAATAGAATAAATAAAGAAATCTTTAAGAAAATAATTATCCATTTTTTTAAAAGTGTTGAATCAAATAAAAATATTAACAAATAATTAAGAAATTATAGGCCATTTACTTCTTTGTTTATTATTTAAAATGGTATTAAATATCATCAATAAATGATCAATTTTTAAATTTTAAATTTTGAATATCTGATAAGATTAACTAAAAATAATTTTTTCAAAAGTTATTTATAATATTGATTTTATTTCACAAAAAAAAGATGAGGAAGGCAACATGATAGATTTATCTGAAGTATCTGAACAAGATTTAATCATAGCACAAGTTGATGAAGTTGTAAACGAGATAATAAATTCAAAGGCTTCAGCTATAATTGCTAGTAATTCAACAAATTTGCTATAATTAGATGAAGTTACAGAATTTTCATACTCTAAAAAATGCTATAATTTTAGTAGTATGCAGGTTATTGGTATACCTGGAAATAGATAATCTAGCTTCCTTTAAATATAGGATATACCTATTTATACTAGTTATTCAGACGGAAATAAAAATTTCATTAATATTTCTTCTTCTTTAATTTAGATTGAATTAAACTTTAGATAGTGCTAAAAAGGAGAAATTCAAACAGATTCTACAAAATCCTCTTTATTTAAATGCAGTGTATGCCCAAAAGGTAAATATCAGCTAAAAGACCCTTAAACACTATCTCCTTCTGAATAGGTTTGCCTTCCATGCCCCTAAGAAAAAGCAAGTTAATGCTTTGCTAATTAAATATAAATAAAACCAGGTTATTGGAGAAAAAATAACGAAACTGATGAAATTATTTAATGCTAGGTAAATAGCTTGTTTTGTAATGGTGACCCTTCAACTAACTACTGTAGTGAAGGTAGGATTGGACCTCTGTGTGAAACATGCGACATTTATGGAGAAGTTTGGAAAGATTCTTATTTTCATTCATCTCTTAAGACATGCTCTAAATGCCATTCATTCGATGTTCATGCCTATATAAACGTATTTCTGATCATTTTGATTTTTATCTACATTATATTAGTTGTCAGGGGAATTATCCTTAAAGCAGAATCTCAAATTTATTCAACTTATTTGCGTAAAACTGGTTTGTTTATAGCTGGAACAAGTGCAGAAGCTGACAAGTCTACAATATATATAAAAATGCTAATCACTTATCTTTTTATTTCTACATCTTTTTTTAGTTTTAATCTATTATTCCCATTGGAAGTTATTAATTTAACTACGTCTATAAGTAATCCTATTAAAGTATCTTATTTCAGTGTTGATTGCTTGATTAAAAATTTAAGACAATCTTCTCCTTTGCCTTATGCAAGACTAATAATTCTTTAGCTAGCTCCGATAATATACTTCTGCCTTATTACAATTTTCTTTTATTTAGTGTAAAGATGTTTATTTAATTAAAAATTTCATAAAAAGTTCTTGTTTGCTTCTATTTCTACCATTTTTATCTTATTTCACGGTAGCATCTCCTAATCGCTATTTGAACTTATTTCTTGCAGGACCATAGGTTCAGACAAATATGTTTAAATCTATTTAACAAGATAATGCTATGATAAAGACCACATTCTTTACTCAGTATCTTTAGGCATACCTCTAATCTTTATATGGGTTTTTGTCATACCACTTTCGATATTATTTTACATGAGAAGCCAGAAATCAAAGCTTGATTCTTTTCAAAATTTATATCGTTTTGGAAGTATTACACAGGAATACAAAAAGTAAACATATTACTGGGAAATAGTAAGAGTCTACCTTAGAGTTATAATTTCTTTTTTCATATCTTTCTTTTTAAGCAATTCTATGTTTAAAGGTAATTAAATATTAAAAAACGAAAACATTAAAAAAATATTAATTATTATTTTATTTACTAAAAGGTATAAGTGTATTAATTACTATTCTCATTTACTGGATTATGTTAAATAAATACCAGCCTTACATATAACATTCTTTAAATAAAACTGATAAAAATATATGTATGGTTGAAATGATTATTGTTATAAGCTGCACTTTTATAGATAATACAGCCTTTGATACACTAAAAATAATATTCAGTTTAATTGTTTACGTACTCCATGCTTATTAGACCATTTACCTAATCTATAATATCATTTATTCTTACTACCATAAAAATTTAACCAAATTAATTCTGGTCATTCATAAAATTATTAGTAAAATTAATTGCTTCTTCTCTAAAGAATTAAGAGAATCAATTAAGTATTCATCCCAAGTTCACAAATATAGCAGATTTAAACACTGGTAATTTTTGAGGTAATATTAGATTAACTTCTTTAATTTTTTTGATAATAAATATATTGAACATAAAATAGTAAAATTTTAATTGATAAAAAAATTAAATACAATAATTCCTTGTTAATTAGCACATTCATTTCTCCCTAAATAACCCAATAAATGACCTAAATTTTTTTTTTTTAGGTATTAATTAAATTAGGTGTAAATTTATTAATGAGGAATCATATTAAATTTTAACTTTATTAAATAATAATTTATCAGATTCCTAAATTTTAAACTAATTAATATAGATTAAATGTTCACCAGGCTATTCTTTTAAGGAAAGTTAATCCAAAGCATAAAATGCTTTCTGCTTAAACTGTTAGAATTTCCTAAGTTAATCATGTAAGAAAAATAAGAAGTTAGCTAAAATTTATTCTATCTAATTAAGATAACTCTAGAAGTTTTAGAAGTTAAGTAAATATTGATACTCTATTTTAAAGAGACATTAGTATTTCTAATCAAATTTAAAATTTTGATGATATGAAAATCAAAAAAATGCAAAGTATTTTACAAGATAAACAAGGTTTGGGTTTGCCTAACCCTTAAACTAAGGATTAAAATTAAAGATTAATTTAGCCAAGGATACCTCTTTAAAGTTAATTTAGTAAGTTAAACTAGCCTCTTAGAAATATTACAGATGTTTCTTCTTCAAATGTATCTAATAACTACCATAATGCTAATAGTGATAAATCTTGTTTTGTTTAAGATTCTTAGCTTATTCTAGATAATTATACTTATAGAGTTTATTAAACAAAAGATATTAATAATAACTTCCCATAAACAATAACATCTTATTTAGCTACTCTTCTTCCGACAGTAAGACCCTTAAATGATAATACGAAATCATAAATATATGAAGATAATAACTCTCATCTTAATTTTTCATTCACAGAAAACCCAGAGTAAGGATAATGCACACCAATAAGATTACCAACTGGATATATTCAAACTGCAGGTAATTTATAGACTAATCCAAATTTTAATTACTCAATTAAAACTCTTGAGGATTAAGTTTTTATTAGTTAAGATGACGTTGAAGGTAAGGCAAATCCTTCTTAAATTTAATAAGGTATTGATTAAGTTATTTCAAACAAAAAGAACCAATATATAAAAAACAAAGAAAAATAAGAATGAATAAATTATATAATTAATTACATGTAATGTGTTCAAATATTTTGTATTAAATTTAATAAATAAATAAATAAATAAAACAACTTTCTAATGATCGATCAATAAGTAATTATTGCAAACTTATAACTTGTGATAAGCACCAAATATATTTTAAAAAGTATATTTTATTTTTAATAAAGTTCAAATAACTTTCTAATAATCATTGATTGATAAGCAATTATTACTAATTTATAACTTGTGATAAGCACCAAATATATTTTAAAATGTATATTTTATTTTTCATAAAGTTTTAAAAATAGTTAATTTAATAAAACCAAATTTATTGCTTTTCACTAATTTTATAGTTATTTCAAATTAAATATAAACTCATTATAAAATATCATTCATTTTATACTTATTTCAAATTAAATATGAACAACTCATTATAAAATATCACTATTAAAATAGAGTTAAAATCAAAAATAAATATTATAAATTGCATTAAAATGAATTATGATAAAACTAGAATAATTAATAAATAAATAAATTTAGCTTTAACTGAACTTTTTATTGCAAGGAAAATATTTCATGCATACAAGTTAACTATGGAGTTATAAAGCAAGCATGAAGTATATAATAAAATAAATTTGAAATGCATTTATTATTAATCTTATCTAATCTTTGATTTTTCTCAACCCAAAAGAGTCCAGTTATTAGTCCAAATGAAGGGGTGAAGTCTGTGGAGGAGACCAGTTTTATCTAAGTGATTAAGAGTTTTGAAGGGCTTGAGTTGAATTTCTTCTCCAGCATCGATTTTAGCCTTATTAGTTTCCAAAATCTTAGCTTTAACATGTTCTCTTTCCCAAGGGGCCTTACCACTATCGAATTTTTCGTGGATGTCAGCCTTCCATTCACCTTCGGTAGAACCATGGATGTGAGGATTGTAGATCCAGTTTCTCTTTTCTTCTTGAGATCTACCTTCATTTCTTAAGAATTATTCAACTTCTTCTTCAGTGAACTTTCTGTTCAAGGGTTCAAAGTTTTAGCTATTTTAAAAAATGATTTAAATTATCATGTTTGGATATAAGTGATAAAAAAGTCATTAATTTTATAAAGAAGTGTTCGTTTATTATCTTATTGTTTCATTGTTTATTTTATGAATTTTATAGGATATTTATCTTATTTTATTAAAAGATACGAATAGGCAGATTTTAATTATGCTTTTTATAATTCAAATATTTTATTAATTAATTACATTAAAGCTTCCTTGTTAGTGCTGTAGTAGGTATTAGAGTACATTAATCCGTTCATTCTGGCATCATTAGAACCGTATCTTCTAGAAGTGAAGTAGTAGTCACCAATCTTGAAGAAAAAGTAAACAGTGGCAGCTTATGCGAGGAACTTAGTGAAAGGTTGGTATCTAAGTCTAGGGAAATATCTTTCAAAATAGTGGAAATAGTTATTGCAGCAGTAAAGAGCAAAACCACCAGTAAAAAGACCTGTAAAATATTACAAAAAAGTATGTTGATGTTTAAGCTATAAAAATTTTGTTAATTAAAGGTATTTATAAAACTATTTGCCATAATAAAAGCTATTTATTTTAATACTTTAATTTATTAATCATTCATTATTAGTAACTCATTTTAATCTAATTTATTAAGAAAAGGCAGGGATAGACTGCCATAGCCCATAAAGATATTTTTAAATTTATATTGATATAAAGTAATTGCTCACCTAAGATTTTACCGTTGACCTAATGATTTTGTAACCAAGCTACTTACTCAGCTTCTTCTTTAGAAAAACCTGCAGCAATCTAAATATTATTTAGAGAACAAATTAATATTTTAATTGTATAAAATGATTATTGAAAATTTCTCAAATCATAAAGTAGATATTCAATAATTGATTTGCTGCATTTATTTATCTCCCATAATATATCATTTTTTATAACTTAATATGCTAATTTCATTTTTAAAATATCTAATTAATAGCTATTAATTTAAACGTAGCTATTTTTGATAAATTTCATTCCCTATTTAGAGTAATGCAATCTAAAATCGAAGTATCGCTAACTTTGATGAAATGGCTATTCAATTTAATAATTATTTATAAATCCATACAAGAGTTCTAACACGAGCAGCCTCGCCAGAAAGCTTAAAGTTATCAGGATTACAAATTCTTTCAAATAAGTGATAGACCATTTTGACTCCTTTTTTTAAGATTTATTAAAAGTCTCTTTTCTATTTAATTAATTTATATTTTATCTTCCTTTTTATTATTCAGAATATACATTAAAAATATTAATCTTAACAGCATACATTAGATATATCTATCTATACAAATAATCAATTCAATTAATACAATTATTTATTTATTAATTAAGTGAGAAAGCAAGCAAGCAAAAAGAAGAAAGCAAGTAAAAAGGATAGATAGATAGATACAATCAATCTATCAATGATTTCTTCCTTCATTCTCTTCTTTTTCTCTCTTTTTAATCTTTCCTATTCATTTTCCCTTCCTTTATGAAAATAAAATAAATTAATCTTTAAATATTATTCAAAGCTTGATAATTAATTAATTAAAAAGTTAAATTATTAATTGAAATTCTAAAAAAAATGAAGAAATATTTAATTTACAAATAAAAATTTTCATTTTATCAATAATAAAATGGCTATTAAAAGCTAATTGACTAATATTTTGTTTGTTTTAAATAACATTTTAATTTGTAAAAGCTCCTATTTAATTTTTTTTTTTAATTTAATTTTCAAAAAAATAATAAAATTTTCAAAAATAAGATTTATTTTTAAATAAAAAAATTTTTTAATTTATTGTTAATTGAATAAAAAAATGTATTTATTTTTCTTTTGATTTGAAATAATTTTAGAAACATTATAAATAGATTTAAATTTTGATAAGAAAGAATTATTTCAAATACCTTAAAATAAAATAAATAATGACATTTTTTAAGTTAATTGTTTGTAATTATAATAAGTGTCTATGATTTGATTAAAATTTTGATTTATAAAAAAGCTTCTTGGTGAATACTATTGTCATCAAATTAATACTGATTTAGTAGTGCATAAATATTATATCTAATTAATTTCATAATTTAGAAGTTTAAAGAATTATTCAATATTATTAAAGAGAGAAAAATGGATATCGAAATTAATTAACTATAATATAATAATCAATAAGGAGAGGAGTTTAAGTAAGCTGAAGAATAAATAATTGAATAGGATCATAGAAAATATTCTAGTGATGAAGAAGAGGAAGATGATGAAGATATCATATAAAAATAAAAAAACGAATCTATCAAAGATGAGAATACTACATAAATAAGCAATTAAGATGGAGGAGATGGCTAAAAATAAAAGAAGAAGAAGAAAAAGAAAAGAAAAAGAGACTTACCTGAAGAGGAGGAAACTGATTATGAAGTAGATATTGTCAAAAAAGCTAAAACATCAAAATTATTACTTTGTGAAGCAATTCAAGATCATTTAAGATAAAGATATGCATTAATAGAAGCCAACCCTTGGTTATTAATTGTATCTGATATACCAAGAATGATTACAGATATTGAAATTAAGGAGTTCTTCAATATTCTAATTTCTAAATTAAGACCAGAACTAGCTGAACCCTCACCTGTTGTAAAAGTAGATGTTATGACCAATGGATAATTTGCTACTATGCATATGAGTTGTAAATTGGCCAAAAGCTTTGCTCTTACTTTAAGGGGTGTTGAATTCTAAAAATGCGTAAAAATTATGATTAAAAGAAAATTTTAGAAATAAAAGAGAGAATTTATAATAAAATCAAGCAAAAATAAATCTTTTCAATAAAAAATATTTTTTCAAATCTAAAAAAGTGATAGAAACACATAAATTTATAATTATAATTAATTTTATAAATAACTTCTTTTAGTTAAAAATATTAGCTTGATTTTGTTAACTTTTTCTTCAAAAAATCTACATTTTCTTTTGAAAATGATATTATTTTCAAGATAAAGATTGAAATTTATTTTTAAAACATTTATTTAATTTCATATATTTTTTATAATATAGAAATTGATGATAGAAAAACCCAAGCAATACTTTTTTAGGATGTATATGGAGAAATAATAAAATGATGATGTTATGGTAGATGTAGATGATGGTGCTTTGTAGCAAATGCAAATGAATAAAATTTATATGGGTGGTTTGCCTACTTATTTAAAAGACATAGATGTTAGAAAATTATGTGAAACCTTTGGCAAATTAAAATACTTTAATGTAGCAAAACAATAAAATGAAAATAAAGAGCAAGTTTCTAAAGGTTACTGTTTTTTTGAATACGAAGATCCAAATATCACTGAGAAAGCTATTAAAGCACTTAATGGTCTACCTTGTGGTGATAGAAAGTTAAAAGTTTCTAGAGTCACAAAAGATCAAAATAAACTTGCAAATACACAATAAATTTAAAGTGAAAAAAACAAATTAGCTCCTTCTAATAATGTAAATTGAATTCAAACATATTTTTTTATTTTAAAAACTCGTATAAAATAGAGTGGTAGTTTTCTAGGAGGTTCTGATTTAATTAGAAAAGACGAATTTTAAAAGTTATTAACTATTCCGGAATTTACTTCTCTTCCAAGTAGAGTTATTCAATTATTAAATATGGTGTCAATTGAAGATCTATTTGAAGATGACATTGTAGATGATTTATATTAAGATGTTATGACAGAATGCGAGAAAATAGGACCAGTTGAGAAAATAGAAATCCCAAAGCCATGCAAAACTACAGGCATATGCCCTCCATGCATAGGAAAAGTTTTTGTTAAATTTAAGTAAATTTTTATATCATTAAAATTATAAATTTCTAAATATCATTTGAGGTTTTTAAAGGAAATTTCTAAGAACTTTTTATAAATAAAAAATTAAAATATATTTTTTATTTACAAAGATATATGTTGAAGGCAAAGAAGGCAAGATATAGTTTGAATGGAAGAACATATAATCGTAGAACAGTAATAGCTTCATTTTATCCTGAGGATAAGTTTGATCGCAAAGATTTTCTTGTTTCTATTTTGTGAACAAAAATAAAAATAAAATAAATAAGTTTTCAATATATAAAATTGTTAATAAATTAGTTTTATTAATAATCAATATTACTAAGAGTATATAAATGCTAATTAATTAATACTAATCAAAAGTACATTTTTTAAAGATTTTTTTTTATTTTTTTGGAAAATGATTTATATAAAAGATAAAAATAAATAAACATCTTTATTAACTATTTTTATAACATATTGTCTATTTTATTAAAAATAAAATTTATTAAAGAAAAATAGACATAATGATATCTAGAATTTACGGTTTAAAAGTGTTTAAAATGGATTTTACTCACATTAACTGATCATAAATATTCATCTATTCTTTACTATTTTAAAAAATGTGAAATATTTGGCATGAAATTTCTATAAAAAAAATTAAATTTGAAGAAGTTTTTATGTTGAAAGTAGATTAAACATTTAAAAAGTTTAAAATTCCTTAATTTTTATGTGATTAAGTATTTTTCCATACTTATCATTGTGATATTTTGTTTATAAATACCGTATTTGATGATAATTTTCTTAGAACCATTTTATATTTATTGCTTTTTTAAAATGTTTATTTTATTTAAAAAAAAATAAATTAAAACTTCTGAAAAGAAATAAAGAAAAACACCAAGTAAAAAAATAAAAAATGTTGTTAAATGAAAAAAAAGATGATTTTATTTAAAAAACATTTTATTTTTAGTTATTTATTTTTGTTGTTTCAATTAAAAATAAAACTTTTAACTTTTATATGTTTATATTTAAACATCTATTCTAGATTAATTTTTATTCTAAAATTTGCTAGAATGTTCTAATGGATATTGATGTTAATTTACATTGATTTTATTCATGACTTTTCTAATTTTTAAAGAAATTTAATAGTGTATTCATATCAAATAACCAAGCAAATCAACCTCAAATAAAAATTAATTAAAATAGAGAAACATAAAGATAGAAAAAATTTAAAAAGAAAGGAAAGAATAATTAATTGATCAAAAAAAAGTTAATTAAAATTTCTTAATAACAAACAAAAAAATATTATTATCTATAAAAATATAAAATTGCAAACAAGTTTTATAGGTACTTAGAACAATCATTTGAAAGATTAAAAATTTATATAATTAGAAACACTTCTAGTCATTCTTCGATTGCCTCTATCCTACTTAACTCATAAATCCCTATTTTATTATCTAACTAATCAAAATGCTAAAAAATAATAATTTACCCTTGATAGCAGCTGGCGCATCTCTCACTTCTTTAGGTATTGGCTACTTACTAGTTAAGCAATATTTAAGCAGTAAAAAACTATCTCCCTATGTAGAAGCTTTGGATAACGTATTAAATAAAAGTAATTTAATGAAGAGAAAGAATAAAAAAGGCAAGAACGCTAATAAGAAAGCTCAATTTGATGATAACCAATTAATTCATAAAAATAGCTTTTAAAATGCTGAAGACGATGTAAAAAATACTTTGATTGAGTCAAGGAATAAAAAAAATTAAAGAATTCTTGAAAACGAAAATTTCTTTGAAGAGCTAAATGAAGAAGAAGAGTTAAAGAAATCTCTTGATGATTTTGAGCAAGTCATTAATTCAAAAATTAAAATTAGCTCTGCTCACTTCGATGCTCTGGGAAGAAGTAAAGATATAAGAAGACGCAAAGAAAGCGCTAAGAATGAATTTTCAGAAATGATTTCTGAAGAACTCTAATGCTCTGCTGGAGTTAGCAATTCAGTGTGCCTAGCAAGAGTTGATAATGAAGCCTACATTTGTCTAACATGTGATAAAATAAATGAAAAAAAAAAGAACAATAATTTGAATCAAAACAATTTATCCACTGAAGATGATGATGGTGAAGATATTGATTATTTTTAAGATAAAGATGAATGTGATGAAATGGATGAAGATTCAGATAGATATATAAATTAATAGCTTGATATATTGGGTGTACAAAAAGGAATATCTCAAGTTTAAATTAAAAAAGATCCTAAGAAAAAGAAATAGAGAAAAAATACATATCCAAGTTTAAATTAGTGCTAATTTTATTGTTGGAAGTGCATTTAAGAGCACCATTAAAATCATATAGTATGCTAGATTTCTTCTTAATCTTGTTATATCAATACTAATCCAAATTTGAAATAGAGTGTAAGCTTATTAAGATCAGACTAAAATAGTGCTTAAATTTATTCACCTAAGTTAAATGCAGAATAGTAAATTTATCTTTCTGTAATTAGGGAACAGATGGAGATGTAATAGTTAAACAGTTAAGCTATTGGATTGTATTGCTGTTCTATTGAGTAAATTTTAGTCACTGAAGAAAGCATTCCTCTTTAAATTGAAAACCATCTTTCATAAGAACTCAATTTAATTTTCGACTCACTTTTTGACAGAGTTAAACAAACTTAAACAGATGAATTCAATAATCTCCTTCATATTATACTCAAAAGAATCGATGATATCATGCTTGATAACAATATTCTAATTTACATAATGGGAAGAATTTTAATTAAAAAGAATATCATAGACCGCATTCTACGTTGCGATAGTCTTGAATCTCATAACTAAAAAAAATTCAGTGAGATTCTTATGAAGATGGCTAAAATTGATATTTCTCTCCGCTCAGAAATTGCAGTTATTTTGCTTTAAGATTTTAAGTATGTTTTTGTATCACATATTCTCAGCTCTGCTTTACTTTTTATGCTCAAATCATCTCAAGTTCGCCTATATGCAACTCAAAAGTTAAATAAAACTTCCTAATTTTGTGCAGGTTTGTTAAATATGAAAAGTATATTTGAAAAATTTAAAGATTCTTATAAATACCGCAACAAGCTTATGCGTTGCTTATACATTACGCGTGCTCTCTGTGAAGATAAAATCTTTGTGGTTGAAGGAATATTAAACAAATCCACCAAATAATTCTCTGAACTTTTATGCGATGTAGCACGTTATCTGGAGAAAAAGTCAATCATCCACCGTAAAGATTTAATGAAAAACATAATCCACACAAATATTGCAGAAGAAATATTTTATTTAAAAAACCTTGACTTTTCCTTCCGTCAACTTTTTAGTGATGTTATCTAAAATGCTCACTTCGCTCCTGAAAAATACCGTTAATAGCTTTGGTAAAAGCTAAGCTTTTACTTAAAGCAAAACATAGAAAACTTTGCTTATGATGTAAATTAAATCGAATCAAACAATTAAGAAGTAAATTCTCACAAAGATAACTATTCAAAAGATTATATTTATCTTAATATAACATCCTTAAATATGATGACAATTATGAAAAGAGACATTAGATGCAATAGAATTTGTTTAAACTTTGAAGATTTCTCTTAAGAGTCAAAGATCATTACAAAAAAATACATTTTTGCTGAGTAAGAAGGCTACTAAATTCTATTACTTCACCATTACGGTAGTGTTGTTAATAATCCTTAAAATAGATGCTTGTTTGAGCATGTTAAAAATATTTACGGATTTCCTGAGTTAGGTGATTTTGATTTGATAACATACCTTTAATAATCTATTAGTGATAGTAAATTTATCAACGAAATATTCACTAAAAGTAATTTTCCATGCTATGATCTTTATTAAAATTTAAGAATACTCTTCACTGATTTCCCTAATTAGTTAGGCTAGCTTTTAATTAACTTATTTTAGATCAATCATTAATAAATGCCTTTAAGTGTTTTGATTGAAGAACTTTTAAGATATATTCATATCGATAATTTGTCTAGCCTTAATTTAGACGTTTTCTGTGAAAAGGTAATAGATAAATAAATACTGAATCAATATGAAAGCAAATACCGTAATTAACCTATATACAAACTAAAAGAACTTTATTACAGTGAATTCTTCCCTTTGATATTTAGCAAATACCCTGAGGATTACGAAAAATTAGTGAAACAATAATAATTGACATTTAAATTAAAACAATTCGACAACCATTTAACTAAGCAAATTGGTAATTAAATACTCTCTGGTAGTTCTGATTCTTCTGAAGAATAAATTCTTAATGGACCTAAAATATTAAATGCTAATTTCTTCAGCTCAAAATCCAACAACAATGATATATTTGGCAGCGATTATGATTTTATTTTACTTAAAGACAGACTTATTACTTTCCATTCTTCAGTTATGGATAAAATTATACCAACAACAAAGGCCTTTTTCATGATAGATAGAGAAGATCCTATATTGTGCACTATCATATAAATTTATATTAGAATCATATTATTTTAAACCGAAGCTGCACCTAATTAATTCATGAAATCAACTCCTGTTCCCTCATAAAAATCTCCTTTAAACATTTCAAACTTAATACCTGAAAATGTACTTTAAAAAATGAAAAATTTCAAATCACTAAATAAATACTTATTAGATGATGTTGAGTATTTAAAATCTCATTTTCAAAACCAACCAACTATGAAATTGAAAAGATACTCTTCATCTAACCAATGATAATTTTCAAAATATATTTTCTAATTTATAATAAAATGTTTTCAATTTAAAAAAGTTTAATCTTCAGATTAAACAAAAAATCTTAAAACTCTAATTAAAATAATATATAAAATCATATATATGAACTTATAATAAAAATATAAAATAAATATATAGATTATAATTTAATGTTAATAAATTATTAGCACGTACTTATTTATATTCAATTCTATATAATAATAAACAAATTTCATTTTATCTAAAATAATTTTCATTTTTATTAAAATTAAACACTTTTACTCCTATGTAAATCAACATTTTAATTAAAAAATTTTATATTAATTTAGCTTTTTCTAATATTTTACTTAAAAATATATAAATTATTTATTTATTTACTGCAAGATCAATAAAATAATATAAAGTAAATAACTAACTATCTAATAGAAGTTTTATCTTATTTAAAATAATAAATTTTGGTATAATTTTTTAGTTAGCAAAACCCTAGAGCATTATTTAAAATTTAAACAAAGTTATCTATTATAAAATTGAAGAAATTAATTTTTTTAGTATTATCTTTTAAAATTTTATTTTAGATTAAATTAAAAATTAATTGTTTATAAAATATTCTTACCAGATTAATTAATTAATCAAATTGAAATTTTATTAATTAATATTGACAGTAAGTAAATTATATTTTATTATTAAAGTGATAAATAATTTTTTATTGAATATTTTATAATTTGCAATAATTTATTATTATAAAGCAAAAACAAACAGTGATGTTATTACATTAATAAACACTTTAGTAACTTATTTCAATTAATCTTAAAAGGCTTGAATATTTTAAGCTACTTTGCAAAATCTGAGTTATCTAATTATTTAAGTTATTCGTTTATGTGTTCTTATTTTAGTCTTTATTTGAATATTGCATTGTAATTTGTTTTATAGGCTTTAAGATCACTACCAGCCTTATCGATTCTGATAGGCTTAGATAAATTCCAATCTTCCTTCCATTCATACTTAGTTCTTTTTATTTTTTATAAAAATAATTTAAAATAAATATGTTAAATATTTCATTACTTCATTTCAGTTTTAGGAACTTCTTGAGCTATGCATCTCGAATGGAGAGAACGTAAACAGGCTAGAACAAGCTCTTAAAATTCTAATTCATCATTTAATTCAATCCAATTGTCAATAAATAATTTTGCTAAATCACTCAAAGGCTTTGCAAATGGTAACTAATAAATTAATGAATTAATATTTATATAAAGTATGCTAAATTATTAATAATTTTGTTAAAATTTATATTCTGTTATTGAACGCAAGCAATAATTTAATTGCTTAATATATCTAAAGGTTATTGTTATTTTTTTAATAAAGTAATTAATTACATCAGAACATTTTTTATATTTAAAGACATTTTAGGTTGGTTTTAAATCCTTTTACAAATAACCAAATTCTTGACCATAGCTACTTGTTATTTGACTTTTTCTATACATTTCTTCTGCCTTTTGGAAGCTGATTTAAATTTAAATTATAAAAAATTGAATTATATGTACGGGAATGTTATTCAAATGTTTCAAATCTAAAATATGTAAATTTGAAATTTTGAATATTCATGTAATTTTATACTCGAATTCTTATTGGGCATGAAGCTGTTATAGTTGAACACTTGGAGGTTTTGCTCTATTTTATTTTTTATAAGATATTAATAAATATATATGAAATAAAAATTAACTTTACCTAAATTTTTTACTTCCTTTATGCTTATAAATAGCACCTAAAAGTTGTAATCCTCTTGCCTCTTTTTCATTTGCAGTATGAATCCAATCACTGTAATATTTTATATATTCAGGCTTTATAATTTAGTTTAATATCTGCTAAGGTGTTAATGAAGTAGTGCTTGTTATTGTTGATTGCATTCTTAATATTAATAATTTATAATGTATTTCTTCTATTATCTTTTAGTTTATTAAAAATTATAAAATAAATGCAGATTCATAAGTTTTATAACTATTTTTTATTAAGTTAAAGCCAATTAATAAAAGAGTTGCAATTTCATTGGCACAATAAACACAAAATTCCATCTATTTAATCCAAATAACAAGAGTATTAATAAAATAAATCCTATCTCTTAGCCATTATTAAAATAAGTAGTGGCTCTTAACTCATTTTCTTAAAAATGATTTATTAAAAAAATAAAAAATTTATAAAGCTAATTCAGTAAATACGTAAATTAAAAATACATTCCCTTTGAATGTTATCCTTAGCATTTATAAATATGTATGTAATTCATTTTTATGATTTTAACTTTTATTAAAATAATATTTTTTTAATTTATTAATGTATATGTTCACTTTATAACAATATAACAAAAAATATTCTATTTTATTTTTACCTTTATAAATCTTCACATATGTTTTATATATTAACTAAAATAATCTATCTAAGATAAATAAATTTTACAAAATATAAACAAATAAAATAAATATTTTGTTTGTTAATAAAATATTTATTATTTATAAAATTAAAATTTGTAAATATAAAATAAAAAATAAGATATAAATAAATTAATTAATTGATTAATTAGTATTATAATTTTAGTTTATTTTATAATTATTTAAAATGTTGTTAGCTAGTTTTAATTATTTTTTTTAGATCGTACATTCATTTCTAATCTTATTCTTCATTTTTATTTTATTGTTGAATTTTATAAATTTTATTACAACCAGAGAATACTTCTTTTAAGTCTTCTTAGGTAATTTTACCATCTTAATCTATGTCTAAGATATCTTTTAAAATATTCATTTCTTTTGTGTCAATTTAACCATAACCTAAATATTTCATCATTATGTTTAATTTTCCTTTATTTAATTCCCCATTTTAATCTAAAAAAAGCTTTAAAGCTTCAGTAAGAGGGTCTTTTTGTATTTAGTTTACTCTTAGCAGCTCAAATAATTCTTTGCTATTTACTTCTTTTCTAGGTGGAAACATAAATTAAATTTCTTCTTGAGGGAAATCTGGGTTTATTATGTTCATTCTTTGTTTCACTTCATTTATACCTATTGATGCACAAGGACTTTCTTTATAAGTTTCTTTTCTTTTAGTATCTTTTTTTGCTGATTTTATTGTGTTTATGGCTGTATTAATTTGATCATATTCAACTTATAACTTATTTTAATCCTACGGATTAGTTTGGAAAAATTCTACTCCTATTAAATAAATTTTATAATAAATAACCTTGACTCATTTATTTAAATAAAGATATTTACCTAAATTAGTTTCGCCTAAGATATCTTATAAATAAGCAAATCTTTCTTCTTTAGTTTTTGTTCCTTAATCTAATTAATTTTGCAAAGCTTCTATGATATTTCTCTACTATTAAACTATATTATCTTTTTTTTGCTATTCAAATGTGCTTAAAATTTGTTATTTTTAAGAGTCAGCTAAGTTTGTAGACTGCTTCTTTGAGCTATTCATTGAAGAAGTGCTAGATTTTCTCATTTTTTTTGATTTATCTTTTTTCAGTGCTACTTTAAAATAAGTGAATCAAATTAATTTAAAAAATTATAATTAATCTCTACAAATTTCTTAATTTTTGCGCAATTAATTTTGAAGTTGCAAATTATTTTAATTAAATTTTTCAGTTAAAATATTTAATAAAAATAATTGATTATTGTAAAGATATTTTTATTTAAAACTCAATTATCCTACAATAAGAATTTTCTTATTAGTTTATTATTAAATTATTTTTTAAACTATTTTTTAAAAAATGTAAAACATATGAATCATTTATAGAATGATAAAAATGAAACAATATATTTTGCTTGATTTCATATATAGAAAGATAAAAATGAAACAATATATTTTGCTTGATTTCATATATAGATAAAAATAAAAGTAAGTTATTCATACAATAAATAAATAAATGAGTTGATTTAAATTTCTATCTTGTAAGACGTTTTGTAAAAAAGATAATTTATTTAGTTGTTATACTAATAATTAAAATAGTAAGCAATCACAAAGATATACTATTCAAGTGTATTCAATTTATTTCACAAATTTATTTGAAGTTTAAAATCAATTTTATAACTCATTGAAAATATCAATCATAATTAATTAATAAATTCATATAAAAATCCAATAAGATAGTTAAGTTTAATTGATTAAAAGAAAGAAATTCATAAAATATAAAGAGTAGAAAATAATATATTTAATCGTTAAATAATAGCTTAAATTAGGAAATGGCTGATAAGAACATAGTCAATGATGCTGTTAATCAACAAACTGTGATACAACCGAATGAATAGCCTGATGTTTAAAATTAGCAAACATTCACCACAAAGAAAAAGGATAATAAAGATAAGGGTTATCCACCAGATTATAGAAGGAGAAGAATCAATAAAATGAAATAGATAGAAAAGTTTTTGATAGAAGAAGAGATATATTAGCATGTTGATACAAGTTTTTAGGCAGATGTTAAATATTTAGATGAACTTGATTACCACTTGGGTGATTTTGTTTTTAAATTAAGAAACCCAGATCATCCTAATTTTGAATATAACAAAGAATCCTAGTTACAAATATAAAAATTAATTGATAACTCTTTATAGAAAAAAAAACCTTCTTAAATGAAGTTCAGTCAATTATCAAAAATGGCTGATTTAATTCTGCATGCAGACACTCCATTTGAAACAGTTAGGTCAGAAAACCACTTAATTAATTTAGCTTTATTTAGAGTATTCAAAAGAATTTATGACTATGTCAAACTTCGTGATGATCCAAATCAAGAAGAATATAATTTACTTAAAGAGAAATATTAAGAATAAAATGAAAAATAATTTATGATTAAGTACACTCTTGATAATCTTGGTGTTTTCGAAACAATACCCAAGCCTCCAAAAGATAGAAAAAAAAATAGGCAATATAAAAAAGCGAATATGATAGTAGACGATGAAGGTAATAAATTAACTATTTTTTTGTATATTTATCTACCCAAAGTTATTAATAAATAGAATTTAAAATTTATATTAATTATTTGCGGCTAAGTAAAGTATTTAAAATAATATTTAAATCTATTTATTTAGTTTTTTAATATTTTATTTTATTTCGGAATGATACAAATTAGCTTTAAAAATTTGAAATTCAAAAAAAAAAAGTTTTAAGCAAGAAACAAATCTAAAAATAAAAAAATAATATTTAATAAGAATTTTATCATGCTTTATAATTTTATTAAATAATAATACTTAGGTTATGCAAACACTTTGAAAAACGATATAAAAATACCTATTGCCAATATGGCTGGAGAGGGTAAAGTTGATTAGAGAGTCCCTTATTTAAGAAAAGATTAAAGTGGAAAGTGGGTTAGAACTGATAATCCTGTTTCTGATTTTACTACACTTTTCAGGAATTATTTGATTTATAAATTAGCAGTTTAGGGTGGATTTAAATTGAGATAGTTTATTTCTTAAAGTGGAGAGTTTTTTTATATTGTTCTTTATACATCTTTCGAAAATTTAAAAGCCCAAGCCTCAATTATGAGTTTGAATAAAACATTTTCTTTAACTCAGACAGATATTTTCTCTTTAGAGCCAGTTGACTCTAGAATGAGACCTCTTCGTTTGAATCATCAATTAAGACTCCTTACTCCCCAAGTTAAAGACGGAGATCCTGCAAAGCTATAACTAGTTAGGGAAGAAAGAGAGTAAAGAGAAAAATTGAAAGATGATTTAGTAAAAGGAAGATACAAGAAGGAGTTAGAAAAGCAAATGTTAAAATATAAAGGCCATAGATTTATTTCAGATGAAGACTATTCAAAATTAATTGATATTAGTGTTAAAACAATAGTACTTTCTGAAATTCAAATAGATAAATACATTGACATTAAAATGGAAAAAAATAAATTAAACGTTTTTTATGAAGATGATAGAAAAATTTTATTGTAAAAATAAAAAGTTTTAGGAGAAACCATTACAAATGAAAGAATTAAAATTAAAAAATAAATTGTTAAGGATATTGAAAATATTCCTCTACTTTAACACTCTGCATTCGCTCGTAAATATATTAATAATAAGGGACCAAGCATAAGCAAATTCAGCAAATAATTCTTTGAAACAAAGCTAAAAATTCTAGAACTTCTCTTTCATATTGATTTTAAATTGCTTTAATTTGAGTGTGGCTCTTCTTAACTTCAAACAAAAGAAGAAATTCAAGGTAAATTTTGAATAAAAAATAACATTTTAAATTACTATGACAGATTGCTTTTAATGTAATCAATAAATAGAAATTAAATTTTACAGCAGTTTTTTCATAACTATTTTTAAAATATAAAAAACCATCTAATTTCTGAATATTTAAATTCAAGTTACTTTCTTTTATTTTTAAAATTAAAATTTTCTCTCTAAACTTACAAATGAAGTTATGCTTCAAAACAAAGCTATTTTGGTTTATAAACATTTTATAGTTAGATCTAAATCGTATATATATTATTTATTTTAGTGGAAAGATGTAGATTGATAGATACTATTTTTCTTAGATAAAATAATTTTATTTTATTTTTTAATGCTATAAAAATGTTAAAAATTAATAAAACATCTAAAATAGCAATTTATTTATCATGATTTTAATTTGATAGAAGTTTGAATTAAAAAATAATTTTATAATAGAAAATAATGAAGAATCATACAATACTTACTTAGGATATCTAAGCTATCTTGAGAAACTTAATGAACTCATTTAAAAAGTAAGAGAAAAGTATAGAGACAAAGAGGAGTATGAAATCGATTCATACACACTTAAATAGATTTTAGATACAAAGAGACCTATTGAATTAAAGTCGTTGTTAGGTAGAAATAAGAAAAAACAAAAAACATATGTTGTGAAGAAGATTAAGACTACTCCAAATGAATAAGCACTAGAAATACATGTAAAAAATAAAATAAAATTATTATTTTTAAGATTATTAATGAAATAAATTAGATTCCTGCAGCTAATTGGAAAAAGTACATTTATGGAAATATGCAGCAAGAGATTTATGAAGCATTTACTTTAGCTCTTAGAAGAGCTCAGAAAGGCCCAAATGGTAGGAATATTAAGACTATTTGGGATTATTAAGGATAATCAGTTTAGCAAATATTTTCTGATTATATTTACGTACCAAGCTCTAAAAGAATTCGCAATAAAATTCTTCTAGAAAATTGCTGGCAAAGATAGCCAATAAACTTAAATGAAAAAATGGAAATATTCAACAAGATGGAAAGAATAAAGATTACTACTTCTTTATTAGTTAGTATTAAATTAATTTTAATATATATTTTATTTCTATCAGTCTTCCTTGAATTCTAAACTTTTATTATAATAAAAAAGGCTTGCTTGATTTTTCAAAGCTCAAAACTCAAGAAGACCTCATTTACGATTACTTCCCATTGCATGATAAATACTTGCTTTTTGGGTAACGTGAACACTCTGATATTTTTAGGAGGATTATATAAGAAAAGATAAAATAAGATTACCCAAACGAAGAGGATTATAAATTTTAGATAATTAATTCTGATAAACATTATGAGTTATAAATAAAAAATTACTAAATGATTACAGATTTATGCTTATTACCAAATTGGAATCCTTTGTTGATATATAATGTTCCTGAATAAGAAATTTGTGAATATTTTGGAGAAAGAATTGCTCTTTATTTTACTTTCCAAAGCTTTTATTTCAAAGCTCAGTTTTCTGTTGCTTTATTAAGTACTCCAATTTTCATCGTTTATGAGTATTTTGGTCAAACAGATAAAGGATTAGGTGCTCAAATAGCTGGTTTGATCCATATATTTATTGTTGTTATATGGTCAAATGTATTTTATGGACAATGGACTTATAGAGAAGCAGAATTTTCTTTAAAGTACAACCAATCTCAAAGTGGTGAAGATGAAGAAGATATAAGGTTTTAACTTATTTCTAATAAATCTAAAATATTTTTGATCACTAAATAATTATTTATTTAATTAATTAATTAACAGACCTGGTTTTAGAGGCGAATACGAACGTTCAATTACATCAAACAAGTTGAATGATTACAGTTATGACAGAAGATTAACTGAAAAATCTGAAAGAAACTATTGGATTTTAATATTTTTTATACTAATAGTAAACATAGTTATTATTTACGCTCTTATATACTTGTAATCTTACTTTGACGATCACAACACAATAGACTCTGGAAAAACTTTTATGGGATTGAACATATTTATTCCTACAATAATTCTTGAGTTCATCTTCTGGGTTGAAGAATTCCTCTTTAAGAAATTTGCCTTATTCACCTGCAGAGAAGCTAATTTCAAAACAACAAAGGAATTTGAATAAAGCTATTCAACCAAATTGTTTACTTTTATATTCTTTAACCACTTAGTCCCTCCTACTTTGATTTCGTTTATCATAGATCAAAACATAGGTTGTGTGTAGGATGATTGCTCTTATCATCTCTCTGTTTATATTAGATCATATTAGTACATCATAGTATTTAAAAGTATAGTTGAAATAATTTATCCTTTACTTAGAAGCTCTCTTAATAATGTCACTCAGTTAGTTAAATAGCTAGTTAACAAAGATGTAGATCAAAAGTAGTAATATCTCTTCGATCATGTTAATATAGAAATCGAGAACCAATCAGGATTAAGTAAAATAAATAAATAACTTAAAAATTGCTTTTAAAATAATTATATTTTTAAATAGTGGACAGTGTGATAGATGAAATAGATCAGCCAACAAGAGATTATATTGAAATGTTTACCTATTATTGCTTTAATGTTACTTATGGATTTGGTTTTCCTCTTGTTTTTGCTATAACTTTTGGAATCACATTTATTAAAATGATTGTCACTAGAAGACTTTTTACAAGAAGAATCAAGAGACCTAATCCATAAAATGCTTCTACAATAGGTATTTTCAGGCAATTTATGAATTTAGGTTCTTCGTTATCTATTCTTACATACACTGGTATATTCTGCTTCACAAGAAGCCAAAAGCCTGACTGGGGTCCTTTCACTCAACTTAATGCATTTATGTTTATTTCATTTTTCTTCTTTGTCGTGAAATTCTTTATTGATAGATATTACTCTGAACTCGATTCCAAGACTATGGATATTTTAAAAAGACAGGCATTTATCAGAGACAATTACAACCTTAAAAATAATCTATCTGGACCATCTACAAAGGTAGTAGAGTCTAATCCTTTCTTTAAAGTATATGGTACATATCTAGAAGATAAAACAGAGCAATTAAAGAAAAATAATTGAAATATATTCAAGATAGATTTTTTTATATATATTTATTATTTGATTTATTTTAAATTTATATTATTACTTACTTAGATTTTTTTGTATTTTTATAATATTTGTTTTAAATTTTGCTAAATTATACAATTTATTAATGTAATTTTTTATTATAAAATTAAAACCATTTTTTAAGATTCTTTTTATCCAAAAAAGTTTTTTGAGTTTTTTTCTTATAAAAAAAATGTTTATGGATTAAAAGTATTCTTTCAAAATTTAATAGCTGTATATATATTTAATTGTTTTTTTTAAAAACTAGCTAAATTTAAATTTAAAAAAATAAATAAAAATTATTTTATGAAGGCTGAAATTATTATTCTAAAAGTCAATCTCTCTAAAAAACTTGAAAAAATTAAATTTTACATATTTCTTAAGAATATTTGAATTGTTTTATAATGAAAATAAAATAACTAGTGAAATTAAACATTTATTTATAGCTGAGCATATAAATTATTATTAAATTTATATTTTTTTGAATTTGTAAAATAATTGCTGAATATTGATGCATAAAAAATTAAAAGGCTACTTAAAGTTACTTTTAGGATTGAAAAACTAATTTTATTAAATAGATATTTGCAAAGCATATTTCCAATTTTATTCTTTAGCAGAAAAATCTGCTTATTTTTATAATTTTTGATGCAATTGCTGATAGATTAAATTAAAAAGAAATGTATGAATAAATATATGTATTAATAGTATATTTGACAATTTAGTAATTTCGCAAAATAAAATAATGTAAAATGTTAATTTGGATTATTCATTCATTGATTTCTATTAGCAGTTTTTAACAAGATTTTGCATTCTATGAGATTAGATTATTTATTTATTTTAATAGTATCATTAAGTAATAGTTTGATTAAGTTAAAATACCACAAAATTTTTTTTACTATTTTATCTAAGTTAAACTATTAAAGAAATCTTGTTTATTTCCTACAAATATTGATATAAGCAAACTAATTACACCTAGTTACAAAAAAACAAATCTCCTTTTTCAGATATGTTAAAAGGGTTTGACTTTCAAAAAAAGTTAGGTAAATTTAACGAATTTAAGCAAGGCTCTTTTGAAAAAGATGAGAACTTACAATTATTTTATTATATTAGGAGAAGGAGCATACAGTTCAGTGTATCGTGTAAAAAGGTTAGAAGATAATTAAATATATGCCTTGAAAATGGTAAAGTTAAAGGAATTAAATGAAGTAGAAAAGCAAAATGCATTAAATGAAGTCAGAATTATAGCTTCTGTGCGTAGCCCAAATGTTGTAAATTATAAAGAGTGTTTTATAGACAAGCAATTAGACGTTCTCTGGTAATAATTTACATCAATTTCTAGCTAATTAATTTTTGATGGGAGTTTATAAGACTAAAAAATTTTAATTTGTAAAATGAACAGTATAGTGATGGATTATGCAAGTGAAGGCGATCTTCTTCAAAAGATACAAGAACACCAGAAGAAAGGATCCTACATGAAAGAAGAAGATATTTGGAATATATTTATACAGGTAAATACATAGTTTAAATTTAAAGAATGAATGTAGGTGCTAGTTACTTTAAGTATTGTCAATAATATAGTATATGCAATCAATACTAATATTAGAAATTAAGAATAACATTTGAAGCAATAATTAAAATTAGATGTTCAAAAAAATTAACTATTTTTTATCAATTTAGATGTTAAAAGGTCTTAAGTCTATGCATGACATGAATATAATGCATCGTGATTTGAAGGTAAATTTCTTAAAGATTTATATCCATTTTACATATAACATGTATTTTGTTGTTACAAATTTAATTTAATTAATATAATCAATAAGAATGTGTGGTCTTAAATTAAACAATTATAATCAATAAAATAAAATATTCCATCAATTAATAATTCATAATTTTATTTACAGAGTGCGAATGTATTTCTGTATGAAGACAGGATAGCTAAGCTTGGCGATTTTAATGTTTCTAAATTGTAAAAGAAAAATCTTTTATACACCTAAACAGGTACTCCATACTATGCAAGGTATTAAATAATCCAAGTTTATTTTAATTATTTTGCTTTTTAACATTTAGTAATATTTCAATAAATAAATATTATTTGTATATTTTTAGCCCTGAAGTTTGGAAGGATATGCCTTATGATAAGAAAGCAGATATATGGTCTTTAGGGTGTGTTCTTTATGAAATGGCAGCGTTGAGACCACCTTTCAAAGCTGAAGATATGCAACAATTGTATAAAAAAATTACAAGTGGTAAATTTGCTCGAATTCCTGATTTCTACTCGAATGACCTTATGTATATAATAAACCAACTTATATAAGTTTAACCATATTACAGGCCATCTTGCAGTATTAATTAATATTTTATTTATCTAATATTATAAAATAAAAAATTTTCTGATTAAAAATATCTATTTTTCTAAAACATTAAATGACTAAATTAAAAAATGAATTTATTTTCTTCAAGATTTAATCCTATTTTATTTTATTTTTAATAACAGATTAAATTCTTAAAAATAATATTGTGAAAAAATACATTCTTGACAAACACTTGTTTGAAGTTGAGGAGAAAAGCATACTTTTGAACACTATTAAGTTCCCAAAAGATTTTAAAAATTTAGATTTACCCAAGTCAAATTATACTCCTATGAAACTTAAAAAAGTATCGTAGCAAGTTAAGACTTTAGAGAATGATAATTCATTAGAAAGTGCAGAAGAACTAAAAAGTCAAAGACTTTTAACAGAAACAGAAAATAATAATGACGATACATAATAGAAGAAGAAAAATTTGCCACAAGTGGCAGAAAATAGCTAAAGCAACAGATAAAAAAAAGAAAACCCATTAAATGAATATAGAGGTATTTCCTTTTCACCACAATATTATTATTTTTAAAAGTCTCTAAAAATTTAGTGGAGAATATTTACCACAAAGGAATCAGGCACAGAAATTCTTCTATTAAAAAGAGTGCATAATAGCTAAGTAACGAAAGTAGCCCTCTTCCTGTTATATAAAACTAAAGAAAACTCAGTCTTAGTATCAGTAAAAACAATTAATGCTCTCTAATCAGCAATTAGAAAGATTCAGAAGTTCATAGATAAATCCTTAAATCAAACACAAATGGAACTTCAAATATTTCTTAAATGAGCTATAATGTTTAGGAAGATAAATAAAATTATCTAGCATTGAAATAATTTATAATAAAATAAAAGATGAGAGGGAATAGAAATTTAAGTCCATTATAGAGCAACTCACAAACACCTGACAAAAAAGATAAACTGAATAATAATAGCATTAACTACTCAAACAACAACATAATAAAAAACATCAATCAAAGTTCAAATTTAAGAATACTTCCTTCAAATATAAATAAAGACTCAGAGCCTCAAAAACCTACTTTAAAAATTAATTGTAACATAAAATAATTAGAAAGCTTTATCGATTCTCATAATTTGCAATAAATATTAGATAGACAACAAACGCTTTCACCAAACATGAGTGCAAACAAACCAACTACAGAGAGACCGAATATGAATATTTAAAAGTAATTGACATATAAAATTCCTTTTAGATATTTTTAAAATATATTTATTTAAATAGTCCTCCTGAAGTTGTTTCTCCATATAAACTGTTACCTAAAATATACTCTTCATCTATAAATTAACAAATGAATTCTAACTAAAATGGAATAGACATATATATCAGAGGATCTTATCAAAATAAAATAAAAAAGAGAGTTTACAGCAATTAAGCAACTCTTAATTATGAGGGCTCTTAAGACTTATCTCAGGAAGAGCCAAGTTATTATAAATTAAATTAAACAAAAGACGTAAGTGAATTACCATATTAAGACTAAGATATCACACTTCGAACTCCATCTCAAAATAAAAAGAAAATTAAATATTAAAGTGTAGATGTTAATAGTAATAACAACAACAGCTTCTTAAAAAAAATAAAAGATTAATCAATATTTAAGTCAAAAGAATTAGCTAATAATTTGAGTATAATATCTGCTGATGACTTAAGTTAAAAATCAAAAAGGAGAAATTCAAATAAATTATAAAAAAGTATTGAAAAAAGATAATCACGGTAAAATAATTTTAAAGATAAAGATTAAAATAATTCAAATATAAATAATAATTCAAATATTCTCGTCAAAGTTGATGATTAGCAATAATGATTGTATTTAATTCCTATAAATTAATTAATAAAATACTTCTATATATTTCTTTCTTTCTATTGCAAATAACTAAATTTACTCCTTAAAAAATTAAAGTTTACTTAATTTATCAATAAATAAATATATATAAAGTATGATCACTTTTTGTTTGCATAAAATATGTGTTGTAAAAGATAAGATATGAAGGATATAAGTCAATAAATTTGAGACTTACCTCGCAATTCGCAAAAATTTCTTATCGAGGGATTACGGTAAATAACCATAAAAAAATGAAATAATAATTCTTTGTTCCTTATTTTTTTTTACAATTCTTGATTAGTAAGTTAATGAAATTTATAATAAATTTATTTAAATTATTTTATTTTAGAACTATAGCTATAAAAATGCTAAAATTTTTTCTAATAAGATCATTATGATAATGTTCCTTTTGACATATTAAAACTTAGAAATCTTCAGATAGTTGATGATTAGTAACCTCTACATTAATAATTAATAACAATAATTATTCTTTTTTTAAAAAGGGCAAACTGTTTAGAACCAGCTAATACTAAAGATGGTTGTACAAAATGTTCTATGTAAGATAGAATAACAAAATAAGGTAATAAGTGTTTTTCTTGCAAAAATAATTACTAATATATAACCTTTGATGATGGAGTTAAAAAGTGTTGCCCAATTGGCTGCAAAAATTGTACTGAACAAACAAGACGTAATAATAGTAAATGTGCAGATTGTGAAACAGAATAAGTCTATGATTAAGATAAAAATACATGCATTTCTTCATCTTCTTGCTCAGGAGTAATTAAATATGGAATATGCTATAAATTATTACCAAATTAATAAAGTGATGGTAATATTAAATTTTTGTTTATATAAAATTTTTTACAAAATTTTATAACTTATAGATTTAGTTTATGATCCAATTAGAGGAGAACTTGTAAAACTTGAATGTGATCCTACATGTTAATCTTGTTCAAACTAACCCAATATTTGTAAATAATGTTCTACAGGTAATTTTTTTATAGGAGACTCTCAGAATTGTGGGAAGTGTGAAACTTCAAATGGATACTATGTTGAAAATGATCGATGCAAAAAATGTGATTCTATTTGTAAAACGTGTAAAGATTCTTCTTAAAAATGTGATAATTGTATTGATGGTAAATTTAAAGACTCTTCTACTTAATTATGTGGTGATTGCGATTTAAATTAATAAAAATTCATTGATGGAGATTAATGTAAATAATGTGATTCTACCTGTCAAACTTGTGAAAAATCTTCAAAAAATTGTACAAAATGTTCAATTGGAAATTATTTTATAGGAGACTCACAAAATTGTGGGAAATGCGAAACTTCAAATGGATACTATGTTGATAATGGTAGATGCAAAAAATGTGATTCTATTTGCAAAACTTGTGTTGATTCAACTTAAAAATGTGACAAATGTATTGATGGTAAATTTAAAGACTCATCTACTTAAATATGTGGTGATTGTGATTTGAATTCATAAAAATTTATTGATGGAGATTAATGTAAATAATGTGATTCTACCTGCCTAACTTGTGAAAAGTCTTCATAAAATTGTACAAATTGTTCTATTGGAAATTATTTTATAGGAGAAACTTAAAATTGTGGGAAGTGTGAAACTTCAAATGGATACTATGTTGAAAATGATCGATGCAAAAAATGTGATTCTATTTGTAAAACATGTAAAGATTCTTCTTAAAAATGTGATAATTGTATTGATGGTAAATTTAAAGACTCTTCTACTTAATTATGTGGTGATTGCGATTTAAATTAATAAAAATTCATTGACGGAGATTAATGTAAATAATGTGATTCTACCTGTCAAACTTGTGAAAAATCTTCAAAAAATTGTACAAAATGTTCAATTGGAAATTATTTTATAGGAGACTCACAAAATTGTGGAAAATGTGATACTGCAAATGGATACTACATTGAAAAGGATAGATGCAAAAAATGTGATTCTATTTGCAAAACTTGTGTTGATTCAACTTAAAAATGTGACAAATGTATTGATGGTAAATTTAAAGACTCATCTACTTAAATATGCGGTGATTGTGATTTGAATTCATAAAAATTTATTGATGGAGATTAATGTAAATAATGTGATTCTACCTGTTAAACTTGTGAAAAATCATTTTAAAATTGCATAAGATGCTCTTATGGATACTATTTCATAGATAACTCACAAATATGTGGTAAATGTGATACTTCTAATGGATGGTATATAGATAGTGATAGATGCAAAAAATGTGATTCTATGTGCTTTTCTTGTGAAGGAACTAGTAAAAATTGTACTAAATGTACACATGGATATTATTACTATTCTAAAAAATGAACTTAAGATAAAACTAAATTAATATTAAAGAAAGTAGATTGTTTTAATTAAATAATAGGTATAAAAGTTGTGATTTAGATATTTTAAATCAAGTAAACTGTAAAAATGTGTTAAAATTATGTTATATTATTATCACTTAGATCTTAAAGATTTTTATATTCAGAATTTTCTAATAAAACTTTAGTAATCTACTATAAAGTATATAAATAAAATATATAAATACTTACTAAAAAACTTTATTGAAAATCATTAAATCATACTTACAATGATTTTTGATTAAAATTTGTTTTTATTTGTTACACAAGGAAATAAACTTCTTAAGTTTTTCTGATGATGAATTGAGAAAAATAAAATTAAGCCTTTAAAATAAAATAATTAATAAAATTAGTGGTCATACAGGCTGATAAAAATTTAATTGAATTAAATATTTTTTAAAATTTAATAGCTGCTGAATTAAATAGTAAATTTAATGAACCAGTGAGCTCTTTTTATATATAAAACCTCCTATAATTTTCAGTTATATTTTAATATATATTGATATTTTATTTTTAAATAATTAATTCTATAGTATGTTAATTCTTATCATTTTTTATTAAATTTAAAAAGTAAAAGCACATGTTAATTTACATTTTTTGACCTAAAATATTGTTATTTTAAAAAATATCATAACCTTGCTTTGTTTATCCGAAATCGGAGGGTAAAGTGAAAAGGTAATACAATAAATATATATCGAAGCTTTTAATAGATTTTTATAAGTATTTAATAATTTATAATTATTTTTAAATGAAGGATAATTGATTGATTAACAAAATTTCATGATTTTATATTAATTTTTTCATAGTTTGTATTTAACTCTTTTAAAATTTACATTTTAATATTTATATCTTTTGTTTGGTCGAACTCTGACTTTTTTAGTGCTAACTCCTATTTGACTTAGGAGTAATAGATGCAAAGCTCAAAATTGAGACTTTATTTAGCTTTTTCAATCAATATTTTAATGTTATCATTAAATTAAATAAATTTTAAATCCTCCTCATACAAATTAATTTGATTTTTCTTTTATTATTTCTCTAAGAATTCCTCAATATTTTTTTATTGACTATTTATTGCTTTTATGCAATAAGTAGAATTCTCGTTAATTTTAAGGTCATCTGGAAAATTTGAATCTTTATCTATAAATAACTATGCGTATTTATTATATTTAAATTTAAATCTTTTAAAATAGTTGATTTCTGGTGCATTTGAAAGACAAATTTTTTCTTAAGAAAACTCAAATTTACTTTGAAGTAAAGATTAAAAACTAGATTCGCTAACATATTTACTAACCTAGAATTAATATTTTGAGGATTATTATTGGTAAAAATTTTGTATATCTAAAGCTATATCTTTTTTTTTATTAAGATATTTAATAATTAAATCTTAACTCCATAGTTATTCAAAATTAATTCTTTATTTTGGGTCTGGTATAATCATTTTTTCAATAAGTTCCAATAATTCTTTACTAAAACCTTCAACTTCAGTGTCATGATTTTTTCTTTGATTGTAAATATTATCTATCAGCTCTTATTTGGTGTTTCCTATGTATGGAACATATCCATACACAAGCTCATGTAAAACCACACCCAAAGAATAAATATCTACAGTCTATGTGTATATTTTATCACTTAATATTTCTGGAGCTGTATAAAAATTCATTCCCTTGTATTTGCTTTTAGCATAAGAGGACCTTTGCTCAAATTTATAGCAATTTTTAAAGCCTCCTAACTTAAATTAAGTTATAAAATTGATTGATTCATTAAGCTTAGCTATGTAAATTGACTTTAGATTGATATTTCTATGTATAATCCCATTTTCATGAAGCCATTTTAAAGAAATAAGAATATTTATAAGTAAAAGCAATATTTCTTGTTAGAGAAACTTTTTATTTGTAGAGTTAATTGTTTATAAATTTCCATATTTTAAATACTCTGAGACTATATAAAATTTATTCTTACTCATGGTAATTAAATTAATCTTTAAAATATTTTCCTAATTAATCTTTTAAATAATTTTAAAAACTTGCTTAATTTAATCAGCAGTTTAATTGTATTCTTTCAAAGTGTAGTAATCTGAAATAACTTGCTTTACTATGACAAGTTTATTAGAATTATCAGTATCTATAGCTAAATAGTTATTAACGAAGTTATTTTAAGTTATTGGAATCAGTTTTTGTTTGCATTGGTATTGAGGAAGCTTATTTTAAATTTCATATAAATCAGATATCTTTTCAAAACCCACTTTAGAACTGCTAATTTCTTCATTTTAACATTTGTCGAACCTCTAGCTCACAGTTAATTAATTTTCAGGCTATATAGCTTTATGATTGATTATGCCACTCCATGTAATTCTTTGTTTTTTATTGTATTTAAGCATTTACTTTATCAAATCCTAAAATTCTAAAGACACAGGATTTTCATCTTTAAATTAAATATTTTATTCCTTTATTTTTTGAAGCAATTTTGTATCATTATTTTCATAAAATGGGTACTTGCCTTACACCATATAATATAAAATAACTCCCAGAGAGTAGACATCTACTTCAAACCCATATGATTTTTATTTTAAAATTTCTGGTGCCATAGTTAGAACTGTTCCAGCATAGGTATGAGCAATCATTTCATCTTTCATTTCTTTCGCAAGTCCTAAATCAGCTATTTTTAAAACTACATTTTTATTATCATATGTATCATTCCCAGTTTATCCATTCGGAAAATGTCTCATTATATTTTCTAATTTTATATCTCTGTGAATGACTAAGTGAGAATGTAAATCTTTAAATCCGCTTAAAAGTTGAATTAAATATCCTTTAGCTTCCTTTTCAGAAATAAGCTTCTTTTATTAAATGTACTTTTCTAATGTTCCTCCGTTACAATACTCCATTGCAAGAAAGCAATTTTTATCAGTTTCGAAAAATTCAAAGAGCTTAGTTATATGATTGCTCTTAATAGTGCTTAATAACTACTTTTCCGAATCTAATAATTCTGTCAGCTTTTGGCTTCTTTGTATTTTATCCTTTTTTATTGTTTTAATAGCAAGCTCCTCTCCTTACTTAATGCCTAAATAAACTACTCCAAAAGATCCTCTACCTAACTCTTTAATTACTTCATATCCAAACTGAGTTATTTCTATTATATCTTCATTAACCATAAGGTTCATTTTTGCATAATATATTCCTATGTTAATTTCTAAATTAATTAATAATAAATGACTAAATAATCTTTTTTTGCTGAATTTTTTAAATATCTTCACATCATCAATAAATATCAAAATTAATAAAAAATCAATAATGATTAAATGAATAATTGCTTATGTGGCCAGAAAAAATTAAAAAAGAGTAAGCATATTTTAAATGGTATTAATTTCCATAAATTAAGTAAATAAAACTATAAAATTTTCAATTAGAATATTACTATAATCATAAATACAAATATATTTTTATTAACAATAGTTGTTATATATTACTTACTTACTTATTTATCAATAATTATTTTTAATTTGAAGTTGATTAGTCTCATTATTTTTGTTGCTATTTTAAATTAAACTTGATGAGTTTTATATAATATATTATGTTTATTTATTCTCATATTAGCTTTAGAACGTAGGTAATTTTTCATATCTATCAGTTTAAAATCCTTAGAAATTCATGCTCTTATTGCTTTAAATGTTAGCTGGTGTATTAAATCTAGGAGAAATAGTTTCAGCTGGAAGAGAAAGATTATTAACATATTCAGGCTTGTATATTTATTTTAACTTTGTATCGTTGATAGCTTGTTCGTTCAACTTAGTTTAGGTTGTCTGAACACTACTTCCATTTATAATTGGTGTTATTGCCTTCTTTTAGGAATTCGTAGATTAAGGAGTGACTATAATATATTATTAGTTTGAAATTGTAGATCTCACATTTGGAGTTATTGATCTTTGCTGCATCATGAAATGGGAGGGTGAAGATGATCTTTAACTATGAGGGTAAGGACTGATTATCATATTTCTGTTTGTTCTATGAACTGGAATATTTATTTAAACCTGCTTTTTTGTTTGATAAAAAATTAATACTAAAATAAAAAAGTGTTTAATATTACCATTGGTTCTTTTACTTTTTTAGATACTAAATTACTTTCAAATGCTTAAACTTGGTTGAGTTTTCCATTATAAATATTTTCTTAACTTATGTTTTTCAAAATGACGTTTTGAGTTTAAATTTTGCCAGGCTAGGTTATAATACTATTTGCGCTCACATTTTAATTTAAAATGTTATTCAGAGTAATTGTTTTGATAGGCACTGGTGTTTTTTTATAATCATTAATGTTTATTTAATTCTTTTAAACTATTCCTATTCTATCTGTAGCACTTCCTTGTTCTTTTACAAAAGGTGTCATTTTAAAAACTTCCTATTCTGCTTTGCTTGATATCGGAGTTGTCTAATGAATAAATTTTAAATTATTTCCTAATTGCATATGAAGAACAGGTGATGGTGAAAGAGATCTTTAATCTGGATTCATTGGTCTATAAACATTAGACACTTTATATTTTAGAATGTTTTCCCTATTCGGATTAAAACCTTCTAAGCTTTGAATAAACGGCTATGGCTTACTTTCGATGTTATTTGTATTATTTACAATTGTTACATTCTGGTTAGCACTCCCATATGCTTAATTAATATCTAAAAAATACATTTTTAAAAATTCAAATTTGTTAAATAAAAATTTACTTTGAGGATGCACATAAGTAGGTTCATAAATATATTACTTATTTTTGATACTGCTTTCAGATTCTTCTGTTTTAAACTTTATTGATTCATTAGGAATAACCTAAGCTGGTTGTTTTAGTTAGTAGGTATAGGGTTTTGGTGTATTTAAAGTCGGTGATAGATTAATTTATACTTACTATGGATAAAGATTGTTTGTATTTAATTGCTAATTCATAGTTGAAGAAATTCTACTCTATTCAGAACTTGAATAGATTGAGGGTAAATTTGAAATCTTTGTTGTGACTTAACCTTGAATCTATCCTTGATTTAAAGAGTCTTACTTCAAATGCATGTTATAACCTTCTAGCTTTTTTATAATTGAATCAAAGCCACTTAAACTTAAACTAGGCTTAAATATTTCTATATCTGAAAACCCTACTCCTGTTATAATTTACTATTGATATGGCAGCAATTCAGTAAATAACTAACTGAATGTTGATCTCTAATAGGGATCTTTCTAAAGCAGTTTCTAAGCAAATTAGTACAAATAATCTCCGTATCTTTTTCTTGCTTCTTCTAGACGGTCTTCTAAAATTTCAAACTTAATTTCATACTTATCCCAATCATATAAAGAAGATGATCCCTATAAAGTGGCCATTTCTAAAATAGACATTCCTAACCCAAATATATCATTTTTGATGTAGTTTATCTAACACAAAATATCTCTCTATTTGAATTTTTCCATGCATTCAGGCGATAGGAATCCATATTCATTAAAGAATCCTGCCCTCTTAAAACTATCAATATCTGTTTATGACTACATATAAGGAGCTATTTTGACTATTCCTTTCTTATTTATAAATATCTTCTTTGTATTTACATCTCCTAATATTATTTCATTAATAAAGCTTTAATTAACTCATTTTATATCAACTAAAATATTTTTTTATAAGATTTCTAGAGTAGTTTTATAATTACTATTTTACTATTAATTCAACATATTTTTTTTGTTTTATAAGCTATTTTATATAATTTTTTTTAACAAGTGTTTGTTTACCTATATGTCTGCTTTGAGTTTCTAAAAAATAACCTGCCATGACTACACTTAAGATAGTTCTCCATAGTTCTTCTGAGGAGAAGTTAAACTGGTGTGCAGCCCTCATATCAATTTACTCCTTCAAATTAGTGTAGCAGTATTCATAATAGAGAGTTAATTCTTCATCTGCACTCAATTTAAATGCATATAACTTAATTAAATTTGGATGCTCATTAATATTAGTGCCTAAATAGATAATTAAATGCTAATTAGTTTAAAAAAAGAAGAATTTCAAAAAATATTTACCAATATAATTTCCATTATGATTCAAAAAAGCAGCATATGTATTTAACTAATTAACTTTCTACAAACGTGGATATACCTTTATAGCTACTTAGTCCTTTTCTTCGAATATCCTATTATATACTTTTATGTCTCCAAGACGCTGATCAATAGTTTCCTTTTCAAATTTGTAATTTCTAGTAAACTATTCAATGAATTCTTATCCTCTTGATTCTTGATTTCCCATTCCTATTATAAAATATGTTGCTTTACAAGTAAGTAATCGATATAATTTTTATTAAAAGATATCTTCAATTTTCAAAATTTTTCTTAATTTGATTTATTATCTTACAAATAACGCTTAATCAATATTTTTATAAAAAAAAAAGAAAAATACTTATAATAAATAACAATCTATTTTACATTTCAATGGTGGGAAGGAATTTAAAAACTTAAATAAAAATCTTTTAAAGCAGAAATTTTAATATTATTTTTGATAATTCTAAAATTAAATCCTTTATTAGTTTAATATTTTCTAATTACAATACAAGTCTTTTAAAAGCAACTTCATTTATATAAATATTTTCTTAATAATTTTTAATCATAATTATGTTTAGTCGTCATATATTTATTTGTAAATATAGAAAAAATCTAATAAAATAAAAATCACATATAATTTTTCTATTTTAAATTTGAATTTTAATAATTAATATTTAGTTTATTTTATTAATTTAAATTAATTAATTTGTTAATGCTTGATTTTCTATTATTTATTTGCTTTATTCAAGAAATAAATTTTAACATCCATAAATAAAATAGTCCATGTTTTTGATGCACTACTGTATAAAGATATAAATTACAATCAATGATTAAAAATGAGAAGTATTTTTTTTTTGCATTAATAAAAAAATTGTGAATGCAATTAATGATTTCATTTATATTATTATAAATAAATATATGATACCTTTCTATTTTATTTCAAATGAGTTTCAAGGTTAAAGAGTTCCTATTTGTTTTAAAAATAACTGATTAATTAATCTAATAATATATAAAATATTTTATTTATTTTTAACATTTAAATAAACAATTCGATAGAATGATTCAAACATTAATTATTCAGAGTAAAATACATTTATAAATATAAATAAAATATTAGATGGATTATTGTTTTAATGTAAAATAAAACATAGTAAAATAGTATTCTTATCAAAGAGTAACTATTCTTTTGTTTTAATTTTTCTTTTTTTAAAAGACAAAAAATAATTTTGAAAGAAAAATTAAAAAAAACTTTTTATGTGAAATGAAAAAAGTCTATTAGGTTTTTGAAAAAATTAAAAAGAATGTAAATAAAAAGCATAAATGATAATTTATAATAAACATAAAAAATTTTTAAATTAAAAATATCTACTTAATTATAATTAAAATTAATATTTTTAGTAAATATTTTAAGAAAATAAATAAATAACTTATTGTTATAAAATAATATTTTAATAATTAATATAAATATATATGTTTTTCAGTAAACCACTAAATTAAATCTACTTGGTTTCAAAAAGAATAGGCAAACCATATATATAATATCCTAAAGAAATATTTAAAATTTTTTATAAAATTATTAAATTTGTTAAATTTTTATTTAGCAATTAATTTTAAATGAGTATTTTAATTTTATTTTTGCTTAAATTTAATTTTATATGAATGTTTTTTGGTAGAAAAAATTGGAAAATCTATGAAAAAAATAAAGATATGGTTATTCCAAATAATTTATGCTAATTTTAGAAATAATCTGGAAAAAACCAGAGACACTTTATGTCAAGAAAATAGCAAAATAGTAGATATATCTTATTTAAAATTATGATTAGACTAAATTTTAAAATATAAATAATAAAAAAAATACTTCTTATATTCTAAGATTAATCTTAAAAAATTAATAAATAATTAATCATATGAATACTGCTCAGTAATAAAATATGTATTTAGAATTTCTAAGTTTGGCAGCAAAATTAAAGACTACTGTTAGACATAGTTGGCCCTTAGGTAAAAATGAAAGAAGGGAAAGTGTTGGCGATCATTCTTGGAGATTAGTTCTAATGAGTTTGCTTTATGCTGATAAATTAAGTTAACCTGTTGATCCTTTAAAATGCGTTTTAATGGCTTCAATTCATGATCTTCCTGAAGCATTATGTGGTGATATTCCTATAATCAATTAAGATAAAAATGTTAAAAAGTAAAAAGACATTTTAGAACACTAAGCTCTAATAAAAATGACTGAGAGTTTAGATGAAGATATAAAAAATAAATTAAGAAATGCTTATGATGAGTACGAAGCTTAATAAACAGTAGAGTCTAAATATGTGAAAGCTTTGGATAAGATAGAAGCATTCTAGTAACACAATTTAGATCCTCTAGATACATGGGAGTAAAAAGAAAAAGAAATGCTTTTTTAGGATCGTTATTTAATGAAACATTGTCAATTCGATCCCTTTTTAAAGTAACTAGCTTAAAAAGTAATTGATGATGGTATTTAAAAGTTGAAAGATGCAGGAGAAGATGTAGAAAAAATAAAAGAAGAGGCTATTTAAAAAGATAAATTGATAGACTTTTGATTAAATTTTTTTACTGCTTATTTTTAAAGATTTTTCAGAGAAATTCATATCTAAGTTATCTAATTACATGAAATTTTAAGAATATTTTTATTTATTTAGTTATTAGCTTTTAATGTATTGCTTGTATAATTATTACTGAAGCAGATAAACAAACATAAATGTTATACACAGAATATAAAAGTATCATATCTATTTAATAATATATATGTTAGTAATTATAATTTTAATATTTTATAATAAATATCTATTCTTCAATTCATAAGGGGTTAGACTAGAGATTTAACCTACAAACAAATAAATCTGCTTAGTTTTTAAATTACCTAGTCTTTGATTTTTTAATAAAAATTGTGAAAATGATAAATTAAATTTATTTTAAAAAACAATTTTTATTTTATCTTTCCAATTATGTTTGATTTTATAACAAACATTTAATAAAAAAAAACATTTTAATTTTATTCTATAATTTTATTTATATATATTAACTTATAATTAAGCTTTTAATTTAGGTCATGCTCTGTAAACAAACCAGTTGGAGGTTAAGATTCCACAGTTGTTACCAGCAGCTAAGGTCATGTAACCTTACTAACCCCAATAAGTTCCCCATGAGTTTTTAATTATCCAGTTGCCTTATTTATCATATCCTACTGCAAGAACAGCGTGATTGATTCTAACATAAGAATCACAGTTGTTGAAAACACCTGAACCGTAAGAACCCCAATTAGTAGCATCAACAAGAACTGAGACAGGAGAAAATGAAATACCCCATTTCAAATTATCAACAGTATTTGTAAGTTAACCGAATTCTTTAGGATAGTAACCGCTTGTAGGTTATTAAACTCTACAATTACCTTAAAATCCGACATATGGATATTCATGAGATTGCAAAACACCATAGTTTTTAGAATAAGACAAAGCTTCTTCAGGATATCCTCCTTAACAACCATAGGAGTTGTAACCTCTGCTTGTAGTAACACAGTCAACTAACTGTTATTCAGAAAAGCTTTTCAATTATCTATTTTGAATATAGTTAAACGATTCCATAACACCAGTAGCTGCAAAAGCCCAACAAGAACCACATTAGCCTTAGTTTTTCACTGATGTGACTGCACCATAAGCTCTCCAATCAAAAGAGTCAGGAATCTAAAAGTTCTAAGGAGCTTCATAGAGAGTAGCTGAGTATGCTGTGGGGGTATTTTTAGGTGCAGAAAGAACTGGATTTAGAATTTTTTAAGCAAATTCATCCTAAGTCATGTCTGAAAATTAGTTCAAAGTTTGTTCATAAGTTTTGTTGCCGTCTTGGTTGAACTCTTGGATCTTTGCAAAATTTTCTAAGAAAATTGCTTATCTAAAGATTTCTTCTTCTTCATTTAAATAGAGTCTTTAATTTGAAAATCTCCATTTGTTATAAGCAGTCAAAGATTAAACAGAAACAGTATTTTTTGCATCTTAGCAATTAAATTTAGCCAAGAAAAGCAAAATAAGTGTAACACACCAAATTTTTTTATTCATTTTTTTGAACTTATTTATTGCTTATGAATTTTTATTTTTTTTGAATTGATTATAGGTTGATATACCATTTACGAACTAATATTTAAAGTAAATATTTATTTAGCTTTCCTTTTAATGTTTCGAATTGGTGACATAAGTTTATAGAAAATCGTGTTTATTCTAGAAAACAAAATTAATATTTTGAAAAAATAAATTTAAAAAATACAAATAAATTAGATTTTCAAATATTAAAATTCCATTAAATAATGGTTTCAAATGTGTTCGCTTATATTAAAAGCCTTTCAAAATCCAATAAAATCAATATTTTCTTAGAAATTTTATTTTGGATGATTTCTAAATTTAAATATTTTTTATCTTTATCATTTTATTTAAGATTAAATAAAATACTACTTCGTGAATGATGATGTTCGATAGATTAATTTAATACCAAGTTTAATTTTAGAATTAATTTCAATAAGATTACTAGCAATGAAAACAATTTGTGAATGATATATTTATGAAAAATGATTTTTAAAAACTTAACGCAAATTTAATTAATTAATTATAATTACAATTTAATCAAATGAATAGTACATTATTTAACACATGTACAGTAAAATATTAGGTACATAAGTATTTTTTTTAAGATTATTTTTTAAATATAATTTAATTTATAGATAGAAAATAGAGATAAATTATGCTTAAAAAATAAATTTTAGAATATAATTGTTAAACTTAAATAATAATTAGTTAAATAACATCTTTTAAAAATATTTCAATTTAAATTACAGTTAACAATAAATACATTTTATTTAAAGTTATTTTATTCTATTTTTAGAATAAACTTTGGGTTTTTCAATATAAATAAAATATTTAAAAGGCTATTTTATGATAGAATTTATTTCTTTATATTAATAATAGTAAACAGATAAAATTAAACTTCCAAAATAGAATTATATTTGAAAATATTTGAGTTAATATCAATCTAATTATCAATTGACTAAAAAGGTTTATAAAAAACAAGATAAAATTTTATATTATTAGCAGTGGTGGAGTTTGAGAGGAAAAAACCATCATGAAATCAATGAAATTATATTAATGACTAATACTTTATTTAAATTTCTAATTTTTTTTTTCATTTTTTGAGTAAAAAAGAAATTGAAATAATAAAATTTAAATTCACCTTATTTTTGACATAAAAAATAATTTTAATTTTCTCTAGTATCAAATAATCGGTATAAGTTTTACTCTTTTAAATTTATTATTTTTTATTTAATTGAAATATATATTTTTTGAATAATATAGGTATATAGAGTTCATATAACATTTTATTAAGTATTTCAAAATTTATATGAAAACATAAAATTATTTTTAATTTGTATTGAAAAAAAATTTTTTTAAATAAATTATATAAATCTATCTTTTTAGAAAAGTATATTAATAATTGCTTAAGTTTGTTTGAAAAATGAATGAATCATAAAATTTGATTAAATTATTTATTTTTATCAAAATAATAAAATTTTTATTATTTTATTATACTTTAATAATAAAAAAAAAAAAATAATTCTTTGATAATATAATAAGTTCAGTTGAAAAACAATTATACTTATACGTTACTAAGAAATAGAGTTTAGCACTATTATGATTAAGTAGAGTAGTGAGTTATTATAGTGAAGGTAATGGGTATAAGTTAATATAAATAACAATAAATCAAATATATTTTAATTTAATAAATTTATTAAGCTGATAAATGTATATATGTATATATGTAAGTATGTATGTACATATGGTATTTAGTATTTTAATGATTATTAATAAAAAGTTATTAACAATAATCAAATATTATTTTTTTAGATGTGTAATTTTTGATTGATTAGAAAATATTACATTGTAATTATTTATAAGCTAAAATATTTATTATTAATAGAAGACTTTTTAATATGGATAGATGTATGTTTAGAAATAACATTCATCGTTTATCAGAGATTTAAGAAGAAAGTCAGTTTACTCTACAAAACTCTTACGAGAATACTTAAAATAATTTTCACAATATACACAGCAAATTTAGGATCAAATCCAATCATAGAAATAAGAGTAGCAGGATAGTTTAAAATTAGCAGATATAAGAAGATGATGACGAAAAATTTAGAATATTAGAAATTGGATTACCTAATTAAAATGCATTAAAAAGACCTAATTTGAAAAGAAATAAGTAGCAAACCTACGATGAAGTTAAAAATGCTATCATTAGAAACAGTAAAATTGAAATATACTCAAAGAAAGCAATATTTATTCACATTTATTAATTTTATAATAGTCTATTGTTCTAATAAATCAGAAAATTTCTTTAAGCAATACATTTAAGCTTAGTAGTAATAGTAAATGGGTATAAACTAAATATAAAATTAGGCTAATAATAATGTGTAAAGCAATTCTCCAGTTTAGATTTAAATAACAAATCCATAAGAGAGGTAGACTAGTCTTTCTTCTTATTAATACACTGCATCTACTTCTGCTTCAACTACTTAAAATTCGTATAGCTCTAAAAAATAATAGATGTTGCAAAACTATTACACCCCTTCTTATAACACTATTTTAAACACTAAAAATGGTTATTCTGATTGTCTGAATAACTCTTCATTTAATAACAATAAGGGTAACATATCTAACAACCGCAATTCCCCTGGATAATCTTACCTAAATTCTCAAAAAATAAGTAATTCATACCAAATAATTTATATTTCACTTACAGATTGGTTATAGAACAAAAACAAAAGCAAAATTATTTTTTTGATAAAAATAATAGTTAAATTAATATAAAATGATGGCTAAGAAATTAGTGGAATTCCAAAAAGAATGTAAATATATTTGTTTATTTATTAGCTTAAAATTAACAGATATATTATGATTGAAAAGTGAAAGGAAAATAAAATACATTGAGAAATTCTCAAGCGCGACAGTTTATATGGGAAAGCAAGGAACAAAATAAAATAATATTGCTAATTCTTAATTCTCAACAAAGCAAATAGGGTATCTTCCTCCAGTTAAAGTAAATAGTTTTTGGTGTTTATTTTACTTAAAAAAATTTTATACAGAATATTGTAAATAGATCTATTGACAATTTAGAAAGCATAAAAGGGAATACATAGCCAAACTTGAATTAATCTCTCCTTAATAACATTCAAAATTAATAAATTAATACTGAAATTCCAATATAAATAGAATTGAATAAGCAAATAGACAGATTTCCTAGTACTGGAAAATCTAAAAATGGTACAAAACTCGATAAACCTTTGTTAGACTATAAAGAAGATGAACTTAATGAGTTCTTGAGTAAATCTTAGAAGAAAAAATCAATATTTAAAAAGTAGTAGTAATAGCTAGAATAATACAATATTTTACAAAGATAGATTTTATAGCTTAGTCCTGTAGGGAAAGAAAATAGAAGCTAATACATCAGTCCTAAAAATAAGTGCCTGGTAAATATGAATAAAACATTAAGTAGTAATATGAATCAATTAGATAAATCTGCTTTCAATAGAACTTCAACAAATTTAGATTAAATTGAAATAAAAAATTCTAAATTGAATAAAGACTTGCAGTTGGAAAGAGAAAATAATTAGTATATATGCTAGCCACCGCTTTCTAAACAATAATTTATATAGTTTTTACAAGATAAGTAACAAAAAATTGATGAAAAAATAAATAGCTTGCAACACACTGATGAGCAAAAAATAAAAGAATTAAAATATCTCCTTGAAAAACAAAAAGGAAATCAACAACAAAGTTAAACTTCATTATCTTTTTACAAGTAGAAAGAGAAAAGAAGTGAAATTCAGAGAACTCACTCCTCTAATGAACATCATAAAAGAAGCAGAACAGAAAATCTTAGTTTCATAAACTAAAAAAATGCATAAAACTAAAGTTTTTCATCTAATGTTTCATACATCAATAACACATAAGCCTTTCCATAAATACAAAGTAACAACTCAAACTTGAGCGATTTTATAAATAAAAACCTTACAGATTTATAAGAAAAAAAGTTAATCAATTCACCCGAAACAGAAAATATTCAATGAGTAAAAGTAAATTATAAATATTTAAATAAACACCATAAAATTTTTCTCCAAGCTAAAATATAAATAAACACACAGCAACAGCAACAAAAACAATAATTTAATATAATAAAATCTTATTTATAATAAATAAATTTCTTTTAAAAATACTTTTTTTGGTTTTAGGTTACTAAATAACTAACAAAAAAACAAACTTAGTTAGTAATTATCTTTGTAAATATACATTTTTGCATTAATTCTTATCAATTATATAAATATTAAATTTAAACGTTTGTTTTTATTCTTGCAAGTATCATTGTAATTTAATCTATGCATAACTCTTTTTAATTTTTAAATATCTTGTTTTATTCAAATATTAAAAAAAGTAATGTTATTTTATACTTTACAAAACAATTACTATTTGGAAACATTAAATTTTTTTAAATTAAAAGTATTAAAATTAATTTTTTCTATCTAATATCCACAAATATATTTTAATAATACTTATTAATGAGATAATATTTTAGATTCTACTTACATAAAAATATATATTAAAAATATAACATTTTTATTGTTTATGATAATTATTAAAACATATAATAAAATTAAATATTCACTATTATTCTGTGATTTGTTTGAGCTAACTGTATAGAGGATTATTGCTCTATAAGCTGTACATTAAAACAGTATTTTTGTAGTATTAGGGATCCTTTTTTAAATTAAAAATAACTTGGTGGAGAGGATGAGAACGATCGCAGTTCATTGAGGATTCTTAGACTTCTATATGAGTAAAATGAATATGCAGATGGTAGTAAGTAGGGTGATAGTGTATGTAAGCTCTAATTTTATTTTTGTGGATTTTAAACTTCTCTTAAATAGTTTATTCCTTTTGTTAAAATAATTTTAAAAAACTTTATATAAATTGTTTTGTAGAATTTACTGTAATTTTCAAAATATTCTCTAATAGCTCTATATGAGTTCCATCTAAATCTCTCAAAGATTGAATATCTCTCCTCTAGGTTATAGCTAATAAATATAGCTGTTGAGTATTTGTAAAATCATTAAACTTATAATCTGGAAGTATAATAAATCCTGTATGTAGATCTTAATTTTAGTATAAAATTCTTTCTTATTCTGCTTTTCCTTCTAAGATATTATAAAGCCACTACAAACTATTCAGTTTAACTTCATCAATATATTTCTTTACAATCTAAATTTAATAAAACCTAATAAATTAAAGTTAAATTTTGTTATAATATACATACACTGTTGTATATCTCAGGTGTTTCAACTACTATTATTGAATCACATTTTGTATATTTATTTATTAATTTTTATGTGGCAGGATAGATTGTTTACAAATCTACCTCATTCCATTCATCATTTTGCAGTTCAATATTATACCTTGTAAAAATATCATTCTATTAAAAAGTAAAATTAATACACTTTAGTTAGATTATTGTAAAATTCTACTTCAAAGTACTTATTTTAATTTATGATTTTATTCAAATTATTTTTATACTCATCTAAAAATGGCTTCTTCTTAAAAATCAAAATGGCTTCTTTAGTTTCATCTTCAAAGTAACCTTTTTCAATTTTATTTGTTTATAAAACTTCTTCAATTATTTTAAATACCTAAAAGTACTAAAGTCTAGGTTTCTGCAGAGTTTTAAAGTACTTTCTTAAATTTAAAGTCTTTTAGTTATTATTATTATTACTACATCAAAATTTAATTAGTTTATTTAACAAAAAAAGATATTTAGTAATTTGTTTAAATTTTTTATAAACTTATTTTAAATTAAAAAATCTTATCTACTTATTTAAAATATAAATTAAAAAATGGGGTTGGGGTTGGGGTTGGGGTTGGGGTTGGGGTTGGGGTTGGGGTTGGGGTTGGGGTTGGGGTTGGGGTTGGGGTTGGGGTTGGGGTTGGGGTTGGGGTTGGGGTTGGGGTTGGGGTTGGGGTTGGGGTTGGGGTTGGGGTTGGGGTTGGGGTTGGGGTTGGGGTTGGGGTTGGGGTTGGGGTTGGGGTTGGGGTTGGGGTTGGGGTTGGGGTTGGGGTTGGGGTTGGGGTTGGGGTTGGGGTTGGGGTTGGGGTTGGGGTTGGGGTTGGGGTTGGGGTTGGGGTTGGGGTTGGGGTTGGGGTTGGGGTTGGGGTTGGGGTTGGGGTTGGGGTTGGGGTTGGGGTTGGGGT